GCGGCGTTATTAATGCTATCTTATCGCTATCGTACCTGTGCGTGTACGTGACCAGCACGTGACACCCACACACAGCGCAGATGTATCTTGGTTGAATAGCCACACAACCTCCAAAGTGTATCAAACTCGTTAAGAGATCCCACTTCGGACCTCTTTAAGCGCGTTTTCGATATCAATTTCTATATATAAGGGTATAATAATATCGTGTTCTTAATTTGAAGCATCTAGCTACCAAATCACGCGAGAAAACGCGGTTGGAATATGATATAAAGTGGAAGAGGGGTCCGTGTCTTGGGTGGTCAAGGTCTAGGGGTGGTCAAGAACTGGGGGTGTTATCTTAGCTTCTATATTCATTCTGGCGCTTTTCCCTCCCACCCGTCTGGTACCAGCCCTTCACTCAATCAATTAGGCTCAATAATGGCTCGAATAGGGCTGCGTTCCGCACCCACAAAACTCCCTCGGCCTCGGGGTCGTGAGGAGCGCCCGTCGCCGTACAGCTTCCCGGCCAGCCAGCAGCAGCATGATGCCGAGACCATCGGCGATCGATACGAGATGGTACAAATCGATGCCGACACCATATTGATGTTACCGCACATGTACGATCAATTTGACCGCGAAGCGGACTGTGAGTGGGACGAAGGCCCCTCGATGCATCGAGCATGGAAGGCGGTCATTGCCTGCGAGTTTCTGCAAGAACACCATAAGATGCCCCATCCACGCCTAGCGGAGTATGGAATTAACCTTGTATTTGAGCTTTAATAAGATACTAAAACAGATCAGATTTAAAGGGCGAGATCCTTGGACAGCACTCCCGCTATTCAAAACACCATCTGGCCCGTCGTTGGGTCTCTTCTTGGACCATCACCAAGATGACCTTTACACGACAACCTACGGTTCTTCCTCGAGACGTCCTCACTCCGCCTACGTACCCATTTTCTACCAATGGATCCTACAACTGGCGTCGACCCTTCAGCTGCTCCATGGCCAAGGCATCGTGGTCGGCGATTGGGACAATCGGAACTGGTGGTTATCCCTCCCTTACTTAACGCTGAGCTATGTAGGATTCTACTCGGCCAAGTTCCAACTCCATGGCTATATATACCCATACATAAGCCGTTACGACTTCCCCAATAACCCCCGCCATCCTTTGCATATTAACGATTATAAGACTATGCCTAACGTAGCCACGGACCTTGTCCTATTCGGGTTTCGAGCGTACGAGCTTCTGACGCAGTCGCAGCCTGGTTGGGGCCCCGGCGAGACCGAGGGGGAGTGGCCAGACTTGGAGGCCGAGTATCTTGGCGAGATTGTGCAGAAATGCAAAATGAGTCGGTACCAAGACGCAGACGAGCTCATGTCGGATATCGTCGGGGACCTGGAGTCTCGAGGGTGGAGTGTGGAGGGGGATCGTCTGGTTGGCCTCGACGCGCAGGCTATCATAGGGGACAAGATGAAGGCGAGCTATCGGTTCTACTGGAATTAACAATAGTCAAGATACAAGAGCTCTATTTATTGCATAATTACGACCCTGTCTACTTGCAGACTCCAAACATTGCCTGGCATCCGCTGCCGCAGTAAGCAGATGTAGACCCGCAATAGTTACTCGAGGAACAGCATTCTCCGAATTGGGAGTCCCCAATGTTGCCCGCGCTGGTGGCGGCCACTCCTTATCGGAAGTGGAGCGGGACGATAAGAAAATAATTTCCGCCTCCCGCGAACCGACAATCATGAAGCATCACTGTCACGATTCACTAAGCACAGATTGCCCCATTGTAGCCACTGTGTAATCGACCAGCCCCCGCACATCCAACACTCCTCTCTGAAGACATTGTTCAATCGCGATCATGAGAGGAAAGCGGGCGAAGCAGTATCGCAAGCTCATGGAGCAGTACTCGCAGACCTTCGGGTTTCGCGAGCCGTACCAGGTCATTGGTACGCCCGCCGTCTATCGCATTGCTCTCTGTGTGTACTAACGGCTCCCAGTGGATGCAGGGATGATCAAAGATACCTGTCGCTTCAAGATGGAGCTCACCCCCGCTCTCGAGAGGACGGTTCGAGGAAAAGTCAAGCCTAGTACGCGTGCCGCTCTTTTCCCACTTGACTTTGATTACTGACGAAATGACAGTGATCACACAATGCGAGATCCGCAAACTATACGCGCAATCAAAAGAACCCGGGATGAGCGAAGCGATTGAAGTCGCCAAAACCCTCGAACGACGTCGTTGCGGGCACCACCCGGACGAGTACCCCGACCCGTTACCCACAGACGAGTGCCTGACCAGCGTTGTCGATCCAAAGAGTTCGGGCGCGAACAAGCACCGCTACGTGGTGGCTTCGCAAGACGAGGGTGTGCGACAAGTACTGCGGACAGTCAAGGGCACGCCACAAATCTACGTCAACCGAAGTGTCATGATCCTGGAACCCATGCCGCCCGAGAGTGCGCAGCTGCGATCAAAGGAGGAGATTCAAAAATTACGAGCAGGTCTCGCGCAACGAAACCAGAGCAAGAGGAAAAGGGAAGACGGCGACGACGACGATGAGGCCAAGGACACCAATGGTGATGCCAAGGAAGCCGATGCTGAGAAGGTCGGGAAGCAGGCAGCCCCCCAAGCAAAGAAGAGCAAGAAGAATCACGGCAAAGGGGTGAAAGGTGCGAATCCGTTGGCCATGCAGAAGAAGAGGCCGCGAAAGGACCCCGCGATGCAGAATAAGAAGCCCAAGGCTGCGGCGAGCAAGCCCGAAAAGACAGGCGAGGCTGCAGCCGACTCTAAAACTCCCAGAGCGCCCAAGACAGGGGCAGCAGAATCACAGGGGCAAGAGACAGGCGACGCAGATGTCTGACGGTCACTGAAGCGATGGACCACATGAGCTGGCGCATTGGATGTCGGAATCTCTGGAATTTGGCAGGCTCTCACTTACCCAATTGGTGACTCTAAGACCCTGCCTCAGGTGGGGAGGAGGAGGGGGCTGAAAACGGCTGGACAACATGGAAATACCCTTTGGAATGTATGGAGGTAGTCCAGACTGGCAGTCGAGTATCGTGGGCTGAGCACGCGACTGTCTTGGACCAGCAAAGTGCGCAGTCGTCTGCGCGCTCAGGGAATCAGATATAATAGCGGTTTGATGAGTTCTCAGCTCAGCTTGGACGAGCAGTCTTGTCTGTTACAAGCCTGTATAGTTGGCTCCAGAATGTCTTTGCCTCGCTCGCTGATCCTCGAGACTCCGTTCATACAGGTACGTACTCGTGGTTTGCTTGGCCGGGCGCCCACGCAAAGTTTAATTCCATAGCAGATCGCAATCCTCAAGATACCTACCTACCTTAGCTATACCGGTCATTGGTTGAATCTGTCACATCACTCACATCCAAAAGTGATTCGGATCATCAGCCGCCAAGAGACCAGTTGCTGCAGGGGTTCGAGCTGCTGGTGGTGCCTGTCGTTTAGCGGCATTTCCCCACCCGGTTGCCCCGGTCGCCTATCGTCCTTTTTTTCTGGCGGTGTTGCTTCATTGCGGCCACTAGCGAGACGGCGCCACCTCCATCATCAACCTATCTACTTGCTTCTTTACTCCCGGTGACGTCCCATCCTAAGTACGTTACACCTGCACTGGATGGGGACGTGAACTCTGATTCAGCTCTTGTGTAATTTAATGGTCATACAATACTGGATCTCACATGATGGCGGGGAAAGAAGATGGGCAACAGGCCGCGCCAGCCGTTGTGCATGAGACGGACGACTTTGGACTACCGATTCGACAATACTCTACGCCTGTTTCAACGTCTGCGGAAACAAAAGATGGTGAAGACGGACCAGCGGACGAATCTAAAGATGTCTCGAGTAATGGGAAGGGGACAGTCACAGAGGCAACATCGCACGAAGACCAGCCCCAAGATTCCAACATGACCTCCGCAGGGGAAGATGCTGCCGGCAAGGGGAAACAACCGGCGACAAGCCCCTCGAGCGATGATGAACAACATACTACGCCCAGAGAAGCGCCTGCCGAACAGCCCGACCAGAGAAAAGATGCTGCCACGCTGAAGCCGAAATCGGAGCACGCGGACGAAACGCCAGCGACGACGAGCGACGCCGTAGTGAAAGAAATAGAATCCTCAACAGACAGAAATTTTTTTCAAGATGACGGGCCAGCGCCGATGGCTGGCGGGGAAGAGCCTGCCGCTCAAACCAAGAAGAAGACTAGGCATGCCCATCAGCACAGCATCGCTAGCTTGGCAAGTGTGAACAGCGCACCCAACGATCCAGGGGTGTCCGAATTCTCGCATCAGCAAGTTTCCACGCAGGTCGAGGACAAGAAGGATGAAGACGAAGGCTGGCAAACCATGCCCTCGTATGCGCCATATGACATCTACGACGATGACAATCGGCTTGTTGCGCAGGAACACGAGGACTCGGAGGATGAGAAGGTTGTCTACGGAGGACTCGGTGGCGCAGGAAAGGGTTACACGAGGGTGCAGATGGACGATGACGTGCAATCAGCGAACAGCATGGACGACAACACAAACTATCTGTTCAAGGACGGTGGCTACAAGGGCACGACAATGGCGGAGGACGCGGACGACGATGCACGGGACGCCGTGGGGCAGATGCAGGCCACAAAGGACCTCCTGACCGAGGGCCAACGTGTAGCGTACGTGGGCGTTGTCCGTTTGGAGATCGCCCAGCTAGTCAAGGAAAGCGAGCAGCTTGAGTCGACGCGCAAGATCAGGAAGGAAGTCAGCATGTCGGCCGAAAACACCAAAATGTGGGCGCAAAAGATGATGATCCGCCTGTACGCGCACATGGACATTAGCGAGGCGGAACAGATCATGATCGAGCAGCTCGCCGAGCATGGCGTCGTTCCGGCGGATCTGGTGCCGGCGTTGCATGCCAATGCCCGCGTCAAGAATCCCATGGCCGAGCAGGAGGACGACGACAAGGGGGAGCAGAAGACAGAAAAGGATGAAAGCGATCCTCCTCAAGATGTGGCCGCCGAAGAAAGCCAGAAGCAGGAAGACGTTGCACAAGACACCCTAACTCAGGAAGGTGAAGAAACCAACAGACCCACCGAGCAGGGCGACATGAACGACAAGCCCGACGAGGAGTGGTCATCCAAGCGACCGATGACTCCGACGGACGAACCGGTTGCTGAGCCTCCACCGCCCTACGGAGCTCATGAGCAGGATGAAGTGCCGGAAGTCCAATCGCCTTCGCAGCTACCCACTACCAGCAAGATCGACATTGATCTGCGATGGACCGTGCTTTGCGATCTGTTCCTCATCCTCATTGCCGACTCGGTCTACGACGCGCGGTCCAGGGTTCTCCTCGAGCGCGTGGGCAAGAGCTTGGAGATCCCGTGGCTGGACATTTGCCGTTTCGAAAAGCGCATCACGGATGCCTTGGAACTGCAGCAAGCTGCCGAAAAGGAGAACTGGAACGAGGAGGAGCACATGGAGTCTCGCAGGAAGAAAGCCCTCAAACGACGATACATGATGATGGGTCTCGCGACAGTCGGCGGCGGCATCGTCATCGGTCTGTCGGCGGGCCTCGCAGCACCTTTGATCGGCGCAGGTCTTGCCGCTGGGCTTACTACCATTGGTGTCGGTGGTACTGGTACCTTCCTCGGCGGATTGGGCGGTGCTGCCATCATCACATCCGCCGCTTCTGCTTCTGGCAGCGTCATTGGTGCGAAGGCGGCGCATCGGCGAACAGGTGCTGTGCGTACCTTTGAGTATCGTCCTCTGCACAACAACAAGCGCGTCAACTTGATCGTGTCTGTGTCGGGCTGGTTGACGGGCAAGGTGGATGACGTGCGGCTACCGTTCAGTACAGTGGACGCCACGATGGGTGACATCTATTCGGTGCTGTGGGAGCCAGATATGCTGAGGAGCGTCGGTGACACTATCCAGATTCTGGCCACCGAGGTTAGTCCACTCAAGCCCCTGCCCATGTTTTCTGATTGACTGACATTGGCAGGCTCTCACATCAAGTATCCAGCAAATCCTCGGCAGCACCCTGCTCACGGGTCTCATGGGCGCGTTGCAAATCCCAATCATCCTCACCAAGCTGGCGTACTTGATCGACAACCCGTGGACAGTGTCCTGCGACCGTGCCATATCTGCTGGCAAGATCCTAGCCGACTCCCTGATCGACCGCAATCTGGGTACGAGACCGGTCACCTTGGTCGGATACTCGCTAGGATCTAGGGTCATCTTCTCATGCTTGCAGGAGCTCGCAAAGAGGGGTGCTTACGGTTTGATCCAGAACGTGTACCTCTTTGGATCTCCAATTGTGTACCAGAAGGAGGAATATCTCCGCGCACGCACCGTTGTACCAGGTCGATTTGTGAATGGGTACAACCGCACAGACTGGGTGCTCGGCTACCTGTTCCGAGTGACGAGCGGTGGTATCCGTCGCGTGGCCGGACTGGCTGCCATCGAGGACCTGCCGTGGATCGAGAATATCGATGTGACGGAGCATGTGGCGGGCCACATGGCCTACCGAACAGCCATGCCCATTCTGCTGAAGGAGTGTGGTTGGATGGTGGAGAGTGAGGTGTTCAGTGAAATTGAGGATCCGGACCCTGACAATCACACCGAGCGACAGAGAGAGCTCATCAACGAGATTGAGGAGGCACGCAAGAAGCTGGAAGAGGAGGGCAGGACTGGCAGCAAGTCACGCTTCTCCATCTTTGGCCGCAAGAAGAGAGCGGAGAAGGCCGAGTGGGAGCTATACGACGATAAGCAGGCCAAGCCCACGACGGGACCAGAGCAAGATCCAGACGCAGCGTACCGTGGGGCGCTCTTTGACGTCGACACGATCCGCGAAGAACTGGCCAAAGACATGCGCGGCGAGCGCGAGCCAGAGGAAGAGGAGCTGCAGATTCGGGAGATCAAGTCGACGCTCCCGCCGATGAAGCTCAACTTGACAGCTGCCGCTTCGTCGTCAGCATCGACCCCTGTCGCACCCGCCAACCCTTACAATACTCTCAGGGAGACGCGAAGCGCCGATCATGTGCCAACATATCAGCTACCGCCGGAGGACGAGATACAGATGACTTTTGACACGTCGTTCAACGACACTACCACGCAGTCTCGAAGCTTGTACGGGGATAGTCTAAGGCCGTCTCGCGACGAGACAACGACCGCCAGTCGACCTGATCTCAAGTCATCGAACACGGTGCCGAATGTCAACATGAACAATCCCTGGGGAGATCCAGATGATGACGACTTTGGGAAAGAGAAGGAGATTTCCATGACGTTTGCGTAGAGAGGCTTTTGCGGGCAGCAATATTTCATGGCGTCCAGGGTGTCAGCATTGTGCTTTGCAATTCAGGTCTCGAGGGACCTCTGGCGTTTTCAGCATCAAGACCGCGGGCACGAAGGGCGGAAGATAGACATGATATACATATAATGTGTTGTAATTTCAGAGGGCGAAGCAAGAAGAGAGCATGCCTTCCTCTGTGAGGCCATGTGTCACGTGGTCGCATGTTGAAGTATTCGCAAGGCCACTCAGATGCTTCCATAAATATCTCCAACACTAGTGAGCCTGAGAAGGCTAGGATGGATCACCGATGCTCTGCCGCTCGCGACTTGAGATCCTGCCTGCAGTGGTTTGGGGGCAAACATACACAGACCAGATGTCAGAGGTTGACCAGTGGGACCAGCAGCAATGAACAATGAGAAGGCAATATCGAACATGACCGCACGTCCATTGTGGCCTGCAGCGGATGGAGTCTGGACAGCGCTTCGCTGCGTGCGCACTGCAGAAACAAACGTCGTGGCCCGATGCGAAGGTGCCATCGTAGTACCGCGCGCTTCCGCTACGTTTCGGATCTCACTCGGCGGGCGCATATGCAAGAGGGCATCGCTGAGGGACTGAATGACGCCTTGGGCAGATTTAATCGTGAGCAGAGCACAACATGCTGATAAGTGACTGATCCATGCTGCACAGAATTTTGAAGTGTGTGATTCAAGGACACATTTATCTCCTACATACGGATACCAAGCACGGCAAGGCTGAGAGGGAAGAGAACCGGTGATGCACCTGTCAGACACTAATGCGGGTCAGCCGCTCTATAGTGGCTTGATCAGCGGCCCCGTTTGACAGACGGACGGACTGTGGTCAAACTCCAAGCCTCCAGATGCAAGGGTTTTCAGCTCAGCGTCAGGCTGTCAAAAATCCCAGTGTCTTTCAATTCCCTCCATCAGCTCGTATGCATCTGAATGGGTCTCCGGGGGGGGGGGGCGGGGTTCTTGCGCTCTGCTGCAGAGTAGTGGTACTACTATTAACTTGGTGACTATGAAGTGTCAGATTCTTGGAGAAGGCACAGCCCGAGAGATGCCAGCCCATCATTGGCTCACTCCCCGACCCTGATTGTCTATTTTCATCCGGGTGGAGCCAACCAACAGTGAGTGCACAGCCATCATGAGGTGCCTTATGAGATACTCACACTTTGGGCGCGAGCACCCATCGCTCCAGATGTGAGTAAAAGCCGAGCGTCTGTGGCCTCGGCGGATGCGAGCTTTCCTCAAGCGCCTCAATAACCCCGCCCATCTGCCAATGAAGACTGCAGTCGTGCTGGTGATAGCACGATGAGCTAGACCTAAAAAGGTGCTTTGTACACACAGCTGGACCCCTGTGCTTGCCCGCTCCTCCACCAATCTCAAGTGGCTGCATTGCTAGTGCCCCAGCTCAGGCTTACAGGTGATCTTCCATCCGATGGGACAGGTCATTTCTGCCTGCTTCATATTCATTCAGGATTGTCCCTCTTGCCCTCAAACCTCTCCTACTCTCCTTTCGATTCTGGCTCCGCGGCTTCGACATCCCAGCAGCGCGGGAGCTATTGAGCACATGGGAGACGATTGGGCACGGATGAATAAGCGACACGATGGACATGGACATTTGGGCGCGACAAGGCGGCGATAATGCGAACACTGGGCAAGGCACCCCGCTCGGTAGCGACAAAACGGAGCAGAACAACCCATTTCTAAGTCGACAGCCTGCCTCGACCGCTAGACAGTCCACGAAACCCACACCGGCTGCTGCTGACAATAGCGACCCGACCGTGTCCCAGCAGGAAAGCGCCAGTGCCAGCGATGGGGCATTCGCAATCGACGACGATGATGGAGAGAGAGTGTTGAATTTCACAGAAAACAAGGAGTTTGACGCGGACCGCGTGTTCGAAAGCGGCACAGACTCCCAGACAAGCAGGCAGTCCTTCTCTTGGTCGCTAGGCGATAACAAGGCCCAGGTCAACGTCATCTATCTCGTACAGATCGCAGATGCACCGGGGGAGATGGGAGGACCATATGAGCCCAAGGAGACGTACGTCGCCCTCCGAGAATTAGATCCACCGGGACATGGCGATATCCTCGTCAATGCCTCACAGACTGGCGTCGATCTTGACTTCACAAAGTTTACCCCAAACAATACCGGAGTCGGCTACGGAGGCGCGTACGCCATTAAGGTCCATTGGGAACGCGAGGACGGGCAGGGCAAGGGCTCGGTGTCGGGATACTTCTCCGTGCTGGGCCCGGAAGATGACGGCCAGGATTTGCAGAAGAAGGTGCAAGACAGCCTATCCAAGCTGAACTACTACAAGGATGGCTTCGAGTCGTCCGGTGACGCTATCCCCGATGTCGCCCCGACTTCCAAAGGACCTGCCCCGACGGCAGAAAGCGGCGACAACCAGAGCAGCGAGACTGCCAGCAGCAACGCCGCCTCAGGCTCTGGGGAGGGCACTGATAGCAGTGCAGGGAGAGGTGGTGGCGGCGGCGGTCTTGCCCCTGGGACCATTGCTGGCATTGTCGTCGGCGTCGTCGGCGGCCTAGCCCTCATTGGCGGCCTGGTCTTTTTCCTCCTCCGTCGTCGCCGCCTGCACAAGACCAAGCAACGACACGCAGGCCCCCAGCACGAGGCCGGCATGACATCCTACGCTCTTGATAAGGTGGACGGCAATGTCGCACATTCACCGTATTCTGACGACGGGCATGGCGTGGCCGCCAGGGGCTTTCCTGCCCATGATGGCGCTGCGGCGACTCATACCACAGGAGCAGCATCGCGTGAGCTTGTCAGGGGAGAGCCTGCTGTGGCAGACACACCGAGTCGACAGCGCGATTACTCGCATCTGGTGGAAGACGGCATGACGGAGGACGACATCCGGAGGCTGGAGGAAGAAGAAAGGGAGCTGGATGATGAGATTGCGCGCGCGAGGAGAAGATGAGCTCTCTGGGACAGGGATTTTGTTTCACTTTTTGACAATACGTGACTTGTCTGTCTGTCGTAACGGAGTTGGGCATGATGGCGTTCCTTTTTTGAGTCTGAGCATGTATGCATGTATTCGTTTTTGCGACAGCTGTGTGTGATAAGCCGAACCCCTCAGTTCCGTCCGTCATCATGGTACGTAGTTTTGATACCACACCAGGGCTCGCTGTGTCCGCCGTGGAGTATCGTACAATAGCCGAGGCACCATAGCCTCCGTACACGCCCAGCAAGCAAGTTCGTGCTTAACCGATCGCTAAATAGCTCCCAACGCGAAATATGCACATGGACAGCCGTGCGCCGGGACGGGCCTGCCACTCAGCCCCTCGAGAAAAAGCGCCCGACCATGTTGCTCGCAATGTTGCCCGCCAAATTGGTGCTTCCAAACGCGCTGCCGGCAAAGTTCGACGCGTGACTGAACTTGTCGCATCGTGAGAATGCCAGGGTGTTCATGACTGTCAACACCAACGCAATGACTGTGCGCCTTGTTAGCGAAATGGGGCCCTTTATCTCTTTTCCTTCTTTTTTACACCTCCTATTCAGGGGCATCCGGATGGGCATGTACTCACTGACAAGAGGCAGCCAGAGAAACTGCAGCCTCACGAGGGCCAGGATCGCCATGGCCACCCACAGCACGGGCTGCACATAAAGCGCCATCCAGAAGAATCGCGAGTCGGTCGCGTTGACCGTCTTGGTCGCAGGATCGCTGCTCTCAAAGACCCATTTCGACTCGCCCGTCGAGGGGTCGACCTCATTCCACCAGCGGAGACCGACGAGTCGACGGCCGGCAATGTTCTTGAGGTAGTAAAAGTCGGCCGCGAGCAGGAGAATGGTGACGATGAAGATCATGATCCTGGGCGGATTGGGTCAGGCACAGTTTGACAGGGAGGGGGGAGAGACCATTGCGTGCTTACATGCTCTTGATGATCCATAGTCCAAGGAAGTAGATCAAGACACTCGCTGTGCACAATTGTCAGTTCTGCGTGGTCCACAAGTCGTCGCAATCGTCCGCATACATATCCTGAACCCCAGAAAAGTCAACAGTGTGATGGGATGCGAACTGAGCCGCCAGCTCAGCGAGCCAGCCTCGGGCTGGGGCTGAGCCTGTGGTTGCGGTTGCGACGCGTCCATGATCGGTCGGCGAACAATCGTTGCGTTTCGTCAAGGGCGCTGCTGCAAAGGAGTGTCGTTTGTCGAATGCAGCGTCGTGCACGGGGGTTTTAAAGGGGTCTCGCGGGTGAAGCAGTCGCGAAATGGACTGCACTGGCTTGGCGTGGCTGCTTAAAAGGTATTGAAGCTACGTAGCCCCATAGCTCAATAGGAGACACGATGATCGGCGTCGCAGACATGGACGCGAGGCTCATTCAGCAGGCGGTGGGCAGCGGCAGAATGCTCAGGTACCTGCGATCAGAACCAGGTGGACTAGGCTGTGGGGTTAAGGTACGTACCTTTCCTCCAGCCTCCCATCTCGGCAACTTCATCTTCCCTAGTCCATGGTAAAGCCGATTTGTAGTCCGTAGACCAGCATAACAACAGCTCTTGGAATTCTTCTGGACACTTGCTTTAATCTACCAGCTGAGACTCTTAAACAGCACTCATTTTTTAAAAAAATTGTGCAATTCTGCGCTCACTCCATCTCACCACCTCCTCAACCATGGCAGCTGCCGCCAAATCGTCGGCGATCATACGCCGTTCACTGCTTTATGGTAACACCTATGTTGCATCCATAATACTGCATAACTGACGTTTCAGTGCCATCATCTTCCCAAAAGATGCTAACCAAGTCCGTTGGTTTCAATTCGGATAATGTCACGTACGACCTCGAGGACTCTGTCACCCCGTCCATGAAGCCTACAGCCAGAGACCAGCTCAAGTCTCACATGAGTGGCATCTCATCACGCCCAAAAGGCATTGGAGAGTTTGCCGTCCGAATCAACGCGGTCTCGACACCATTCGCGCTCCAGGATCTCTCATCTCTAGGCTCGGTCTCAGCCGTAGACGCCGTCGTCGTACCCAAAGTCGAATCTGCCGCCGACTTGAGCTTCGTAACCGATGTTCTGCGACACGTAGCTCCAGAGCGCCATGAGAAGGATTCCAAAAACCCTATCAAAATCATAGCACTGATCGAATCTGCTAAAGCTATCATGGATCTGGGCTCAATCTGCAGAGCCTCCCCGTACTTGAGTGGCTTGATTTTCGCCGCCGAAGACTTTGCGCTTGACCTGTCCATCACACGCACACCATCGTTGACCGAGTTTTTGTACGCCAGATCAGCCATTGTCACCGCAGCGCGCGCAGCAGAACTCCCAAGCGCCATCGACCTAGTGTGTACTTCTTTCAAGGGCGAGGAAGGCATCAAGAGATTGGAAGAAGAATGCCGTGGCGGTAATGCCATGGGATTCAACGGAAAGCAATGCATTCACCCTATCCAAGTGGAGACTGTCCAAAGATTCTATGCCCCATCCAAAGAGGAAGTTGAGTGGGCAGTAAGGATATCGATCGCGGACGAAAAGGCTGCAAAGTCGGGCCGAGGCGCCTGGACACTCAACGGGAAGATGATAGATGCCCCTGTAGTCGGTAAAGCTCACGCAGTTGTGGCGAAAGCTGAGAGGTGCGGATTCGACGTACAAGAGCTCAAGTCGAAATGGCAAGACCAGGAACCGGAGTGAGTGGTGCCAAGATCTGTGGGCACGATGGGTTTCCCAGAGTACCAGTGTCAGATGAAAGGGTTCGGTCTCCAGAAAGCCTTCATTTCCCTTTCGTCAATATGCGTGAATCGTGGCGCTCCCTGGTGTTGTCGGGAAGCCATTTGTGGTATTTGGTCAAAAGTGGTCGACACCACACCGAGCGGATTATCCTGGGGAAAGTCGATCTTGTCCAGGGGGTTAGCCAAGCGTACGTCAGGAATTGATGTGGCCTCGGTTCGGGAAATATGCTCCTCGATTGTCTCAGAGAGGCAGTCAATATCCCTTCTTCTAGGCTTAGTATCGGGCACTGGCACATCCTCGCATCGACAAAAGGTGTAAGGTAGATACGCAGGCAGCCCGACATGCTTGCCCTGTCTCCTATCTTGAGCGAAATTCGTGGGATACGGCAGCTTCTCTGAAGTACTGGTCATTGTGGGCATGGATGGAGGCTGCTGCGGCCAAGCAACGGGGGCATAGTGATCGCAGAAGTTTTCTTGATCCGCGCTTCTAGGGGCCGGGCGCTGACCAACAGCTTGCTGATATCCTTGGCCTACCCATTTATGGACAACTGAATTGCCGTCACTGCCGTCAGGAATTGCGTCGACCGGACCTCTGGCGTAGTCAAACACTCCTGTTGCAATGAGTGCTTTGAGAGCATCGATACCGGAGCACTTGTATGCTTCATCCGCACGTTCGGAGTAGCTGTTGGCACCCTTATTCTTGTCTTTGCTGGGGGGCATCGCAGATGTTCGATCTTGGTCTACTGATATTCGCCTTGTTGAATCCTGGCTCTTCGTGCCGCACGGGGCCTTTCGCGATCTGTTAACACGATCTGGTATGTTGTCTGTCTCGGTGTATCCTTCCGATGTCCCATTTCCCTCGGATTCGGAGTCAGATTGTGACGTGTCTTGGTCCACCAATTCGCTCCTCTTGTCGGGCTTCGACTGCGGATGTTTCGATCTTGGCTCTGCCGAGGAAGAGAGCAAGTTTCTGCGTCGGTGTGATTGCTCATGGGGCACCTCGTGGCGTCGCTGGTTCCGTCTTTTGGTCTTATCTGCATTTCCCCGAGATCCTTGTTTTCCATTGCCCACATCGTCATGTGACCGTTTGAAGATACCCAATTCATGAAATTCAAGATCTGCCACTGCCATCTTCAGCTTCGAGAAGTCGATGAATGATACTCAGGGGCTTACTGTGTCTCCGACCCGCGCCTCGACCGTTTGAGAAGAGTCCGGCCGTGAAATTGGGCTTCGTCTATGCCGCGTGTCAGTGTAGCTGAACATACACATGGACTGGCCAGATGTGTGTCCTTACTATCACTGGTCCAGGTCCCAAGACATCTGATTCGAAGTTTTCCATGACTTCTTTGCTGGCTCGCAAGGTCTTATTTTTCTTCTTCCTAGTCCTGGCTCTAGTCGCCTGAGACGACCTCCGAACACGCTGAGCTGTATGGTTCGGTTCGTACTTGTCTGCCTTTGTCTTCCTTCGCGGAGCTTTGGCATGAACGTCCGGCGGTATGGCAGCCGAGGATGACTCTTCGTATGTGCGTTGGTGCAGCTTTCGTTCCCGAGTACCATGGCGATGGCCGTCTGGAGGCATGTCATTGGGAATCGATGTTGATTCGATACCGGGATCATGTTGACGCTGCCTCGACGGCGCTGTTGCATCCATGCCGATGGCCACTGGAGATCCTGACTCAACCTCGGCGATCCAGGTCTGGACAAATGCCATGTCGTCGCAGCGAGCTGAATTCGGAACAGACCGTTGGCCACACGGTGAGTGCTGACGGCTACCTGGCGCAGGCATGTCATCAGAGAGGTTTCTGGTCGATGCGAGCTGCGATGGGTCCGGCACAGACTGACTCGAGACCGTTACTCTGCCTGGTGACAGATATTAAACAGGTTACGGTCTATCGTGCGTGGCTTGGGTTCCTTCCTGCCTGGAGTAGCGCTGATAGACATATATCAGAAGCTGCCACCTGACTTGGTAAATAAACATGAAGGCTTCGTAGTGCACGTAAAGGACCTCCGCATAGACACGGTGCAAGAGAGCTACTTGCCTGATTTGGCAGTGCTCGACAGATCGTGGCGGACGCCAGGCCCATGTGGCGGATCCCTGCATGGCACTTGCAGCTGCGCGCGCTGGTGAGAAGCCATGTGGCGCCCATCGTGGCGCACTGTCGATAGTAGTAGATAAGGTCCCTGATTAGCATCGTAACTTGGGCCTCACTTTGCGACGAAGGCTTTCCTGGGATCAGCGCATGGACCTCGTTCAGTCTGAATACTATCAGGACTGCCGGGGTTGATTAGCTGTTCAGCAAGACACGACATGCTTTGCATTCGTGTTATGCTTAAAAATGCAGCTCCAGTCAGACCAGTCTCCTCACGCCGACACTCCCGTTCGGGTTGGGCTTAAGGTTGTGAATCCTGCACAACCATGAAGGAGCAAGAATTCTTCTGAGAAGAACCGAAAGCTGTGCCGAGTCGATGTATCCTTGCTTTTTTTATTTTGATTTTTTAAACCTACCTGGTATAATAATAGAGGGGTGCTGGTATTATGGTCAGTGTGTTATTAAGGTTTTAGACAACAGGCCAGCCGAAAACCTACCCCGCACGCACGAAAATTCAAGTTCTTGAGAACATGGAGGCACTGAGACTGGACCCAGTGCAGCCACTTTGGCCCGTGATGGTGTCGGTCAGATCAGCGGTTTTATGCCTCGGTGCCAACGCGCAGTCCAAATCATAGTTGAAAAACACTCATGAACACGCCCGCCCCAAGGGTGTTGCGTGCAAGACACCGTTCAAGAGATGACCGTGACGTCGCAAATAGCCATTCGGGATGTGGGAACCGGGAGGAGATGTCCCGCACGCCACATTCGACTCGAACCTGTCCTGCAGTGGGCAAGATTGTCCAGCCTCCTCCGCGGGACGGAACTGGAGACCTGGAAGACGACATGGAGGTAACTTTCCGGCGGAAGCTGGGAATAAATCGCCTGCAATCGACCACACGCACGGCTTGCCCCAGCTGCGTGATGGCTCCGTGAGACTCTGCTGGCGGGTCGGACGGCTTTGCAGTCGGTGCTTGCGCTGGGACTTGCGTCTCCCGAGGGGCTGTGAGCCTGGGAAGGGCGCCATGTGAAGAGGTTGCAGCCTCTGATTGAACGCGACGCAGGCGACGGACTGACACGCCTGTGGAGCTCTATAACATCCAGGCTCCAGTTCGTCACCGGTGGTGAATCTTTCTCTGGTTCGTGAATAACCTCCATAAAACAGTAGACATTGCGATAACCCGATAGGATTCCCTCGGGAAACTGAGCAATGCGAAATCCGAATTGTCGACGCCCATGTCCAGTCCCCGCGATCCGCGCTAGCGTGCATGCGTCGCCGCCCCTCCAGTAGGATAATGCTGTAGGATCATCTCAGTTTGAGCTCACCATGGCTTCAATGGACATGCGAGTGCTACACAAGTAAGCGCCGTGGCCAGAGTACATTCTCAGATGTTATTTCGTCCTGACTACGGAGTAAAGTCCGGTCACTCTAGGCTGACGCGGTCGTCACGGTTCCGGTGCCTGAGCAGTGACTGGCATCACTGCAACTGCAAGCCCGTAGGGTCCAGCGCAGGGCTGCCCGCCCCTGGAACGACCTAGGTACAGCGGCACGCGGCGAAAGCTTGGCTTGTTGAGCACATTGATGGCCAGCGCCAGGCCGGCTACACTGCCACAGCATCCAGTAATGATACGGCGGACTGCTTTGTGACTGGCTGATATGGGACCAGCTCCCGGCAGCTGGGAGGCAGCCAACGGCTGGGCCCAAGGCCAGGCCCCAAGCTTCTGCTGGCGGCTCCAGTCTCTAATATGCCCCCGGGGTCCAGTCACTGACGTTCTGACCCGACCTTGCTTTGTGTTCTCTCATCCCTCAAGAAGCAATCTCGCCTGTCCTTTCCACTACATCGCTGCCTGTGTGTGTGTGTGTGTGTGTGCGTTTGCGTCTACCTGTCTCTTGCATTCTTTGCTCTGAGCTTCACTTCACCTACCATTCTCGCTACTATTTTTGCGTCGTATCCGTCGCGAAAACAGTCCCAAGTTCAACAAAACACCCGCCTACCCTTACCTTACCTTTCTTGCCTAATCGCAAAGCTCAGCCATTATGTCGAAGCTCTTTATTGGGTAAGACTCTCGCTCCAAACCAGGCGCTTTGGTTCAATATGCTGACTCTACATCCCCCGACAGAGGCCTCGCCTGGCACACCGAGGAGGCTACCCTCCGCCAGAAGTTTGAGGAGTTCGGTCCTGTTGAGGAAGCTGTACGTGCACACCTGGCGCGAATCGAGCCACCTCCCATTCCCCCAGTCGACTTCTCCTTCCCGTGTCGCTTCGATTGATGCTTCCATCAATCTATCTTCGCCTTCATTCCCCGACAGCGCGCGCCAAGAATCCAGCTGACTCGGCTCTGCCGTCTAGGTCGTCGTGAAGGACCGTGATACCGGGCGCAGCCGTGGCTTCGGCTTCGTGCGCTACACCCAAGAGGCTGATGCCGAGCAGGCCATCAGCGCCATGAACAACGTCGAGTATGACCTGCCCTTCCTTGTCCAGTTGACCCAAGACTAATTCGTCGCTCAGCTTCGATGGACGTGCTATTCGAGTCGACAAGGCTTCGGACAACGGCCCCCGTGGTGGCCGTGGCGGCTTCGGAGGAGGCTTCGGAGGCCGCGGCGGCGGCGGCGGCGGCTTCAACGGCGGACCCATGCAGTACGGCGGACCTCCCCAGGGCGGATATCCCATGAACGGCGGCGGTCCCAACATGTACCAGCAGCAGCCCATGCAGTACGGTCGCGGTGGCTACCCCCAGCCTGGCTACGGCTCCGGGCCCCCTCCCCAAGGTACGTGAGATACATTCGCGGGACAGCAAGATCGGCTGCTGACAATCCAAAGGCTATGCGCCCCCTCAGTACGGCTACGATCCCTCGCAGCAGCAGCAGATGCCTCAACCGGGCGGCCCCCAGGGCCCTCCCCAGTCCGGGCGCGGTTTCTAGGTCGCGTATAGCTCTGGTTCATTTCGTTTCTTCTGATTACATTGCACTGCAGCAAGGGTTTCTGATACTCAGCAACCAAGCCTACAGGTCAACGCGGACCTGGCTGGAGGCCTGGCCAACGCAGCGGCCCCTGCGTCGCATTCTGTCATCGCAAAGGGGATCACCGGTCGTTCTAGGGAAAATCTCGGTGCCAGAGGTTGAGGGACATGTTTGACGGCCGTTCAATTTGATGACGATGATGAAGTGATGATGACCACGGCCGGATAGTTCAGGACTGGACAATGGCAGATTGTCCCTTCAGAGACTTATGGATGGGAAAATATTGAGAGCGGATTCCGGGAAAGTGTATTATCTGGACAGCACCCAATATAACTGACCCCTGTCCCTTTCCAAGCCATCGGCCTCATCACGCTGTTTTTTCGAATTCTTCTGCTTCCCGCGTGCTGGTGTTGCGGTGGAACGCGGGCGACCTTGGATCCGCGTGTGAAGGACCATCCAGCGCTCTGACACGATCTGCCAGATCATGAATGTGGCTATCCGCCACGGCGTCGAGCTCACAGAGGGCCTTGTCCAGGTTGAGCAAATACTCCTTGTTCAGTCCACTGGGCCCTTCGCTCTTGTGAATATGCGCCGCCAGTTCCTGGGGGTCCTGCACTCCTACAAACTGCTCGTTGTCCGGCGTCCCAATGTACACCAGGGTCTTGATCTCGGCTGATCCGTCGGCCGGCTGGAAGGGCGCAAAGTGGATGGAATACCCATTGATCTCGCGAATGTCAAGGTCCTTCTTGACCTCTGCTACCTTTGCGGGCTTGATGTGATATGCGACGCCCCAGACGCTCTTGGGCGCATCGTGGTGGTGGTCCCCCAATGTGTCCCAGTGTGAACGCTCGATCAAGGTGACGACGCGCCCAGGCGCCTCTGGCGTGCCACGGTGGTCCTCACTGTACAGCGTTAACAGGAAACTCCGAGCCGGTGGAGAAGTCAGCCATAGCGAACCTGGCTTGCCAGAACCGTCGAACATAGCCGTCGACCCAGCCGGGGATTCTCTTGTCTGTCAAGGTCCCGTCAGTGCACTGGTTTGATCCGTCCCTGCATGCGGCGTGGTACCAAAGTGTGGCGGGGGCTTCCAGATGAGGCTCCTGCAATAGGGCCGAGTGTCAGCTGCTTGTATACGTTACGTCGATCATGGCTGAACAGCATGCGTACCCGTAGCCAAAGAGCCAAAAGTTCTCGTCGTGATCATCAACGGTTGAGCCCATCTTGGTGGTTGGGCGCGTAGCGAGTTGGTCTTGCAGTTGGCGCTTCGAACACCTCAAAAGTCACGGTCTCTACGCGCTGGGGATGAAAATCCCGGGCAGCCAAAAAGTGTCGCTCTCAGTTCTTATACCAGAGGTGCTCTGCAGAAGTAAAGACCTTGATGTGGGGAGAAATCCGATGCCGCAAACTTCAAGCTCCAGCGATGACCCATTGATCGCTGATTCCGCGTCGGTGCCTTCGCTTTCACAGTAACTGCCGGAACGTTTGGTCCCGCCAGTTGATCCCACGACCCCAATATTAGAAAATCCGCCAGCCCCCTATTGTGCCTGTTCGCGACATGTGCACTGAGCAACGATGGGATCTGAGAAGGCGAGACTGTAAGTGAGGGGGATCAGTTTGTATCGCGAATAGTGTCCACCGCGCGCATCTCATTGCTTCGCGACATTATTGCCCCGCATTAGAGCCCCTCCAACAGGGATCCTGGGCTGAGGCTTGGGCAGTACGCCTACGCAATCGGGCATGCCGCGGCATTCATCAGCTCGACTCCCCTCCAGGCTTTTCGACACTTCCACGTCGACATCACCGTCGACGGCACGTTTCCAAGCTCGGTCATCCTAAAAAGTATTCACAATGGCGTACAACAAACCCTACGACCCCGACGCCCTTCCCAGGTATTCTTAGAAGCTCCAGCGCTTACCCCCTGGGCCCCCTCCCCACGCGACAGGGCTAATCTACCTATCTGTGGACAGATTCGCCGAGCCAGATGTGCGTGCAGAAACTGTCGAGCGCAGATACCGAAGCGACTGACAATGCCTCCAGAGACCTGGCGCGACCCCGAGTGCAGCCAATGCAGCACCCGCGCCGCGGTACGAGAAGCCGGCGCCGCCGCTGCCCTCTCAAACCCGACAGAGCTCATCGCACTACGGGCTTTCCTCGCCGCCTGCGCAGGCGTCAGGGCACCGACCTCCTCCAAGTCACAATAGACCGCCGACGAGCTCGCGCCCGCCTGCATCGCCTAGTGCGGACGGTTCAGCATCGGATCCAACACTCCTGCCTCTCTTCAGGGCTGTCGATAAGGATGGTAAGGCTTACAGTGGACAAGGTGGGAAGCTCCCACGACTGACATTGGCAGGCACCGGCCACCTTTCGGAAAAGGAGCTCTCTGCTGCCCTCGTGAACGGCGACTGGACCTCTTTCGACCCCCAGACCGTGAGGATGATGATCCGCATGTTCGACACGGACCGCAGCGGCACCATTGGGTTTGACGAGTTCTGCGGCCTGTGGTCCTTCCTCGCCTCTTGGCGCACCTTGTTCGACCGCTTCGACGTCGACCGCAGCGGCAACATCTCGCTGAGCGAGTTCACGGACGCCTTGGTAGCCTTCCGCTACCGTCTCAGCCCACAGTTCGTCGAGCTGCTGTTCAGGACCTACGACAAGCGTCAGGAGGGGGTGATGAGCTTTGACCTGTTTGTGCAGGCGTGTATCTCGCTGAAGCGCATGACCGACGTGTTCAAGAAGTACGATGACGATAGGGACGGCTACATCACACTCAGCTTTGAAGACTTCCTCAGTGAGATCTTGAAGCAGATGAAGTGAGTTGGTGGCGCTTTCCAGCCCTGTGCAATTGAGGATACCTAGAGCGATTGGCGCCTTTCAAAATACCGTTTTGTTGAACTTGTGGTTTTTATGCTACATTCGAAATCGTAAGGCTGTGAGTCACTTCGTATTAACCCTGTCTGCTGATGAGCCAAGTGTCGTTTCATATGAGAGATGCAAAGACAATGGTGCTGTCGGCTTTTAATGGTGCCCCGGCCCTGTCTGATCAACCTTTCAGAGCCTCAATATGCTGAGAAGCGCCCCAATCGTGCTCCCCGAGTTTATCGAATGTATTCTTCAGTAAATATTCAGGTTCTTCCTCCCAGATGCCTTCGCTCGTGAGGGCACGGGTGGGTTTTTGAGCGGACGGTGTCATTTCCAGAGATACGCGCGAGGGTTCAAGTCCTTGCCGAACATCGTAGACGTGACAGATGCGTCGGTGCAGGCCGTATGCATGATGCCCTTTGTGATTCTCTCCCCGTCATGAGTGCTGATCCAAGCCTTGGCACATGTCGTCCTCGCCGTTTACGGCCGGAAGTCATTCCCTTGACATTCAATGATCGACTGAGCCACAACGGGCTACGAACGTCGTCGAAAGGATGGAGGGGGGCAGTCAGGAGTAATGCCGCCTCAGCAACAAGATGGGTCGTCACGAACGCCTCCAAGCCAGAGTAGTCTATGCCATGAGGCGCATAGATGACTGAGATAGTTCGATCTCGGCACTGCGACGTGAGGGACGCGGTCGACCGTTTCGACTGAAGCGATGGAGATGCCGGCGGCGTAGGAGACAACGGAATCACCTGGCGGATGGTGGGCGGACCGAGGTGTTGTTGATTCATGGGTACTGGAGACCTGGAGTTGGAGTCTGGCGTCGTCGGCGGGAAGGGACCAATTTGATTCAATATCCTCACTCGAGATGGAGGCGGACGGTACGTGATGCCAAATGCTTGATGTCGGTTGCGGACATCATGATGCCCACGAACGAGCGCTATGGTGACCTCGCCGGGGTCACCACGCGGGGTAGAGGACGGCACATCGATACGTATGGACTGGTTTTGGCCGCTCTTGTGGTGGTATTCCCACTGAGTCATCGCAATGACATTCTCTGGGTTGAAATGTCGCCAGCTCTTGATCCTTTCGGCTGCGGAAGGCTCAGCGAGGACAATCGTTTTGGTTCCATTCTCTGGAAATTGCAGTAGTGTTCTCTTGTTACAGTGATCAGGTCGATTCTGAATGATAATGATGACATCTGGAGGCGAAGTTGGTGAACAGAGGGAAAGAGTTCCGAATGACATTGCGTCGTGGTTGACAACCGTCGATGGAAGCCCTCAGTGGCACTGGATAGCCATGGATCGACTAGGATGTGAAACGGCTGATGGACGTTAGAAGGCACCGCATCATCCGGCAAGATTGGCTCGAACGATAGTAGAAAACAGGTATCACCGTTCAGCTGCTTGACTGTTAGTGCCATGCTGGATTGTGTCAAGACTTGGCAGCAGAGGAAGATATCCCTCGTCCATGAGGCGGCACTGACTTCTTAACAGCACTCATCAATATGAGACCCTCGACGTCAACTTTATATGCGATGAGATCCTGGGTATGAATGGCGTGAAAGATCAAGACCTAATGCCTTTGCGAACTCGGGGATCTTCACGCCGGACTGGGCCGGAACTCAAGTTGGGCTAGGTGATTGAGGGCGTTCCCCAGCAGCATGAAGAATTACATAAGGTACGTGTAGGACGAAAAGAAAGAAGGGCGGGTTTGAGACATCGCCGCTGCTCGACACAATGAGGCTGGCTGAGACTTCTGGGAGGAGTCAGGGCTTTGGGCTTTGTTTGAAAAAGGGGCGCGCCTCAACGAAGGCTTCCTGCGCTCGAGTGAACTATGGAACGGTGCCAGAAAAGAGGCTCTGGTAGTGAGAAGATTGAAAGGCATCTCTTGTCTCCTTAAGGGCTCTCTTTCTTTTTTATGATGTGTATGATTGCGTAGTGGCGAACGGTCACCATTGTCTCGCAGTCTTGAGACATCATAGATGTGGCTCACGACATCACGAACACTGGCCCCAGTGCCTCTCGCTGCTTGCTGAGCTACAAGTCGAGATTTGAATGACCAATGGACAATCACTCCCCAAGGCCAGAGCGTATATCGACCTCTGCGTCGGAGAGCAAAGATCTTTTGTTTCAATGTGGTGGACATATCTCTACATATATGTAAGGGCAGGCTCCGCATCTACCATAAATCGTGAGGATCATCGAGCAGACATCCGTTTTGACAGCTCTGACTTAGACAGTCGAATTCTAAGCGAGCAGGAAAGTCGTGAGCAGCGTGCATGGTGGAATCAGGCGGTGTCGTTGGCGCATGTTGCGCGTTCGTCTCAGCGCCTCGGAGGATGCTAAGGACAACCAGCCGTACGCAGTGCCAGCGTACAGCCTTTTCTCACGGGCGTGTTGCATTATTCGGAATTGTTAGCGGGCACATGGTGTGTAATACGCGAGTCAAAGCCTCCAAGGCGGCGCGTCCGTCAAGTTTGAGAGGCGTTGGGGTCACCGCCTTTCTAGATGCGTAGATAAAGCCGGACGAATTCTAAACTCATGCGACCCGCTCCTGGTCACTCGCTCGGCGTCCACAGCGGAAGGAGGGGTGGCTGGCCCTCGGCCTCTGCCCGATAGCTCAAGACTTTCAGTGTGAGTCAAGGGTCAATCATAAATGAGGACGGCAAGAGAATGACAATGTGACGTCCCACTGAGTTATAGATGCTAGGGACACAACGAGCAGCATACATGTTATTCTTGCTATAGCTGTCCTTTGTAAGATGACTGGTTATGTTGTGGCCTCTGAGCTTCTCATAGTCTCCGACTGAAGATGTGATGTCACCAGCTCACTGCACTGGTGAAGCTCGGCACAATATCGAGCTCCAGCCTCCAGCCTCCAGCCTCCAGCCTCCAGACCCTCCCAAAGCTTATGCAGGACATGGGCGCCACTTTATGTACAGAGGATCGCAGGAGCACATGGTCACAGACATGGAGTTGCATCATCGCAATCAAAGTCGGTAGTGCAGGGAGCAGCTAGCTAGAGTTTTGTTGGCTCGTCTCTTTTTTTTCGTCTCGTGAGGGCCTCGAAGAGCATGCACACTTTCACCTGGAGCAGTCGACGAGTCACAAGTCGTCGGAAAAGCTATAGTACATTCGTTTCAAGCCGGATTGGCCGACGGCACTTGAGACGAATTAACGCCGTCAAAGTTGTAAGATTTTGCTCAGCTCGATGTCGGCGCGTCGACGTCAGGCTGAACGCTTCGAGTTTTCGGGCCTGCCGATTTGAACATGTACAAGTACAAAACAATGACCGGATTGGGTGAGGTGAAGTACAGTACAAGACATACCCGTGCACCGCCAAGCCAAGACGAGGACTGGTCGGTCCACATGGAAGCCACTCTCCATCAGGGATCAAGCGTGTTAACACTGAGCAATAGTTGCCGGGCTAGTTGCTGTCGGTAATACTGACTGCAAATTTTTTTCTTTTTTTCTTTACCCTTCGCTTTTTCTTCTTGACCTGGATTGGGCCTGGGAGAGCCAAAGATTGGTGCGCCATTTGAGGTGCATTGGCTTTGGAGGGGCGGCCGTTAGAAGCGTGCAGCGTTGTGGAGCGAGGAAAGACCCTGAACTCTTACAAGGAATGCTGATGCAGCCTCATTCGGTAAGTAGGTATCCGTACTGTCCCTTCCTCGGGTACGTACCTTCGACAGCGGCTTGAGTGCACCTGACCTGTTCCGTGTCCGGCAGCTCTTGCCCCATCTGAGCCTCTTCCATCACCTTGCAGCAGCTCTCACGAGCTACCTTACGTAGATGCTTCGTGAGGAACGCCTACTACTGTACTATTCGGTGCTTTGTCGATCTATAAACGACCATCGACGAGGAAAGTGCCACATTGTAGCTGAATCTTTACCGAGCTTCAGTTCAAGTATGCAGTGTCAACGGCAGGAACTCGAGTCTTTTGACTGGTACCGCTACATTGGCAGCCCCAGAAGCCGCTACACTGGCAGCTGCCCAAAGTTCAAACGCCCCCCCGCCCCGCCTCCAAATGGGTCCGACGACCTGCAAGTCTTTTCTGCAGAGTCAGTCTGCAGTCAACAAGTCAGGCAAGCTAAAAATCAGAGAGAGCTCTGACAGAGGAAGCACACTTCCAGACTCTAGTCGCTCTTGTTCGCCACGCCGTCAAACTCGAGTCAGTCGTTGGCTCGGTGTATGGCGCCAGCAGCATTCCATCGCTTCGGTAGCTCTTGGGCACGTCTGCTTTCGAATTGGAACATTGCTGCGTTCGGCGTGGCCTGCCTGCTCCAAGTCCATGTCGACTGGTGTTCGAGTCGAGGCTATCCCAGCCCAGCTCCCGATCCAAGCTGTCCCCGTGACGCTTCCAAGCTCCATCCATGACCCGGCGCCAGGGGTCCGGCACCCCCCAATTCGCTATTTTGCCTCTTGAGCTCTCGCTGCTTGCTGCAGTATCGTTCGTGACAAATGGAGTTTGGCAGCGCGACAGAGCTCATTCCCGAGCTCGCCATTGGCCAGCCGAGCAGGTCTGGAGCTGATCAGAAGGTGTGTCTCCTCTCGCTCTCTATCTCTTGGTACGGTACAGTCTCCTCGCATCCATCCATCCATTTGTCCTTTGCTCCCGAGTCGTTTCCGTTGCTGCTACTGCGGCTTCTGGGGAAATCTTTTGTCATTCTCGTGCTTGATTCCTCATCATCATCCATTCTTTCTCCCATCATCTTTCACCCATACATACATCCCTCCAACCATTGTCATTCGCCACGATACTCCAATCCATTGAGGTTGCGCCCGGATCAGTGAAACTCGTGAGCACCGTTGACATTACCATCAATTTCTTAACGAAATCTATTCTCGATTCGCTCAAGAAAGTTGCTGCAGCTTCAGAGTTCCGAGAGCTTTGTCCAAAGGATCAGAGCCGGCAAAGCACTTGGAAATCTGCCATGCTCCAATAACTTTCTAGCCAGCTGGTTTATACATTTTCCAAAAGACCTCCCAGGACTCTTCATTTGCTACTATAACACATTTTGTCGATATATCCTTAGATTTTCTGCCGTGGTCGACCGTCCGCTGCTCTCACTTGATCTAGACATTACCACTTTGCTTCATTCATCCTTTACCCACGTTGCACAATTCCCACCAAGGGAACTCACAACATGCCTCCTCGCTCGTCGTTAACATCGTCTTTCGCCTTGAATGACACCAAGGAAGAGGTTCACTGCCCCCTCGACAACCAAGATGGCTCAAAGTGTCGTAAGAGATGTACTGGTGTAAGTTGGCTCCCTTGGGTCACTGTGCGAAAACAAAGTCGATTGACAATTTGCCAGGAAAAAAGATATCGCTCCATGCAAGAGCATATTCGTCGTGCTCATCAGGAGCACTACATTCCCAAGCTTCCTGCTACAGAGGAAAGCTTTTTACTGATGATCAATACACCACCATCAGAATCGCGCAACAACAATTCCAGCTCATCTAGCGGGCACGGCTTCTACGACAACTCGGCATATGCTTTCGACGAATTGAGCAACAATCCTGCGACACCACGCAATTGGGACGACATTGCTCGCCTCGAAGGTACCGCGAATGCTGCTGCTGCACTTGCAGGCCTGGGGGGCTCGTATGACAAGGACTCTGCCGACGGTGTAAGTCAAGACTATCGATAAGCACACGCATATCATCATCCATTAACACTTGCCAGGATCATTACTCGCACATTGACAGCAGTGCCAATCGGCCCAGAACCAGTGTCGAACATCCGACTAGGCTACCAGGCATCGAGCACATTGGTGACATTCGAAGTGATCCGTTTTCGAACCAAGCCCGAAGACCGATTTCAAGCATTCTCAACCACTCGCCGCCGAACCGAAGCTCGACCCTGCCTCCATCAAACGGGCCTCTCGGCCCTAACCGTGGACGAAAGTCGTCGGTCAGCAAGAAGTCACATCGCAAGAAACTGTCGCGAGAAATCGCCCATGACTGGTTGCACAGAGTGCAGAACGAGGACAGGCCTCTTGGATACGATGGCCGCCCTTACTCTGCAGAACCCGCGGCCCTTGATCCCTCGCGTATGCGTGGGCAATCGAGAATCCACGAATTGCTCGAGGCAGCGTCGATGAGTGGTGATTTAGATGATAGAACATCGGTACGTCACCGAGAACGCCAGCTATTCGCCGCATAGGGCTAACGAGATTCAGGTCCCAAGGTCACCAATTTCGAATGACAACCGCGGTTCGTTGCCTCCGCTGGCGGCCTACCCACAGCTCTCGTCCAACAACTACCAGGCATCGCCACTGCAACAGGCCCTGACGCCGCCCTCCAACACACATGATGTTATGCCCTTCCCCTCCGTCGAGGACAGCGACCCTTATATCGGTGGCTCAGCGCTGTCGGACTCTTCGCCGACCTTGGCGGCTCGCAAGCCATGCTTGTATTGCAGCGCCTGCCACAGCGCTGCCGACGTCAACAAATCCTACGCCTGCACAGAATGCATCAGTGGCTTCTGCGGTGCTTGTGTCGAGGTGCTCACAAAGGAGCACGGAGAGCGAAGGCAATGTCCCCGCTGCAACACCATCGGCGGGATGTTCAAGCCCATTCAACTCGAGATCAAGATGCGTTAGATGACCAGGCCGGAACATATGACCGACTCTCCGGCTCGCGCAAGGCACTCATCGTTCTATGGCGCTTGGGGGACCTTTTGATACTTCTTTCTGATTGCTCATGTTTGCATGTTGCTGTTTCTGGCGCTTTTTTTTCCTGACTTTTGTCTGGGTAGGGCTCTTGTTCTGTGCTATTACTCACATTGTTCTTCAGGTGTTTTTTCATGGGCGCGGCGTTTGATACTTTTGACATATTGGATATAGGGAAGCGAGCAGCGACTTGGCTCAGGCCATAGCACTACTACGCCCGGAAAGCGCTTCATTGGGCGTCGCTTACAAGCTCGCATGTTGCTGTTAATGAATACAGTAGGACGTTGGGATCACATTTACTTTGCATACTTATATTCCATCGCGTTTGACATGTCCACACTGAGCTGATCATTTCTTTCCTTCCTTCTCCTTCCGCAGGAGCATGTCCCTTACTGCCGATCTGGCGTTCCTACTACCACCAAGCTTCGGCCCCTTCAATACTTCTTCCGCACCTGCTGCAGCAGCTTGGCCCTGCTGTCCCGCTGCGGCGGGTTTCTTCTTCTTCGCTTGTTTTCTCGCCATGTCCTCCATGTACTGCTGCTGGAACTGAGCCGCGAGACGTTCATCTGCGTCGCCTTCTTCGCCCTCTGATGCCGCAGCTGTCACTGACGTCGGCATGCTGTACACGTCCACTATCTGCATTAGCCCCTCATCGTTCGGGTTCACACACGGAAACTCACGTCTGTTCTCGTGGAGCAGCTCCTCGACCAGCTTGTCTCGCGCTATATCATCGCTTCCTCGCCTCTTTCTTCTCCCTCCGCGCCATGGCTTACCGTCCGGCCCGAGCTTGATCTTCTTGGGTCGCTCGGCTGGTTGCATGCGAGACGGGATCTCGGGTATCGTGGGGATGTCGACTTCTTGGACTTCGGAGGAAATGTGCACCTGTCGCGCGGTGTTTGCTCGCGACGCCGTTTCAGCCGTGGCAGTAGGCTCGGGCGGCGAGGCAGGCTTGGGGCTTGTATTGCGATTTGCGAGGCGTGACTCTATGAAGTTATTCCTTTATGATTAGCCCAAACCCAGTTCCAAAATAACCGCCGGACACGGAGGAGGGGCAAACAAACAGGTGTCGATCATCGAGCGCCTGTGTCAGGCCTGTCTGGCGTGTGAAGCGGTCTGCGATGCCCGCCACGGGGACGACGTCTGGATCCTCTCCACGTAGCACCATGGCTTGCGATGACTCATCGATCTCAGGTTGGGTTGTCGCGCGAAAGTTAACGCCTCGTAGTCGCGCCCTCGCGCGCGCCTTTACGACTGTGTCGGCCTCGTCGAGTTGTCCACCCTCGAAGAAGTCGGCTGCAGAGGCGCGCTGTGTCGGTGGCGCGGGTCGTGTATCGCCGTTGTCGTCTTCGTCTGGCGCACGTTGTCGGTATTTGCGCTTCTTGCTTGGACGAAATCGAATCGTTGATGATAAATCTGGTTCCGACATGCTGTGTGCTGAGTTGTGGTTGAGGAAGGTGCTGGTGACGACAGTTGCGACACGCCTGGTAGTGTCGGGGTTCACGAATGATGCTAGCTGTGCTGGTTCTGGACCTCGCTGATGTGAGCATTCGCTCAGCTACAAGAATGTCGCTTTACTATTTGTTTATTGCAATTCTCGATCTACTCTATTTCTGATTTCAAACACATACTAGATCTTGAACAGTGCTCGTATTTCAATTGCTTGGTAGCTCGCTGACGTCTTCAAAAATGGGTCAGTATCTTCGATTGACGTTGATCTGATTGCCTCCCACCTTGCCTTACAACACCTCTCTTAGACAACACAACCACACCAGCACAGGAGCTCATATGATGCGACAGATGGCCAACAATCCAGAACGTGTATGGGGTCACTCAAAATCATACACTTACCAGACTGACGAGAAATAGGTAGGCTTCGTGGCCCATGGAGGCAAAGTCCAGGGTATGTGGTCCCTAGATCTCTCTCGACGTGCCTTGACTGACGTCACGCCAGGTGTTGGATTCCGGTATGTTTAGATGAATCCGTGGATGCTTCAAGATATAGAGCATGTTACATTGACAGGTGCTGAGATTTTGAACAGACAATTTACCAGAGAACGCGCTCAGGGATATGGTATCACAGGGTGGTGTAGAAACACCACCGATAACAAGGTATACATCCTTTGACGTTTGGCAGAGAGGCCAGGATTTGCTGACGAGACCAGGTGGTAGGTGAAGCGCAAGGCCAGAGAGATATACTCGACAAGTTGCTGAAAGATATCGACCAAGGTCCGCGCGGTGCCAAGGTCGTTGATGTGACGACGGAGAGAAAGGATGTCATTGAGGGAGAATCTGCCTTTGAAGTCCGCCGCTGAACGCCTCGACTCATGCTATGATATCCAAAAAAAAATCCCAAAGAAACAGACAAATGAATCCTCAAAACCCCCTCCCTCGTCGTTTGATGACGGGTTTCTTCACTGCGCCTTGAGTGACAAACTTCTTGCCATCGCTGCCAATCTTCTTCTTCACGGTGCGCTCTTCCTCAGCATACTTTCGGTCCTCGTCCCTGCGCTTGTCCTCTGCCATCTTGGCCTCAATCTCCATCTTCCTGTTGAACTCAGTCTCGGTGATGCGCTTGTCTCGTACTGAGTACCCCTTCTCTTTGATGGAGTAGAAGACACCTCCCAAGTCGGCCAGCCAGTGCGGGTCCACTGCCGTGACTGTGGAGACGAAGACCTTGGATGTGAGGATGAGTTCGTGGTACACAACATAGTCGGGTGGATGGCCCGCATAGAGGGCACTTGTGGGATGCAGCTGCACGGCCAGGTTGGTGCGGAGATTGATGTACTCGCCTGAACCCTTGTACTTGGCAGCCTGGTGGTAGTACCCCGAGCAGATGGCTTTGCGAATGAGGTCCCAGTCCATGCCGCAGCTGATGAGCTGCATTTTCTGCATCTTGACAATGTCGAGTAGTTGGTCGCGAATCTCCTTGGCTCGCCGCAGCGACTTGGGGTGCAGGAAGTGCTTGACACACCAGTTGTCGGAAAACCCATTGGCTTTCCATGCCGAATACACCTGCAAGTACGTAAGGTGGTCCGACTCGTGCACCCAGAACTTCTCGCGCTGCGCATCGGCCTCGTCCTGACGCTCCTTGGGGCGGTAGAAGACGCTCGGGACCGAGAGCATCGATACGATTGTGATCATCTCTTCACTGCAGCCGTATTGCTCGGCCGTGATCAGGAGCTTGGACAGAGAAGGATCCATTGGGAACGCACTCATTTTGCGTCCCAAGTCCGTCAGCTCACCAAGATTGTCCAACGCACCCAGCGCCCAGAGGTCGAACATGGACGTGAGGATGGTGTCCTGGGGCGGCGGGTCCATGAAATCAAAGTCCAACAAGTCCTTGACCCCAAGCGACTTGAGCATGAGAACAGTGTTGGAGAGGTTCGTACGCTGAATCTCGGGTATGGTTTGTATGTAGAGCTCCTCCTTGAACGCCTTCTCAGTGTAGAGACGGAAGGCCTTGCCGGGCCCTGTACGTCCTGCACGGCCGGAGCGTTGAGAAGAGTTGGCTTGCGAGATTGGGGTGATCTGGAGGGTATCCATGCCCATCTTGGGGTTATACACCTTGAGTTTGGAGTATCCCGCATCCACCACATATTTGATACCGTCGACTGTCAAACTGGTCTCGGCAATGTTGGTAGCGACAATGCATTTCCGCACACCGGGAGCTGCTCGGTCAAAGATCTTGGCCTGGAGATCAGCTGGCATTTGACTGTAGATGGGCAGGATCTCGAGCTTGGGCGGATCATTCAGCGCATCGAGTTTCTTCCGTACTTGTTCGCAAGTGACCTCAATGTCTTCTTGACCGGTCATAAAGACAAGAATATCGCCTTGGTCCATCGATACGTGAATAGCCAACACTTGCTGCACGGCTTGCTCAACGTAGTCCTCCACCGGCGACCGATGAAACATCACATCGACAGGGAATGTTCGCCCTGGGATCGTGAACTCAGGCGCGCCGCCGAAAAAGTCCGAAAACCTCTTCGCGTTCATTGTGGCTGAAGTAACAATGAGCTTGAGATCCCGTCTGCGTCGAAGAATCTTCTTCACCAGACCCATCAGAATATCGGTGTTTAGCGCGCGCTCGTGGGCTTCGTCCATGATGATGCAGGAGTATCTGTCCAGGTCCGGCTCATTGAGCGACTCTCTCAAGAGGACACCATCAGTCATGTACTTTACGACGGTTTCCTTGCTCGTGCAGTCCTCGAAGCGGATGGCATATCCAACAGTGCTTCCTAGTGGTACCTCCATCTCCTCGGCCACGCGTTTCGCTACACTCATGGCAGCCACACGACGTGGTTGTGTACAGCCAATCATACCCTTGTCGCCATACCCGTCCTCTTTGAGAAACTGTGTAAGCTGCGTTGTTTTGCCAGACCCCGTCTCGCCAATGACAATCGTAACCTGGTTTTCACGAATAACCCTCAGTAGATCCTCACGAACGGCGAAGGCTGGCAGAAACTCTCGCTGCTCTCGTAGCGACTTTGTTTGACTGAAGTTGCTGGAGCCCTCGCCCTTTTTCATGTGCGTGCTGAATTTATTTCCCTTGCGCTCGCCGCCGGCCTTGTCGGCATCATCTTCGCCAGCCACTGGAAGTGCGCTGTCGCCATCCTCTTCCTTCGCGCCCATGATGTTGCCCAATGTGGTGCCGGCCAAGCTCGTGGCTTGCTGGGCCTGTCGTTGCCGTTCTCGCTGCTGTCGCACCTCCTTAACCAACTTGCTCCCTTTGCGACTGAACACGGCCATGTCGCTCTGGTAGTCCCTGACCGCCGGCACAGGGTCGACTTGCTTTGTGAATATGTGACGGCCGTCCAAGAAAGGTGGCTTGAGGTCATGGACCAGCAGATGAATGCGCGTGCCCTCCTCTTCGTTGAAATCTGAAGCCATGTCCCTCCTCTGCGCCACACCAGACACCAGCATTCGATTCGTCTCCCAGGCATCGTTCTCTCTGTTCTTCTGCTCCTTCCACGCGTCGTACCGATTGTTCATCTTCTCCGACTTGGCCTTCTCCGTTTGCTGGCCCTCCCAGGCGGACGACTCGTAGGAGGCGAAGGGGTTGTGAGTGTCGTCGCCAAAAGAATGACCCCCAAATTCATCGCCGCCGTACCAGTCGCGGTCGAGGGCCTTTGAGTCTTCGTCGTCGGGTTCAGGGACGTCATTCTCTCGACGAGGCGTGGGCGCGTAGCGAGACTGCGTCCTAGGGGTTGAGCTTCGCGATCCATCTTGATAGCGCGAGTCGGGGCGCGTATGCTCAACACGCCTCCTTTTCGGGGGATTGTACCCATCGTAGTCGCGCTCGTCACCCATCCTACCGGCGATGAGGTCTTTGATCGCCTGTGTGAGATGTGCGGGTGGATGATGCGGCGAGGGAAGACGACTGACGCCAGACAACACGCCGCGAGGTTTTGCCGGCGCAGATCAACACCCGACAAATTCTTATCGATAAACCCCACCATAAAACTTTCGGAGGACTTGGGAATTTTCCAAGAGCGCAACAACACCACCACGCTGGCTGTGGACTGACTCTGCCAGAACTCAGCCAACATGACTTCGATGATCACGGCGGCCCAATGGGTCCCCAGGGGATTCGCCGCGCCCTTCCCTACGAAATACACCTTTGACGAGGAGGAGTTTGCGCGCATTGCCGAGTTGGCCAAGCTGAAGCTTGACGACGCAGAGGAGGACCTCGAGGAGGCCCAAGAGAAGGAAGCTGGTAAGAAGGGAGGAAACGACAAGGTCGATTCTTCGATGGAAGTTGAAGGTGCCAAGAACGGAAAGCAGGAGCAGGACAAGGTCAAGTGAGTGCAGCGCATGCCACTGCTCCTCGACGCCCGGACTAATGCTATGCAGCCTCGACGACGACGATCTGAAAGAATATAACCTTGACAACTATGACGATGAGGACGATGCACCTGGCCAAGGCGAGAGCATGGGAATCTTTGGCAACGTGAAGAACCTGGCGTACTACGAATCCAACGCCGAAGACCCCTACATCACCCTCAAGAACGAAGCAGGCGAGGACGACGAGGACGAGGATCGCGAAGACCTCCAGATTCTGGCAACCGATAACCTCATTCTCTCGGCCAAGGTGGAGGACGAGCTCGCACACCTCGAAGTGTACGTCTACGAGGACGCAGCCGACAACCTCTACGTGCACCACGACATCATGCTGCCCGCCATCCCACTCGCGGTCGAGTGGCTCGACATGCCGGTCAACAAGGCCGGTGTCGAGAAGGTCGCGCGGGGCAACTTTGTCGCCATTGGCACCATGGACCCCGACATTGAGGTCTGGGACCTGGACACCATCGACTGCATGTACCCGAATGCCATCCTTGGGCAGGGCGGCAACACAGGAGAGCAAAAGGACAAGAAAAAGAAGAAGAAGAAGTCCAAGAAGGCGAACGATGAGTTTCACGTCGATGCCGTGCTCTCCCTGGCCGCAAACCGTCAACATCGCAACCTGCTCGCCTCGGCTTCAGCAGACAAGACAGTCAAGCTATGGGACCTCAACACCACAAAGTGCGCCAAGTCGTACTCATACCACACCGACAAGGTGTGCTCCTTGGCATGGCACTCGGCAGAGCCCACGGTCCTGCTGAGTGGTAGCTACGACCGCACCGTCGTGGCCGCTGACATGCGTGCGCCCGACGCAAAGGCACCGCGATGGGGCGTCGAGAGCGACGTCGAGAACGTGCGATGGGATCCCCACGACCAAAACTTCTTCTTCGTCTCCACCGAGAACGGTGCGGTGCACTACCACGACATTCGGAATGCACCCTCCGACCCGACGGCCACAAAGTCCGTGTGGACCCTGCAAGCGCACGACGAGTCCGTGTCGTCGTTCGACATCAACCCAGTCATCCCTGGCTTCATGGCCACCGGGTCCTCAGACAAGTCGGTGAAGCTGTGGAATATTGATTCGACAGGGCCCAAACTCGTCGTGTCCCGTGATCTGGACGTGGGCAAGGTCTTTGCCACCACATTCGCGCCTGACGCTGAAGTTGGGTTCCGCCTGGCTGTCGCCGGCAGCCACGGGAGCATGCACGTCTGGGACACCAGCACCAATGGCTCTGTGCGCCAGACTTTCGCGCACAGGGTACCGGAGCAAGGGGGGAAGAAGGAGGACCGCCTGGTCGGTGTGGAAGAGAGCGACACGGACAGTGATAGCGATGAAGGGGCCGAGAACGACGAGCAGGAGGATGACGATGACGACTCAATGAGTGACGCTTGAAGCGTACGACCTACCATATAGAAGGGTTTCGATATTCCCCAATGCCGCACAATTTGCCATGAATCAAGATCACCTGCCAAAACCGTGTGAAATGACCAGCGATATGTGGTCACCGAGTAGCTCCTGTGGTGCCGATGGTGATGCCGCACGCAGGGGTAGCAATGGTATCTCTCCACACTGGAGGAACCCTTGCAGACAAGCTTAAGTCTTTCCCCACAGACATCGGGGCATGTCCGACGCGAGCGCCCGATGGCTTCTTCATCATGTTTTGAAGCACTTATACCAGACAGCGTGAATCCTCTCTCATCCGATCCGCTGCGTCCTGCTGTCATGGCTCCTCTGTCCTTGAACGCTGGTAAACAGACCGCGTGGCGTGGGCTCGACGAACAGTCACCTGGTATATCCACCTGCAGTGTTTCTATAGGCAGGATGCAATTGTGATCGGACCCAACTTCTGTCTCCGACGTTGACCTCCTCATGCTAAGCCCTGTCACTGCCGGCTGCACCGATATCCACTATGAAAGACAGACACGTACCACGATCCTCTCACTCATCCCAGACTCGTTCTTGGGCTAGAGATAAGCATGCTCCAGATGTCTGACGAGACAAGAAGGTCCCAAGGCGAGGAGCGTCATCATCAAAGGGACCTGGCTGCATAATCTTTGCCGATAGCGGAGGCTGCGGCGAGGTCGTTTGCGCGGGTCGTCCGTGGAAAGTACTTGTAGGCATGCTGTGCTCCTCATGAGGTCGTCTACATTCACCCCGATGGTATCATATCTATCAAAAATGACGCCCCACTCGCTTGTCCTGGCAGCGCTGGCTCTTGGAGCCTCAGCACAGAGACTCGTAGCTCGCAATGAGACCGTGAGCCCGCAGTTCGAAGCTGTCTCTGAGTACGTAGACTCGATCGAGGATGATCTCTGGCGGATCAACAAGAAAATCCACGACAATCCTGAACTGGGTTGGGAAGAAGAGCAGGCTCATGAGCTCTTGACTACGTTCATGGAGTCGCAAGATGGATGGAAAGTCGAGAAATCCGCGTACAATATCAGTACAGCCTTTGTCGCGGTATTCGAGGGCGATAGCGATGGTCCAGTCGTGTCGTTCAATGCCGAGTATGGTGGGTGTATCAGCTGGCTTGCATGCAAGCCAACTACCGTGGAAGCATCGTTAACCAACAAGAGCAGACGCCCTTCCTGACCTCGGCCACGCTTGCGGACACAACCTGATTGCAACCGCTTCCCTGGCCGGCGCGCTGGCCACAGCCAAGATTGTGAGAGACGAGAAGCTCCCTGGCAAGGTTATCTTGTTCGGGACCCCTGCTGAAGAGAGTCTCGGAGGCAAAATCAAGATGCTCGAGGCAGGCATCTTTGAAGACTACGGTATCGACGTCTCCATCATGGCGCATCCTTCAACATCCGACACTCCCTATGCCATCACTTCATCAACGGATCGCTTCGAGGTCGAGTACTACGGCAAGGAGGCCCATGCCAGTGCCGGGCCATACGAGGGCATCAATGCTCAGGACGCATTGGTACTTGCGTACAATGCCATTTCCATGCTTCGCCAGCAATCGCTGTCGACGGATCAAATCCACGGCGTCATCACTTCTGGAGGCTCGAGGATCAATGTCATCCCCAGCCTGGCACAAGCTAGCTTTCAAGTTCGCTCCGCCAACGAGGATCAGCTGGAGGCGTGGACTGACCGGCTCATGAACTGCTTCGAGGCCGGCGCACTGGCGACTGGCGCGAAACTCAACGTCACCATGAGGCCATATGGCTACGCAAGCATGGTGACCAACGATGTCATGGCCGAGTCGTACGCTGCCTGGTTTGAGGGCCTTGGTGGCACACTCCCCAACCCTGTGACGGACAAGCTTCGGTCACCCGCTGGCAGTACTGACCAAGGTGACATCTCGCATGCGTTCCCTGCCATCCATCCGTTCTTCGCGATTGTGACGGCGAACGGCACTGCGCCCAGCAGCGGGCCGCACACGCCTGCATTCGAGGTCGCTGCTGGGGGTCGTCCTGCGTTCTACCGCGCCGTCAGGGCCGCCAAAGGTCTAGCTGGCGTTGCGGTCGACATCTTGACCAAGGACGGGATGCTGGACGAAATCAAGGAGGAGTTCGAGGCCATTGAGTTGTCTAAGAGAATGGCGTTGGCTCTGCGTGGATAGGCGGTGCAATTGGTAGTTAGCTCTTGAGTCATATGACCTCACGCTCTGCGCGCCAGCGCCAGCCCTACAGCGTCGCAATGCCCGCATCGCATTTCGGTGTTTTGCTTTTGACGCTACGTGTAGAGTCTAGCCCCAGCGGGGGATGTGCACAAGCAATGCAGTGGGGACGACTGTTTCTCATGCAAGGCAATCCACAGCGAAGAGTCGAAGACAGTTAGTTGAACAATAGAATAAAGGTGCGACCGGAACGACGTGGCTGCGACGAAGAACAGTTTCTGGTGACGAGATCATCTGATTCCTGAGTCTCTTGTTTATGCACAGATACCATTTCGAACGAGGCACCATCCTTTCCATTGACGCAACAAGATTGCTTTGCGTCAAGTCGAGATCCCCGACTTATTCTTAGCTGCATCTGCACAACTTCAAACATCTCCAGGAGCCTGAAACAAACGTGCTCCCAATAGTCAGGGGGGCACTGGCACTGCGCGCCAATAGGATCGCTGCATTGTTTCGCCCGACAACCGCACCTTCACTTCACACTTATTCCATTCAATGCAACTGAGAGTCACGCCATGATCTTCGAATGCTGCTAGCTGAGGCATCGGCTGTAAGGCTCGGCTCAAATGGAGAGGCATATATGACAAATAGTCTAGAAGACTGCAAACTTTGCTCGGCGCGAACCAAGCTTGATGGACTGCTCAAACACAAGTGCCACGACGGCAGCTAAGGTAGTCTAGTGCAGGTCACGGCCACCATCGATGCACCAAGCCACCAACGGCGCCTGTTCTGCTGAGCGACTCAGGTCTCTGGCGCATAATGCAGCCGTCGTGACCATGGGCACTGCCGCGTGACGGCGTTATCTGGCGTTGATCTGGAAAAGCATCCGCAGAGTAGAGGTTATGAGTCGTACTGTCTAGACTAGTAGTTACACATGTGACAACCTCGCAAACCAAGATCGAATGGAGACGAAGTTGTTTTCTAGTAATTAGTTGGTGCCAATCGAGGTGGCGCCCTGTGTTGGTGCAGGCACACCTGGAAAGCCTGGGGACCAAAGGTGGAAACTCCACGCCGGCGGCAAACGCTAGCCCTGTGGTTTGGCCAATGGCAGAGGCGCCTACCGACAGGGGAACTCTTCACCACACTTGTCGCCCGCCAGGGGCCGTTGGGCCAAGGCTTTAGTGAAGGCTCCGGCTCAGGCACTCGCACTTTTGCTGCGATCAAATCCATCTTATCAGCCTGGCCTGCCGCTCCTTCTTCCTGTGCGATCCTTCACTTGCTGCTCTTGCTCTCCTCCGGAAGGTGCTGCTGGTTCATCAATTGCGCGCAAGTCCGCCCGTCCCTCTCGCCACTTCGATTCTTCCATTTCATTTTCTCACGACCGCGGATTCACGCTCTCCCTCCTTCGAACGCGTGGACCACGTCGCCCTTCTCTTCTCTCTGCTCCGAAACGCTTTTCACTCATCGCTGGATCGACACGCTCAGTCTCAGACGAGCTAGCAAGCAAGCAGAGCACATCAAACAGCTCAGGGCAGCAACACAAAGCCTCGTCAAACGCTGGCGGAACGCACTCATTCAAAACAATAAGCCGAGAGCGACGTTTGCTCGGTTCGACAAACACACCAAAACATCACGTCACGCCTTATTTGCACGTGAACGACCGGATTCCTTCCGTCGTCGACCCTGACCGGCACGCATCTGTGTCACAGGCGCACCACGGACTTACGTCTTCAGCTGGTTCCCAATCAAGTCAACTACCACTACCGCCATCCCTCGATTTCATTCTGTTGGAAGAGCTTGTCAGAGGTTCATTCTCTGGTTTCGACAACCCCTCGCATTTGGGCCGCCTCGGTAGCTACCTTCCGACTTCAGCTTTGGATGCAACGTAAAAGTGGGCTGCGTCGGAAACATCGTCACCACCACGCTACCATACACCACCTTTCGCTTCTGTAACGTTTCCTGTTGGGGAAACGAGCGGTTGGTCATACGCCGTCAACCAGACGTTGAATAACCGCCTCCGCCTCGTGTTAAAGCCAGTGCTGAACACTCACCCTGCACACACCTCAGCCAGCATCATGTCGCTCGCGAGAGCCTTCACAACCCGTCGGGCCAACAAGGGCAGCGCCGACTTGGGCGACAGCGTTAAACGCAGTTACACGCTTCACAAGACGCCCTCGCAAAGGGCGCTTCGCAACAACATTTCGGCGCCACTCGAGCTGGTTCATACCACTAACATGCTCGCCTACAATGCCCCCGACATCTATCCCCGCCAGCCTTCCAGGAGCAACTCGAATGCGACTAGTTCAACTATTGATGAGTCCGATGCTGCGACCTCAAACACAACCGCCTCAACGGCCCCTTCAAGTCCCGGTGGCGACAACGAGTACAGTCCAGGACCGAAGCCCAACCACTTGTCCTCGTATTTTGTCGCTCCTGGGACAGCTGTCGTTCATGGAATTCCTGCTGATGCGCCGGCCATCCCCAAAAGGTCCCCTTCGCATACCAAGAAAAACTCGATGGACGCCGTGGCCCGCAAGCAGTCTCTTTCGCGTTTGTCAGAGAACTCGAACCCCAGCCTGAGCTTTTCGCGCTCATCGTCCACATCAACTCGCGTATCAGCTACCTCACACTCCTCGGGGCCTCACCGGATGAGCCAGGCCCCTCCAATGCCTCCGCAGCAATTCTCCGCAAAAGTAAATGCAAGCCCCTTCGGCCAAGAACTGGCGCAAGTTACCGAGCTGGCGGAGGATTTCAGTGCCGGTCGCTTGGACGTCATCTATGAGGATGAGCAGTACATCAGGACGCGAGGCCTCGCTCAGATGAGCGCCGACGACTACTTGAACGATGTTCATGAGGTGATGGCCACCTTCTTCCCGGACAACCAACAGCGCGCACCAGTAACCTCGGTGTGGATATAAGAAATGTACCCGAAAAAGGCTCGTAAGGAGCAAAAGACCCTGGAGGTCTGGCGAGATATGTTCGTCTGTACATATTGACAGCCGTCATTTGGTTCTGGAGAGGTTAAAAAAATAAGGGGGAGATACTTTCACTCATGACGGCGAAACGCACGAATTTAGCAGACATGCTACGACTCTCATTAAAGCGGATAATTAATTGGAATACCACGATTTAGTGTTGCTTTCTTCAGGCGACCTTTGTACGGGTCGCCAGCTCGGCGGAGGCCTAGGGGCGTTTAGTGGAAACAACAGATACACATAGTAGAATACTGATTTACTGATCAACCTGCATGCTACATTCACCGTCGAGATGAGCTCTAATTATGTGATTTGATTTCGGAGTTTGTTCTCTGTCTGATCCTGCGGAAGTCTATAAATGTTCTATCCCGTGCTCAACGCCAATCCGACCATGCTCTACAAGATATCTCTAATTACTTGACCCAAAAAAGAGATGCTATGTATTCGTCCAGTAGTACACAAGTTCAGCGGCCGCCCAGCGGCTCGACAGACTTGATCAAATCTGTAATCGTGACAATTTTATACCCTTGCCTTTTCAACTCGGGCACGACCTGCCGCAGCATGGGCGCCGTCCACCGCCGTCGATCGTGGCAGATGATAATCGCTCCGGGGTGCACCATGCTTAATATGTGTCGCGCGTTGACGTCGGGATAGGGAATCTGAGGGTCGTGGGGATACACGCTCCCTAGGACGATTCTGAAGCCGCGGTTCCCCAGAAAGTCGCGCATGCGGTAGTTGAAAAACCCAGACCCGGGACGGAAATAGTTGTTTGGGAGGATTTGGTGCTCGGCTTCGTAGGCGGCGGTCAACTGGGCCTTGACGGCCAGGAGCTGGCTCTCGAGCTCCTCGTTGGAGAGATTCTTGGAGGGCTCGTCGCGCATGGCGTGGTTGCCCAGTTCGTGCCCCCGGCTGATGACCTTGCGCAAGATATGCTCGCGCCCCTCGACCTGGCCGCCTATGACGAAGAAGGTGGCGTGCGCATTGTTCGCCTTGAGGATGTCGAGGATCTCCTCCGTGTGGGCGCTCGGCGCATCGTCCAGCGACAGGGCGACAATCTTCTCATTGGTGTTGACTTCAAAGAGGACGTCCGGGTACTTGGTCTTGAGGTAGGAGATGACGTAGGTAGGCGGCCGGTAGACAATGTAGAGGAGGTAGAAGGGGACGATGAGGAGGAGGAACACCAGCAGGAGCAAGAGCAGGGTGGCCATGCGGTTGCGACGAACGCGGCGGCGTACTTTGGCGGGGAGACGGAAGAGCGAGAGCCGCGGCATCGTTTGTCGTCGTCGTGGTTCAGGGCGATGGCAATCGGAATCATGGGATCATTGTGGGCGGCTCTTTGTGGGTGTGCGACATGCCGCGAGGGACGAGATGATTGCTGGCTCTCGGGGGAAAGAGACAAATGCGCTCGCGCGAAACCCAATTGCCTACTCTTTGAAGAAGCGGTGGGCGTCAAGTCGAGATACAATGGCTGCCAACTTGCTTGAGAGTAGCTGAAAAGGAGTGTTTCGATCGCAAAGTCCCGTTGTAATCGGGAAACACGAAGAGGAAGGGGTTCGATTGCTCAAGATACAACACCTTGTTTCGAACTCTCGACTGCCGTCTTTTGGCCTTAAATGGTTAGGAGCATTTGGTCAGGGGTAAGACTCTGGCCCTTGTCCAAGCGATCAGATTGGCGGAACAGCCGCGATGCAGAAAAGGGTTCATCTAGGCTTAAGCATATCATGTTTGTTTCCTATCTTTTTCTCTCTCGCGACAGGGGATAAACGAAGTGGCAGAAAATATAATGGCTCACTCAGATGATTGTGGCTTGACCGTGACAGGCTTGACCTCCGTTTTCTCGAATTGTGCTGGCCTCTATGTCAAGTTGTTTCTTGCGATAGGAATGCGAGTGTTGGTGGGGTGTCTGAAGGAAGACAAAATAAATAGAGGAAACAATTGCGGGTCCGTAATGTGCATTTGAGTTCCACGGAATTTTGTCTTTCGATGGCGCTAAAATGTGACTACGGTTCCGTATACGTACCCATGGTACGACTTGTGGACTGAATAAAAACAGCTCTGTTTATACAGAAAAAGTGCAGAAACTTGATTGCGATTTTTGTCGCCCAACCTCAGACAGACGGACCCTTACATGTATGTAGTCCAACGACACCAAACCTTGGCACAACACCCCTACGTATGTATCGACAAGAACGAACCTTCTCACATGCTTGCCATCAATGCCACTTCTTATGCAGCCAAGGCTACACGTATACCATACGTATACTCATTGACACTCGCTGACCCTTGGTCGATCAAGTTTATTCTTGTATCTGTTTTATTCTAACCTTTGCTACAACTAATTGGCACCTCTCAAGTCTAGCCCCTTAATGCCTCCAGTCCTCGGGTTATGTCCGCCTTGAGGTCCTCGAACCCTTCAACACCAATGCTCACCCTCAACAACCTCTTGTCCACGTGAGGATCCGACATGGCTCGCCACTCCAGCAAACTTTCCACGCCACCCAGACTCGTGGCATGCTGGAACAGGTGCAGCTTGCTCGGCAGCGATCGCGCCATGTCCGCATCCTTCATCCAGAGGGCGAAGACGGGACCCCAGCCACCGGGCATCTGTTTTCGCAGCCAGCCATTCTCGTCAGACGCCTCGGGCTGCACGCTCGCGTGCTGAACCTTTTCGACTGTGGTGGAGACCAGACTGGCCGGGTCCTTGAGCTCGGACGCCAGCCACGCGACTAGCTTTGTGGCCGTCTCACTTTGGCGCTTGACGCGAAGCTCCAGTGTGCGTAGCGAGCGCAGACCCAGCCAACCCTCGAGGCTGCCCATGACAGAGCCGAGCATCAGGCGATCGTGTTTCAGGCCCTTGAGTAGCCTTTGCCCCTTCTCGTCGGGTGTGACGGTGACGACACCACATAGAAGGTCAGAGTGTCCGCCAAAGTACTTTGTCCCACTGTGCATCACTACATCCGCGCCTTGGGCAAAGGGGTCCTGCAGCGGGGGAGGGGCAAAGGTCGCGTCGACGGTTACGTATGCGCCGACCTTGCGAGCCCTCTCGGCGTAGTACGCCAAGTTCCTCGCGTCGCCCGTGGGGTTGAGGGGAGTCTCGACATGAATCACATCACCCGCCTCGAGCTCCGAGAGATCACAGTCCAGTGGCAGTTTCTTGAGGCCACTCAGACGCGAGAGGACGTCGATTACACCATGGCAGCCGTGGTACCCCTCGCCAATCGCAATGCGCTTGGGGTTGAGTTGCACCAGCATGGCATGGAAGGCAGCCAGGCCGGAGGCGTATGTCACGCTGGGTCCGCCTAGGATGGAGGATAGAACGGCCTCGAGACGGGTCGTGTTGGGTGCCGATTCTCGAGAGTAGACATGAGAATCGCGAGGCGCATTGTGCTGTCTTGTTCAGTCTCGCTTCAAGGCGCGGGTCTAGTCACCACGGCAGTGCAGACTTACGTCGAGATTCTCGAATTCGCCAATGCCAACGCCTGACAGCTCATTTGGGTTCTCGCTATAGCGAAATGTTGTGCTCACATGCATCGCAGGGGCGATAGCTCGATGACCAGCAATGTGAGCATCGGCATGGACGGCCCTGGAGGCCAGGGACAAGTCAGGGAGCATTTCGCTGTGGCTTTCTGATTTATCCATGGTAGCTGTGTACTTCAGAATCAACTTTTGCAGCGTGGACTGAGCCAGCGAGTCATACACACAAAAATCCTGCAGATCAAGTCATCAACGCGAAAAACGGGACGTGCAATACATGAGTGAACATGCTCGTACTTTTAAAGTTAGCCTCCTCACACTCCGTAACCGGCGCCATGAGGGGCGCTGCGGGGTCAGCATGGTCAATTCAGTTGCGTTCTACAAGCATACACGACAGAACGTGCTTTGATACATCCATCATTTTCTTTTCAAGTGAGTGTCTACCAGTTCGCTGGCTATACTGGGATGGGGACCTCGCCGCGGTAACTTGCAGCCTCTTCTCAAGATTTAAATAGTAGTGCTGTGTCGGGATTGTGTGGAATAGCAGGACCCTGCATGCACCTTTCGCGACAGCAGTAACTAGTAGCTCTCGCCGTACACAACCAAGCTCGCGCAGGGACAGGTCACAAGAAGGGAACTGTGACCTGTGAATTATCATTATTCATAAGCTGACGCATGATGCATACTCTTATGAGTAGTTCATCACTCATCTGAAGCCTTCTCTATCCCAGGCACCAAAAGTCGACTGCCGGTAACGACCGCTGTCTGCCCAATACCCAAGAACGCCAACTGCAAACATATTGCAGCCCAATATATGAAATGTATGTCCAATGAATCCAAGACGAACTGTGGTGTCCCCTGCGAGTCTCAGTCACGGGCGTCCTGTGTGACAGGAGCCTTGGGCTGTTCGATGCTCCCGAGCTCGGCACCCTGCCCACTCTGCCCTCGCTTCCGGCCGGTGTGTAAAAAGCGGGCGACCGGGCCTTGTGCTGTGGCGTCCTTCTCCTGCGTGTCGCCGAATTTCGAGAAGAATCCTCGTTTGCGCGCCTGCTGTGCCTGTGCCTGCTGCTTCTGGTCGTCTAAGCCGACCTCCTCGAAGGATTCTTCCACCATCGCAGTTTGCCTCTCTTTCTGGCGATCAATGGCCGACCGCGGCAAGCGTGGATATCGAGCAGAGTCGAGACTGGAGCGGTTGGGCACGTCGTGTGTGATGGGCGCCCTCGCAGTCACATCCTGTGCGGGTCAGATGGGGTCCAACCACCGGTACTTCCGGCGCAACTCACAAATGATCGCCTGTACGAATCAAAGGACTCGCGAGAGATGGAAAAGTGCTCGATATCGCCGAAGCTACTCCTAGTGTCGGTAGATTTTCTGGTGGACAGGTATTGCCGGGGCCATTGTCCCTTTTCTTCGGTGGGCGACGGCTGAAGGAATGTCAGCAAGGTTGTTCGATTTTCGGGATGAGGGAAAGGGGTCCCGTGGCAACTGACCGGAAGGTAGACGCCGCTGTCATTGACGACTGAAATTCACCATGTTAGCCAATGCTATGCCTATTGAATCCGCGTGGTAACGCTGGCGGTCACGTACCGCTCATCTTGTATTCCCCGTTGTCTTGGCTCTTCGAACTGCGGACGCTGAGCACCGAAGAAGCCTTTGAGCCATGAGTGTCGATTCGCTCAAACCCAGGGGCTTCAGGCCGTAGGGAGTCATCGTTTGCGGTAACTTGGCCGCGGCGTGTGAATGGATTGCGGATAGGCATGGTGTGTCGAATCGCGCGGGTGTCCGGTCGCTCTATGGCGGCAGGATGGCAACAATCGGTAGATAGTACGGAGCGATTCGGATTAAAATTTACAAGTCAGACGCAGAGCTGAAAACGGAGAAGCAAAAGCTGAAATGACTTGATACCACGAAGACGAATTGACTTTGATTGGAGAAGCGGGAGAAGTAGAAGGTTTTGACTCGGGGCTTCGGTGTGCTTTGGGTCGCGAACGACCTACAAATGCAACGATCGGCAACAGGACCGGATTGGGCTCGCGATGGTGGCAGGGTTCACTTTCCCCACTGCAAAGCCCCCCGTCATTGACTGCCAGCTGTAATAATCGTAAAATGGCCCTCGCTCTTTGCCTGCCCCCGCTGATTGAGGTAATAATTAGCCGCTGAGATTGCTGTTATCGATACCGTACAGACAGACACAGTTGGTGCTGACTGGAGCAGTCATGGGATGGATGGGTGGGGCGCAAAGATGGGAGTTGCGACTTGCGAAAATCTGATCTTGGTTGGCTCTTTCCCACTTTGACGACGCTTGCCGTCATCCATATTCCTTCCGGCGATGGGAACCTGCTTCCCGTTCGGTCTGCTTGTGCGAGTGATGATGCTGGCTGCTCGACTTTATCCGCTGCCTGACCTGTATGTACAATGTATTCGAATTTGGGACTGAACTGACAAGAAGCCATATCGTCATGCTGCTTTGACCTACGGTGCATCTCTAATGTGCAGCGCGGGAGACTGTTCGAAATCTTCCAGGCTGCGCCTTGTTGAGATCACCTTGTCGCGGCAAGGGGAAATGACTACGGATACTGTAGATCGATACTCTCACATGCTTGTTGCACGCAAAACAGATTCGACGCAAGACTGTGTCGTGGGCAAGGTACCATCCAATTGGCGCCGGTTCGATGAGACTGTGCAGCAAGACGTCATCGCTGCCTGCCCACATCGTGTGAAAAGCAGGCTTGGTGCACGGTACACTTGACGGCGGGCGCCGCATCAGCGCCCAATTCAAATCAGCCATGGACCTGCAGATGTTGCAGGCTGCTTAGCAAGTGACGACTATTAGCATGGGCTACACAGCCACGGTCAATTCAGATCAAGTCGATCAGTAACTGCAAGAGGGACAACGTGAGCGCTGTTCGAAACGTCTTCTCGCAGACACAAACTTCGGGGACCTTTGCACAACTTGCATCATTGGGGATACGTACCGATAAGCGTCTCGGGACCCCGCGATCCGGCGAGACCGGGGCACGGAACAGATCTTTTTTTTCGCCGCTAGTGATTGGGCTCCTGTAGCACGCTATTCGATGACCGATGGCAATGCACTTCACCAGGAACTGGACGGTCGTGAACACGCACCTTGCAGGAATGCTGTGAACGTGACCACAACAGACGGGAAGCGCACATGTTTCTCAGTGTGAGTAACTGAGCCGAAGATGACTGGGCTTACTTGCACAAGAATGAACAGTGGTTGTTGATCTATGACAGGGGCCACAGAGCTCGAGATCAATACTCGTCGACTGCTGTACTTGCGTTGATAGCGCAAGACACCTTCACTAGTTACTCCTTGAGAGTAAAAACATGTTCTGTACGGCTTACTGGGTCGTTTCCCGGATGATACCTTTTCGGCTGGGCCATATTTCGTGAAGCTGTGGCGATCCGTCCCCCCAACCCTTTGTCTGCACAATAATTCGATATTATGCCCCCGCTCGCTCATCTACTCGATGCAAAGTGACGGCGGTTTACGGAAAATTGTATCAGAAGTTGTGTCTCCCAAGGGTGGTTACTTAAAGGTCAGCCAGAAGCCACATCTAAACGACATGCTCTCCGATCATTGCACCAACTCGACTTTACAATTTTCCCAGGGAATTCATGCCAGTCCCGTCTGAGAATTTGTTGCAACTAACAGTCGACATGGTAATTGGTGGTGGGCGCCTTGCTGGTGTTACTCCTGCCACTCGAGAGATGACAACGCCCATGGACCCCATTGTCACTTTGCGCTCACTTGTTATACCTTGAGGAGGGCACTCTCGCACCAACGCCATCGTCTTTCGCTCTCCTTGGGAGGCTGAGAGATAATTAAAGGCCTCAGGAAACTAAAGTTGCTCTCGGCATTGCACTACCTTACTTGCGGTAGTGTAGTCCACTCTGGCCAGACACTCTTCATCTTCACATTCTGTCCAGGCGCAATGGTGACAGACTTCTTCACCGACTGGGATCTTTGGCAATAGATGGCATTTTTGAGAATTTCCTGAACGTGAAGCAGCAATTAATAACAAAATCTACATTATGGGATGCTGCATTGCTCTTGTTGTCTGCTTGGGATTGATCCGACTCTGGTGGAAGAATCGCCTCATACAAAGATCAGAAATACTCGACGCCGAGAAGCGAGCACGGCGATCTGATATATCCTTCCATGGTATAGAAACGCGGAAGAGCGACGCAATACCCTTCGGTGTCCGGGCTTTGCAAAGTGGTGTCGAGGTAGAAGGCATATGGATATCGAGACCTGACCCCAGCGACACAAGTCAGGTCGCTTCTTCTGCAACATTTATGGAATATCAACCGAATCATTCCACTGAGCCGAAAGCACACTCGGGAGATTTATCAGATCTGGCTGCCACCCACAGTATCAGAGAGCCCGTCCTTTTCGACCAGATCGTGGACTTTCGCCCTCCAACGACGGCCGCAAACGGACTCGATGGATTGACGTGTAAACCCTCCCCATTAGTAGCAGTGTTCGTTCCCGCGGTGTTACATGCGAACAAAACGGCCTGTCGGCCCAACAATCACTTCGAGATCCTTCCCGCGGGAGTGCTCGATAGCCGACGGAGATGCAGTCCTATGGACCTGACGATCAGTCGAGCAAGGACGAGGGTTCATACCATCGTCGATGCAAGCAAGAGCCAGAGCCAGAGCGACGCAGAAGACTGTGCAGGAAACATCCCGTTCCGCAGCTTCGGTAGAATATGACAACATAAGGGGCATCGGAGGGGCAGGCCGCACGCACCATCTATGATAAGGCGCAATGCGTGCCTCCGCTCGTAAACCGATGTGCGGGGAGGAATGGCGGGGTCAAGGTCCAGCTATCATCGCCGATATACACAGAGTGGACTATCTATAAGTAGTGATGTCCAGTAGGTATGTTGACAGTGTGAGTCCTTGCAACTCGTGCACCGCATTGTACGTCTGGCAGTGAATCATTTGGGCGTCAACATGGCCATCCATAATTCCGCTGCCGTCAGCTTCTCCAATGCTGGTTCTTGCGACGCTCATCGCCCGTCATACCCCTCTGAGGCTGTCATAAAGCCTCTACAACATCTCGGTCTGGAGGGTAAGAATGGGGCCCGCATCATCGACTTGGCCGCAGGCACAGGCAAGTTGACGGAGCTTTTGTCTCATCGTCCAGAGCGGTGCGATATCATTTCTGTGGAACCACACGACAAGATGAGGGATACCCTGAGAGCGAAGGCTCTGAAGGGCGTCAGCACGCAAAGCGGCACCGCTGACAATATGAGTGTCGAGGCCGGCTGGGCTGACACGGTTGTTGTGGCATAGATAAGATGGTCTTCCTCGTACAGGGGAGTGTACGCGTGGCTAATAACTTGCAGGCTTTCCACTGGTAAATATTGCCTTGCAGTTGATACACCACACATAGGGCTGACCGTCCCAGGTTCGCCAATCTAGATGCTCTTCGTGAGATTCGTCGCGTGCGCCGACCCGAGGGCAAATTAGCCGTGATATGGAGCATTGATGAGTGTAAGTGAACCGAGAAATCCACCTTCAGTCATCAGATTGATGTGCGTAGATAACAAAACTCGCGCGTGGAAGGCCACGACCAAGTGGGGGAACTCACTGCACAAGCTTGTCATGGACGCTGCTCGGGACGGACAACCACGCTTCTGGGACTATTTTTGGAAAGAAGTTTTCTCGAAGAAACCCCGAGCCTTCTCTTCTCTGTCTCCTTGGTGGAAGACAAGACCAGCTACAGCGTTTGGCTGACCAAGGAGGCCCTGTGGGAGCGACTCGCGACGTTGAGCCACGTGGCCATGCTAGATGGTGAGAAAAGGGTGAGTTTTGTGCAAAGATTCGACGAGATCCTTGGGGAGGTGAATGACGGGGAGTGGAACGACAAGGAAGATATTCTCATGCATGGGGTGACGGTTTTCGCGTGGACGACGAAGCTGTAGTTGGGCGGAGGCAGAAACGCAGGTCGATAGAAATCACCGAGACTCGTGCCCTGATGCAACAGGGGTATGAATAGAATTCGTGATTTCTCTATGAATCTGCTGAGATGTACATCACTGCACAATGTCAGCAAGTGTCTGTGAGCAAAATCGCGTAGATGGTATTCACCGTTGTTGCCTCGGACGAATGCGTCACCATATTCGCGACGTTTCACGCCATTCACATGCTCTTCCGTCTTCTCCAGCGCGATGTTCATGTATCCGTCGACAGACTGCAGCTCGCCTGTAGAGGGTCAGTTGGTGTTTGCGGTGTTCGCGGTGTTTGCTCGCTGAGCGAGAGGCGTTGGATGAGGTGAGGTGAGGGGGGGGACTAACCCTTGTAAACGACACCAGAGTTGAGCTTGACTGTGACGTTGTTGCCGATAATGTCGCTCAAGAAGCCGGACGGGTCCTTCCCGTCGGCCTGAGGTGGGTTCCCGTTCTCCATGGTGATGCTCGGGTGAATGGCAATGAGCTATATGAACGCTGAGTGAGGCCACTTCGTCGTGCCAGGCCGATGAGAATTCCGGTGGAGCTTCACGGACAGTAGTCACTGTGCTGAGATACAGTGTCGCACCGTAACTCCTTGGTTGCAACCGCACTGTAGCCCTGGCGGGGTCTGTTAGCGGATGAACGCGATCTCACCAACACACACGCCAGAGCCCAGACCCCTGGCGCGCGCTGGTCGAGGTCAATGTGCGCCGATGCGCCCGGCCAGGGCCTCGCTTTCACTTTTTCCTGACACTTCCATTTCAACAACACGCGCACTCCATGTGTAGGTAGTCCTTGCTTTTCGAGCGCAATCGAAGAAGAGCGACACCAAATTTACAACCAACGCAATGTCAGATGCGCGACCCTCGAGGAGCCTGCCGTTCAAGGCCACGGCTTTGATGCGCAAGGCTCCAGCTCCAGCCCCAACGCCTTCCGATGCTGGGCCCAGCAGCAACGACGAATACCTGAGCATCTTCAGTCGAAGAAAGGAGATGGAAACTGTCATTGAACGAGACCGGAGGAAGCGCTTGCAGAAGAAAGAACGGCGCGAACTGAAGCAGGTGGAGGAGCGTCGGCGGTCTTCAGAGAAACGGTCTGCCAGTGCTGCTCTGGACATTAGTGAGCCTGGCGAAGAAGTGCTCGAAGCAGAGTACGTGCACATTATTCGCGGTCGAGGTGAAAATACTCATGGATTAGGAAACCCTCCACACCATCGAAGCGGACAAGGACTGGCCCTCCATCAACACCACAAACGAAAACGCCCAGTAGGCGACAACACACTGCTACGCCGGTAAAGCCCGAAGTGCTACGCTCTGGATCACACGGATCAACGCCACGGAGACCGGCAGAGGCAGTAGCACAAGAAGCAAAGGGGCGCGACGCTGAAGTAATCCCCTTGGATTCGGATGACGGCGACGAGCCATTCAACACGCCAGTCAAGACGCGCAAAGCCGATCTTGAGGTCACCAAGGATCCCATTGCCATACTAGACGATTCGGATCACGAGCCGGCACGTCAAGAGGATTCGGCAGAAGAGTTGGATGAGTTTTGCGCCAGCTTTGTCCACAAAGCAAAGGAGGAGGCCAAGGCACGAGCGCAAGGTGTCCAGCAATCGCCTATAATCGCCGTCTGCATTTCCAGCCCTGTACCCGGCACCAAGTCTATACGAGTGAGGATGCGTCTCGATGATCCGCTCAGCAAAGTCCGCAGGGCTTGGGCGACGCGGCAGTACGATAACGACGTTGCTGTCGGCGATGAGCGCGATCTGGTCCTTGTGTGGCGAGGCCATATGGCCTACGCATCCTCCTCGTTCCGAGCGCTGGGTGTGCGGCCGTCACCCTGGGGCCATGGCCTTACGACGGATCATAGTGACCGCGCGGCACTGACAGAGGATGGGGCAGGCGTCCTTCTGGAGATCTTCACGTCTGATCTGTGGGAGAAGTTTGAGGCGGATAGGAAGAGAGAGCACCTCCGCGATACCGCGGGAAATGACTCGCTGAACCAGTCTGGGCTCGGGGCAGATCATGACGTTGAGCTAGAACCAGAGGTCAAGCTCAAGGTCATCTTGAAAGCCAAGAATCTCGATTCTGTCAAGTTGACGGTACGTCCCGAGACGACCGTGGAGACGTTGATCAATGGCTTCAAGCACGAACGAGGTGTCAGTGGACAGGTGACCCTCTGGTTCGATGGCGAGTGCCTCAACGAGTCGATGACTGTGGAAGATGCCGAGATTGAAGACATGGATTCCATCGAGGTCCATATCCCATGAAACCAGCTGTATGTACGCGATTTCCTGTTGGCTGCATGTCTCTATGGCAGTGGACGAAGAAGCGTGGGCGTTCCTGGCAGTTGTCACGCCAGTCTCACTTGCCATGGTTTTTTAGGCTATCACCTGAGCGCGACGGTTTCAATCATGACTGACGATTCAGGAACCACATCTACACGTTCTTATCGAATCGTTCAGAGACTGTCTACTGCCAAACTCTAGTGACGGTGACCAGCTCCGCAGCCCGTCTCCTTGGGCTCCGGTGGGTACACGATAATCTTGTCCAAGTCGGCGCCCTTTACGTCGAACCCATTGTCCAAGCCGCCCACGGAGATGGTGTTAGTACCATTCTTCAGAGGGACCTTGATGGCCGTCGACAGGATAATGCCCTTGTGGGTATCCTTCTGGTAGAGGGTGTGGACGTTCTCCTCGTCGTCGTTAACGACGACGCTGCTAATGCGGCGAATCCGCCATGTGCCGTTGATGCGGTCGGGCTGACCAAATGGCTGATCGCCGAATCCCATGTCGTCAATGTCTGCAGGCTGTCAGCAACGGACGCGCTCGTGGAGGCGTGCTACGTACTCTGGTGGTAAAATGAGACCCACTGGTCTTCGCCGGCGCCTTCGACCTCGAAGATGGCCCTGCTATCGTTGCCATAGATGCCAGTCGCAATTCTGTTGAAGCTCGCAAAGTTCTGTCACGACATCAGTCACCAATTCACTTCATGCTCGCCTTGCAGCAATGGTGGCTTACCGCCTCCTGCAGCCAGGCATCGCCCGTCAGGTTGGCGTCAATGGCATAGTACTCGGTTCCCTCAATGGGCCACCACTCGCCGGTCTTCACGTTGAGGTCGAAAATATCGTGCCATAGCACCTCGAGTGTGCCTTCCTGGTCGTTGATGTCCATCGGCAGCCACACGTTGCGCGACTCGTCGAGGGAGTTGAGGTCCCACTGGTCGGCCATGTACAGGAACGTGGTCTGCTTTGTGCCGTTGATGCGCCACGAGAAGCCGGACTGCGTGCTGAAGGTACGTGTATAGGCGGGGGCCACCATGAACGGCTGCGACCAGGGGCCTGCGAGGTCATCGGCGCGGAACGCCACCACGTTATTGGGTCGGTAGCCAGTCTTGTGGCTCATGAGCGCGTAGTAGCTATGGTCAGTCTGGATGATGGTGGGCGCCTCGAAATCGAACTTGTCCCAGCGGAAGACAACCTCCTCGAGGTCGGTGAGCTCGTCGTTGAAGGAGGTCAGGTACACGTCACGGCCTTCGACACGATCGCCATTGGAGTACAGGGCGTACGAGCGGCCATCCTTGAAGTCAGTAAAGAGGCCGAAGTCTTGCGACCAGTTGCCGAGAGGCTTCACAGCCTTGTCGTAGGTGTAGGGCCCCTCGATATTGTCGGCGGTGGCGTGTCCCTGCAGGAGCAGAGAGTACTTGTCGTCGTCGGCGTGCCACCACATGTGGTACTTCTTGTCCTCGTCGCTGTACTGCACCTTGGGGCGCTGGATGACGTTATGGGGCGAGATCATCTCGTGGCCCTCGATTGGTTCTGTAAAAGAGTGAGCTTTGGGTCCTTCGACGAGAAGGTACGTGAATGATGTACTGACCAAGTGCTAGACCATGCGACTCCCACGTTGCCAGATCATCGGAGCTGTAGACTGAGATACCGCCGCCTTCGGGCTGCTCTTCGGTCTTGTATTCTCCGAACCAAAAGTACTTGCCCGAGTCGCGGTCGATGGCCAGGCCACCGGCGTGCGCATTGAAGATGTTGCCCTCTGTGTCGTACCATCTGGCTCCCGGGACGATCCACTTGCAAGAGGCGGTTGCCGCCAGCGAAAGCGCTGCCAACAGGCGAAGAGACATTTTGGTGGCTTTGACGACTCCGATGCGGGCACGTACTGGCGTTCTGGACTCGCGACATGGAGAGAGACTCGGTCGGAGAGTTATATACCTCTGGCGATCGGGTTTCCGTGGCTGCACAGCACCGATTGGCACCAAGCTTGGCCATCGTCACTCTGTCAATTACGCGGACGAAGCTACAGCGCCCTCCCGCACGGGTAATCAGGAACCATAGCAGCCGAGCCAGTGGAAGTGGCTGATACCCCAGCTTTCCCCGTATTTTCCCCATTGAATAAAGCTCCGCAGAGCTGGAGCAACCCCGCATTCAGCCCTGGTCCAATGCCGAATTCGCAAACTATTAACCCGAGGCGGACATCTGCCGGTGTAAGTACTCGCCTTGATCTGTGGCCGATGACCTTGGACTGGCAAAGCTCGTTCTGGAGACCTGCCAACATCCGGAGTCAAACCCCGACATACGTGTGTCGATCAGTTCGTCGCGCGCTAATAGACCGATCTCTACATTCTCCAGAGACACATTTCTCCGCCAATCACTCCTGCCTCGAGGTTATACTTGATGCGTTCTTCCCTTTTGACCGAGCATACGGTTGTTGAGTCCTCAACTGCCTATGAACAAAGCGACTGCCTGATGCGCACAAATTGCGCAAAGAGGCCTTGCTGTTCCTGGCCGCCAACATCCTGGTGTGTTGGAATGATCTGAGTTTAGGCTCCCAGACCACTGTCTTTTGGGGCTGCGAGATGTTTCAGATAATATGCGATGTCTCACCGCAACCGTGTTGCACGACGAGTCGATATGCCATGAAGCAATGATCTGGGCAGCGATACGAGCATGATGAAAACTTGGCAGATGGAAGACCTGGAGAGCGAAGTTCCATCGGCTGCCCGATCACGCATGGCAAGTTGCAGGTCGCAGACGACGAATTGCCAAGACTTTGCAAGGATCCAATGTCAGCCAAGCATCCGTGATCTACGATGAACAACAAGCTCTCGTCCATAGCAAAACAGCCCACTGGTCTGATCAGGTGGCATAGACAGGCGCAGTTGCCAATCTTTGCACGGAGTAGTTATGTTGAATTTCCTAGGCTGATCTCGAGTGTTATCCTGAGTGAGTGCTGAATGGCATGACAATGCACGAGGCTGTGCAGTTGCATCGAGACGTTTTAATGTGCTTTTTCGAGATTTATGCGTTTTCGAGATCTGGATTCAACGATCGGCTCAGGCAACGAATATAAGGCATGCCCGTTGTTGAAGCCGCTTTTGGTGGTTACCAAGCAGTGGAAGTGGCAGAAAGAAACACGACCGTTATATCGAATGCTGCGTCAGACATTCAAGTTCAAACTCGCATAACCAGGAACAAGAGACGAGCGCTCAGTATCCTTACGTGTAGAGGGTTTTCAGTCACGTGAGAGCCCTAGCAGGCATGAGGCTCAGACCTGACTTCCTGCATCAGGCAGCATGCTCCCTCAGGTGCCTCCTTCCCTGCGCAATGAACTTCAATTTAATTAATTACAATGCAACCCCCCTCACATCACAACAGGGTGTTCATTAATTACCTGTGGTCTTTCATGCCCTTATGATCTCACCAATGCAGGCCCCAGCACTTCAGCAAGCACAGCACAGCCACCGACGATCGCGCACGACGATCTGCGAGCTGCAAGCGCTAATACGGGGCAACATGGCCCAAACCTTTGCACACTTTGGGTGGTGAAGGCTCGCGATGATGCCACGAGACGAGACAAGTTCCACGACCGCATGGCGGAGCAGCTGCCATCTTATGTCAGGCGGCCGGAGGTGGTAGGAGGGGCATCTGAAAAGTCAAGGCGTCTCCGAAGCGTTTCAGGGCGCGCGTGGCCAATGGTGGTGCCTGACGCGGCGCTCTCTAGCTTCAGGGGTTCGAGACCCTCTTCAGCGGGGCTCAGCCGCCTGAGGAGAAGCCAGGCCGCTGAGAGCCAGTGGTCCATGCCGCACCATCTGCATGGCTCATCCTTGCCGGACGCCGCACCGCCAATCAGCGTGCACCAGCTTGACGTCGTCTAAGTCGACACCACCGGGTTTCCCTCTTCCAGACCTCGTCGACCAGTCTGCATGTTTCGCATATCTCGACGTTGTTGTGTGGTCTTTGCTTTCTTCATGCCTGAGTCGCTCTTCTCGCGCATCTTCCCTGTTTCTCTCATTTCATCCTCCGTCTCCGTCATTGCTTCATCGTCAATCTACGTAGTTCTGGTGACACGTTCTTGTGCGCACCTCTTCCTCTTGTTTTCCTTTGTCCTTCTTTCTCTCTATCTGAGCCGCTGCGCTGGCGAAGGCTTTCAAACCTTCTCTTTCTCTTCGTCTCGAAGGTTGCGAACAGCTTTTGGTTGTTCGTTCCTCCTCGTTCGCTTCTGCAGCCTTGTCGGGTACAGGCACAATTCTGTTCGCTATTACAATCACATCGCTTGGTCGACTTGAAAATACGCTTTTAATACGCGACCAAAGACTACCATTCCGGAATTTTATATACGGACATATATCAACAAACATTTACAGCCATTCATCTTTCCAATACGAGGAGTTCGACAGTGGAGGCTATTTGGACACGACATACAGAACGCCATGGTGCAACTACATCAACGCCCACGCTGGAGTCTATGGAAGGCAGTGGCAGCAATTTCATTTTTCGCTACGGGAGTTCTTGGTGATGACATACTCAGCACCAGCGGATTTACCAACTGCGTCAGCAATTCGTCCATTGAGGTCGACCGGGTCAATATCCACTACAACAACGAGAACAAGACGGTCATCTTCGACGTGGCCGGCAACAACCCGAAGGAGCAGAATGTATCGGCGGCCCTCGAGGTCAAGGCTTACGGGCAAACCATTTACGAAAAGTCGTTCAACCCCTGCGACAGGGGCACCTTTGTCCAGAGACTCTGCCCTGTGCCCGAGGGACCCTTTTCCGCCTGGGGCGAGCAGGTCATCCCCACCGAGTTCGCGGACATGGTCCCAGACATCGCCTTCCAGATTCCCGACATTGCAGCTCAGGCGACATTGAAACTCACGAGCGAGGACACGGACGAGGATGTGGCCTGCATCCAGTCCCAAGTCACCAACGGGAAGACCGCCGATGTTCCTGCGGTTCCCTATGTGGCAGCAGGTATCGCCGGTATCGCGCTCGCCATGTCTGGCGTGTCGGCGGTCACAGGAGCCATGGCATCGGCCGCTGCTCCGCCAGGAAGCAGTGCAGGAGGGACGGGGACCACGAGCCCGGGCTTCACCGAGATGATTGGGTGGTTCCAGGGCATCGCCATGAATGGCATGATGTCGGTCAACTACCCGCCTGTCTACCGAAGCTTCACCAAGAACTTTGCCTTTTCAACAGGCCTCATTGCCTATGAGCCATTCCTGCGACAAATTGACTCTTTCCGAGCAGTAACTGGTGGAAACTTGACAGCTGACAGTGTCGAGTTTCTAAGCAATGCGACTCTGATCTTCACGGACGGCACACCCCACACGGCGGACCAGACGAGCAACAAGGTGAAGCGGGCTTTCGACACATTCACATATCTCACTCGTCGCCAATTCAACTTTGACCTCCCTGAGGGAGAAGAACCTGCACAGGATGGCTCGGATTTGCAAAAGACCGTGTCTGGATTGCAGGCCTGGGCCAACCAGCTCCGTGTGCCCGAATCGGATGTGTTCATGACCATCCTCCTCATTGCTGCCATTGTCATCACCGCCATCATCGTCTTCATCCTCCTGTTCAAGCTCATCCTCGAGCTCTGGGCCCTCTGGGGCACATTCCCCCAGAACCTCGCCGGCTTCCGCAAGCACTACTGGGGCTCCATCGCAAGGACAATCACCTCGCTAATCTTTGTCCTCTACGGCATCTGGGTGCTGTACTGCGTCTTCCAATTCACGCGTGGCGACTCGTGGGCCGCCACCACCCTCGCTGCCGTGACCCTGGCCATCTTTACAGCCGTCTTGCTGTTCTTCTCCTGGAAGATCTGGACTACTGCTCGTGCCCTCAAGAAGACGGACGGCAACGCCTTTGCGCTCTACGAGAGCAAGACAATCTGGGTCAAGTACTCCCTCTTCTACGACGCGTACAGGAAGCAGTACTGGTGGCTCTTCCTTCCTCTGATCATCTACATGGCCGTCAAGGGATGCGTTCTCGCCGCGGCTGATGGGTCTGGACGCGCGCAGACCATTGCCGTCCTCACCGTGGAGACGGTCATGCTCGCGCTTCTCCTCTGGAGCCGCCCCTTTGAGCGCAAGTCCGGCAATGTGGTCAATATCATGATTCAGGTCGTCCGTGTTCTGTCCGTCGCCTGCATCCTCGTCTTCGTCGAGGAGTTTGGCTTCAGGCAGACTACCCAGACTGTTACTGGTGTGGTCCTTATCGCGGTACAATCGACTCTGACCGTTATCCTCGTCGTTCTCATCGCGTGGCACGCCTTCGAGGCCTGTTGCCAGGAGAACCCCCACCGCAAGCGGAGAAAGGAGATGGGTAAGTAACATTCTACTACAAACCCCCCAACCTTTGAGCTGGATTGACCTTGCTAACGTTGATGCAGAGAAACTCCAGAACACTATGGACGACCTCACGCCCCTCGATGCTCGAAACTCACTCCTCATGGGCGGTTCGAATCACGGCAAGTCGGTCTCTCTGAGCAGCATCAGAAAACCAAACTCTCTGGACCACCCGGCCGTTCGTGCTGAGACGCCAAGTGACACCTCGAGTGGGAACACGTACGCACCGCCTATTGCACCCTCCGGCGGGCCTTTGTACAGACCCATGACCCCGACGAGGGCGAACGATCTTGCGGCGTCACAAATCTATGGTCACAGGCCGCAGCCTACTCTGCCAGACGTGGAACTTGGCGCGGCTCAAGCTTATGGAGCGCCATATAGATACGAAGGGCAGTATGAAGGAGGGAACAATGCCTACGGGCGATATTAGCTTGTTGGAAGGATAAGAGCATACATTGGGCTGGCATGTTGGTTGTTGTCGTAGTACAGGCGTATATATATGTATGCATAAACTTGGGAAGACAATAGGGAACGCAAGGTGTTCTAAAAGGACGGTGTAGATGTGATTGCAATGGTTTGTCGATTATCAACGCCGCTACGACTCATCCTGGTATCATGCTCACAAGGTCGCCCCTTGGATAATGCAAGTAAATGTAGCTCATGAAGACAGAGCAAGGCAAGCATCGACTGCCAGTCCAACCCTATCATTTCTTAGTTAGGAACATGACTTGTCTTGATATCCCTCGCATGAACATACCTTCCCTCTTTCTGGTGCACGACATCACTGATGATATCCTTGTCCAAGTCCGGGAACATGCCTGACAAGGTTTCAACGACGTTGGCGTGCTCCGCCCGGCTCAGCCGCTGTGCCTCAGCTGTCTCTGCGCTGGCCTGTCGTGCAGCAGCTTCTTCAGCCGAGAGAGTGTGCCGTGATGATGTTTGCTCGGTAGAGTCGCCGCGAGGAGGTGGTGGCAGACCGTGAGAAAGTTGAGGTGTCTCGGATGAGGACTGCCCACCGCCATCGTCTGTGAACATGCGGCCTATCGACGTCAATGGCCGTTGAATCGTCTTCAGGAGTCCGCCTATCGGTAGCGTGTCGTCGGCAGATCCCCCAGTATTGAGCGACGTGGAGCGAGGTGGGTAGTTTGGGCGAGCATCCTCCTGGGACACGAGGCTACCTGGAGGCACGTAGCGGCCTTTCTCGTCGAAGATGGGCTCCTGCGGGACGGAGGGGGAGTTTGCTTGGTGCTTTTCGGCAAAGGCTGAGACCGCGGCTTCCACGCTTTTCTCGAACTCTTCGTCAGTTATAGTCAGGCTTGTCCGATCCATGCTTTCCACAAATTGGACGGCCCCCATCTGCCACCATTAGTTTAATGCATATTGATAAATATCTGAGCCTTCTCACCAGGGAGGACAAGTAGTAGCCGGCTTCACCGCCCAGCTTGTCTTGGTTGCGGAACCGCAAGATATACTGTACGTTGGAGACAAGGTGATCGGGGTTTGCTTGCAGCACAACATAGATGAGCATGGGCATGAACGAGTCTGCCGATCCGTCGGACTTGTTGTGCTTGAGTAGGCCTGTTGCCCATTAGTGCACCGCCAGGGTGTCAGATGCCAAACAACCTACCGAAAATGACCTTGCAACAGTTCAGGACACAGATGATCTTGTCGCGGGGCGCCCTGTACGACTTGATCTTGAGAAGTTCTGCGGTGGTTAGCACTGACTTGGATGCATCAGATGCCTAGGTTCACCTTGCTGTGCTAGCTTGAGAAAGCGATTACCACTGTCACCAATTTGTGGAATGTCTAGATGCTCTTCCTTCACCCAGCCATAGATCTTGATCTTCTGGGCTAGTATATCATCCCTCTCGACATCTTCTTGATGCTGCCCTCGCCTGCCCGGGCCTAGGGGGGCATCGCCCCCTTTCCTCTTAGGCTTGGCTCCAGGGACAGGTCTCGGTGCAGGGATCGCGGGTGAGAATGTTTGAGCATACAGCCGGTTCATGACCAACTTCTCCATGCCTTCTCGAGCATTGTCAAACTCAGCGTCCGACACGTTAGCCCAGACCTCGCACTGGGCCATTTTGTTCGCGATAAAGGCCAAGAAATCACCAATGATCTTGACCTGCTCGTGTACCATCCACTGCTTCTTCCCAAACTCTTGGAGGAACGACTTGAGGTACCTCGCGACAGGGTCGGCCTTCTTGTTCCGCAGCTGCTCGAGGAACCTGTGAAAGTCAAAGGGCTGCGCTGGCTCGGGCTCGGGCGCGGGTGGCGGCGGTCGGTGAACGGATGCGTGAGGTGACGATGGCGAGGCCTCCTCCTTGCTCCAAGCTGGCGTACTGAATGACCCATCCTTTGGTGGCACCGGTGGTGGTGGCTCCTCTGAGGCCGCATCATTGGCGCCATCGGTGGGCTGAGCTTCTGCGAGCCGCATGTCTTTCATCTGTCCGGACAGAGTCGCGGATAGAGGCTCCAGGCTTGATTTTCTCGGTGGATGCTGCGGTCTTTGCGAGTGCTGTGCTGGGGGGCTGCCCAGGATAGGCGATGTGAGCTCGAGCCTGGGGCTCATGACCTCTGCCGCACCAGGCCCGCCACCTACCTCGCTGAACTGTTCCATGATGCTTTGAATCTCTGAGCGGGAACCGCCTTCCTGCTCATCATCGCTCAAGTATTGCTTCTCGTCGTACCCCGCGTCAGAGCCCGCGAGGGACCGATCTTCTGACACTCGAGGTCTGGCAGTCGTCGAGGGCGTGCGTGAAGGTGGTTGGGAAGTGGTTGGCGTCGCTGGAGTGGGATCGACATAGCCCAGAGCTTCGGGAGCGAGGTATTGCGAGCTGTTACTCTCGACCTGCTTGCCCTTGTTGACTGGAGTTGTAGGGCGTGGCTCGGCTTCGTTGGTTGGCTTCGACGAATCTGCTGGTTCGCTCGTAGTGGTCGGAGCGTCATTTCCGTCTCCGAGCGTTGCCACGCGCTTGCCATCGCTGTCTCCATCCCGAGCCTGTGAGTTGGGAGGAACACCTTCGTGCTCCTCGGGTTTGGTGGATTCTACATCTGGGTCGAGTACCGGCTGGTCCTGGCTGCCGATATGTACAGATTCTGGTACGGGATGCTCCGATGGAGACATACAATGGTGGTCGTGAGGGGGCGGCTCTCGTGTAGATGGATTCGCGAGGTTGTGATAGTTCGCGTTTGTGTGAAGCTTTTGGGCGCCGCCGTGTTGCTGTCACGGTCACGATAGTGGGGCGGTCGAGCAGGCAGAGAGGACCAGAGCTGGCCACGATAGTTTGCGATTTCACTACCCTGCGGCTTCTGGTTTTTGGTGGATTACTGATGCTGAGGATAACGTAGTACTCAGCGATGGGATTGTATGATGTCGGCACTAAAACAACCTCAAAGTCGGAGACTAAGTTAGTAAGTAGGTCAAATCTGTCAAGTGACGACTGGACCTGACGTACTTGCAAAGCGACGCCCTTGCTGAGCCCCAGCTCTAGGCAGCGCCTACCTCTTTGATTCCGGTACTTCATGTTGGGTGGGGGCACTCAGCCTAGGAGTAAGTACCGAGCATTAGCTGGCTGCTGTTGGTGCCAGCACGCGCAAAGTCGGCTGAGGACGGCGGGTTCTATTGTCGCATGCATTTTCAGTTAATTCAGAATGCTTAATTGTGCCTTATGATCGATTCCATCATCTTCATGAGCTTCTCTTGTGCCGCATGCAGGGTAGTCTAATTACCGCTCTAAGCAACGTAGCAGTATAATTCGGGTATCGAAATATGATAATTGTAGCAATTAAGTAGGCGTTACGTAGCATTAAGTAAGGTATCTGCCGATCAACCGTTCACAATTGTACCGCCGTTGCAGTGGATTGTCTGGCCACTGATACACGAGCTGTCGGCACTGGCCAAGAACACCACACAAGTGGCAATCTCAGAAGGCTGAGCAGGCCTGCCCATGGGGCTCGTAAAGTTCTTTTGCGCTTCATCATCCATGGTCGAGGGGATGAGAGGCGTCCAGACTGGTAAATGTTAGCACATGCACCAAGTATGAGAGCAGATCTGGGGACTTACCAGGACCGGGGGCAACGGCGTTGACACGAATGCCCTTGGAGACATACTGGTTACTCAAGCCGCGGGTGAAGGAGACAATCGCACCCTTGGTGGAGGTGTAGTCGAGCAAGTCGGGACGGCCTACATAGGCGTTGATTGAGGCGTTGTTGATGATGACGGCGCCTCGCTTCATGTGTGCGAGAGCGTACTTTGAGATGTAGAAGAAGGAGTGAATGTTGATGTTGAAGGTGTGCTCCCACTGCTCCTCCGGCAGATCGGTAATGTCCTTGACTACCATTTGATCTGATATCGGTCAGCATGCAAGAAATCAGGTGGGGAAAGTATGTACTGACAAGCAGCGTTGTTGAAGAGAATGTCGATGCCACCCATCTTCTCCATCGCAAAGTCAACAATCTCCTTGCAGTTGCTTTTGCTTGTCAAATCCCTCGAGATCAAGTGGCACTTGGCCCCGAGCTCCTCAATGCGCTTCTTGGTGTTGCGTGCATCATCTTCCTCCTCAGGTAGATAGACAATAGTCGAGTCAGCACCCTCCCGCGCAAAGAGGATCGCGGAGGCCGCGCCGATACCACTGTCACCTCCAGTGATCAGAGCCCGCTTGCCTTTGAGCTTGTCGGCAGCCTTGTAGGTTGCGTCCTGTCCTCCAGCCTCGGGCACCTCCTCAAAGGTAGGCTTGGGGTTGGGCATATCCACATCCTTTCCAGGGAAGCTCTGCTTCGTGACAGGAATGTCCTTCTCTACATCGTGCGTTAGTGATCAGCTCTGCCGGACGCCAGGGGATTGTGGGCTCTCGTCATACCAGTCTTGAATTGGGATGCCATTGTGAGATTAGATGAACTGTGGAGTGCTTTTGATGTGTTGCAGAGCCAAATGGAATGTGGAAGAGTGTAAACAGAGCTTGAGCTGCCTCTTATATGTGAGTAAAGTGCTTCCCCTCTTGAGTCTTGACAGAACATTGACGTCCGTCGAAAGTGTCACCGCGGACCTTTCAATCCGGCGCGCATCGATGATCGATCGATGACGCTACGCCTATTGCGGACTCCATTATAATTACGATGGCGGACGCAAAGGCATGTTCTCAAAAGTCGATGGTAACAAAAAAGGGTTTTCCAACGAAGGCGGCTCTGACGTAGCAGTATCGTGGTGGGGACATCCGCTATATCACGATGACCACGGCCGCCACGGATATCGTGGTGGGGTCACGACTAGCGAGTTACCTCTGACATTGCCGCTTGAACTATTTGGTTCACTCGGTCATTCGCGTACAGGGCCGAGTGATTGATAAATCTTACAACGCACAAGGGTGGTGATAAGAGTTATCTCCCAAGGTTGCTGGCTTGGAGTTATCATGCGCAAATGAGAACGTCACGGGTTTGATGGCAGCGGGTACCCCACGCAGCCAGCATGCGGATAGGGGTCCGTGATACCTACTAAACCTAATAAACCTACTAATCGACACGAGTAGACAACGCGTACTTCCTCTGACACTGTACACGTATGGTATGGTATATCCGCAAGAACCAATGCAGCAAGCGATGATCTATTTCTGTTGGACGTTGATGAAAAATGTCAGGGCAACTTTCCAATGCCTGGCCTAGCCAGATATAATTGTCTATCCAGAAGCCGGATCCTGCCCAAGTATAGCTGGAGTCCACGAATTTTCATTGATCTTCGTGCCCTCGATTTGCACATATTCGCGGAGGGCCGTACCAACTCATGAGCTAGTCGTAGGTGTTTGTCAATGGCATGAAAGCTGACGCCTGGGCACCCACCACGTAGTTAGGCATTAACTAGGCGCTTGCTCTTATGCTTGTCCCACATGCTTCAAATCGTACAACGCACGCTATCACCGACCGAAGCCGCCGCCTCCGCATCGAAGCAACAAAGCTCCTTCTCCCCACCAAGTCCATGCCTCCTCCTCTTCTTCAGACAAAGCGAATGTGCCACTTGGATGTAATAGCGAAATCAGGACCCAAACGCCGGTAGTATTTGCAAAACATGTCCCTCCATTCGTCGAGGGGCTCGTGTTGTCTACTGCAGAGCAATCGCGCCCTTTCGGCTCTCGCGAACGTGAAGGAAACCCTGAAAACCGCAAAAGACGAGGAAAACCTGGAGGATGTCAGCAAAAGACCGAGTTTTAAGTCCGTTCACCTAGTAGACTCACAGCATAGACGATGACGGCTGTGAAGATGGTCCCAGCCACAGCCTTGCCGTCCTCAGGATCCCCAAGGCTGCCGGTGAACTCCTCATGGCCAGATTTGTACAAGCCGGCGATCGCGCTCAGAATCACAATACCGAATACAGAGACAACGACGCTATTGACGTGTTAGTACCCCCAAGACTCGTCCAGCTGTCGTGCGGGAATGCGCACCATGACCATGCGTTCGTAGCACTGACGACGGGCTTCATGATGGGCGGTAGTTGGCGCGGGGGCCGGTTCGTGGGAAGTTGTGTGCGTGAGGAAAGCTCGGTGTCAGCGGTCCGTATGGCTGATTCAATAGTCGAATGCGCGACGCGTCTCGTGGGTGAGTTGATGGTGGTCAATTTTAATGTCGTAGACGGAGCTCACCACGCTACGCTACGCTACGCCATCAGCCTCATGATCCAAGACTGGCCCATGCGCCACATTCATCAGCTTCATCAGCCACAGCCTATGCCCCAGCCACACGACGGTCCGGCGGTTGCAACTTCTACATGTAATACCGAGTCGCCGGTCGGTGAGTGAGTTTTCTCCGCCTTCAGTTTTCCTCTTGAACAATATGGACTGCGCGCAATCTGTTTCTTCGTTGCTTGTATCGAGAACTCATTATCCCATTGATAAGTTTTCTAGATGACATGCGAGCGTTTTCTTTTTATTTTTATTTTTCTTTAAAATCAATTTTCTTTAAGAATCAATCTGGACACGGAGCTTGAGGCGCCGCATGACGCGCACCACCAAGTACATGTAGGCTCAAATGACAAACAGAAAGGAATACCTTCATAGATGAAGCACTTCTCATCCGGGTGAACCAGAGTTACGACTTCGACCCAGTTGGCTTGTCCGCAGTTACTACAGGCTCCTCAAATCTCTCCATCTCCCGTCATACAAACATTGATATTCGTGCCGCAGCGGCCTCTGGCCAGATTTATATTTAGAGATGGATCGGGCTGAAGATCGAAACATTGAGTGATGCTTTGTCGCCTTGCCGCCCTTGAAACCATGTTTCCTGCTTAAGCAAACGATCAGCCAATGAAATGAGCGACAAAGCAACTCACCGGCGCATTCCCCTGTCGGTCAATGTGCTTACGCGTGCAGGGGTCATCTTCCGGCCGGTCCACGATCTGGGGGCGGTTGGGAGCACACGCTACGTATTGGAAGAAAGGCTGATGAAGCTCACGGCTAGCTACAATGTCCCATATCCATGCAGCCTGCCTTTGGTCACGGAAGCCAGTGCGTGTGTGTTTCATTTCGTACATTGTCGCATTCCACAGCATCGCGGGCAACAACTGGTGAGTCTTTTCCAAAGTTCCAATACCTCCATCCTGTTCAGGAAATCAGGGGGAGAAGGGCGCAGCAGCGCTAAGATCGGCAGTCCCAAGAATGGTGCATGATTGACGCCCATTTATTACCTACACACAGCCTACAGGAAACCCAAAACAGCCAAGCCAGCAGCTTGTTCGTTGTTGCCCGTGGCAGCAGACTGACTGCGCTGCTAACCCCCTGCACAAGCCACTGGCGGGCAATGGCGGCTCGAGTGTTTGTAGCAAGATCCCTGGACAGGAGGAAGCTTTGTTAAATGACTTAATCGGGCAGGCTGGTGTCGGCATGGGGTATGCGTGTTGCTGATCGCATGGATCGTGTCACTGGACTGGTTCCTACGTAGTCCAACGTTAGGGTGGTACGTTTGTGTATGAAAAGGGCTGCCTGTCTCTCTCCTCTCACCCCTTCTCCTGCTCTCTTGCTCTTGCATCGCTTCACTTCACTTGACGGTGAGCTCGACCTCGTTTCCGACCCTTTCCTATTCGCCCTTTGTCTGTCTCACTTTCGCGTCTGACGCTCACTCGCTCTGGTCAGCGAACCGTATTTCACCTACTTTGCCCGTCCATTGTGCCACCAGCTACGCTCATCACCACCTGCTTCAGTCAACCATGCACGGAAAGACTGCTCTTGCTATCGTCGGCGCGGCGGCCATTGGGCGCGTGTCTGCTGGCGACGCTCCCGAAACCAGCGGCAACCCTCCCAATGTCATTTACCGGGCCACCATTGAGAAGCCTGGCTTCGCGGATGCCGACTTGCCTGGCGAGCTGATGGGCTCCATCTTTGCCCAGGCTCCTCCCGGCGGCCGAGGTGTGGTGTTCCGCGCCGAGTTCGAGAATCTGCCCCTAGAAGGCGGTCCATTCAGTATGTCCAACCAGGCCCTTTGGACCGTGTGCATATTGCTGACGTGACAAGCCTACCACCTCCACAAGGCGGCTGTCCCCGAGGACGGCAACTGCACTGCCGCTCTCAGTCACCTCGATCCGTACGGAGCGGGCGCCGAGGTCAAGTGCGACGCGTCCAAGCCCGAGACGTGCGAGGTCGGTGACCTGTCTGGCAAGCACGGCGCCATCAAGTCGGCCCCCTTCAGCTCCGAGTACCACGACCTCTATGCCTCTACGAAGGAGGGTGACGAGGCCTACTTTGGCGACCTCTCCTTTGTGCTTCACTACGCCAACAGCACCCGTCTAGCCTGCGCCAACTTCAAGAGGGAGGCGTCCAGCACGCCTTATCCTACGGGCGGCCACCCCAACTCCACGGTCATCCCTACATACAGCCAAACCCGCAGCCCAACAGCCGCGCCAACTGGCGAGCCTACAGAGGAGCCAACTGAGGAGCCGACAGGCGAGCCCACGACTCCCGGCTCGGCTGCTGCACAGATGAGCAAGTGGTCGGTGCCCGCGATGGTTTTCGGTGCTGCGGCTGTGGCCTTTGGCCTGTAAACGGACCAGCGAGAGATTGGGATACTTCGATTCTGAGAGCAGCAAAGTTTGCTGCGTACAGTTCTGTAGGGTTAATAAGACGCAAGTCGACATACGATGCATTCAATATACCACCGGCGAGGGCCTTGTTAAACTGCGCTGCTTGATGGAGTGACATTGCTGCTGCCTTGAGAAACAAGTTGCATTGAGTGTAGTGAAGGTAAGATTCTCAGATGTGAGGAGAGGTTGAGGTGCTGCACAGCGTTGTGGGTGTGGGGCGCTTTCCCTACCAAGTCGACTTTCCTACTACTACCAGGTGGTCAGTCCAGTAGTCACTTGCTGCGCTGAACGACTGTTTGGCCAAACATACCGATGAATTGGCATCGGATTTATCAACTATTTTAGCAGATCTATAGCTCAGACTCACCTAGGGCTCTGGACTGTGCTTGATATCCCATCTGACCATCTATTCACAAGTTGAAGTTGGTAGTTGAGTTGCTCACAGTGCAGCACTAGGTACTTTCCGAACGATGAAGGCCGATGTGAGTGCACTAAAAGGTTCATACGGATAGCGACCTTCCATCACGGCGCGCATCTCGAAACCCACCAAGCGATCCATCCGCCTGCATTCAGTTTCAATGGGGATCTACGGATACTGTAGTATCGTCTCCACAAATATTTTTGATTGATGGAAGGTGCAGGCCCATTCATCATCGCACGCGCATTGCCTGCCCCTCGTGCGGCAATCGAGGTTGCAGACAGCGCTGCGGTCAGGTGCTCTCTGTCTGTCGAATTCTTCTTTTTCCACTGGTAGGTACCTCCTCAGGCTCACAATGGCCAAGAAGGGAGGCAAGCCAATGGGTGTTGCAGGCAATGCTTCGACAGAGTCTGCGCCGTCGATACCACCCTCGCCCAGATCTGGCAAAAGCAGTTCCTCTTCCAGCAGTCACCATGCGGCAGACCAGCTGGGCGAGCCGCCACCGCTCATTATCTGTCGCAACAAGTGAGTAACGAATGCCCTGCTTTGTGGTCTGGCTCCGGTCGCCCTCCCGTACGCGCGACAGCTGCAGCTGCTCGAGCAGGCACCAATTGACATGCTCCTTTTACCAGGCACTGGCGATACATCTCAGCCTTCCACGGACCATGGCTCCAGATGCCCATTGAGATCCTCGAGACGATTGCCAACATCAACTACAATACCCCGCGACCCCGACCCATCGACCCGGCCGTCTTCTTCGACCTTCTCAAGGTGCGTCGACTATGCGATGAAGCCACGAATCTCGCGGTGAGGGCTGCTAGTGACATCGCCTCGCCGGTCTTGACCAACGTGCACGGTGGCTACGACGCACGCCAAATGGGCGGCTTCGGAACAAATGGGCCAGGACATGGAGGCAAACTCAGCAGAGAGCGCAAGTTCCGCATGAGGGAGCAAGCAAGCCAGAAGCTTGCGCGCGCCTATCGTCTGGACGAGATCGCCTGCAGTGTCGCGACGATGCAGGGCTCGTCGCCGCTGGATGACATTGGGAGTCACGTCTTGCAGCGCAATGCCAGGGATCCCGACGCGCGCTATGTGCACTTTTTCCACGAGAAGATTCCGTCCCGCCAGCTTGCTGGGTCCACGAGTCTGCAGCCGTTGACGGAGATTATGGCCGACCGACCAACCGAGCCCGAGGCCTGGAGGACGCGCGCAGCCGTACGTGTGTTCAAGGAGGACTACGACGGTGCTGTGCACGATCTGACACAGGCCCTGGCCGTGTGCCGGTTCCATCAGCCTCCACGTTCGGCCGACGACCACGGTGCTTCCAAGGTTCTTCCAGATGTTCAGCGGTCTCGCGGCAGGCGACCGCAAGACATCATTCTAGCGGAGAAGGACCAGCCAGGTAGCTTGGAGGGACAGCTGCTGTTCCAACGCGCCTCCATCTGGCTCACAATGGCAACGCGGCACGTCGAAGATGGTCTGCCTCCGAAGAAGAAGAGCAAGCCCACCACCAATGGCCAATCCGAGAAGGAGAACGGAAACCCAGGACCAGAAAAGGGACCCGACGGCAAACGCCAGACGGAGTCTCGCAAAACAGTCAAGATTCTAGCCAGGCGCGCGTTGAAGGACTACGTGGCCTTCATCTCACAGTTTGAGTACTCGCCTGATCTGCCCGTCGCGCACGTCAAAGACTTCAACGACCGTATCAACATGGCAGTGAAGGGCGTGCGGAATCCTCGTCATTCAGAGGCTACCGCTGATGTCGCCCCGCACACTGTATACTCGCTTGGCGACCTGTTTGCTGCGACTCCTCCGCCCGGTCTTGCGCCCTACCCATCGCAGGATCTCGTTCAGGGTGGCAGCCAACCTCCTCCGGACGACAAGTCTTGCGAAGCGACTACCTTTCACCCTCTCCTATCGGACGCGCTGCACTCATTGCTCCTGGCGCACGTGCTCGCGCAGACATCACCCAAGGAGATCCAGCGGCATGCCTACATGGTCGCGCGCCTGGCGAGGTTGGAAGACGGGTATCCTGCACTGCAGACCAGCAGGTGCCCATCGCGTTCGGACTGGACGCAGGTTCTCGCCCACGGCAACAACTGGATAGGCCTCAGTGCGAACTGGGAGACCTTGTGCCTTCCCGCGCCTGTCCCCGGCTACGAGGCCTCCCCGGACCACCACAAGAGCAGCAGTGACCACTACGCGGCGGCCGATGCCGCTGCTGCCCTCCTCCACGGCCAGTCCTCCGAGGCCATCTCAGAAGACAGGCGGAAGCAGAGCGTCCGTAGACAAGTCATGCTCGATACCCTAGGCGAATTTGAGCAAGCCATTGACGAGGAGACGTTTCGGAAAGCTGCCGGCTTCCGGGAAGAGGAGGTGCTTGACAAGGAGGAGGACCCTGACAGGAAGCCGGATCATGGCAACATTACCCCACCGCTTTCACCCGAGACGGCTATGAAGCGCTGGGCGAGCGACGACTTCCGTGCCCACTCCAGCCTGTCGGTAAGGGCGGCTGCCATCACACGCTGGGTCCTTGAAGCGCCGGTTGTCACAGGCACGGCGAAGAGGAAGAAGAAGCCAAGGAAGGAAGGGCCCCCGATCAACGATGTGATCACCGGGATGGACACGCTCGACGTTGGCATTCCTGCCGTGCAGGCTTCCTCGTGAATACGTAAGCTAGCAATCATCGCTAGGCGAGTATATAAGATGACCTAAGCTATCCAAACACCTTGCCCCTAAAGAAAATGTGCCCCGTTGAAAGTGGTATCTAACGTACAAAGCGCCCAGACCAAATGGTGTATATGTGTTCCCAGCCAGAACTCCGACGCAGATAGATAGTCGTACATGGCGATGTAGATGACCCTTCAATACCACCTCCCATCTGATCGTAGCTGCGGCTGCGACTGCTGGCCCCGACGAAACGCATCAATGTCGCCCACGCCCTCCGTCTCGAGCACGTTCATGAGCTCGACCTGCTGAGACTGGGTCAGGCTCCCCTGGCGTCCGGGGCGATCAAACTGCTGCGCGCCATTGGGTTCGCCACCCTGCAGGCCCAAGCCGCTGTTGGTGAACTCGCCAAAGGCGTCCATGCCCGACGGTACGTCGGTGTAAAAGCCAGTGCCGCCCATGCCGCCCATGCCGCCCATGCCGCCAAAGTTGTATGATGCGATGAAGGCGGCGGCCGAGGGCCCGAACCAGTCGGCGGGTGTGGTGGTGACCACGGGCGGACCCTGAGGCAGGGGCCGCTGCTGCGCCATGCCATGGGTTTGGCGCGCGGGCTGATGCTGCTGCTGCTGGTTGACGTAGGGGGGCATCCGCTGCGAGACCTGGGGCTGCGCGGGGTTGATCTTGGGAGAAGGCGAGACGGTCGTCTGCATGTTCATGGACAGGGCAGGCTGGACTTGAGTGACCTGTGGGGACATGGTCGAGTTGGAAGTCGCGCCAGAGAAGGCATCTGCGCTCTCTGAGGTCGCGGACAGTTGAGACGTTAGGTTGGGCGGGGACGCAAAGGGTCTGTCGGTGGCTTGACCCCCAGCCCGAGGGTCCTCGGGGGCAGCAAAGTCGTCAAGCTGCGTGAAGTCGGGAGGAAAGTAGGAGAAGCGTCGCCCATGCGTATCGTGAGTTGCTGGGTTCTGAAAGATGGAATTGGACCTGAAGCTTGGCTGTGGTGGTGGGAAGTTGGGATCCATTACGTAGTTGTTCATGGCCTCTGGTGGTGAGTCGAAGACTTGCCCAAACTGGGGCGGGTTGAACGTCGGTGGTTGCTGCCCGGGTGGCCAGGCTGATGATTCTGGGGACGCGCTCGTATCGGACGCAGCAGGGGGCGTGGCCAAGATGGAGTTTGGATGGTAGCCCTGGGTTTCGTAGCTCTGCAGACAGGCCTTGGAGAATATGGAGTACAGTTCCGAGGAGTTGCCGGTACCGGGCCAACGCGCCTCACAACCGTCGAGCACATCTAGAGATTTTGCGACCAGCGCTTCCGTGTCCTCCTTGGAGTGTGCCTGCCGCACATCTGGGTACGATAGACTCCAGAGCATGGTGTTCAGAGACATGTTGAGAGAGAGCAGGAAGACCCAGGTCATACCGACGGAGCCGTCATCCAGCTGGAGCTTTGACAGCTCGATGATGAACTTGGCGCTGTCGTAGCAGATCTTGGCAGCTTGGGCTGACGGTTTCGATACCTGTGGTGAGGGGCGATACATGGAGATCCGCATCTGGTGATAGCGGCTTGTGAACCATGACTGGCACCATGGCGAAGTCTCTGGGCAAGTATCACGCCACGCCAGGATTTTCTGCTCCATCTGCTGAAACCAGGGGCTCGATTCGTTCTGGGGCTCGTCCTTTTTCCGTTCGTACAGGGTTCTCCGAATGTCGGCCTGAAGCAACCTCATCTTGATGGCGTGAATGGCAACCACTTTGCGGGGACTCGGTGGTCCTGCGGCGATACCACATTCGGTAATGTGCTCATCGTCGACCGTCGCGAAGAAGCCAACGTCCAATTTCTCGTCACCGGTTGCGAAGCTGCTGGGCCGACCCAGACTGTGTGCCAGGCCCAACTCCATGGACGCCACCGTCCACACCAAGCGTCGTCGGATATCAATCGTGAGCGGATCCAGGTTGTACCCGGTAGTGATCGTCTTCTCGTCCACCAGGCCTTCTTGCTGGCAGATCTTGGCCGCGAGCCCAATGACATAGTAGATTGGTACGCGAGTCGGGGTGATCAAGGAGTATTGTCCGATCAGGACGAGGCACTGCAGTGTCTTGAGGTCCTTTGGTCTGAGCATGACCTCGAAATCCTTCATTGCCGATTGGAAGAAGGCATCAGCCAGTCCCGCGTAGGTAATCGACATGCGCTGCAGACCAATCGCCAAGACCATGTGAACCACAAATTTCTGGAAGATATTGCCCTTCCCATCGTAGACGGTCTGCAGATCGGTCTCGAATTGCACTTCGTGAAGCACAGGCCAGAATACCTGACCTGCGGGGTGGCCGTTAGTGTCTTTTTCTTGGCATGTCCAAGTCTCGCTAGACGTACCTTTCTGCTTGAAGATCTCTACTATCGATCTCGTGGTGTCAATGTCAGGTAAGCGTGCGGCTGGACTTTCGCTGATGGTGGGGTAGCTGTGCTGGTTGGACATTTGTATTGACTGCATGCGATGCTGCCGCCGTGCTTTAAGGTCCGGTATGAGGTCGGCAACTCGATTGGATTGGGTGAAGCGCTTAGCCTCCTCCATGAGGAGTCTCGTCATAGCGATGCCGCTGCTGGGGCCCAGGTAGCGAGGGGTCTCATCTGCCGCACCGAGTCGAACCATGCCACCAGGTCGAACCATGTCCTCGCTGTTGCGGGGATCATCGCCCTCTTCGTCTATGTATTGGGCCATCTCGGCCTCGAGCGTGCGGACCTTGTCTTGCAGCAGAATGACATAGTTGCGGCTGATCCGTTTGCCCTTTGTAGTATCGAGGTATTCGCAGATGGAGCCCGCTCGTTCGCAGGGCAGACACTTTGGGAGTGTTGGATCACATCTCGTCTTTCTCTACATTTATCACACACTATCAGCTTTGCGAGACAACGAGGGCAAGCGTTCGCGGCATGCGATCACGTCTGGCGCAACAGGACGACGCGGTTGCGAGAGGGGTACTGGGGGGGGGGAGCGACGTACCTGACGGCAACGGCAGCAAGCCGTGAGCGTGTGCGCTATACGACCTCCAGAGCCCTCGCCTTGGTCGGAGAGGTCGTCATAGAGAGGAGCTCGCGTAGGGATATTTAGAGCGCGGTGTTGCTGCTGCTGCTGCTGCTGCTGCTGCTGTTGTTGATGATGCTGACGATACTGCTGCTGGCGGGGCGCAACGGTCCCCAAGCCCTGGCGAAAGACATGGGCGGGGTTCATATCTCAGTGTCATGGAGGTGCTGAACCCTTGTGACAGCTGTGCGATACTGGTACAATCCTGGAATGATTAAGGCTGCCCATTCGTCTTGTCGAAAATCACGTCGGGTCGGCAGAGCGAAGCTACGGACTAGATCGTGCCAAAAACGTCGGAGGGGGGACTAACGGTAGTCAAGGGGGGGCCGGCAGGCTTTAGCACTGAATGAGGTCTGGCATGTGAGGGACAGCTCCATGTCCCACGTCAGCTGCAGCAGTTAATATACCTATCACTGGTTCGCGGCGCGGCATCAATTTGTTCATTAAGTACCTAAGGGTATAGTACGTGGCTGTCACCACTGGGAAAGCGTCCAATTTCGTGTCACTCAGATTGCTGTCCGCACCTTGCTCGATTCGAGACGTCAGCAGCCTCCAATAAAGCTGCTAGATAATCCTCACTTACACGGTATGATATACGCAGGAGTAACTAGCCTTCTCTTTCAGTACCTCATCGTGGTCACTTGATCCAAGTAGCAATTGAGTTTGTCGCACTAGCAGTACTTCATTTTCCCACTATGGGGCTATTCAAAAATGACTGCCAAATGACTTTCTGAGCACAGCTAGGCCTGTGCTAGTCGTCGATTGCTGACGTGTAGCTTCAAAAGTTTGGGGGTTTCCGATTGCAAGGCTCAAGAAATCAAGGTGTCCTGGACAGCCCCCGCAGGACTCTTCCACTTTGGTGCTTGGCGAGTCTTGTGATCTGGCAGGTGTCTCGTCATACATGTCATGTATCGAGCCACGGATCGTCGAGAAGCTGCTTTGCAGTCTTCCTATCCTCTGGGCGCCACCGAAGCATCGACCTGACAAACGCCAGCAGCTCCTCCTTGTCTCTTCCTTGAAGGTACTCCTCCGACGATTCCAGGCTGGTGCCCTGCGGTATTGGTACGTCGGCCTTCCATTCTCCTCCAAAAACAATGATTAGCGCGATAAACGACCAAGGGGAAAAGCATCTTCACCGTCTGCCGTGAAGAACTCGGCAGAGCGATTCCCCCGTTGGACCAAGTCCAGCGGCGGCGGTCCTAGCATGCTCACCAACTCCGCGAGATGCGCACGGGTCGAGCATCCCTTCCACCGAGGTCATTGCCTTAGAACGGATGCTTCCCCTCGAAGAGATCCCTAATCTGTAGAGAGACGATCAGTGATATTCCAAGGCGCGTGGCCAGACGCGAAGCTGCACCGACCATGGCACCAACGTTCTAGATGTCTACCGGTAAGCTCTGTTCGGCACTTAGCATCACCTCGGGCGACCAGTACACGTTTGGCTGCGCGTCGTGGTTTCTCTTTTGGTCGCCCCGGACGGCAGTGCCAAAGTCACTCAACAGTGCACCACCGAATGCAGTCGGAAGCCCAAACTGTCGCGACCTGTAGACTGGATGGCGCTCGATGAATTTTCGCAGTGAGGGCGTCTTCAGCTCTGTCTTGACGAAGTCCTCTAGGATACGATCCTCCACAATCTCTTGCAAGAGGTTGTTGGCTTTGATGTCTGTTCCTATGTTGGTAGATTCGAATGCTGAGCATGCATGGCACGTACCCGTGTGGGCAAGCTGGCACTCATTGTGAAGGTAGTCCAGTGCGAGCAGGACGTGCTTCAGACCAACTTTTGGAAGAAGCAATGAAAACCGCTGGGTAGGGTTCCGTCGTAAAAGGTCCCTCCAGCTGTCCCACATGGGCTTCTGCACGAGACAGCGGTAGTCGCCCCCAGTTCGATGGAGCGAGAAGGTGTCAAGGGCTGATCGGACGTGGCGGTAGCCGGGGTGGGACGGGTTCGCTTGTGAAAAATGCCCATAGGTTTCAAATTCTTCCCGGCCGCCTCTGTCGCGTGTGTATATCTTCAGGGCCACGTGGAGGTGCTCCGTAGGATACGTCAATGTCTCTCTCCTTCTCTTTCCATTTCCTGACCAGGTTTCACTCGGCTCACTCAAGATTGCGCGCGAGCCACACGGTGGATGTGGTCCCAAAGCCCAGCTTGCCCGTGATCTGATACTTGGACGCGTATACGTCGCCAAGATTGACCAGGTAACACTGGCCGGCGCGAAACGCGTCAAATTGTTCCTCCTCCTCCACGTCTGCGTCATTGATAATCTCAAAGCCAGCAGCGGGAAATCGCAAAGGCGTAGAAGGGGAGATGCGCGTCAACCCCCTGGCCCATGTCGAGAGACTGGCCATGACGGGGAGTGGAAGAGAGGAAGTTTGTCAGGATCTCGACGACGTTTCCATCAAGCTCACATTTTCTACTCACATCAGCTAGGCTGATACGACCAGGTCGAATCGTGACGCACCATGGCAACTATGCTGAGTGAAAAGTTGATTGCGTGCAGCGGTTGGGGTTGGTGATGGTGCCAATTCGTTCTTCCTAGCGGACGATGCAGCTGCCCTTCCGCCGGACGAGATGGGATTTCAAGGACACATCATTTGAGGCGGGTGGTTAGCTTTGTGTCGTGCTCAGATTGACTGGCTGTTGAATCTTCCAATTCCCTAAGAGGCACGCGCCTTAACTCACTTGGCGGGTCCCGTGATCTGCCTGCCGACCTCAACTCCCGTGCCGCAGTACCTTGGGTAAGGGTACAGATAGGACTGGCGATACCTGGGCTCCAACGACATTCATTGCATCATACCTTTGCACCCCCGATTCTTACCAGCAATACAAGCTCAGGCCCACCAGATTGAGCTTCTTCTCCGCCTAGCACTCGGATCTACTCGAAACTTTTGCCATTTGCTCCCATCACACCTGTGCCGTCGTCACGAACTCGCTGCGTGCGGCCCGCCTCACATCCCACCCCCAAAAGAACGAGTCATCGACCACAACCTCACACGTGCAATCTTCCCCGCAACATCGCCTCTCCGTCTCACCTCCATCCTTGCGCAGAGGAGCGGCGGCGACGACTTGTCGCCAACAGCTGCAGCGCTGGCTGCATTGGGTGCTTCGCAGGGCTGACTGACTGGCCTTTGAAGCCCAGCAATCATGCCCCGCAGCAGCTTCTCACTCAATCCCCTGCTCAAGGTCTCGCGGCCTGTCTCGGCTTGTTCACGGTGTAAGTGCCATCATCATGCCTCCAGTCCAGCCTCGCAGACCTAGTACGCTCACACAAGCACAGGTCGAGCCGCCAAAGTTAAGGTACGGTTCTCTACCAGGGTCGCAGACTCGCATCGGCACTGACTGGACGATTGTTGACGCTGTGTAGTGTGATGGCAAGTTGCCGGCATGCACAGCTTGCGAGAAGGCAGGCCGGGAAAGCGAGTGCTCCGCGGCCAACGATCAGTTCGCTCGAGGTAAAGAGCGTAGGTAGGTACCCTCTGCCGCACGTGTAGAAAGGATGGTGCTCACGCGGCTGAAGCTACGTCGCAGCCCTGGAGCTACGTATAGAGAAGCTCGAAAGGAGACTGCAGTACGCCAAGAATCGCAAGGCCTCGCTTGGGTTTCAGGAGCCCGATCTCTCTTCGTTGGCGCAAGATGTCGACCGACGCAATTCCATGGCGCACATACGTGCTGCCATCCATCGCAAGGCAGCGCGGAACCGGGAAAACTCAGATGTCAACTCGTTGATATCCGACTTTGGCTTTCTGTAGGCGACCGCAACGTTCCCGATGGTACATTGGCTGACTCCGTATCAGGTCTGTCGATGCAAACACGCGGGACTTTGAGCCGTCGTCGACCAACATGACGTTCGCCCGTCTCGTGCTGACAGCCGTCACAAACGATGAGCTTCCCGGGCTCAGCGAGGTCGAGTTGCCGCCCAGACAAACAGCTCTCAGTCTGGTGCAATTCTACATCACGCACATCTACTCCTTCTACCCATTCTTCCAGGAAGCCGCCTTGTTCAGTATCATGAACGACCTCTATCACGATGATGAGCGCGTCATCAAGGACTCGGACCTGTGGCTGTTCCACATGGTCCTTGCCATTGGCTCGACAGCGCAGAGCCGGAGGCTCGGTGACGAGCACTACCAAAACGGGCTTGTCTACGCCAGAAAGGCCATCGAGTCGGCCGACCGCGCGCTGGCACCAGGCTACGTTACGCAGATCCAGTCATTACTTTTGCTGACGCAGTACTCGATGCTCGACCCTGCACACTTTGACAGCTGGCATCTGATAGGATTCACAACTAGGGCCGTTGTCGATCTCGGCCTCCATCAGGACCCGCCGGTCTCCTCGGTAGCGGATAAGTCAGCCTTGGACATGCGACGCAGGATATTCTACAGTGTCTACAGTTTGGACAGGTATGTGTTTCCCTACATGCCGGGATGCATGAGAGCTGACAATTGTGCAGAGCTATCAGCATGGTGCACGCGAGATGCTTCTCCTTCACAGACAACGCCATCAACGTCGCCTTCCCCAGCGCACCTTCCAAGAAGGCAGTCCACGACGCGATGTCCGGCCCGCACTCGCCAGACCCTGCCCTGCTCATGTTCCAGCTGCGGCGCGCCCAGTCGTTCTGGTACCAAGAGCTGTACCAATCGCACGCCTCGGCACCACTGCCAGATCCGAGCGCCTACATCTGGCAAATGTGCTACGAGATGCAGGAATGGGCGGCCTCCTTGCCTCAGAAACTCCCAGCGTCGGTGCGCCAGCTGTTAGATCAGGAGCTGCGGTACAGCTACGTCTACTGCATAGCCCCCTCGGCTCGCGCCCCCGAGATCACGGACTACAACAGAACTCTCATCTTCGAGTACGCCTTGGCGTATCTGGACACGATGCATGACATTGCCCAGGACGGACTCAGCAGTGCCTTTTACACCTACCATGACGCCCTCAAGGTCTACTTTATGGCCAGTCAGCTCCTGGCTGTCCTCTGGGATGCTGAGCAGATGCTCCTGGACGGTCCGCCCGTTCCGCGACCAATGGTCCGACCGGGGACTGCGCCGCCGCCTCCCAATCCTCGACGCCACATTCAAGGAGTCCCGATGGAGAGTAACGCCAGCCGTAGTCTATCATGCTTGGAGCGCGTGGACCACACTCTGGGCCGCTTTGGTGAACGGTGGAACGAGTCGGCCATGCTCAAGGTCAGCTTCGAGAGCATGGCACGCGAGACCATGCAGAGGCTGCGCTCGAGGAAGCAAATGGAGAGCGCGAGCTTGGACTCACAGCAGCAGCAGCAGCAGCAGCAGCAGCAGCAATACCAGAGTAGAGCAGTGCAGGGAATCCACGCCATGCCGCCACCTCAGCCACAACAGCCCAGAGAGGTCAGATGGATAGGGGTTGATCCGGGCCAGACGATGCGAGGGGGAGGGCCTGCGCCGCAATGATAAGATCTGAACACAATTTACATTGGTTTTGTTATTCCTGCCATTGAAAGATTAAATTGTCGGTCTGGAGTCTCGGCCTCCAAAGGACGTCGTCGTAACTAAACATGGAAAAGTTGCTACATGTCAGGCGTGTCTTTCTTGCAAGTCACATCTCCCAATGCAAGCCAGCCGCACTCTACCCTCGAGTTCTGTAGAACTCCTTTTCCCTCCCCCAGAACGCCGCAATGTTGATCCTCTGCGCCCTTCTCGCAGATCGTCAAGCCAAGATAATGACACCGCAATCAAGTCCACCAAAACATGTGAGTCCGCAAAGCATGGACTGTGCTCCACGCCGTCTCCCTGGCGTTTTCAGCGGTCCAGGAGGTGCAGATCTCTAGTCTGCCGAGGCAATTTCCTGTCACGCTCGTAGGTCAGGCCGCAATTGGCACACAGGGACTGTAGAATGTCAGTATAAATGGTCTCGCTGCCAGTGACTGAAGAGTGAGTGTGACTTACCCTTGGACCAGCTGGGCCGTCACGAACTGCCCACACACTCGAACCCCAAATCTTACAATGCGTGCATCGCCACTGCGACCGCTCTGGCTCCGTCAAGGCACCACCACCCCCATAGCCACCAACGTCGGGTGTCCCACGGCCTCCTGGCGTTCCTGACCGCCCCTGCGGACTGAGACTGCGGAAACGACGCTTCTTCTTGGAGCGCTCACCGCGGCCCATTCGCTCCTCGTCCGCATCCAGAACCGCTGCCGCGGCGCCAAAGGGTGCTCCACCGAGAAGACCAGATGTAGAGCTAAATCTGGCTGTCTCGCGGCGCAGGCGACGGACTTCCCGCCCGCGATCGCCTTCTCGTTTCTCAATCTCTTCATTGCTCAGAATCTCAATCTTCGGCTCCCAGTCGTCAGCGAGATGGTCCGGTTCGTACCGCCATCCTGCTTCTGTGCCGTGTACTGCGTCATTGGGCAGCTCTTGTTGCAGACCGCCCCATCCGGCGACGATACCTCCAGCCTCGCACGCCTCCTTCTTGAGGCGCAGGACAGCTTCGTAGATTGCGTGGGTCATGGCTGGAACCCACTCACCCGTCAAACCAAGATCGGTACAGGTCATCTTGGCGAAAGCCTCGGCCGTACCGGGCGGATGCAGCAATGACCACTCGAATTTGTCGGTGTAGAGGAAGGAGGACAGGTTCAGATTAATGTTTACAATACAGCGGTAGGTGTCGTCGGGGTTGTATTCGTCGGAGCCGGGAAGAATAGGGGTTGCCTCGGCTGTGACTTTGGGCTTCTCGTCCGCAGTTGGCGCAGCAGGAGTTCCCACGCCACCAGTCGTCGTTGGGCCTGGAGTATCTGGTTGGGAGCCCGCTTGGTTCGGCGTGGACGGTGACCCGTCGCGCGTGTTGGCAATGGAGAGTAGCCTGGGCGTATCGACAGGCTTGGGTGTGTCGTTGGCAGCGCCATTGGCCGTTGCAGGCGCAACAGCTTGTGGCTGTGCCGGTGCCTGGGCTTCTGCGTGAAAGAGAGGGTGCAGTGCGACGCCTGAATATTCTTCCAGCTGCGTCCGGATCTGTTTGCTAATTTCCTGGGCCCAGTAGGCTCTGTTCGGTAGATCCAGATCCTGTACCATTGTCATGGCGAACTGATCAGTCGTAATGAGCGTCTCGTGCAGGTTCCAGCAGAAGATGTCGCGCAGTTTGAAGGTCGGCGTTGGCTCCTGTGGGCGGTATTGCGGCATGGACAAGTCGATTGAGTTGTGATTCGGAACCGGGAAAGGCGCTGGCGGCGTGAAGGAGGGGATTTCGATGTCAATCCGAATCGGGATCAGGGTCAATGGCAGATTGGCCTGGGCGGCGAGCTGCTGGTCCGTCCTCACATTACGGGGCTTCCCTATCCAGTCTCGCCAAATTCCCTGGACGTCGACGGGCTCCCTTGTCTCTTTGGCCGGTCGATCCCCTGAGTCGGCACGTTGGCTTGTGTCCTCCCTTCGTAGGCTCCTCAGCCCAGTCGGCCGTCTGCGGGGATCATCGCTGTCCTCGTCAATCTCCTCGTATCCGTCTTCCGCATAGTTGATTATAGTTGTGCCGCGCTTCGTGGTGCGAGACAAGGGCGCGATGGGTTGGCCCGAGGACTGAGCAGGTGTGAGGAGGGAGTTGCTGTACACGCGCAGACGCGGGGCGTAGGTTGTGATGAAAGACTGGGGTTTTGAGCGATCCATTGTGAAATATGTGCGCGCTTCAAAGTCGGTGTTGAGAATGCCTCATGCTGGCCGGCGCAAGGGCAGCAGAGGTGGTGAATCGGTCGCGTCTTGTGCAGTGCCTCGCAGTGGGAAAGGCTCGCGCACGCCAAGCTATACAGTCCGGTTTGTTTTTGCCAATTTCTGTCTCAATAAAAAGCGTGTCTTTTACCTTGACGGGAGGAGATGAGCGATGGCAGGAATGGTACCGTAGGAGATGGCTTTCAGAGGTTGTCGATACTGGAGGCGCGAGGCTTGAAGGTCTTGCTGGTGTCGGGTCTGGGTCGCACCTTTTCTCAGTCGCGTCGCTGTCGCAGTGGATTGGGCGGCAGCTATTGGCCCTCCGCATGGAAGAAGCGGGTCCCTATGCAAGGCACCACCGGGCGCTTAGTAAGGCAATTCTATTCTACAATTGCAAGGAAAAGGACTAGAGTCTATTATTGGTATCTTTCAAGTTTGCTAATATCTGCCTATACGATGCTACTGAGCATGGGAAAGGCAGTGAATGTTGTGATTGCCTTTTATGTAGTATATCTCAAGACAAATGTCTAACGCAATTTTACCAGGATGAGGTATCACAATGAAAAGCAGCACCAATGAAAATATACCCAAGCTCGCCAATTTACTGACTGGCTTTCCACGCGTCGAATGATATGTTGTTATTTATATTGAAATGCTCATTCCAGTCACTTTGAAATTTGTAACTTCAGTACAAAACTAACAAGATGCGGCAGGAAGACCATATAGGGTAAGCTTCACGCGTCAAAACCCAGGGTCCAGACGTCAAGTGGTCTTGGTGCACGGGACCCGCATGACGTCCCTGCCCCAGATTTCAGATTCTGTCGCGTCTCTACTCGACTCGACTGGATTCCATCGCATTGCCGACCATTCAATTTCATATCTTTCAACTTCAACCGCCTTTCGCCTGACATAATAATTGGACAGTGTCGACACGCACAAGCACACAAAACACTCCATCATGGCCACCAAGATCACACCTTTCTTCACAGCTAGCCTTCGCGCCTTGCGACCGCGCACAACACCTTCGACGACACCGTTCAGTCGCTACGCCGCTGCATCTTTGCGCTCCCCTCGACACATCGCCCCGGAATCAGTCCGTCTCGCACACTCCATCCCTCGTCCATCACAGCCAACCCCTCGAGACTCCAACCCGTCGACAGCCAAGTCAGAATCGGCTCGACCTGCGCCTCCGCCTGCAAACCGTCCCTCCTACCAGCTCTCCTTCACCTGCGTGCCCTGTGGACATCGATCGCATCACAACATCTCCAAGCAGGGCTACCACACTGGGTCGACCCTCATCACATGCCCAGAGTGCCGCAACCGACACGTCATCAGCGACCATCTCGGCATCTTTGGGGACACCAAGGGGATGACGGTGGAGGACATTGTTAAAAAGAACGGAGGTCTGGTGAAGAAGGGGAGCCTTGGCGAGGATGGGGATATCGAATTCTGGCCAGAAGAGAACGATGATCTCAAGGGCTAGAGGTCCCCTGTTCTTCCATCGCCAATTGCATCAGTACGGAGTTTTGGAAAGGATACCATGTGACCACCGAGCCAAGTCACACTCACATAGAAGGACATGTACTAGAGAAATATTGTATTTATAGCGTACTTGTGTATATCATCACTCCTAATCTTCCACGTTAACGCCAAAGTTACCATATACCCAATGCGAGGAACGCCGATCTCGATGCGTGAACCATCTACCAGTTCTTGAAAGCCTGCCTCCTGGCCTTGTTCTCCGATGCCCGCACCTTCTTGCGGTCCCTGTTCTTCTCAAACTTCTTCCGCTTGTCGCGTCCATACTTCTCCGGATGGGCGACCGCCTCGATCTTGCGCTTGCTCGACCTCTCGAGTCTCCTTGCCTTGACCTCCTCGCGGATCAGCATCAGCACGCGCGAGTACTCCTCCGTGCCAAACTTCTTTTGCAACGAATCCATGAGGATCTGAGCGCGAGTCTTGATATGCTCATATTTGGTATTGAACTCCTCGTCCATGGTTTGCGGGGGGCGAATTGTTGGGTCGGTGATGTTTTGGAGGGGGGTGAGGATTGTCTTGAGCGAGGGCGTGAGGCGTTCAACAGTCGTGCGTCGGCAGACCGTTTCGAGAACCTCCATGGCGGTGACCTTTGGACCAATGGACACAGCATTCGGGCTAATCTCCTTGCGTAGAATGTGAGAGATACGCCAGAAGAGATACTGTAGGTCCTTGGGTTTATGCGCATCATCCTTCATGTTGGCGCCCTCGTCACCCTGAGACTCATCTCCATCATCGCTTTCGGATTCGTCGGCCGCGGCTGGTGCTGGCAGCCGGGGGGCCAGGAAGATGAGAATTTGTCCTGCCTCAGCCCCCAAGGCCTCGTGCACGTTGTAGCCGTTCAGAATGTACAGCGCCAAATGCACCAAGTTGCCGACCTTTTCATCATCGAGCTGCAACCCGTGAGAGCCAGGGACGGGCTGTTTCGCAAGAGTGCTGCCCATGTTGGGAGCGAAGTCGGAGAGGTACAAGCTGATGAGCTTGATTGCCGCCACCTTGACGGGAGGATGCCCGTGCTCCATGCAGCGCCCGACGTGCGCCCAGAGATCCTCGCTCTTCGCAGACAGAACCTTGTCGGCAAAGACCGTGAACCACACATGGATCAAACCAAGCGCTGCCTCCAGCAGCTCCCCATTGACAGCCTTGATGTCCTCTTGTCCCAGGATGCCCATCACCTTGGCGAACACCAGTTTGAAGTCGCTCTGGTTCTTGCATGCGCTCTCGTTGGACTCAAAGTAAAAGGTCCATACCTTCAGCGCCAACGTAAGCACAGCCTCGTTGTCGTCCTTGTCCAGCCAGGACCGCAGAAGCGTCAAAAACTTTTGCGTGCGCTCTCTATCAGACTGACGGAAGATCTCCTTGAGAAGCTCCGCAGCGGACCGGCAGCACTTGTCGCTGTCGTCGTTGGCAAGAACGAGGAACAGGGGTAAGAAGCACGTCGCTGCAATCTCCTGGACGAAGTCGTCGGATGACTTCATGAGAAGAAGGTGGACGACCTCCATGACGGATAGACGGCCGCCTTCCCTCTGATACTTGAGATTGGCGACGATGAAGTTGAGCTGCTTCGCCCATCGCGATTTCTTCTGAGGGTATTCACGGATGAATTGGAAGAAAGCGCCACGGGCGAGATCACGCGTATCCCTGTCGTCGTTGGTGATCATGACCGTGCCAACGTAGTCCATGGTGTCGTACACTGCCGCCGTCTCCACATGACGCTCAAGCACGGAGCGCAAAAAATTGAAGGTGACATGTCGGTATTGCGGCTCTGTGAGGTCGTCCTTGAGCTTGCCGAGCATCATGTCGATAGCGGCCTCTTTGACGGCAATGTCCTTGCGGTCACGCAGCACAACGGACAGCATGCGCAGAGCGGCCTGGGAGAGCTCAGTAGTTGTCGACACAGAAGTCGAAATGGCCTTGGTGGCCTCCTTGACTGCGATTCTGTAGAGGGTCGTACCCTCTTCTTCCTTGAATGGGACCTTTGAAATCACAGCAAGCAGTCTGAAGGTGGACACCTTGACCTCGTCCTCGCCATCGATGATAGAGTCACCCAGAATGGGGAGGAACCCAGCCAGATTCTCAGGGGTACGCAGACTGTCGTGCTTCTTGAACACGGAACGCAGGGTGTCAAGCGTGAAGCGCATCAGTTTGGACGTGTTTTGCGTCGTTCGACCAAGAGCCTGCTTCTTGACACCCTTCTGCACGAGATACTTTCGGACTTTGGGGTCGATCTTTTCTTGCACTTGGGGCTCACGAGCCTTGTAAATGTCCTGGATAACTTCGTAGCAGAAGACCAGGGTATCGCGGCTCTCGGCTGCTGGGTTTTGTAGAAGCCCAACAGACACGCGCGAGAGAAGATTGTCGATTTTGCGAACCATCTTCAGATCCACCTTCTGCATGAGAAGTGATTGCAATGGTCTGATGAGATCGATGAGGCGAGTGATCGAGGCAGTGCGTGAGATGAGCTCCATCGAGTCCTGACTCTTGCTGCTCTTGATTTCCTTCATCTGAGTTGTGTAGCCTTCCGCATCCTTCTCTTGTCCGATGACGCCAAAGATGTCATCCATGATGACGGTGATGATGCTCGGCAGGCAGTAGTCCAAATCCCCAGACTCAAAGTCAGGAATAACGGCAACCAGAATAGAGTGCATGGTGTATGACAAAACGTGGAGCTGGTAGCCTTTGGTGAGAGCGCCGCGAAGCTCCCTCAGAAGGAACCCAAAGTAGCCTGCTCCAAGTATTTTCGCAATCTGGACGAGGGTGTCTCGGGCCAGATCACGAGACTCTGTAGCTTTGCTGCGTAGGATGTGGCAAATGTCGGTAAGGGCACCAGCGAGCTTCTGATCCATCTGATTGCTTGGAAGCAGCTTGAGAAGCTTGACAATAGTGACACCGACTGGCACACGATAACTGACTTCCGACTCGTCCTTCTCATGCAAATGCTTTGACAGCATGGGCAAGAAATATTCGACAATGTCTGTTGCCAGCTGTGATTGCTTGGGCATCGTCAACGACAGACGTCGAACAAATATCGACGGAGCCTCCGTCGCGTCTACGTCCATGGCGTCTTGGGCTGAGTAAGGCGCTGCTGTGATCAATGCATCGGTGAACTTGCCTAGCAGACGGATTGTTTGCTTTTGTTGCTCCGGCCTTGAGGCAATGTACCCAATGTACCGTTGGAGAATCGTCCGGTAATGCTTCCAGTGCAGAGATTCGGCGAGACTGCCAATAATCGTAGTAGCCAGCGCACCAAGGCCATGATCGTCAATCTTCTCCTGCCGACCGATAATAAAATGCTCAAGGAGAGGAATGAAGAACTGGGCCAGATTCTGACTGGAGATTTCGTGTAATTTGTTCGCCTCCTCCAGCCCTCGCAAGGCCTCTTGCTGCCTCGCGACAGCAGGACTTAGAATGTTGAAGAAGAAAGGAGGCTCAGTCGAGTCCTCCGAGGACTCATTTAACAAGCCCTTCAGGTCATGAACAGGATCCCATTGGGGCAGCTGGCAAATTATGAACCCAAACACACGGAGAATCTCCCTTCGCGTGGTTTCCGAAGGCTCTCGGATGCCCGTATAGATAGCGGGCAGCAGTGTCTGGCCAAGCTGCGTTTTGAGCTTATCCGCAGACTGACCAGGGGTCGAGGTGGCAGTATCTTGCACAAAGCGTCGCAAGCCATCCGCGGAATTTGTGGCCAAGACACCAAATTCTTCGTCGACATGGATGAAGTAGATGCAATTGTGTAATAGAGGCAGCCACTCCTCCGCTGTCAGTGGCACAGCACGCTCCTTTGAGATGGAGGTGAATGCAGATAACCTCTGGTCGTAGTCGGGCTCTTCGATACAACCTTTCTTGAAGGAGTTGAGCTTGGCACAAAGCGCTGCGACTTCACTTTTGCCAGCGTCACCTGCCGCTACCACACTCAGGGCCCGGCTCAGGGCCTCGCGATTCTCTCTGTCCTTGAAGTAGCTGAAGAGGGAGGACAGTGTCTCGTAGACCTTGTTGCAAAGATCTTCATGTTCTGATGGCTGGATAAGCGAAACAAAACTTTCTACCACCAAGAGCACACGTCCCTTCGTCTTTGGGCTGACGCGGCGAGGCGGTTGCTGGAGGAGGAACGAGCATATCCGCAGCACAGGCTCAATGCTCCTTGGTTCTTGCAGAACTTGAGCAAGCGAGAACAAGGCTTCGACACATGCATCGAGAAGGGCAGTGCTGGTTGCTGGTGCATGGAGAACTCCCGTAATGGTGTTGAGCATGGCTTCGGCATTGGGATCAATGAGCTCCGCCTTTATGAGCTCGTTGAACTCAGACCCCTGAGCAGGAGCCAAAGCCAGACGCACCATGTTACAGATCATCTCCAGAATGAAGATCCTTACATCATCCTTAGCCTTTGGAGCTGCCAAGCATTCGATCACGGGAGGCAGGATGCCCTTCGGTAGAGTGCCGCCGTGAGGACCCAAGAACAGTGCTGTCTTGGGTAGAGCTGCCCAAGTGGAGAGAAGTTGTAGGACACCTGACACACCCGATGTCATTTCTGTCGAGAGGCTGTCCAGACGGGGCATAATGACTTCCTCGATGATGATCCCGCGATAGGGCTCCCACTGATATTCTTGAGCGTTCTGGAACAGCATAATCAAGCACTTGATTCCAGCCGACCTCGCCATCTTCAAGAGCGACTGTGATGTTGCAACCTCGTTATCGTCGTCCACCTCGTCGTCCGAGTCTAAAGCAGTGCCCTTGAGGTGCCTGGATGCAAAGACCAAGCAGTATAGGACCGCATTTAACAGCGATTCCATGTACTTCGTCACATTGGTGCCAAGCTCGGAAATGAGAGATGAAACCATGTTCAGAAAGCCAGCCTGTTTGCGGGGATGCACAAGGGGCTTGTCAAAGAGCTTGTGACGAGGACAAGTTGTGTCAACGACCTTGACACTTCGCAATTTGCCGCTCGCGATGTCCAAGAACTTTCCCATGTCGTCCACGGAAAGATTGCGCAGGACCGCAAGCCTCGTAGCTTGAAGACCATGTTTGCCACTGGCGACTCCCTTCTTTGAGATGGTACGACCGTACAAGAGCCGCAGTAGCACCGGCATCAACTCAGCGCGGTGCTCAGGTTTGATGACATTATCGCCTTGCAGAAGAACTGTCAGCTCGTTCTTGAAGCGAGCGTCATCGAGAAGGTACTCCAAGTTCTCTTGGTATGCTCGGACACCAGCCTGCTTCCACGCAAGTATAGCCTTCAACGCAAGCTTCTGTACCTCTACGTCGCCGTTTTCTAACAGCTGCAGCATGCCATCGTACACCTTTTCGTGGAGATAAAGCACCCTTGGGTTGACAAATTGGGCAAAGACGCCGAGGAGTGCCTTCCTGTCAGCTAGGGACCAGTATGTTTGATCCATGTCGGCCAGCTCATCTGCTATTGAGGTGTCATCCTCCAAAGCCCAGGGCAAGAAGTGTGGAGTCAACTGCCGTGATCGCCGCTCAGCAATGAAGGGTACCGTATTGAACACCTTGATTGCCTTGGACCGAGCATTTTCTGCTAGTGCTGGGGCAGTCTCCTGGCGTTCATCAAAGGTTTGCAGCATTAGAGCTTCAGGTTGGTGCGCAATCTCGTGCGTCTTGTCGGCCTTTTGGTACAAGTACCGAAGGAATGTACAATCGAAATCGGTGATGACTTGACGATTGCTGCCCAAATTGTTGTTGGCTGGTGCAGACCACCTTGGGGAGGGTGTTTCAAGCCAGCTAAAACCGATAGCGCTGACCACTTCTTCGCCGGCTTTGCTTTGTGAAATTTGCTCCAGAGCCTCACTGGCACTGTCCCACACAGGAGACAGCTTAACGGTCAGCATGCCAAAGATGAAATTGGGCACGCCTTTCTGCAGCCAGCTAGATTCATCCATGGAGCTGTACTTCTGGCCCAAGTTGCGCAGCAACATCGAAATCGTCCTGGTATGCTCGAGACCTAGCGGCAGCTGTTCGACTTCAATCATGATGTCTACAAAATCGCTCGACCCCTGAAAGTCGTGGAGTTGCTGGAGCAGTTTCAAAGACGCAAGCCGAATCTCGTGGGACGGTGATCCTAAATTTTCGACAAGAGAAGCAATGACGGGATCTTCCTCTGCAGCAGAGGAGTCACTGCTTGATTCGTCCCTCTTCGAGTGAGTCGGTTCTGCGATCAAATATTCCTCATACGCCAAGAAACCTTCCAAGAAGCCCACGGATCGTGCGAATCGCGGTACGGCTGCCCGGAGCAGAGGGCTAAGGGTGAGATCAACAGATTTTGCTGTTTTGGTCATCCGCAGATATGCGTGGAACCCCTGGCTGACAATAAAGTTGACCTCGTCCGAAGCAAGTGTAGAGGTCGGTCGCAGCGCGAGCTTGAGTTTCCGGAGCAGTAGTTCTGCTACTCGAGCGTTTGTAGAAGGATGCACAACGGCCAAGTCCATGAGTCGCAGGAGGGCCGAGTACTTTGGCAGACAACGGTCGCGCCATTCTTTTGGCGTTTTGTTGTAGGGTCCCCGCTCCGGGAACGGCGAAACTTCGAGGTTTTCGAACTTCGAAACAATTTGATCTTGCCAGTCCTGGGGCAACTTGCAACTATCTCGCTCGCCTGCCGATGGGAAAGCCCCGCGTTCGATCATCTGCGGAATCAGAATACTGAGCAACTGCTGGTTAATGCCTTGAGACCAGTGGCATGCGATGAATCTGGAAAAGTTAGCCGTTTTCATTGGCCTGGCGGAGGGGAGAGCTTACTTCTGGAAGTCCGCGCGTAGGAGATTGCCGAACCGCTGCGCGTCCAAGTCAGATACGTAGGCGCAGAATGGTATGAACCAATGTATCAGTGGTCCCCTCGTTAGTGACTTGGAGAAGAGGCCAAGCTTTGAAAGCAAGGAATCGATAGGAGCATGCTTCCAAGTCACCGCTGCTGGTACCAAGACATAGCGCCAAAGTTCATTGCCGTCTCCTGGTACCATGGCATCTTCGTCCACCTTGGCAATGGTTTCGAGGATGTTGACAAGAGCAGTGACCAGCTCACTCCAACTGTCGACTCTTGACCCTTTCCTGACTCCGGCGGCCACACCTAGGACTCGTGCCAACGGCATCAGTTGAGTCCAAGCTGGCAGAGGGTCTATTTGAGCCCGTATCTTTTGCGACTTGTCCAAGACCGCCTTCATAACCTCGCCAAAGGTGCTTTGTGTCGAATGGTGGATAATACTTGTCAACACTCCACAAGTAACATCGGTCCAGATAGCGCTGTATGTCGCCTTTTCGTCATCGCTGCGCATGCTCTCCATAAGTTGCGAGATGATGGCAGGACCAGCAGAGTGCACCGTGTGGTCGTTCCCCTTGATGGCTTCGGCAAACATAGTCATAACTCCGTCCTGGTACAGTGGGAACTGACGATCCCCTTCCATCTTGACCAAATCATCTTTCACGTGATTCACAAAAACCGGCAGCACGGTCTCCCGATGGGACGGTACACTTGCTTTCTTGACTAGGAAGCTCAATGCCTCGGCAGCGAATCGAGCGATGTGAGGCGGATGTTTCGATCTCCCCATCAGGGAAGCGACGGTATCGTATGTCGGCTGCAGGTTCGGGACAATGTGCTTGGACAGGAACTTGAAGAGGAAAGCCAACGCGCCAAAAGTCCACTCGATCACATCGGCATCTTGTGGCTTCCCTGCAATATCGACGATCAGGCCCAAGCTTTGAGTGTAGTATCGCTTCTCGAATCTCGTTCCCAAGTCGTGCGCAAAAGCTGTCAATATTTCCAATAGCGGTTCGAGAGATTCCTTCTCCTGTCGCGCAATACTGTCGGCCAATGCTTTCCATATGTCCTTCTCGTGGTGAAGTATTTGGTGAAGCGTGTCGATGTTCTTCACTTTTTGCTTGAACTCGCGGAAGCACTTTGCGACATTGAGCTCGCTCCATTTCTGCAGGGCTGAGAGGAAATACGAGCTGGTCGCCGAGAGGTCGTCATCATCGAGGTCATGTCGTCGAACTTTTCGCAACGGCTGTAGAGAGTTGAACTTGGCGACTTTTGCGGTGAAGGTCTCGTATCTGTGGTTCTTGTGATGAGGCGTCGAGTATTTTCGCGCCTTGACGATGCGCCCTGAAGATTTGGCGGGCATTGTGAGGGATGTAGGGAGCCCTCGTGTGAAGTTGTGGTAATTGTAGTAAATCCCCGCCAAAGTTCACTTCGACGACGAAAAGCGACTGTAGGGAGGAACGAACCTTTCTAAATTTTTGGCATGCACGCTTATCGATAGCACTCTGGCTGCGGGAAGTGGTGGGGCGGTGACCAATCAACCGCCAAGCGCATTCGCAACCGCAGGGTCCACCTCTTCTTTGACTGTACCTGGAGGTTCTCGCGTGCATTGAATTATCTGCTGTGGGATGAACGCGCGCATACTTTGAGGTGGCTACAAAGATAGTATTCCAATCTTCTTTCGCGCAGAGTTAGTTATCAGATGATTTGTGTTCTTGGATGAGAAAAGATTCAGCTAAATTCGAGCGCCTTCCTTGCTTATAGTACCTACACCCTCCAACTTCTGCCTCCCATCTCCAACTTGGATAGTTTCAACACTCACCTGCACAATCAACCTTGCACGACGGTACCCCCATGATGGCTGCGCCGAAGATGTAAGTCACTGAAAGCCGGCTGGTTCAATGCCTGCCGCATTCATGATTGACGTACTGACTTCTCTTAGCATTGTCCTTGGCAGCCTCAATGGCAATATCGAACCCGCCCTTAAGAAGGTAGCCTCTCTGCACGCAAAAAACAGCTTCGCTCTGGCTCTCCTGACCGGCGATATGTTCACCCCCGAGACGGACGATACATTTGTCGATTCTTTGCTCGACGGCTCCATCGACATTCCGCTTCCCACCTACTTTACCGTCGGCACTCACCCTCTTCCGCCACGCATCGCCGCCAAGATTCAGACCGACGAAGACATCTGCCCAAACCTGCATTACCTTGGCAAGCGCAGCACGACAAAGACATCCGATGGAATAAGAATCGTCTCTTTGGGCGGTCAGCTTGACACGAATCTAGTGGGCGGTCTATCCAAGGAACAGCACCTCCCGTTTCATACCAATGATGACGCGAAAACCTTGAGAGGCGCCAACTCAGCCGACATCCTCCTCACGTCCATGTGGCCAGCCAATGTGTGGAAGGGCTCGAATGTAGCCCTTGACCCCACACAGCAAGCCTCTCTCCAGACCAGCGAGGCCATTTCTGAGTTGTGTGCCGCGCTGAAGCCGCGATATCACCTGTCTGCATCCCCGGGATCCTTCTTCTACGAACGCGAACCTTTTATCCATCCCAACGAGAGCGATGCAGATCCCCTGCGGGTGACACGATTCATATCCATGGCGCCTTTTGGGAACCAGGCCAAGGCCAAGTCCATGTACGCCTTCACACTCAACAATACCGACACACCAGTACCACAGGGTGTGACGGCCTCACCATTCATCGCGAAACAGAAGCGTCAGGCACCAGCAGACAACGTCCGCTACGCTCACTCTGGCCGCGACGGTCACCATGGTCGGGGTGCTAAGAGGCGTCGCCAACGTTCACCCCCACCTGGTCCGGACCGGTGCTACTTCTGCCTCTCGAACCCCAATGTTTCTCAGCATATGCTATGCAGCGTCGGCGACGAGACGTATGTCACCGTCGCGAAAGGGCCTCTCCCTACCACGACGACTTTTGCTGACCAGGGACTCGATTTTCCCGTCCACCTGATCATCATTCCCATTCCCCACAACCCTACTATTCCCAGTCTGGGGGACGTCACAGACCCGGCCGGCACAGCAGCCGCTGTCTACAACGAGATGACCAGGCTTCGCGAGGCAATCCAAGCCATGGTCGCCAACAAGTCGAATCACAAGCTCGGAGTCGTCACGTGGGAAATCAGCCGCGACCGCAATGTCCATCTCATCTGGCAGCTCATGCCAATTGCGGCCGATCTCATCCAACGCGGGCTCGTTGAGGCCGCTTTCAAAGTGGAGGCGGAAAATCAGGCGTTGCCAGCATTTGTTAGCAAGGATATTCCACTGGAGCAACAGGCATCCTACGGAGACTTCTTTCGCGTCTGGATCTGGGCGGACAATGGCGAAGACAAGATTAAGGGAAAGTCCATCGTCATGCCCCTCGAGTCAGATATGCGATTTGACTTGCAATTCGGCCGCCGCGTCATGGCGAAGCTCATGGGCCTGGAGAACCGCGTCGTTTGGCAGGACTGCGCGCAGACGGAAGATGAGGAGATCAAAGACGTGGAAGCTTTCAAGAAGGCCTTTGAGGAATTCGACTTTACCCTCTAATTTTGATACCCAGCGTGCCTCGTTTTGGCAATACAAGTCCATTTTAGACGGCGTTATGGCGGCATGGAAGAAGCCATGGGCATGGAGGTAAGGAGCATCTAGAGACAGGTAGAGCAGGGATTGAAACGTCGAAATTGGGCATCTACATTCGAGCACAAGCTATCCTTACAACGAGATCAGACTCCGCGGCGTTGTGACCATCTGATGATCTTTTCTTTTTCATGGCTGGCAGCTGAACAACAAAGAACACGGAGTGAACAACCAGGACCGCGACGCAAACGCGTTTGTTTACCTCTGGGCTGGTGTAGGTACGACCGGCTGCAACGGTGACGCATCTAGAGTTGAGTCAATGTTTCTATTGCGGGCGAGACTGGCGATATTCTACTAGTGACGGGCGACATTGGTCACAAGCAAGCACCATACGACAGCAGCCACCAAATCAAGCCCGATTTCATCAAGTTTTGTGTATTGTAGTATGAACCAGCGACAAAGGGAAGAGTCAGAACTCGTCTCCAGGCGTGAAATATACAAGACCAGCGATCCCCAGCCAGTCTCACCTGATATCCGCGAGTTCAATCGCTCCGTAAAGCCAGTCCTACAATGAGCGACTTTCTTTAGTCACTACGTCAAGATGAAAGCCCGTATGAATACACGGGCTCCGAGGGGAAGTGTCTGTCAGCCCCCGGGATGATATGAACATGAGAAGAAAGCCAAATGTAAAAAGGAAAGAAAGAAAAAAAAAAGCATGCCGTCGTGGGTATATGCGCAGTGGTGGCGGTTGGTTGTATGTCGGGCCTTGGTCGCAATGTCATGTCGCACGCGAGCCAAGCACAGTGTGTAGTTTATCCGGAGGAAATGAGAGAGCGAGAATTTCATCTCGCGACTTGATTAGTCGTTTGTTCATGTGATAGTTGGTGCCGCTCGTGCGTGGAGTGATATGTAATCGTGTTATGAACAGTGTTTGCGTGTGCCGCAGCCTTCACCTCGTTGTGTCCGGAGGTATGAAGACTGTGCTTGGAGTCCACGCTCTCGATGGGTCCTGGACTCCGTGATGATTAGGTAAGAAGCATTAGAAGTCGCAATATGTACCGGTATGTCATCCAGGACCACGAGATTCCGTAAGAGAGGGAGGAGGAACCAGGAGTTGGCTCGTGTCCAAGAGCTAGTTTGTCGTGAGTCGTCGTCAACGGCGTCGATGTCCCAGCGATGAGTTCATATGAACATTAGTATGACGCCATCCGCCGGGCGTGGGTTCGCTCCCCAAAGATAGGCGAATCTTCGCCGAATGACATGGGGGTATGTCGTGAGTTGGGTCTCGCAGGCCCTGTAGGAGAGTCCATCTCGCATGTTTCGCGTTGCCCAAAAGCAAAGGTTTGCGCGCGACCAAATCCCTTTCGTTGCTTGAGCCTACCCATTTCACGCTCGCAGGTTCGTTGATGCTTCTCATCCGACATTTCGACGTATTCGGGAGGGAAGCACCGGCCACGGTGCTCGGCGAAAAAGGCACTGTACCCGCCATCTAGGAGATAGACGTCGGGATAGTTGAGTCGAGGGTAGAACTCGGCATTCATGGTACGATCCTCAGAACGAACATGGCGAGCCATCATGGGCGCCCGGTGGGCAGAGTACTCGCAGTGGAAGACAAGCAGAGTTCGACCAGCCATGGGAGTGCGCAGGAGTTGCGAGGCGAGAAGCTCCTTGTCATTGTAGTTGACCGCGCCATCTATGTGGCCGCCTTCATACTCGTACTCAAAACGACAGTCAATGACCATCTTTTGATCAAAGTTATCCGCATACTTGCCATCAAGCACCTCCAGAAGAGTCTCCTTGGTAATGCGGGGAATAGTATCCGAAGGGTCGTCAGACAGAAAATGAGGCAGCACGGGCTCAGGGACATCGTCGGTATCCATGACAGCTTGTAAACCAGAGGGCCCGGGTTCGTCTCTTTCGAGGTTAGGCTTTGTGACATCGCCAGGGTTCTCGAACATGCTCAAAGAACGTCGAACCTGCTTTCTGCTACGCAGGTAAGGGTTGGAACTACTACGGCGGCCATGACAAATGGCCGCGGGCGAGCCAAGACGAGGAGAACCAGTGTTCAACTGAGGTCGGGAGCGCATGAGAGCCAAGGGAGCGCAGAGGCTGTTGGCCGACACTGGGCGGCGCTCTTGAGGTGGCGATGCTGAGTCAAAGCACTCGCTTAATGACAGGTTGGTCGACGATTGGGACATGCCAGCGCCGAAGCGGAACGATGGCAGCGGGTTCTCTGTACCGGCTCGATTCGGGACAGAGTTAGTGCTGTGGACTTTGCCTGCTCGAGTGAGAGAAGGTCTTCTGAGAGCAGCGATCTTGCGGCTGTGCGCAGGTTAGCGGGTTCAATCGGGACTGGAATGCGCAATCTAACTGACTCAGTGAGTGACACCTTGGGCGGTTCCAGGGAGGACTGGCGGGGGAGTGGCGGTGGCGAGTCTAGCATCATGCTGTCATCTTCGTGGGATGGAGTCGATAAGGGTGTAGGCGAGGTTATTTCGATTTGAGTTGTGAATGGCGGCTTGTGAGGTAGTGGAGACATCTCCATGGTCTCCATGGAATCCGACATGTCCATGGTAGGAGCAGGAGACGATGATGGCAGCGGCGGCGTTGTACAGAAGCCTGAAACAGAATTAGCATGGCTCAAGTCGACAGCTGCTTCTTTGTACAAACCTCGTGTTTCGACGCCTCCCATCATATTGGTGGTGAAGAGCGCGCGTCGTGGAGTAGGAAACTGAGGGCTGGTAGAACCAAGAGCGTCAGCGATGGCAAGAACGGGTTTTCTTGCGAGCCAACTTACCTAACCTCAGTGTCAATGCGAAAGTTCTGAGAAAGGTCCGCGGCCAGACTCGCTGCTGGCGAAGAGCCGGGGATCTCTTTGACATTGAAGTAATCCGTCTTCTGTAATCGTTCGCGCAAGGCCCGACGGGCAACACCCCCTCCATTAGCAAAGGGATTGCGAGTGTGTGACCGAAACATGTCCGGACCAGCACCCCATGAGGGCATGGCCATGGTAGGCTGCATAGCAGCCAACGGTGACGATGCTTCCATGATAACGCACGAGGACAAAGGCTAGCGTCCGTCAAGGACGCAATGCCAGCGTAGTTTCGGCGTGACCTGGTTTAGCAGCCGCAGCGCGCAGGATCAGAGTCACAGTGATTGAATACTGTAACTGATCACAGCATGGGAGTCTTGAACCGTTGCTTGTTTCCGACTTGCTGTAAGTGGGTTCGTTTGACGGCAAGTTTGCCAGTGCCACAGCAAATTCGACGGCAGAGAAGCTCGTTCACAGATGTCTGTCAAACATCGGAGGCGAGACTTCGAGCAATGTGCCGTGTCGTGGTTTCGCTATCGTGTGTAGTGGGTTCGGGACCGACCCAGTTGAGGAATCAATTAGAGGCGTGAAACGGCGAAGTGGTGGGATCGAACAGTCCTGTAGCAGGGCAATGAAGCCTTGGAACGACACGGAATCTGTAGCAATCGATTGTTAGTGGACGTGGAAGCCCTCAATTGTAGCGTATGGTAGGGCTGCACGTACCTGTTCCTGTTGCCGGGGGGTTGCTCTCTTCGCTCGATGGTGTCGCTCGAGGTGAGGATTGGTTGGCCGCTGCACCAAGCCAATGCTTTGCCCAGTCAAACTACTTCGCAGAGAGAATGACAGTCGCAGCCTTGCCTTCCTTACCTCGAGATCGAAGTCTGTGATGGGTAATTAAGATCAGGCTGGAGGAGTGAGACGCAGTTTGAAGAGGGGAGCAACGGCTTTTGAATGGTGGATGCACGTTGTCGCCCAAACCACAGCAACCACCAGAGCACAGCCGTGCAGACGATGGCTAGCCGTGCAGCACAATGACAACGCACGAGCGACGCCAGGATGCACTAGTCAAACTTGTGCAAGCAAGGCACAAAGCACAAGGCACGGACTCAAGAACGCCAATGTGGAGTCGCTGCTCCAAGCAGGATCCCGGTCGCGCAACAGTCCAGCTGAAGACGACAAGGAACCCGCGAAGAGTGGAGGCTCGCAGCCGTTGTTAGGGGCGACTGCCCTCTACGTCGGCGCCAAAACGCCAGAAGTCCATGTCGACTGGCGCCGGAACCTGAAAAGTCCCCAGTGCTCGTTCACCCTGTCCAGGTCCAGGCACCTTCACTCACTGCCTTCAGCGGACAGCCCCACCTTGCTCCAGTCGCCCTGCCTTCACGGCAGTAGCAATTGCCAATTGCCCACCCTGGCCTAGGCGGCGCTTAACTTATTAGCTGGTGGGGGCCCAGCAGCCGAATCCAGTCCGTGCCTGTCACGGTGCCGCCGTCATGTCTTCACCCGACCAAGAATGTTGTGGCCTGTTACATCATCTCCTTTGTCGCCGAAGAGCGGTGAACCTCCCAATAACGGCAGAAGCACAACTTTTCTTCATGGATCGGGATCTCTCGAGGGTCTATCCATGCCTCTTTGAGCATTCAACGAACATGCTGCATGCACTCATGCAGCTAGCTATGAATGCTTGTGCGTTTTGGGAGGTCTGTTGTTGACGTCGTCAGGAGGACTGCATCTGGTTGCTACGTGGAACAACAGCACAAGTTCGTTTTCAAGCCATGAAGCATCAACATGAACACATGCGTGCACGTTTTTCAACATCAGATAATGCCTACGCAGTGATTACGCACACCCGCTATGGAGCCAGCATCCTGCTTCTGCCCTTGCATCAATTATCCTATTTATACACTCGGTTCCAAGCTTCATGCCCAGTGACCATTGCTGTACTCGTCAACAACGGATGCTTAGACTAATAGGCATCGTTCACGAGTATTTGGAGAAGCCTACTGTTTCTTTTCATTGAACAACCCGTCGTAGAAATCAGCGTGCGTAGTGATTACACACGGTACACGTAGTATCCAGTATCCACCCGCAGCTCTATGACATGCATAATAAAGGTTTCATTTGCAGCTTGTGCAGCGCTGTCGTGATTATTAGCGTCCCGCCATCCCTTGTTGGAACATCGGCCACCCTTGAAGCTCCCCAAAACGGCTAGGGCCAGGATGCATGTCAGAGCTGAGCCCAGAAAGCGCGGGTCATCTTCATTCATTCTTTGGCCAACACTGCAGCCCGCTTTCTGGGTCTTTGACTCTCTGGTGCTCGTCGGGAACATAGGGGCCTCTCCCTTGTTAAAAGCGGGAGCAGCAAAATGAAGGAAAATTTCCCTCCCTTCTAGGCGAGAAACCGGACCTGACGAGCCCTTGCCAAGGCAACGGGGCACGAGACATCTTGGTCCTCTCTCGGCTGACCCTCAGTCTTCAGGGTCTCGCAGTCAGACATGCCTCGACCATCGCTTGGTTGAAGATCATTAGTCTCACTTGGACAATCGACTCGGCATGTGCGTCTCACAAAAGTAATCAGAGATGTTTGCGATGTGCTTGTGTCAACTGTAGCCTCAACTGGGTCAATCTTGGGCAGATATGTCAGTACGCCTATGTAAGACCTGACCTCTGGATCTGATGAATGGTGTTACTGCACTTCTGTCCCAAAATTCTATCAGACCCCAATCTTTGCCAGCTCGTGAAAACAGCAAGCCGGAATGATTCTACTAGCCAGGTACCGATGGTTCCGCACTAGTCGAGCGAGCCATTCGAAGGCTACCTCAGTTATTTAGCTTGCGAAAAAGCTGGGTCAACATGTGAGTCTAGATTGAACAACTCATCTACAGAATAATAAGCAAGCACAGAACCCCGGGAGCCGCACGCGAGAGGCGAAAGACTTGACTCTTTTTGATAATTGCTCGGAAATCCCTTGCATTTGTTGAATCGGGCGGCCTTGCACCCACAAGGCAGAGAGTGCGTTGCCTCGCGCCCGGCCGATCCCTCAAAGTCTCATCGCCTTGGCTTCGATCTTCCTTGTGTAAGATCCAATTTGTTCGTGGCTCGGCGGATTTGTGAAAATGGCATGGCGCCATGTGCGTTCCGAATCGAATTGTCCAAGAGGTTGGTTGAATTGGCGCTGCATTGGGTTGGGTAGGCTCTGGCTTTCTGCTCCCTATCTGGGTTCTGGATGTGGCGGTTCAAGATTGACGCACGTTGAGGGTGCTAATCGTCGATGAAGCGCCCTCGTGTCCGATCGCCCTATAACTGGGGAAGCCCACCACCAGAAGACGTCATGCCTAGTAGGTTGCCGATCGTCCTCGCGAGCAACAGACGCTGGAACGTCGGAGATATCTTGGCCCTGCGCGTAGGCAATAAATTGACCTACCTATGATGCCATTCTCTGGGCTTTGTACGCGTTTCCCGGTTTGCAATCATGCGCGAAACCCGGGTCTCTTCGATCCCGATGAGGTTCGTAGGCGCTATCGCACCTGTAGCACACTCTAAAGAGTCCATTCCTCTTTGTTTACATGCAGAAAACATCGAACAAAGAAGCGCATCGGAACTTTCAAGGATTTGGTGCGGCTTCGCCGGCATCTCTGACTTGAGGCTTGTTCAACTCCCTTCCAATCGCTGTTGAGGATGAGGGTTTCCACGAGCGCCGAGACTCGAGACAGTAGCGCCCTGGTCTCTTACTCGCCCGCTGGAAGCCCCACACACTCATGTCAAAGCCTCTCGGTGAACGCGTACGTGCAGCTGACCCTTTTTCCCCCCTCATCAAGATTCAAGGCTAAAGTATTTCCCCTCTATCCGTAAATGCCACCCTCATGATACGACATGCAGGAGCTGAAGAAGCGCAAGGAAGGGCCTCCTGCATGGAGTATCACCGTGCGGGGTTGTCGCACCGGTTTCTCGCTGACTGCAGTCTGCAGCTGGTCTCCTTGTTGAAGCTCAGACGAGCGTGGGTGCGGAATGTAAACAGAGCCTTGCGAAAGTAAACATATGCAGCGCGTCAGCGGAGCGGGGCAGGGCTGACCACGGCGCGAGATCACGTGCTTTGGATTCAAAACGAGGACCCCACACCCGCGTCGCAGGCTTGGCTTCGGGTCGGATTTGGCTCTACTCGGATCCGGGGCCCGTCTTTACTTTAGCTTCCGTTCAACATACCACCTCGTCAACTAAATGGCAGGCGATTGAAAGCATGAGTGTATCGCATTTGTTCTGAAGTAATAAAGTAGACATTCCCTTAAGCCCAGATTCTCCTCAACGTTCATACAATGCGACATGTCCTATGTGTGAATTCCAAATTCGTTGCAGAATTTTGAGTCTAATAGCCCTCCTTCACAAAAGTAAGTCAACAGCACAGCCAAAGCATGAATCCGTATTTGAGACCGCAAGGCCATATTTCCGAGCTAAAGGCATATTTGGATGTCTTTCCCATACCCCGAGCTGGCTTTACTGTCGAAATCAACGCATGTCAATGAGCAGCCTAGGATACTACAGGGTAGGTCACTAGACTAGGTGTAACTTAGCGGCCCTTGCATTGACGCTATGTGTTCACACGACGGCAACATATGTCGATCCGTTGATACGAAATCACTACGATGAGCAAAGAAAGACGACAGGATCACTTCACCATTTCATATTGACTCACTATTGCTCGTCTTTAATGCTTGCACATTTGACATGGTTGAAATAGGTAGGCGGTGAGGGCAGGACCCCGATGCATGTGGCACCAATAGCGGCAGAATCCGGGATTTTTTGTTCATCTCAGTGTCGGATCCACGATACAAGGCATCCGACCAAACAGGCTCGATGTATTCTCATTGAGCGCAAACTTTATCAGTGGTGAAGTCGCTGGCGAATACTTTTACATAAACTTGAACGCAATATCCTCCTGCGCAAGCTTGAACATTGCCGGTATGGCGCTCAAAAGAAAACGACATCAGCCACCGGCAAACCTTGAGCCACAGCCCTTTCCAGAAATCTTGCAGCATGCGGACCGACAACGAGAAGCTGGTCTCTATGACTTGCTCGGGAGCGAAGATGTCGAGGAGCGCATAGCCGCGGCGAATTGTATTCTCAGGAGCCTGTTTGAACATGGCGACGGGAACGGAAACCCATGTTCAGAAACCATTCTCACCAGACACCTCGAACATCGACTATTCCGCGGACTCTCCAGTGGGCGCAATGCCTCACGTCCAGGGTTCAGCTTGGTTATTACAGAAACACTCTCGCGACTCTATGGTGACACCGACACTCTGGCTGACCAACATTACCCAGGGCTACCCTTTGAAAAGGTATTGGGCATCTTCAAAGATAAGACGAAATCAGGTGGAAACGTCTCCGGCCAAGAAGAGCGCGATGCTGCCTTTGGTCGACTCTTTGGTCTGGAATGCTTTGTGAGGTCGAACACACTCTTCCAGGCATCTGAGCGATGGCAGCCTGTTCTGGACATGCTCATGGAGCTGGCAACGCAAAAGGTGTGGCTCCGACCTGCTTGCGGCCTGGTTGTTGCGGACGCAATAAAGCAGATGGGTCAAGAAGAGGCAACGAGGACACTGAAGAGGTTCGCCGATGCTGGGCTTGGGCGCACGCCGGAAGGCGTGGCACTCTGGCTAGTGGCGCTCTCTCGATTCCCTGAGATTCACTTGAAACCCTGGACACATCATCCTCTGGCCACGCAGTCGCTGGGTCATCTTGGTCAGGTCCTCAGGGAAAGCTTCAAGAACACCCCCGAAGAAGATGCCGAGGGACAGGTTGGTCTGAAGCAAGCGAACTGGACTGCGCAGTCGCACTTTGTTTGGGACCACATCATCGCTCACTACAAGAGGTCGGAAGTCGGAGCTGAGGATTTCCAGGAGTTCTGTGGTCGTGTTGTAGACGGTAAAGGACACCCAGGCGATCTCACAGGCTGAGTGCTGACCCTTCCAGATGCATTGTTTTCCAAGAAAGCAACAGACGGGCAAAAGTTCAAGGGCTTCAACGTGTTTTTGAAATTGCTTCAAAGTTTTGCAGAACTGCCAGCGAAACTCGGCTGCCTGTTCGGAAAGAACTTCATGGCATGTCTCATGAACCAGGCAGCCAAGGAGGACAGGTTCCTCCATCGCGCAGCTGTGAAGGCTCTGAAAGCCCTAGAGGATGTTGTCCGATCGCATCCCACTTCTTTACCAACCATTCTAAATGGTATGATTGGCGAAAATGGTGCTTATAGCTTTGACTCCCGAACAAATACCAAAACTGTCGACAAAATGCTGCAACATGTCAATACACTGACTGAGCAGGAGTGCTTGACGGTCGTCAGGCAACCTCTCGCCAAGCTTGGTAGACTTCCCAAGCCGCAAGGGCAGGCCATCGTTCGGTCATACATCGACTATCTTGCCAAATTGCTCAACTCATCAGGAGGTGATTCGACAGGGGGTCAAGAGACAGGTGCCGCATTGGCTGAACTGGCTACCATTGCCTATTCACAACCGAGCAATATCCCCGCAGAGCTCTTGACAGATTCAATCAAGGAAAACTGCAGATCAAGACTCGAGACAGCCATCAGCAAGCTGATCCGTCGAAGCAAGGACTTCACCACGTTTTGCAACGCAGTCCTGTCAATAGACAGCGCGGCCATTGAGATGGCGCCCGAGATCCGCACCGCTGTCGATGATGCCTTGGCTCGCATGAAGAAGCTCATGAAACGCAAGACCAAGACGGAAGGGGAGAAGACCTCGGCTCTGAGCCTTGCAATGCTCCATGCTGTCTCCATACTGCGGTTGTACAACGAAGATCCCGACGCAATGGAAACATTGCAAGACCTCGAACAAATCGCCGAGCGGTCCAAAAAGGGCAAGAAAGATGAGGACGACGAGGGCAGCACGGAGATTCTTGTTGAGGTCTTGTTGTCCATGGTTTCACGACCGTCCAAACTCATGCGTGAAGTCTCGCAGCAGATTTTCGGCGCGTTCACATCACAGATGACGACGGAAGCACTTGAGCTGTTGACTGGACCCTTAAGGACCAGTGAAAGCACAAAGGGTCAGAAGGAGCTTTTCGACACAGCTGAGGATGGCGACGAGGTCGTGGACGGTTTTGACGAAGAAGAGGACGACGTCGAGGAAATACAGGGCATTGAGCTGAACTCGGACGGCGAGATTGATTCGGACGTTGAGTTCGTTGACTTGAAAGCCGATGGGGCCGACGCCGACAGTGACGAGGATGACTCCGACGCTGATGACTCCGACTCCGACTTCGACTCCGACGACGATAAAGACAGCGATAAGAAGCAAAGGCCGATGGACATTGATGATTTCGACAAACTTGTGGGTGATATCCTCAAGAGCCACCGACTCGACAAAGACGTAGATGCCGCTTCCTCGGACGACGATCAGGACATGTCTGATTCCGAGATGCTTGCCATGGACGACAAATTGGGCGAAGTCTTCAAGCAACAAGCGAAGAGTAAGCCCGACTCGAAGCAACAGAAACGAGACGCAAAGGCTGCCGTTGTCAATCTCAAGAACCGAATTTTGGACCTGCTCGAAATCTTCATCAAGAACGAGTCCCTCAACCCTCTGGCATTCTCTGTTCTGGTCCCTTTGCTGAGTCTTATGCGCACAACTGGTGTCAAACCGCTGGCGTCTCGCGCGAGTGCTATTATAGTTGACTACCAGAAGCGCATGAAGAAGGCTCGCAACAACAAGGAGGTGAAACAGTCTGGCCTCACCGCCGACGTGATCTTCCCCTATCTGGCAGAGGTTCACGAGGAAGCGCGACAAGGCGGCGATTCACACGAGTATAGCAAGACAGCTAGTGCGGCGAGCTTGCTGTTGGCTGTGACGATGCATGTGCTGGACAAGTCATCCGAAGAGAAGGTCAATGATCTCTACAGCCAGACTTTTGCAGCAAAGAAGGGGCTGCAACTTGCATTCTTTGCGGACTGGGAGAATTGGAGGAAGAATCGTGTGTAATCGTTTCAATGGCTGCTGCTGAAGAAAAGGGTATGATTGCTAAGCCGGCGTTTGCCCACAGGTAGTAATTGACGAGCCGCGAATTTGCTGCTCATGCGAGAAGAAAAGCATCATTGTACGAAGTACACACAGAACACAAGACGTCAGATTCTCATTTCATTCAGTGACTTCATTATTCTATGACGTTGATGGTACAGCTGCCTCCTTTGGGCAGCTACTCCTCCATCTTGTCGTCCTTCTTCTCATCCTCTTCATCATCTGACTCGTCTTCCGCCCTCGCTAACCGCTCAGCCTCCTCCTTGAGCTCTTGAGGCACCTCCATGTGTCGCCCACCGGTCGGTCCGTCCACACCACTGATCCACGTCATCTCTAGCTCAAAGTCCTTGTCCTTGTTGTCCTTGTGTGCGTTGTAGATGATCTTGGCTGCCTCCTTGACCGCCTGCTCCAACGTGATGTTGCCAGCAGCGAGGTCCAGCTTCTCGAGCTCTGCCTTGGCTGCCTGTCTCCCCTTTCCGGTCGCAGCACCGTAGTATCCCCAGTACTGGCCACTGGGCTCTATCATATAAAGGAAGGGACCTCCGTGCTTCCCATCCAACTTGCCGCCCGCACCGGTGCTCGGCCCCGAGCCGACGACGCCGTCGATAACTTCGTCTCCGGAGCCGTCGACACCACCGACAATCGCTGTGATACCAAACGGTCGCACGGAACCATACATGGTGTAGGCTTGCAAGTAGCTGCCCATGCGCGAGGCGAGCTCCGATGTAGGGATGGGTGTCTTGAGGGTCTGGCGCCATGACTGAGCCTCGTCACGAGCGCGATCCACAAAGTGACGTCCGTCGGGCACCATGCCTGAGTACACCTAGATACTGTGAGAAGGAGACAGTTTATGCAATTTGATGGATCATACCACTCCAGCATGCTCGTCGACCGTCGCAATGCGCTTGTTGGCACCCGGCTTCAGCAGTTTTGACCCGATGATCTTCTCCACAGCGAGGACCACGCCGTCTTTAGCGCGGATGCCGATTGAGGTGCCGCCATTTTCGACTGCCTTGACAGCATATTCGACCTGGAAGTTTCGGCCATCGGGCGAGAAGATGGAGTTGAGCAAATCGTAACCCGTACCTATGGACGTCTAGTGACGACAGTTATTCAGCAGCTGTCACACCGCGGGCAATGAGGGGCTGCTAGACGAGAAGAGCTTACCATTTTGAAAACTGCGCGGTTTGAGTGACTTGTGTAGAGAGCCCAGAGGTGAAGGGTGTGAGGGTGGGCAGATCGAAGCTGTATGATGCTGAATGTGGGACGTCCAGAGCTTGCTCTTGTACCAGGCAACCTAGAGCTGCGTGTGTCGTCGTTGCACGGTGGTGCACTAGCCACAAAGTGGAGCGTGAACAAACTAGCCCGCCGCCAGCCACTTGTGGCGGAATACATCGGGATGTGGGAGCAGGTACCAGGTAAGCCTTAAGATCCATCCCACATCCCGCTCATAATCAGGCTTCGTAGTGACAGTCGGATCCGACTCGTGATCTACGGAGTTGTAATGTCAATAATCATCGACACTGGGTTGTCGCTTCGCAAGAAGCTAATAGGCTAAAGTAGGATATCTCTACACTTTACTATCATCATATAAGTCAGATCGCTGCGATTGAGCCTAGAGAGCAGAACATGAAGGTGCCCAATCGGTCACGGTGGCATTGCATCTGCCATCTGCACGGAGGATCGTTAGGGCGAACTCGTGGAAGTGACCCATTGGATCGTCTTGGTAGCAAGCGGATTGTACAGTAGGAGAATGCGCACGGTCGAACTTGTGTATCCGTACGAAGGATACTTCCCAGGGATCATTGAGAGCGTCTGGGATTTGGAGCATTGATCGCCTTCTTGTCTACTAGTAAGGATGACCTCAAAATCTTTGTATGAATGATGTACGTCAAATCATGGCTAATTCTGCGTCATGGACCCCTCCATGAAATGTGCGACGTGTCGTTGTCACCACCGGACCCCTCCATTGTGCACCACCCTTCAAATAGCCATGGTCGCATGAGACTTCATAGCTAATTGTGAGTCACGAAGAATTCCTCGCGCCAGTTCTTACACTCACAGACTGAGGCACCATCATTTCCTTTGAGGGAAGGACCCGTCATAGACGTGCCGAGACTTACCACCCCTTTTCCCCCGCCAATGCTTGACAAGTAGCAGCTGCTCAAGACCAAAAGGCCCCGGTCTTGTGACCCAACGAAACCCAACGAGGCCACCGCCTTTGTTCACTTTCCTCTCGACAGAAGGTTCTTCGGTTTAAATTTCTCCCTTCTTGCGTTCATCAGACTCTCTTCAGACAAACCGTGTTATAGGACAATATACAGATTTCGCCTTGCCTGAGCGCGATATATTTGAAGACGACCCCGACGGTCTTTGCTGTGCCCTCCCAAGTCATCAGCAGTTGTATTCAGCATCATATCGCAAAAGTAGGAGTACCTTTTTCGATTTCGCTCTTGAGCCTCGACAAGACTCTGTTCGTTCTATCACTTGCTACTGGTAGAGTGTGTGCATCCGAAGTAGGGATTCTCAGGTAAAACCATATCAAGATGACTGACGTCGGTAGGCCATGATGGCTGTACAACCAACTCATGATGAGCTTGCCGCTCTGTTCTCACGGAACCTGACTTTCAATCCTGATTCTCGAACTGCTCAGGATGTTCCACGGCACATGGACCCCATCGCGGCGCCCTCGTCGACGCAGCACATTGTTTACTCTATTTCGCAGCATTACCACCATTCAACTGCATTGTCTCCGCCCGAGATGCCCGAGAGACGATCATCAGAACCTGGACCAGGTGACAATCTCTCTTCAGAGACCATGCTTCGCATCCATGGCATCAACCCCAACACACTGACGCCATCACAAGTTCAGCTCTTCCGAGTTGCTGACAAGCCTCAGCAGCGACGGCTGCTTGAGCTGTGGAGCATCTGCCCTCCTAACGGTGGCGGCGATATCCCAGCCCTCGCATGGAGCAGCACAACCGTGGAACAGGAGGAGCAGCTAGCCCAGGTCCGATATGAGAGGCAGCAGCAGGAGCAGGAGTTGAGCCTCGACGGAACCATGATTCAAAATCCAAACGGGCAATGGCAGCAACAGCAAGACTGCGAGCCGTACATGACTTCAGGGTACGAGGAACTCATGCGTCGCGAGCGGGAGAAGCAACAAGCCTCCCTGGCATACACACCCGCAACGGACCCCGTCTACATGGGCTCGGACTATGCTAGAGAGCAGCAGCAGATGCAGATGGCATCTCAGTACGGGGCTTTTGAGCACTTCCGCGGCACATCAATGGACCCCATGGATGTTATGTGAGGACTGCAGCAATTCTTCATAATCTGATGATTGAATTATTGAAACCAGAGCCGACCAGCGACGAGGGTTTCTGACGAGCAAGAGCATTGTACCGGGCGTTGAAGCAGAATACCATAAATACCATAAATACCATTCACTGGATAGCATCGAAATCGATTACAGAAATTGTTCACAAAACGGAGTGTCATTATCGGGTATCGCATATCCGTCGGGCGCATAAGTCTAGCATATATATTCTATGTTGGCCGTGGCTCATCTCTAGATAGACGTCTTTTCCAACTTGTTTCTCAGTGCATCAACACTACCATCGGCGACCGAGACAGTAGGCTCTTCCTGCGCCTCCTCAGCTTCCTTAACTAACTTCTCGGCTTTCTCTTCCACGGTAGGCTCTTCCTCCTCCTCCTCCTCTTCCTCTTCCTCACTGTCAATCTCCTCAAGATCACTCAGACTATCAACACCCCAGTCATCTTCGACGACAACATCACCGGCATTCTTCTCTTTGCGCTCCTCCAAAAGCTCCTGGAGTGCGAGGATGGACTCGTCGTCTTCAGAGAACTTGTTGCCGTTGAGTTCGATACGCTTAAGCGCGGGCAGGGCCTCCTTTGCAGCGGCGGCGAAGTCTTTCACGCCGACAGCGGTGATTTCGTTGTACTGCAGGCGCAGGGTCTCGAGCTTGGCGTTTTTCCCGCTGGCGAGCGCCGCAGCAAGGGCGATACCACCCTTGGCCTTCAATAGGGAGTCACCAACGCCGAGTTCCTTCAAAGAAGACCATCCTGGTACAACCTTGGCGAGTGCCCTGGCACCCGTGACCGTAAACGTATTATCCTGCAGATCAAGGACCTCCAGCTGCGGCGCGGTCTTGAGGCCCTCGCTGAGTAGGTGAGAGATACCCTCGGGCCGAATACCATTCTGGACCATCTTGATCACCTTGATCTTATTGTGGAGGCTGTAGGCCTTGGCCCATGCGGTCATGCTGCCATTCTCCAGACGGTTGCGACCGCAAATGACGGTCTCAAGGTCGGGAACTTTCTTGCCTTCCTTCCTTGCCTCCTCCTTCTTAGCATGGAGCGCAGTGAGCGCATCCGCCACGAGGATGCCGGCGTGTGGGCCGAGACCATTGTTGTTCAGGTACAAGTGCTGCAGAGGCACATGGGCTGACAAGAATGCCACAACGGGGGCTTGTGTGTTGAGGCCAAAGGCGTTATCGTTGAGGTTGATCGTGTTTAGTTTCGGAAGGTTGAGGATCGATGTAAGGAGGGAAGAAAGGGCCTCGGGGATCTCGCTGAGAAGTCGGCCAGTAAAGATGTCTGCAAAGTTTGCGACCTGCGGGCATCTGCGTCAGTCGTTGCTGCAGAGCTTGGCTTGAATCCATACCTTGAGGTTTTTTTTGGTGGCCAGAACCTCCCCGAGGAGTTTGCAAGCCCCAATACCTAGGGTATTGCCCAGGATCCTGACTTCTTCAACATCTTGTTCGCGGAGGCCTGCGATATGAGGCTCGAGATCGGCTTCAGTGGTGAGCTTGAGGCCCTTCCCCTCCAGAGAGAAAATAATCTTGCTTTCCGACATGTTGAAGAAAATATACGAATGAGGTTCCGCTCCGTGGATGTTGCGAAATGCGAAATGCTCAAGTCGCAGCGGGCAAATGTCCTGGCAAAGAAGGGGTTGTTTGTTATGGTGGGGGCGGGGCAACGACGACGAACACTGCCAAAGCTTGAGCCTTGAGTGACCGAGTCGGGCCTAACCCAGGAAAGCAGAGGTGGGTCTTCCGAGTCGGACATCCTGGGCGGCTCAAGGTTCTTCCGAGGTCCGACCTTCGCCTGAATCTCCCGTCGTTGACGACGATGCTCCAGTCCTCACGTGATGATGGCCAATCAGCATCGGCCCATTTCGGAACGCTGGATTTTCTCTGATGCCAATGAAAGCATGCATCCATAGGCCTCGCCTGAGCCTTTTCGAACCTCCGACTCCGATCTCAACCTCCATCGCCGTTCTTTCCGATAGCGACCTCCCCTGCGCATCGCAGTCATTTTGCCCATGATGTTGGCGAGGTCTTCTTTGCGCTCGACGCGCACCCTCAATGGGCTCCGAAATGGCGCGACCGCTGTCACCAAGGTATGCCACGCACCTCGTCCCGTCCCTTTACCGAGGAGGACAGCAACCACCACATATCCACGCCTGCGATCGCCATCCCGACGACAAACGATTGGAATTGGACTGGGATCACAAAGAAGGGATGATGCTGACTAGTTATTTCTGCAGCGGACGATTTCGGCTAGCTCTGGTGCCGCGAAGGAAGCTACTCCTACCTCCATGAACATTGCCGCCGTCGCTTCGACTTCCCTGGCTGTTGGCTCCATTGCCTGGTACTACCACATGTACGGACCTGTGGCTCACGCTTCGACACCTGCTGAGGAGGGGTATGTGGACAACAGCGCTGCTGGACGGTTTACTGCGGCCCTCGACCAACTGCTGAGGAGCTGCGTGATAAACGTTCACGCAAGCCCAACCCACAATTGAGTACTGTGAGCTGACGAGACACGATAGTCTTCACCCCACCAAGTACCCCTGGGTTCACGAGCAGTGGTTCAAGACCTTTGACCACCAGGCGTAAGTATCGGTCTTGCTGTGCAGTCCCGAACAAGGTCGCTAATTACTCTTAGCCTGCGCCGAGGTTTCCAGGTTTACCAGGAGGTGTGCGCCTCGTGCCACTCTCTCAGCCGAATTCCTTACCGTACGCTTGTCGGCACCGTCCTGACCGTCGACGAGGCCAAGGCTCTCGCTGAAGCCAACGAATACGAGGGCGAGCCCGATGAGCAGGGCGAGACCACAATGCGCCCTGGAAAGCTCGCCGACTACGTTCCCTCTCCTTACAAGAATGAGGAGGCTGCCCGATTTGCCAACAACGGTGCCCTGCCCCCTGATCTGAGCTTGATTGTCAAGGCTCGCCACGGTGGCTGCAACTACATTTTCGACCTCTTGACTGGCTACCCCGAGGAGCCCCCTGCCGGCGCCGTCGTCGCTCCTGGAATGAACTTCAACCCCTACTTCCCCGGCACTGGCATCGCCATGGCCCGTGTGCTCTACGATGGACTCGTCGAGTACGAGGATGGCACCCCTGCCTCGACCTCGCAGATGGCCAAGGATGTTGTCGAATTCCTCAACTGGGCTGCCGAGCCTGAGATGGACGACCGCAAGAAGATGGGCATGAAGGTCCTTGTTGTCACCTCTGTACTATGGGCGATGAGCGTGTGGGTCAAGCGATACAAGTGGGCTTGGCTCAAGTCGAGGAAGCTGGCATACGACCCTCCCAAGGAGAGCAAGGTCCGCCACTGATCGAGATGCCGTCGGTCGTGTCTGGATTTGTACACTAGTCACCCCCTAGATCAGCTCATTTGTTAGCGAAGGCGGGCGGAACTGGGTTGGGAAATGAAGAGAGAGTTGGAGAAGGGAGCGGAAGCTAGAGTGTAAATCAGCTAAACGTTTTCAATACTTTTATTTTGTCCTACTACAGCGTCTATTCGGCGCCCTTCATCTACATGTTCTAGACGCATCAAACTTCCTGCCAGCAAGTATGTGACTGAGCTGCTAGCAGGTAATTCCTAGACTACGAGTCCCCGATGGGCGATCTAGCTACCGTAAGAAGGCCCCGACTCGTCTGCTACGTTCCAGTCAATTCCCAGGTCCTACCATTCCCAGTCTCTGCGTCGCCTGCCGGCTAATGCTGCGAAGGGGCCTGAATGTTGGTCAGGTGGCTGGCGCACCGAATCCCGCTCATGGAAGACTTGTTGGCCACTCACGGCCGCGATACCCGCTTGTAATGACCCGCCAACCAGCAGTTTAGAGGTGTCCATCAAATCAAATCCCGACTGCATGGCAGCAACTGCATGTCCTCTATCCAACGTATTTCAACGTACTTTCCAAGACCACTCGTCTCAGGCATCTTCTGGGGCGTGATTGGAACGTGCAGCTACCCTTTCCTTCTAAATTATCCTCTGCTTCGAACATTTGCTGTTGGCGGATTCGATCAACGCCCATCCATCCCATCGTGCTACCGTCCGAAACCGCTGCTTGTCCAGTGCTCTGGCCGCCATCGAGCTTTTCTCCAGACTGCACTTGATTACTGTCTTCCACAACGCCAGTAACAGCCATGCCATTTGTCGAACCGCCTCGAAAACGACGTCGAGACGACCAAGGCGAAGAATTCCTCTACAACTTTTTCAGCCCTAAACGGGCCCAGCAAGACCAACTCAACAGTCCACGGGAATGGCCTATCCGAAAGGTCATCCCATTACCGAGCAAACGTGCGAGATTTGATTATCGAGCCCCAGAGCACATGCTCCATGAGAAGCAGTACGACATATTTCCCCGGCAAAAATCGAAAGGTACCAACCTGCTACTCATGCCGTGCCACATCTGTGGCGATCACCCTTCGAGGGCATCTCAGCTGGACGGGTTTGCTCATTGCCAAGGTTGTAGCGAGTGGACATGCTACGTCTGCATACGGCAATGTCAGGGCTGGATCGATGAAGAAGAATCCAATGCGTCCATGATTCTTGAGCAGGAGGTCTTGTCACGATCATTCGAGATGAAGAACTTTGACGACGGCAACGTCTCTCCCAAGACAAGGATACCCTACGGAGAAAAAACGCAGAGAACAGCAGGAGGAGCATCTTGGAAAGCGAAAGGACACCAGAGCATAATATGCCGAGGATGTTGCGTTGAGCCAAAGGAGACGGACGGGGAGGTTGCGTGCCTGGGTTGTTATCACCAATTTGCGGCCGCGATAGGCGTGTAATGGGGAGCGACAGCAATGGCATAGTGATGGTCAACTTCTCACCATATAACGGCACGACTTTGCATTTCGACACGACGGATACCCATGCAGAGCACAGTGGAGAGGAACATTTCACTGCCTGGCCTAGCATTGCATCTTTTTTCATCAGGGCTTACTGGGATTGGGACTGGGCACGGGCGTTCATGCTTTAGGTACGGATATATATCGTCGGATCACACAATGAGAAGGTAGTAGACGACACACAAATGCGCCGCGGATGGGGCATTTTGAAATGGCCATGCCTGGACAAACGCCGTCTATTCATCAACGAATCTAGCTCCGGCGCACCCAGACCCATCTAGTCGTACACCATGATAAATAAGCCCTGACCGGTTATAAAATTCTAAGCGCTTAATTGTATTGCATGTACGTCGCTGTCGAGTTGAACTTGAGGTTACCCTTGATCACCTTGTCGACAGCACTGAGGAAGTCCTTCTCCGACGCTACCTTCCTCCGCGCACGGATGGCGTACATGCCGGCCTCAGTGCACACGCTTCGAAGCTCGGCACCTGTGCTGTTGGGGCAGAGACGCGAGATCAGCTCCCATCGAATGTCGCGCTCGACGGACATGCTCTTGGCGTGGATTCGGAGAATGTTTGCACGACCTTCGAGGTCAGGTAGGGAGAACTCGATCTTGCGGTCGATACGACCGGGACGCATCAAAGCTGGGTCGAGAGTCGAGGGTCTGTTGGTGGCGAACATGACCTTGATATTTCCTCGCGCATCGAAACCGTCCAGCTGTGTGATGAGCTCCAACATTGTTCGCTGGACCTCATTGTCTCCACCGGCGCCGTCGTCGAAACGGGCACCACCCACGGCGTCAATCTCGTCGAAGAAGATGATACAGGCCTTCTTCGTTCGCGCCATCTCGAACAGCTCGCGCACCATCCTCGCACCCTCACCGACGTACTTCTGCACGAGCTCAGAACCAATGACTCGGATGAAGGTAGCATCGGTCCTGTTGGCAACGGCTCTCGCGCAAAGTGTCTTGCCTGTTCCTGGGGGCCCGTACAGCAAGGCACCCTTGGGAGGGTCGATACCCAAGTTCACGAATCGCTCTGGCGAGAGCAATGGCATCTCGACAACTTCCCGCAGCTTCTCGACCTGTTCTTTGCAGCCACCGACATCGCCATAGGTCACATCCGGCTTTTCCTCGACTGTCATCATGGTAACGCTGGCATCGATCTTGGGCGGTAGCGGCAGCATGATCTGATACTTGTTGCGGTCGACGCCCACTCGCATGCCTTCTTCGATATCTGTCGGACTGACGCGCTCGCCAAGTTGAACGACGAACTTTGCGATTTGCTTAACGTTGATAACATATTTGCTCTTCGACTCGTCGCCTTTCTCATCTGCAATAATCTTCGTGCATCGTGCGACCTGGAAAGGCTGTTCCTCTGACATGCGTTGACGGTCGGCGGCGACATCCCATAGATGTGGTGGTGCGAGTCCGGTATCTGATTCCTTGAGAACAGTCAGGACAACTCTCTAAAACGCGGGGCGCGTGCTCGCTTACTTTCACGCCAATCTTCTCATTGACGCTCTGCTGTTTGTCTTTGATCTCCTTCTCGAGTTTCTTGAGGGCGGTTCCATATGGAGCGGCGCCATACGTCTTGAGTACTTGGATATCCCTAACACTGGTGAGCGGACTGCGACAGCCTTTGAAACTCGAAATCATACTCGTCAGAAAGAGGTGTGATTTTCTTCTCTTCTACCTCATCGTCGGCAAAGTTCTTCTGGTACTTTTCCCAGCTGGAGCCGGTCGCGGAAGGCTGTTGCTGCAATTAGCGACATCTGTCATGAGGTGACGTGCGTCGGCCGGACGTACCATGTTGGCAATCCGCTTGATCGAGAGATATTTATCGTGAAAACTTCAGTACCCGCGGTCAAACGAGTTTCTGAATATAGTTGTTGTAGACTGTTAAGGGGAGAGTCGTGGACGTGACGCTGGATGGTGATGAAGGGCATGGAAGTCAGAAGCATGCCGTAATCTGCGTTGCCTTGAGCCTGGAGCTGCACGCACGGACCCTCGCAGTGGCAGTTGGAGCTGTGTCGCTTTAGTCCGAATAAAGCTAGCGCGGGATGTAGCTGCACCCGGAAGGGGATCATCTCGGGGTCCGAGCAGCCAAAAATTCTAGGATGCAATGGCGGAGTGAAGGCACATTGCTAGGGCAGAAAGTGGGATATCTGGAGGCTTCCAGCAACAACAGATTCGTGTTTCTCACCGCATCTCGACAAGCACAATCCCTTCTCGAGATCAAAGAAACCGCAGACATTTCTCAACATGGCTACTCAAGCTGCGCCCAGCGGCAACAACAGCAATGCCACTTTCAGAGTACGTCCAGCTCCTGTGAAGCTCCAAATTGCCCCGCTGACCGCGCCCAGGATAAGGAGAAGCCGATGGCGGTGCGGTCTGCCAACATTGTCGCAGCCAGAGGTATGCACACAACTTCGACAAAGACAGCTGAGGTATGCTAATCGCTTCGCAGCCGTCGCAGATGCTGTCCGAACCTCACTCGGCCCCCGCGGCATGGACAAGATGATTCGCAGCGGGAAAGGCGAGACGATTATCACCAACGACGGCCACACGATGCTGAAGAGCATGTCGGTCATGCACCCCACAGCTAAGATGCTGGTTAACCTGGCAGGAGCGCAAGACATCGAAGCCGGCGATGGTACTACATCGGTTGTTGTCATCTGCGGCAGCTTGCTCGGCGCTGCCGAGCGTCTGCTCTCCAAGGGTATTCACCCCTCCGTCATCTCGGATGCCTTCCAGCGTGCAGCCGCCGCCGCCGTCGAAGTCCTCCACGACATGTCGCAGCCAATCTCGCTCAGCGACACTGCGTCCCTTCTCCAAGCCGCCAACACATCCCTATCTTCGAAGATCGTTTCGCAGTATTCGAACCTCCTGGGCCCCATGGCGGTCAACTCCGTCACCAAGACCATCGACCTCAAGACCGCGGAGAACGTCGACCTGAGGAATATCCGCATCATCAAAAAAGTCGGTGGAACGATCGAGGACAGTGAGCTGGTAGAGGGCCTAGTTTTGGAACAGCCGGTGCTCAAGAATGCCAACGGGCCGGTGAGGATGGAGAAGGCAAAGATTGGCCTGATTCAATTCCAGCTCAGCCCCCCCAAACCCGACATGGAGAACACAGTTCAGGTCAACGACTACCGCCAAATGGACAAAATTGTCAAGGAGGAGCGTCTCTACCTACTGAACATGGCCAAGAAGATCAAGAAGGCTGGCTGCAACGTGCTGCTCATCCAGAAGTCCATCCTGCGCGACGCCGTCAACGATCTTTCCCTGCACTTCCTCGCCAAGCTAGGTATCCTCACAGTGAAGGAAATTGAGCGCGATGAGGTTGAGTTCATTTGCAAATCTACTGGGTGCAAGCCTATTGCCGACGTCGACTCTTTCACAGCCGACAAGCTGGGATCTGCTGACCTCGTCGAGGAGGTCCAGTCCAGCGGCAGCCGCATGATCAAGGTCATGGGAGCCAAGGCTACCGGCAAGACCGTGTCAGTGGTGGTTCGTGGCGCCAACAGCTTGATCCTTGAGGAGGCTGAGCGCAGTCTCCACGATGCTCTTTGCGTCGTCCGTTGCTTGGTGAAGAAGAAAGCTCTCATCGCTGGTGGAGGTGCTCCCGAGATTGAGATTGCGGCACAGCTCTCGAAGCAGGCTCGCAGTCTGACCGGGACTGAGGCGATCTGCTGGAAGGCTTTCGCGGACGCCATGGAGGTCGTCCCTACCACACTGGCAGAGAACGCGGGATTGAACAGCATCAAGGTCGTCACCGACTTGAGGCACCGCCACGAGATGGGAGAGAAGAATGCGGGAGTCAGCATCAAGTCAGGAGGTGTCAACACCAACATCTCCAAGGAGAACGTCTTGCAGCCCCTCTTGGTGAGCACAAGCGCCATCGAGCTCGCCGCAGAAACTGTCAAGATGATTCTGAGGATAGACGACATTGCGTTGACAAGATAGAGAGCATGACACTCCGCCAGGAACCTGTATGATAATACCAAAAGGGGCAACCGCGGACAATGAAGAAATGAAACAACACATAATGTCTGTGATCACATATATACTATGAATTTGCCGACACAGCTTTATCGTCTTTCTGAATGCTTGTGAAATAAAGGGAAAACACTGCCGCGAGGCTCCTGCCTTGTGCTACTGTTGAAGCGAGGCGCTGAATTGATCAGTCGCGACTTCCCTCCATACTATTCTTACACAAGACCACACCTGGTAATTTGCTCCGGCCTTGAATTGACTGGTAGTCTTGCAATCTTCATCAAGCCCACTTCAACAAGCATTTCGAATTGGCAAGATGCCACCACGCGCCAAGAGGACCCAGCAGTCCGCTGACTATGACTCTGATATCGACGGGATCTTCCAGGCTCAACAGCGAATTCGTGAGGTAAGGCGTTCTGCGACTATGTGAATCGCTCATCATTACGACGAAGCTTAACCTCGTGATTAGTTGAAAAAGGAACAGAACGGTGAAATACAAAAAGTCGTGGGCGAGACAGAGGCACAGCTCGAGAAGCTCCAGAATCGAATCCTCACCACGATGGACGAGAAACACAAGCAAAGGCACGATAGATCGTGTGGCTCTTGGCATCAGCAGCTAACAGCTCAATACAGCGCGAAGAACCACGCCACAGATATTGCTAAACTTGCGGAAAGTGTCGAGAGGAGAGCCGAGATTGAACGAGAAATAATCAGGTTTACAAAGGCCATGTCGTCCAAGATGCACGAGCTTGAGACCATGATGCTCGAAGCATATGATCACAGGGTCAAGACTGCCAAGGAATGCATCGGCCATGGTTGAATAGGGGGGTGCCAGACCGTCGTTGTTCAGAGTGATATCGTAGCGCTATTCTGCGCTAGCAACAGGGCGAACGTGGTGTCGTGAGAAATTTAAAGAGTCTATTGCGCCGTCTCATCTATCTTTTGGCCGTTGAGTACACGTATAGTACAAGTCGTACACAGCTCCGTCGACAAGCTCCTTTCATCGCCATCGTTTAATGTTACACATTATATCCGAACCCGGCCATGCAGGACTTGTATTGTTCTACCAAGCTCTTGCAGTCGGCAGCAGGATCGTCGGCCTTGGAGAAAAGCATGCACTCGTCGCGCTTCGCCTTTTCATCCTTGCATACGCAGCAGGGCTGGCGGGAATGTTAGCCTACGACTCGATTATTGCGAAAGGGTGCAGTGGGCTAACCTTGGGCTTGGAGACAGCCTCCGCAGCGGCTGTGACGGAGGTGGGAGCACCTGATCAGGTTAGCTACTGTGTGTTGGCTCGAACTGTTTCTTCTAGATATTCACGTACCTGACGTAGCGATTTTGCCTTCCATGGTGTTGTTGTTAACCATTGACTGTTGCGAGCCCATGTTGGAATGTGCTGATGCTGACAATTAATCAGTTAAGTGTACGTAGATCATGGCGACATCAAAGAAAGATGACCCGCGGCTTATCGATAGCGGCGCCATGATTCATAAGCCAAGGCTGACCAATGAGCGTGCGTCGCACGCTCAAATGCGCGAGCTGGACTGCGAGAACTCTCCAAGGATTATTAGGTACCTTCACGTTACTAGAATGTGGAAAAAGTGTGAATTTGTGATGACTATGATGCAACAGCCGGCTATTCGGCTGCGAAAATAAGGCCTAACGCCGTCGTTATCAGGTTGTCTGTATACTGGCTGGCGATCGTGGCTGTCTCTTAGCCGGGGAAGCATGGATCGCGTTGGGAACCTATGAGCTTGACTACGACGCTGTTCACGGTGCTCGCCGAGGTTGGCGACAAGCCTTTGGGCTATTGGCAGTTCACAATTAGTGATTATGAAAGGAACCGACTGACCCTTTTCCCGTTGAGAAAGTCATCGCCAAGTTCCGACAGCCGCCTGTGAGTCAACGCTGCGGACTTGCAAAGCCACAATTCGTCACTAGCCACACCCTGCGACGGACTTTCGCCCCCCCCACACCCACCCAAACCAAGGTCACGACCAGCCGCGTGGCGAACCACCTACCCGATTCTCACACGTTCTAACACCAGCTTGTTCCACCCCTTCTCCCTCCATCTAATCACTTCCATTCAGGAGAGGCGATATTGCGAATCACCATCTGCCTAGCTGACTGTTGCGTGTCCCTGGCACTGCCTGGTTGGCTCATTCTTGTATATAGCCTAGGTGTAGCTACTCCGTACCTGTGAAAACACCGTCTCTTTGACATCTCTTTGCCAACCAATCCAATCTCAAAACATTACCATGTCTTCCCAAGCAAACAACAACAACAACAACAATGCCAACAATAGCACTCGAGCTCCTCGTCCGGAGGACTTCTTCGCCTCCTTCTTCCCGGGTCTAAACCCACCCACCGGCAGCGGCGTTGATCATCTCGGCAACGATTTCTTTACCCACTTGGCTGGTGCCTTCCAACCTCCTCCCCCTCCGCCGCATGCTGGACCCTGGGCCGGAGCTGCTTTCAGCGGTGATTTTGATGATTGGAACCCTTGGCTGCACCACGGGCCTCCAAGGCATACTCATCGTGGGGGCGGCCCTCATCGTCATCGACATGGCCAGGGCCAGGGCCCTGGACCACGAGGCCATCACGCCAGGGACGAACAGCAGCAACAACCTCGTGATCCGGCCTCTGCCGGCGAAGACGTACCCGATCCCGCAGAAGTGACGCCCGACGAGGACTCATCATCTTCCTCCCCGGGTGGAGCTCGCCAGTGCCCGCGCCGTGAGCAACAATTCAACCCCTTGGCGAACGCCGCGCAGAGGATGAGCGAGGTCCTGAAGAACCACCTTCAGAATTACAACAATGCCTCCTCTGCCACGAACAACGGTCCAAGGACTACCGACAATGATGTTGACTGCTTCACTCCCCCCATGGACCTTTTCGACGCCGTCACGACTTATACCCTGCACACTCCCCTACCCGGTGCAAAGAAGGAGGATGTCGGTATCTCCTTCGATCCCGAGACCGCCAAGCTGTCCATATCGGGAGTTATCCACCGCCCTGGCGACGAAGAGTTCCAGAAGACGCTTGTAGGCAAGGGCGAGCGTACCGTGGGCATGTTCAAGCGCGAGGTTGAGCTGAAGGACGAGGTCGACGCGGCGGGTATCACCGCCAAGATGGAGGATGGCATCTTGATTGTGACCGTGCCCAAGGTCGAGAAGGGCTGGACCGAGATCCACAAGATTGAAATCGAATAGAAGAGATACTATGGACACTGGTGGACGAGGTAATTAGCGACGCTGCTTAGGCTCTCATTGGAAGTTGCAATGTTGGCGTTAGGTAATTGGGTTTTGAAATATGCACTTAATAAACAAGGACAGAGATGATAATAATTTTGCTGTGTCGTTCTCGTGGACTTGGGTCGTGGTACTGACATGTCGAGCAGCGCAGGCCAGCGTTCAATCGTGGACTTTGACTACCTAGACCAAGCCTTTCCGCGATAATGACATGGTCACCCACTATTGTCTCAGAAGGGGAGAAGACATCGACGGTCGCAAAGTTTTCTCGATCTAGCTCAGGGTATCACTAGGCTTCGTAATACAATCAATATACACACGTACATGGTATTATGGGATTCCAGCGGCCCTCCCACAAGTGTCTGTCGTTTGCCTTGGTACGCCTCGGGCGCCGTGGGAACGTCTCCAACGTACAAGCTGGAAAAAAAAGTCAAATTACAAAACCGCCCTCAATGCCAAAACGCCATGCTGCAAGGCAGATTCAAGATATCTTCCAAAAGGTTTCTGCGAAAATCGAATGCTGGAGAGGTCTCAATCAACGGCTGCGTTGCACGCTTGGTCGGCGCAGCAACTGTACACTCAGTGCCTCCATACTGGTTTGTTGTCTTTCGCTGGAACTTCTTTTCGTCGCATCGCTAAACGAGAAGCTGCCAAGGCCTGGGGGCTGGCACGCCCAGTGCTGCTTTCTCGACGAGCCGTAGTCGTAGGTTTCGCTTGCGGCAAAAAGCTAGTCCTACGCGATGTCGATGCTAGCGAGCTCGCTGGCCGGCTGGGATGGGCCTCCTCCATAGAAGAAAGAGCTCTTGGCGGTTGAAATGAAGCCCTGCGGTTCGAAGAGGTTGACGAACTGGCCAAATCGACTGAGGCATTTGACCCTTGTACCGCCAAGCGTGGCTGCTGCAGTGCCTGGTGTTGCCTGGGGGTTGTCAAGCGTTCGCGGAAAGAAAGTCGAGAGTGCCCAGTTCTAGTGGGAGTTTCATCGACTTTTGGTGATTCCGACGTTGCCCTGCTGAGCGGGCTACGGTACATAGGTAGTTTGGATGTGCTCGCCGACCCAGTTGTAAAAGAAGACACAGAGCGCTGCGCGTGAGGTGAGTTCTTTGCGTAGGGACTTGGTGTCGTTAGGCTCAGTGGTTTGAAATGATGCCCAGTATCAATGGACGAGGTGTTAGTTGATGTGTTCCACCTCGGTCTATAGCCTAGAGTCGAGCTTGGACGCTGAATCTGGCTCGGTGGTCTAGGAGTGGTAGACGAAGAACTGGAGACTGTGGCCAGACGAGAGGCGCCACCTCTTTTGGCAGCGTACGCAGGAGCTGGCAGAGATGACTGTCTTCGGTATGCGACTCCATCATTGCGAATGTTACCCGATCGGCCTTGGGAATAAGGTACATACGGTTCGACACCCAGGCTTGACATGATCTCGGACGACGGCGGCGAACTGCCAGGGGTGGCCTGGCTGCTTCCCAATGGAGACCTGTCGTTCGAAAGCATGGTTGAGACCGAATCGCGAAGCTGCTGACTCTTTCGCTCAGCGTGGAGCTCCTCGCAAGCAGCATCCATTTCGCGTGTCTGTTCTTTGAGTGACGACCACCGTGCCTCCAAATCAAGGTGCAGACGCAGAATCTCACCATTGACTGTGATGCGATCCTTGACGCCCTTGTCAATAATTGACAAAACTCGCTCAATGGCAGGTCCATAGTGTGTCTTTTTGGCCTCATAGCTCTCCAACTTCTTGATCAGTGCCGGACTGGCCATCTGGGCCTCAGCATCCATAGCCTCGCGTAGCTTGGCCAGGGATCTTTCGACTGATTCATGCATCTTCTGAGCCTGCCTTCCCGCCCCGCGGAACACAATGACCCAGCGGTCCTCGCCAAGCTCCTTGCGTAGCGATTCGGCATCCTTCTCGAGTTTTTTGTAGCTCGCGTCCAGCCCTGTTCTCCGCATCTCTAGCTCCTCGCACGCAGTCGGGAATGCATGCTCGGCGCGAGTCTGGAACACCGAGAGTCTCATGGGCAGAAAATCAAGGGAAGCTCGCAAAGGCTGCATACGAGCAAACAACGCCAGAAGACTTGAATCATCCTGCGACAGTGTAGGCGCACCCGGGGTATTCGGAGCGCCGGGCGAGCTTGGATTCGTCGAGAAGAAAGGAATGCTCAGGCGGTTGTTCGCTTTGCTCTTGGTGATTTGCGGCGGGGTATCCTCGACGATTGTCTCAAGATCAGCAATGTCCACGCCGTCGCCTGCCGCCGCCGCTGCGATGCTCTTGTGCCTCCTTTCCTCCATCTCGAAGACTAGGCGGGCCAATTCGTCCATCTCGCTTTGAATGTCGCCCAAAACATTGTTCCAGAGCTCTTCCCATTCCATAGCGATTTCCACCTGGCCCCGGACATTATGGAGTGTCGACCGAATGCTGCTCCATTCCCCTACAATGGCTTCCATTTGACTCACAGCGCGTCTCAAATCTTCAGCGGGCACTTCCTGTATGTCTTTGCGAGACTGAAGCCTCTCAATGGCGCCGACATAGACGTTGATCAAATCTTCGAACCGAACGATCGCGTTCTCAACCTCAGTCAGCCCTTCCCTGCCTCCAGCTGCCGACCACTCCACATCATCGTCGCTGTCCAGGCCAGAAATGACCTCGGATGCCTTTGAGATCCAGCTCCGAATCTGGTCGGCGGCATTTATCAGGGCCTTGGCAGCAACTGTCGCTGTTGGGATCGCCGATACCTTCTCGGATAAGGATCCAGCATCTGGCAATTGTAGAGAGGTCAGTTGTGCAAGTTGGTTGGCGAAAGAGGCACGCGAAAGTGTATAAATCGATCCCGGGCGGTTGTGGCCAGGTGTGAAGTACGACCCCAGCCCAGGTGTGAAGTCGTTCGAAGCTGAAGTAGAGGGCGGTGTCACTGGCGGTGGAGTTTCTTTCGGTGGCGGTGTTGGAGGTTTTTCGGGTTCCTCTTGCGCTGCAGGAGGTGGGTGCGTGTCTCGCTCGATGTGCTCTCGACGAACTTCAGGTATCGACTTTGTACCATTGCCGTTGGCATGGTCAGGCAAACGGTACTTTTGCGTGTCCATGGCCAAGGCCTCCGGAACCTCAATATCGGGAGGCTGGGGATCAGACTGTTCAAGTTGACACGAGGACCCGCTGTCGACAAGCGAGTCTGGAGTATCCTCTTCGAGGTCAGGTTTTCGAGAAAATATTGTTATCGCACTAGCGCCCTTCCAAGGGCGGCCGCGCCTGACGACCACGGATTTGGAAGAGCCTTGTTGCAATTTTTCGTCGAGTTCGCGGAGCTGATCCTCGTTGAGGCGACCGATGCTATCGAGAGGGGCTGTTGTCGTTGCCGTCGAGGGCTTTTCTCCGGTGCCGAATCCTAGTGCTTTGAGACGAGCCGCCAGGCCTGGGGATGGTTTTCGGATTGCCGATCGCGAGGTGGACGGGGTTGCGGCAAGTGTTGCATTCGGCGTTGACCACAAACTGTCGTGTCGCGTCGTTGAATGCGAAGAGGACGAGCGCGAGGCAGGGCGACGGGACGTATTATTTTGGAGGCTTGGGAGCGACGAGGAAGCAGTAACTCCACGGTCAGAAGCGGAGGAATTGAAAGGCAGGTGAGATATATCGCTAGACAAGTCGCTAAAGGTTATGAGTGTTGCTGCATCATGATCCTGCCGGTGCTTGCTGGCTGCTGCGTCTCTATCTGCATGCGCCGTGGGGTGAAGCTGGGGTTGGGATTGGACGCAGACCTGTCGCTGCTCGCTGACGTCCGCCCGCTGGAGCTCAGTTGGAGCAGCGTTGGCCAACGGATCGGTGTTGCTTGTCAAGCAAGATTCACCACTGTCCTCGATTTCAATTAACGCATTATCGTAAACGCGAGGCTCTTGGAGTGCTTCGTCCAGATCCGAGATACTGTTTTCGCTGTTGGTCATTGAAACCGACAAAGCCCAGCCTAGGGTGCTCCGCCCCTGACTAGCACCGAGAGCGAAGGCCAGAAATTGCCGGGCAAGAACGGGGCTGGCAAGGACCACTCAAGCTGAGACACGACACACTCGCTGTGCCCCTCGGGTTCCGTCGACTTTTGGTGATGTTTGGCGCAATGCCAAAAAAAGCTCGGCAGATGGAGCGGCTAGCTTGCAAACAAAAACTGTGCGTGTAATTGAGCCTCCTGAGTAGGTGCGAGAGAGTCGATACGTAGTCCTGGTCTTGGTCAGGTTGTTGCGGCACAGACAGCACTGTGACAAGATGGAGAGATCTGTGAATGCTGCGCTATGAGAAATAAATGCGCTGTGTGAACCGACAGACTTGAGGATTCTAATGAATGATAGATCGCAATGGGCTCGCGCGTTGGCTTTGTCGGAGAGTCTGAGATGTAGTAGTGGCAAATGTCGTTCGCGCGGTTTGCGCAAGCACCTGGTCGGTGATGAATATGAGGGTAAAGTGGTTTCCAGGTGATCACCCAAGAGTGAGAAGGTAGGAGAAAGATGCAGGAGGGAGAGAAAGGTTGTAGAGACGTAAAGACGGCCGAAGCTGATGGTTGGGGAAGGTTGTATGCTGTTTGAGGGAACAAACGGGGAGAAGGTGCAATAGCAGTAAGAAAAAACCTGCGTAACGAGCAGGTTTAAGTGACAATGAAAAGAATGAGAAGAAACGTGAAAGGAGGGCAAGTTGGCCGACAGGTGAAGGTATGTAGTGCCGAAGGCAAGGGGAACAACAGTCGCTCGATAATTACATGCGAATCGAAAAGAGAGTCTCAAAGGCTGTCTCAGTGACGAACGAAGCTTGAAAGCTAGAGGTTCGCGATGATCGATTAAGCTGCCGCAGCTTTTTCGGGACTAGCGCCGAAGCTACCAGGATCAGTTCCAGTCAAGCAGCTTCACCTCCATCTCATCTTAATATTGCAAATTTCGAATGACAGGGAATCCTGGGTTGCACTACGCGGCTATTTGCTGTCATTGTTGAGTTCCCCGGGTAAATAGCAGACCATGCTTCTGGACTTCTCTACTTCAAGTACTTGGACTGGCGGGTGGACCGTGGTTCTGAGCTCAACGGACATCGCGTCTACCAACTGTTATAGGTCTTAGCAACCTGCATCATCCTGCATGATGCGGCCCAGCCATCGCATCGTCGAAGTGCATATTCTCACACGGTGGTCTTGAGCCAGGCCCGGCACAATCTTTACCTGAACGTATCTGTCCCGGCCCCAGCTTGTGTAAACCTATCGACGCAGGTCTATGCATTGCGCGCCCAATTAGTATCCCGCCTGTGACATGCTCCTGCGATCATGGACGATCACATATTTGATTACCTCCTGGACGAGTGTCGAGATGTGAGTGAAGCGACCAGCTATGTGGAGATCTTGAATTATTCGGTATGTGGGCGGCCCGCCGAAGTCTACGAAAGAGGTGCTGACCCGGATCACCAGGACCCGAAATGGAACACTTGCGAGCAGCACGCATTGACACTCGATGAATTCGAGAATTTCTTGCATCGAAGGGTTCGTCAGCATTGGAGACCCTTCAATGGCCAGCTACTGATGCGACACAGGGGGCCTTCGCGCCTCCCGAAGGGTTGCCAACTGGTGTGAGACTGCTCAACGGCTTAAGGCTGATGTAAGTAAAGCTCCTCTAAGCTTCGGGAATGCTGTAGTAGCTCACCTCAACGGTCAAGAGTACAAGTCAACGCCAAGCATCCAGACACCTTCGCACCCAAAGTTATATCCCTCCCCAAGGAGTCCTACTCGAGCATGGTCAACGCCATGAAGCTGCCGCAAAAGGGCATTGAGACGAGTGCTGTTGTTGGGCCATTCTTCTGGAGCTCACTAGACCACGACGATGACGACCCCCATCTTCGTAGGCCAACGCCCTTCTTGCCATTGGTGTTTTCTCACTAACGACATATCAAAGACGTTGTCCACCGCAAGTCTGATGTACGAAAGAAGGGAAAGACGCGCGGATGGGAGCTTCTCCTCTCCCACTCATTCAAGACATCCGTGACCTGCGGCTTCATGAAAGGCACACCAACATCAGACGTGCACCTCGCGCTAAGACACATCAGCTCAACTCCCTCCGAGACGGGCCACCCTCTTCTCCTGTCCCTCTTCTTTCTGTCTCACGACCTGAATCCCGCCAACGACCAGAAGCAGCGTGATGCGAGAGACTGGTTGAGAAGACTAGAGAATGCGGTGAGCATGAGAGACGAGGTCGACGCCAGCGAGACCTACTTCAAGGAAGATGGCTTCGTGGAGATTGACGGTCTGAGCAGGGACTTGGTAGAATGCCATGGACACGTCATGTGGAAAAGACCACAGGCTTACGCAGCACTATGTGGAGAGATCAAGAAGGCGCTGGGACTGTTCGAAACAGAATACAGAAGAAACCTTGGTGATGCTCCAGGAAAGCGAATTCTGAAGACACACCGGCAGTTTCTTTCGAGGGTCGATTTCTACCTGGCGAAACTCAAGGGCCTGGAGAACTACATCTGGACAACTTTGGAGAGGCTCAAGGTTCAACGAGAAGGGGTAGGCACGCAAATCTTTTTGGCCATAGGTAAACTGACAGAGATAGCTATACAATATCCTTTCTCAGCGAGAGGCGAGACTCAACCTCGAGATCGCAGGTGAGCAGAGGAGGATTGCTCACGCGAGCAAGCGGGACAGTACGGCCATGAAGACACTCTCGCTGCTAGGCGCCCTCTTCCTGCCAGGAACCTATCTTGCCTCGGTGTTCGGCATGTCGTTTTTCAATTTCGAAGCTGGTATGTCCGATACGTGTAGGAGTTTTGTGTGGACCACGTCAGCTAACATAATCGCGCGAAAGATGCCACTCCCGTCTCGGTTGATCTATGGATTTATTTCGCCGTCACAGTACCAGTTACGGCTCTTATTGTTGTGACATGGATCTGGTTCGATAGAAAGCGAGAGGCACAGCACAAGAAGGATGATGCAGACTTGGAACGGAATATCGACCAGATGGAGAAGGACATTATGCGTAATTTACGCAAGAGGACCATGAGTAAAGCGCACACTTGGAACACGGTCACCTCGCCGCCCAAGGCAGGATGAGCGTTGAATACACACATGCTCATAGAACAAAGACGCAATGGATTACATAAAGGCTGTTGGTGTAAAGTTCTCCGCAACTCCGGGCCCGTCCATGCAGGGTTGTAGAGGGCCTCCCGCTAGTATGTGTTGTCCAAAACAAATCCAATGGAGCAAGTCCTACAGTCTGATTCCGCTATCACCGCCGAACCATCGCCGGATGTCTGAGTTATTGCGCTCGCCGCCACCTGGTCGTTCTTGTGGCTGGGGGCCACTCTCAGCGTCATCATCACCTCCCATCCACTTGGGCTTCTTGAAATCTTGCATCCACCGGGGTGTATCGATGGTGTCAATGGTGTTCTTCATGCGATGACCAATGATTGCAAAGATATTGTCATCTTCCGGTTCTTCGAGACGCGATGTTCTTGAGGATTGGCCTGCGCGCCCGTTGTTGCTATTGCTCGCCAGTGCTGGACGGACCGGTGAGCGAGCCGGCGAGGTGCCTTGCCTTCTCGCCGAAGGGATGGAGAGAACCGGCGCAGAATGACTGGGGTTGCCGGTGGCACTGGCTAGGCGGGCGAAAGCATCCTGCCGACGCCCAGTTGTGTTGCCACGTAGCTCACGTTCAATGAGGTCCCGACCCTCACGCCATGTTCCTGTACCAAAGGCTGAAGGGTTCTCCTCCTCATCCTCCACGACGTCGAGCCCAACAAAAATGCGCTTGATTTTGCCGTAAACGCCAAATAAAGTGGCAACCACAGGAAGCAAGACGAAAACGGGCAACAGATCGTCGAACCAGCGACCCAATGGTGTCAAGTCGATGGACTCACCAAAGAACTTGTAGAACACCGTTTTGGTGTACACTCTGCGGACTAAAAAGGTCATAAAGTTGTATGATATGGGTACTGTAAGCTTCGCAACTTGCAGAGCGTACCAGAAGGCCGACTCGTAGGCCGTGTTGCGCTTCACAAGGGCGCGCCCACGCCAAGTTTTGACCTCGGTCATGGTGATGAGCGCAGCAGCGCACATGTAGCAGATCCAGAACGAGGCAATGCATTGCCCGGCAAAGCCAACCTCGGCTTTGTCCTTGCTCCAGTGATGGACGACGGTGAACCGAATGACGGAAAGCCTTGGGAAAGCCACTTTGATGACTTCTGACCAAACAATGCACGCCGACGATGCTGCGAGGAAGAGGCCCAGCAGCACCTGAGCGTAGGGCAGCACTTGGAAATGCAGCATGTGCCGCGCGTATGGTGTTAGGACCCTGGTCCTTTCCCACAGGCCCGCATGAGGGTCTGCGTCGCCGAAATCTAGCTTCTTCGAGGCTGCAGAATCGATGATTGCTTGTGTCTCCGCGGCTTCTTGGATCATATGGTTCCACTGGCTGACGTATCGCGAGCGGGTATGTCGGGCACGCATGAGGTTTCGGGTCAGGTCCGCAAGGTACTTTTCGGTGATGACGGTCGGGATGATTCGGTTTGCCGTGGGATCGATTGTCGTCGGTGGCGCATGGTGTTCGCCCACGTCGGCCAGCTCCTGCAGTTCCTCGATCCAGTCTCTGAAGTCGGCAGCGCTGCCCACCTTGCGCCTGCTTAGCTCCGAAACTTGATACTCCAGCTCTTCCAGATTGACCAGGGAATCCTGCATACGCTCGTACAGCCGCGGTGCCTTGGTTTGTAGACGGCGAAGTCGACCCGTAATACTGGCGTTGCGAATCAGGCGGCGGGGTATTGAGACGAGTCCATGACCCATGAGGTAGATGGCGAGAACCAAGCCGTAGACATAGCCCAATGCCATGACTAGTCCCTTGAGCGAGGCGAAATTGAACCCATACGAGATGACCACGTAGATGAGGCCGAGAAGACTGGCCAACAGGACCATACCCATGAACTGGGCGTTCGATCGTAAGGAGTATGCCAGCTTCGCGCTTGGTTCACGGTAACCCGAGTCGGAGTATTCGGCAAGGATGGGGAGAAGGAACCTAGACACGTAAGCCGCAGCAAAGGACATTGGAAGCAGGCAATCTTACCATGTCAGGACAAATGTCAGCCAGTACGTGATGCGCCAGGAGACCAGAATGGCTCGCTCGGGAAGCCATATTCCGCGTGAAGCATCATCGTCCGTGATTGCGCTCGATGCCAGGTCGATCGGAACGAGAACCACCACCACTGACGGTAGCCAGAGCGCAAAGAATATGGGCAAGAGATAGAAGGCAGGGGTCGATCGAAGTGGGAGATAGTGTCGCAAGATGCCAAGGACGACGAGCGATATGACGAAGAGAGCGCAGAGCGCGAATATCGTAGAGCCTACCGGCGAGCTCTTGCTTGTGATTTCCAACATGTTAGTGGTACTGATATCCACGCCATACGCGCAAGTGTGAAGAAGTTCGATTGATTCAGAAGAAAGATTCGAGGAACCGAATTCTTGTCTTGGCCAGCCAAGCCAGGGGAAACCGGGACACGCACTTGCTCAGAAACCCGACGGCGTTGACAGGAGGCTCCACTTTACATCACTCCGCCTGCAATCAGTACAGTGGAATCACTGCTCGCTCCCAGTGGCGGTCTGCGTGGGTGCCTCGGCCGCAAGGCACTCTTGCATTCCTTTTCATCTTCAACCGCGTAAAGTAGGACGCGTCTGGCTTCACGCGAGTTTCTCTAATTCTGAGGGCGCTGTGAGTTGTAAGAGTAAACTTATTACTGCGCAACTCATCTCAAACGCATAATTGAACATCGGCTATTTCACAGTCAGACAACCTCACGATGGCTGACGGAACAGACATGGAGGAGTGTGAGTTACTCTGCGTGATGGAACGCTCAGCGTGCTGACCTTACACAGGGATGGTCAGTTCCAACGAGGCGCTCAGCATCTCCCTCGTTGCGCCCACAAAGTCTGGCCTACAAAACATCACGACTTTCAGCCCAAGATTCACATACTCGATATTTGGCGAGGATGAGCAGATCTTCGGCTACAAGGGCCTCAAGATCAGCTTGCGGTATCGCGCAAATGACATGCGCCCACACCTCAAGATCTCCTCAGCCAAGAAGATCAAGCCTTATGGTGACAGCGAAGCGGATGACGTGCTCGCGATTTTGACGGAAGGCAATTATCTACCGAAGAGTGTGCCTCCATAGTCACCATGGCGAATGCGGCGGATATGCTGACAGACATAGTTGCCTACTCCAGAGAATCGGATTTCGAGGAAAGTTCAAAGCAGGTTGTAGACGACTTTACACCGCCCGGCGAGCTTCACGATACATTCGATGGCCCTGATGGCCATTACGAAGTGTGGAAGGGGAGTCTCGCGGACCCTGCTGTGAAGCAGCTCAACACGCGGGTGCAGATGCTCGTGCCTCTGTTCATCGAAGGGGGCACTTATATTGGTCAGAACGACGAACCGGAGAGCACGGTAGACGAGACCAGTGATGCGGACCGATGGACATTGTTCTCGTTGTATCGCAAGGACGAGTCTGGCTATGTCTTTGTAGGCTATTCGACTGTCTACAGATTCTACTGGTTCCAGAACCCTACACCCCCTGCTTCGCCACGGGATGGCTGGGAACTGCCAGAGGGCAGCCTGGATCTTGCCGAACTGCCCTGCCGCAAGAGGCTATCCCAGTTCATCATTCTGCCTCCTTTCCAAGGAAAGGGGCACGGTGCGCAATTGTACAAGACGATCTTCGCGCACTACCACAAGCAGCCGCAAACACAAGAATTCACCGTGGAGGACCCGAATGAAGCGTTCGACGACTTGCGAGACATTTGCGACCTGGAATTTCTCAACAGCATGCCTGAATTCAGGGCGCTCAAACTAGACACGAGCGTCGAGCTTCCCGAGGAAGGACCTCTACCAGACCTGATCGTTGGTCAGAAGAACTTGGAAAACATCCGCCAAAAGGCCAAGATTGCACCGAGGCAGTTCTACCGTGCCGTCGAAATGTACCTCATGTCACAACTGCCCGCCTCGGTCCGTCCCACAATGGATCTCGAAGCCGACATCCCCTCCCCCACCAAGGAGGACAAACACCAGGAGTTGCTCTGGCAGCTTGTCGCCAAGCAGCGCCTCTACCGGCACAACAAAGATGCTCTCTCGCAGATGGAGGTCGACGAGCGCAAGGAGAAGCTCGCAGAGGTGCTGATTGGCGTGGAGCTCGGCAACGCGCGTATCCTGGCCGCTTATGAGAAGGCGATGGAACGCTCGAAGGGTGCTGCTGATGGCAAGAGGAAGCTCGAGGGTGCCGAACAGAGTGCGAGTAAGAAGCCCAAAACCTAAGGATCTCATTGTATAGTATTTCAATGTGGCACGGATACAAGGCCAGTGGCCTCTGGCGTTTATGGTCAAAGAATTTGAGTGCATCATAGCGGACAAATAATCCGCTTCTATCTGTGGATTGGTTCATCATTTTTTACCTATTTTTTTCAAGACAGAACCTCTATGTAACCTTTACTCGTGAGGTACGCATGTCTGCGTCTACTCACTGCGGCGGCTGGTTGGAAACAAACCTTGTGCCGTTGACGTTTTGGACTCCTTGCCCCAGTTGGCTAGCAACAACAGTCGCCTCGCGCACAGCTCTCGAGATAGTTCCCCTGGCGCGGCCCTCCTCGAGAACCATCAATCCGCCAATTGTGCAACCACCGGGGGTGCAGACCTTCTCGCGCAGAACGGCGGGGTGCTCGCCGCTCTGCACCAGACCGGTAGCTCCTCTCATTGTCTGTGTAGCCATGCGCCTGGCCTCGGCGCGCGGCAATCCCATCGCCACAGCACCATCGATCGCAGCCTCGAGCATGAGCAGGAAGAACGCAGGGCCAGATCCGCAAAGGGCTGTCGAAGCGTCCATGTTGCCAGGGGGCAGGTAGACGACATCGCCGATACGCTTGAAGATCCAGGTGACGAGAGCCTGGACATCCGAAGGCAGGGGAGGCGTTGTGGACGCAATGACCGTCATGGACTCGCGGATCAGGGCGGCGGTGTTGCACATGGCGCGGACTATGCGGCAACGGCCGTCCTCGGTGGGATCTTTGGAGGGGACTGCTCCGTGCAGAGCGACCTCCATGTCGTCCACGGTCACACCGGCACAGACACTGATCAAGAGCTTGCCGTGCAAAGCCTTGGCCATTCCGGGCTCGGCAAGGAGACCCTTGACCATGTACGGCTTGCATCCCAGTAGGACGACCTCGGATTGCTGGACAGCGCTGACGTTCTCGTTCTGGACGACCTTGAGATTGGACGAGTGCTCCCAGAGAGCCGACTTGACGCGCTTAGCGCCCTCGGGGCTGCGGACGCAAGCGATGAACCGAGAGGGCAGACGAGGAGGGACCTCGTCAGCTGGTGTTTCGTTGGGTGTTTGGAGGGGCTTGGGTCCGTTGATCTCGTGGAGTGAAGTGAGGATGCCGTTAAGGATTGCAATGCCCATGGTACCTGTTGGGTCAGCACGAGCATTACGACTCGATCGTGGGATATGTACCGCATCCTAGAACGCACATGGTGAAGTCCTGGTTCTCATTGCCGGTCTGCGTGATGGATGACATCTTGAAAGGTTTCTTGCTGGTTTGGCTATGCAGTTGCTATACGTGTAGGGTAGTCTCGAAGTCCGTCAACGTGGAATTGGCTATCTTCAGAGTGACAGGCACAATTTGGAAATAAAGAATCGATTGACGATACAGGGTACAAAAAGACAGGTGTCTGAATTTTTTGAGATGTTATTCTTGCAGCCGTGGCCAGACAGCAACCGCGCGACTTTTCCAAGCCTCTCCTCCATTGACAGTTGACTTCGGACATCATCGGCCCCGCCATGACGCGCGGGGTGTAGCTGGCGGCATAGAGGTTGGTGGGGTGGGAGATGCCGGAGCTTACCCGGACCGACCCTGTACTTTCATGCAGGCGATTAACTATCCAGTCTGAGTTATGCATACCTATCGAAGCTCTCACTCAAGCCGACTGAGTCCACACACTAACAGATCATCGCAATAGAACCAATAATTTTTCAAAGCAGGCCACTTGGCTCTCATCCGCGATACAAATCAAGGACAAGCGAATCCCGTACAGCATAACTCTGTTCAAACTGGTTCACTGGTCTACCGCCCACCATGGCGGACCCTTTTGAGGTCCGCATGAAGTTCACCTCTCAACTGCAGCACTTGAACGCCTCAGTCGCATCCGCTCAAAAGGCTGCCCAATATGCTTTGCGCCACAAAGAGATGGATGAGGACTTGCACTCGTGTATTTTGGAGCAAGTGGAAAGGGTGAGTCCCGGGATTCTGGTACCAGCGTGAGCACGTCGGCTAACCGAACAGAACAACATGAACACCAGAGCAAACATTATGTACTTTATCGAGCATTTCCTGGACTCGGCGCAAAAAGACGGACACCGAGACTATGTGCGCATGATGCAAAGGGACATCATTAGGGTGGTGGATGCCGTTGCGCCAGATGATGGCTCAGGGGCTGCGAATGTCAGGGTCGTTCGAAAGGTACGCCAACCCATCCCTACGTGCGTGAGGCTTACTGACGAGCTATCAGGTTCTGCATGGGCTGCAAAACAAGGGCTATATAGAGGCGCAGGCGGTAGACCAGATACATGAGGTCCTACGGGAGCGGGAGACGACGTCGGACGACCTGGGCCTCAACTCGCCCCACGGAGATGTCCAAATGGCCGACGCTCCTCCGTCGCAAACGATGCCCAAGGCCGCTCGCCATGGTAGCGGACCTCAAAAGATGGACAAGCGCCAAATAGAGCAGCGCATAGAAGAGGACCGCGAGAGGCACAAGCGTGAGAGGGAGAATATCTGGGCGATACCGGCCGGACCTGATGCGGAGATGAACAAGATGTGGGAAGAGACGAGCGACTGGGGAGAGGACGATGATCGGCTCCTGGCTGAGGAAGCGGAGGATTTCCGGAAAGAAATGGAGATGAGGAAATGCCCGCATAGGGACGCGATCAATGGGGAGGCGGGCTAGCCACCAGACGTGGCCTTCTTGATGGAAACTGCATATATCGGCGTTGGACAGCACAGCACACACATCTAGCGGGAATATATATCAGGCTGGGCCCTTGTAGCTTCATCTTGGCACACACCGTCCGTCCCTGTTGAATGTTTGTACAAACAAGAGAAATCCTCTTATAGATACTAGTACATGCTGTTTTGTACATTGGGACGATTTCCCCTCTATTGTATAAGACCCAAGACCACCACTCCCCCAAGTCTTGGATCAGTTTACTCCATGACAACCGTCGCGCCGAGCTCCTTCATGGTGGCAATCATCTTCTCCGCGTCCTCCTTTGTCACATTCTCCTTCATCAACTTGGGCGCGCTCTCGACAAACTTCTTGCTGTCGACCAAGCTGAGGCCCAGCAGGCTCTTCACTTCCTTGATCACCTTGGCCTTGGACGCGGTCTCGAATCCTTGCAGCTTCACGGTGAAGAGGTGCTTCTCCTGGGCGGCGGGCGCGGCTTCCTCGGCTTCCTCGACGGGGGCGGCGGCGGGCGCAGCGGCGAAGCCGCCTACGGGCAGATCAGGAATGTTGAGCTTGGTCTGTTTGCCTTGTCAATGACCCGTTTTGGCGAGTGTATCCATCCGTCCTTGGTCCGTCGGCGCACATACCTTTAGTGTCGACACGAGATCGGCAGTCTCCAGAAGAGTCAATTGGCTGATTTGGTCGACAATGGTGTTGATCTTGGGGTTGGTCGCAGCCGCCTCTGTCGAGTTCCACCGTCTGCTCGACACAGCTACGCGCATCGTCTGGGCTGAAGGGGCGGCGCGCAGCTGGCGGGCGCAACTGCGGGCGGCGTATCGACATGACATGGCCATTTTGGCTGTGATAGAGATTTGGCCTCTGGGACGAGCGAGCTGCAGCAGCTGATGGGAGAGGTGTTGTGTCGAGAGTCGCGTGCGTATGTTGTCGTGGACTCGAATGAAATGGATTGGACGGCATCTCCGAAAGTTTTCCAGCTTCGGTGATGAACTGGGGTTATGTGGAGGTTCTGATTGGCCCGGAGTTACGTATGGCCTTTTGCCGGCAGTGCTTGACCATCAACGTCGATGGACATGTTTGCTCACGGCATATATTCATCACAGTAAGCATTTTTTGCTGATGGCAATCAAATCAGGACGTCTGTTTACTTAGCTATGGATGTTTTAATTGCATTAGACTGATGGCAACGCGTCTGTTTTATCGCGTCTGGCTCGTAGTTTGCTCCAGATACATGGACACGCGGTGGGCACTAAGGTGTCAACAGCCAATGCCTATGCTCTAGTAGAATATTTGAAATGTAATCTTTTGTTCGCTACTCCTCAGGAAAGATTGTTGATGTTGAATCCAAGTCTGATCTCTGAACTCTGACCGCGACGGGAGAACTGGACCCTGCAGCTACTGCTGATAGACCCATAAAAAAAAGTTACTGCCGCCGCCAACATAGACGTTCATCTTCGCAAAATCTCAACTTTAATCACTCTCTTTACATATGAGTACCGGCCTTTCATCGCTAAACTAACGGCGATGGACATCTCTCGGCAGACGAGGTCGCTTCTGAAGGATGCGACTGTTTTGGACCATCTGCCAGCCGAACTACTCGGAATTATCACCAACCAAGCGGCGAAGCTGGATGCAGTTTCGGAAGCAGCTTTGCTGCCACCACTCACAGAACGAATTTTCGCTCATTTTGAAGAAGCCTTTCCTGATATTTGCGTGCGATGGATTGTCAACTCCCAATTGAGCGAGCAGCGCCGCCTGATCACATCCTCAGCTCTCGCTAGGATATTGCCTTTCGCTCCATACCTGGCCACTTTTCTGGATCAGTCACAGAGTCACACAAGCATTGGTGATGGCCCTTCTCGGATATCTTTGTCACTAGCCGAATTTTCATTCCTGCTAAGCTCTTCCGACGATAAGGCCTTATTACAGCACCTCGTCACGGTATGGCGACTGGTGAATTTCGATCTGAGAAGGTTCAGGCATACCTTCTCGCCTGCGCAGGCCCAGAACCTCTTTACGCACGATAGCAGAGCTGTCAGGTATCTAGCTATCCGCATCTATTGTCTTCTCCTTCGAGTCGCCGATTACAAGCTTGAAGCGCTAGTCAAGCAACACGTTGGTCTGGAAGAGGCTGTCAAGGGCAATCTTGATGGAAACCTGGTCGATTTAGGATTCTTGACGCTTCACGAACATGCGCGAGTCGAGAGAACCCTCCAGCTGCGCGACGAAGTACGATTACAGAAGGCGGATGACAGGGATGAACAAGTTCCCCAGACGTTGACGCCCTATGTGGTTGCCTATGGCAAGGCACTTTTGCCTAGACCTGGAGGCCCCACCAACGCCCCATCCAGTACGGTACCGACGGCGACGACGATAGGAAACCTCGAGCAGCTCGCTCGCCTGTTGCAGGCAGAGGATCCCATCCTGCTGCACGGACTACCTGGATCAGGAAAGACCTCCCTGATTCACGAGGTCGCAAAAGAGCTTGGAATGTACTCTGGGGTGGTCACGTTGCATCTGAACGAGCAGACAGATGCCAAGATGCTTGTTGGCCTCTACTCTACTGATTCGAAACCGGGCAGTTTTTCATGGCGACCTGGTGTACTGACCACGGCTGTGAAGGAGGGGAGATGGGTATTGGTGGAGGATCTGGACCGGGCACCGACAGAAGTACTGAGTACCCTCTTACCCCTGATTGAAAGACGGGAGTTGTTGATTCCCAGTCGCGGCGAAAGAATACGGGCTGCCAGTTCGTTCCGTCTGTTCGCGACTCTCAGGACGTCTCGTGGGATGAATGGCCGGGAGAACCTACCAACCATCGTCGGCATGCGCTTTTGGCAGGCGATGCACACCTCGGCCCTGACGGAGCCTGAGATGGAAGAGGTCGTGTTGAAAACCTACCCCGTGCTTCACAAGTTCGTTCCCGGAATTCTGGCGGTCTACAGCCGACTTGGTCGGTTAAGTCGGTCCTCAGGCAGCGGCCGCGCGTTGACGGATCGTCCCATGAATCTGCGAGACTTGCTCAAGTGGTGCCGACGATTGCACGAATGCCTCACGGGCGCCGGGACCAAATCAGGCGATGAGCCCATTACAGAGACCACAAGAGACTGGATGTTTATGGAGGCTCTCGACTGTTTCGCCGGCAGCTGTGCGGATCCAGCCATGAACGCGAAAATTTCGCGAGCCATCGCCGAGGAGATGCATATTGGGAAAGAGAGAGCAGAGCATTACCTCACCGGGTACATCCCCGCTCTTGAAGAGAACGAGTCCTCCTTCAACATTGGGCGGACCCGACTGCGAAAGAAGAAGCTAGCCAGCCGTGTGCGGAAGCAAAAGAGGCCATTTGCCAGCACGGCACATGCCAAGAAGCTTCTCGAGCAGATTGCAACAGCCGTGAATCTTAGCGAGCCCGTTCTGCTTGTCGGCGAAACTGGCATTGGTAAAACGACAGTAGTACAGCAGCTCGCAGATTCTCTGGGCCACAAGCTCAACGCGGTCAACTTGTCGCAGCAGAGTGAAGTGGGAGATTTGCTCGGTGGGTTCAAGCCGGTCAACGTCAGAACCCTGGCTGTGCCTCTCAAAGAGGACTTTGAAGATCTCTTCGCGGCCACCGGCATCTCTGCGTCGAAGAATGAAAGATATCTCGACAGGATAGGCAAATATTTTGCCAGGGGTGAATGGGCAAAGGTCTCCAAACTCTGGAAAGAGGCTCCCGTCATGTTTTCGCAGATCTTGAAGCAGCTCGAGAAGTCACAAGCACAGCAAGACGAGACTCGAGACACCGACGAGCAGCAACCAGCCAAGCGACGGAAGACGCAGTCCAAACTTCAGAGCTTGCTGGACTTGCGACCGAGATGGCAGTCGTTCTCCCAGAAGCTTGAGCAGTTTGATGTCCAGATCTCGGGCGGCGCCGACAGTTTTGCCTTTTCCTTCATGGAGGGCAACCTAGTCAAAGCTGTGCGCAATGGAGACTGGGTCCTGTTGGATGAGATCAATCTGGCCTCTCCCGACACCTTGGAGAGTATCGCCGATCTCTTGACAGGCCCTGCGGAGCGTCCGACCCTCCTTCTTTCAGAAACCGGAGAGATTGATAAGATTGTGGCACACCCCAACTTCCGCATTTTTGGTGCCATGAACCCTGCCACCGACATTGGGAAGCGCGATTTGCCGACTGGCATCAGGTCGAGGTTCACTGAACTCTACGTTCGCAGCCCAGATACGGATCTGAAAGACCTCCTCACCATCATCAAAACGTACCTCGGCAGCAGTAGCTCCAAACATGATGATGCGGCCGTCAGCATTGCGAATCTCTATCTCGATACCAAGAAGATGGCCGAGGATCGACGCTTGGTGGATGGTGCGAATGAGGTGCCACATTTCAGTCTTCGAACATTGACCCGAGTGTTAAGCTATGTGAGCAACATTGCCCCCTTGTACGGCCTGCGGAGGGCTCTGTATGAGGGCTTCTCGATGGGCTTCTTGACTCTGCTAGACCGCAATTCGGAAGATCTGCTACAGCCCCTGATTCGTCGTCACCTCTTCAGCGATCATAACAACTTCCAGTCACTCCTGTCGCAGCCGCCCAAGCACCCAGATGATGGAAAGCAGTACGTCAAGTTCAAGAACAAGAAAGGCGACCGTCACTACTGGCTATTTCAGGGTGCCGAGCCGGTGCACGAGAGGAGCGACTACATCATCACACCGTATGTCGAGCGCAACTTGCTGAATCTCGTGCGCGCAACATCAACGCGTCGATTCCCCATTCTCATTCAAGGCCCGACTTCGGCTGGTAAAACCAGTATGATTGAATATCTGGCCAACTACACCGGGAACAAGTTTGTGCGCATCAACAATCACGAGCACACGGACCTCCAAGAGTACTTGGGAACGTATGTCTCGGCGGCGGATGGCAAGCTACGGTTCCAGGAAGGTCTGCTTGTCCAAGCCATGAGGCAGGGCCACTGGATCGTACTCGATGAGCTCAACTTGGCGCCTACCGATGTTCTCGAGGCGTTGAACCGACTTCTTGACGACAATCGAGAGCTCCTTATCCCCGAAACCCAGGAAGTCGTAAGGCCGCACGAGAACTTTATTCTCTTTGCTACCCAGAACCCCCCGGGCCTTTACGGTGGACGTAAAGTGCTCTCGCGGGCTTTCCGCAACCGTTTCTTGGAGCTTCATTTTGACGATATTCCCGAGGACGAGTTGGAGACTATTTTGAGAGAACGCAGCCGCAACACCTCGCCTCCCGACTGCAAGCGCATCGTTGAAGTGTACCAGAGGCTTTCCAAGTTGCGCCAGACAAATCGACTCTTCGAGCAAAAGGACAGCTTTGCAACTCTCCGTGACCTTTTCCGCTGGGCTCTTCGGGAAGGCGACAACCGACAACAAATCGCAGAGCATGGTTTCATGCTGCTTGCTGAGAGAGTGCGCGACGAGGAAGAAAGACTTGCCGTCAAGAAAGTAATCGAGGAGGTCTTCAAGGCCAAGATTAACCTCGAGCAGATTTACTCTGCCGAGTCAGCACCGGAGTTGAGAGGTCACTCGGGGAAAGACAATAGCCAGGGGGTGGTCTGGACTCACGCTATGCGTCGTTTGTACGTTCTCGTTGCGCGAGCACTCAAGAACACAGAGCCTGTCCTCCTGGTCGGCGAGACTGGCTGTGGAAAGACGACTGTCTGTCAACTTTTAGCCGAAGCCCTTCACAAGGAGCTGCACATTGTCAACGCCCATCAGAACACGGAGACTGGCGACCTGATCGGCTCGCAACGCCCTATTCGTAACCGAGCATCTATCGTGGAGGTATTGGATGCTGACGTCAAACGAGCGTTGCAGCTACTAGGCTGTGAATTAGGCGACTCGCCAGAGGATAGGCTGCAACAGTACAAATCTTTCAGCGGCGAGACGCTTAGCTTCGTGCCTCAAGATCTCCAGCAGCAGATCACCATCAACGAGACACGCAGCAAGGCCCTGTTTGAGTGGTCCGACGGAGCTCTCGTCGAGTCCATGCGACAAGGACAGTTCTTCTTGCTTGATGAGATCTCCCTTGCGGACGACTCGGTACTGGAGCGTCTCAACTCCGTTCTGGAGCCTCAACGGACGTTGCTGCTAGCGGAGAAGGGAATCGACAACTCCTTCGTCAAAGCCGCTGAAGGCTTCCAAATGTTTGCCACAATGAATCCTGGAGGCGACTTTGGCAAGAAGGAGTTGTCTCCGGCGTTGCGCAATCGTTTCACGGAGATTTGGGTGCCACCTTTGTCCGACAACGGCGACATTAATGACATTGTGAGTACGAAGCTGCAGGATGGCAGCAAAGATTTGGTCGAGGTTATCGTTGCATTCGCCACGTGGTTTGGCGAGAACTTCCGCTCAATGTCTTCGACACGATTCTCCATCCGAGAGATCTTGGTGTGGGTTCAATTTGTCAACAACTTTGCATCGAGGAACAAGCTTGCGGCCCTGGTACACGGTGCCGCTACCATCTTTGTTGATAGCATCGGCGCCAATCCGTCTGCAATCTTGACCGGAGACGGCGAAACCGTGCCTCAACAAAGGGCCAGGTGTTTACGGAAGCTCAGCGAGCTCACTGGCCAAGATGTCTCTGCAATCTACCAGCTCGAGCCCACGTTGATCATGGACGATCGATCACTGACGATCGGTGACTTTGCCGTTTCCAGAACATCGACTGCATCTGCGGATCCTGGATTTGCATTCCACGCACCCACAACAAGACTCAACGGCATGCGTGTCCTGCGCGCGATGCAAATGCAGAAGCCCATCCTTCTTGAGGGTAGTCCAGGTGTTGGCAAGACCACGCTTGTTGCTGCACTGGCGCGCGCTTGTGGGGAGCCTTTGACGAGGATCAACCTTTCGGATCAGACAGACCTGATGGACCTTTTCGGTACGGATGTGCCGGTCGAGGGTGCTGAAGCAGGCAATTTTGCGTGGCGAGATGCTCCATTCCTGCAAGCTATGCAGAAAGGAGAATGGGTTCTTCTTGATGAGATGAACCTGGCATCGCAATCAGTTCTCGAGGGGTTGAATGCGTGCTTGGATCACCGTGGAGAGGTCTACATCTCCGAACTGGATCAAGTGTTCAAGAGACACCCCAACTTCCGCCTGTTCGCTGCTCAGAACCCTCACAATCAAGGCGGTGGTCGCAAGGGTCTCCCAAGCTCCTTTGTCAACCGATTTGTGGTTGTCTATGCAGACGTGTTCTCTGACGAGGATCTTCTCCTGATCGCGTCTCACAATTTCCCCAATGTGGCCCCTGAGGTGATCACACATCTGATTCGGTTCATCTCCAGAATGGAACACGCGACAACAATCGACAAATCCTTCGGTGCTCAGGGCGGGCCTTGGGAATTCAACTTGCGAGATGTACTCAGGTGGCTGCATCTGCTTAATTCATCGGACGACATCCTGCAAGGTGCTCGCATTGACGATTTCCTAAATCTCATTGTGCGGCAGCGCTTTCGGTCCGAGCGAGATCGGGACGAGGTCAACAAGCTGTTCTCTCAGGTCACTGGAGTCAAGCCTCGTGGACACAGCCTTTACCACGATGTCAGCTCGTTGCACGGCCAGGTCGGCATGGCCCTTTTACAGAGGAACCTCCATCGCCAGCCTGAACGCCTTCCTGGCATTGATACCAGACCACGCCTGCCGGAGCTCGAGACGCTCATGATCTGTGTCAAGAAGAACATTCCATGCATCCTGAGCAGTCCTTCGGGCTATGGCAAAACAGTCCTTCTAGAGCACGTCGCCGCCCTGGCGGGCAGGTCATTAGTCGTGTTCCCAATGAACGCTGACATCGACACCATGGACCTGGTCGGCGGTTTTGAACAAGCCGACCCCTTCCGCGAGGTTAACGCCATGTTTGTGACCCTGAAGGAAATGCTGCAAGAGGCTGCTGCGTCGTGCATCCCAGACGCATTCCCTGATGCTGCCCTTGATTTGCTGCACCAGTTGGACAACTACGATGGGGACGTGAACAAGGTGCATTCAATCCAATCAGCAATCGAGCATCTGGCGGCTACGACGCCTGCGAAATCCCAAATCAACCATGTCTTGGGCGTAGCTATCGAGCTACTGAAAGGACCGCTCAAGCTAGCCAACCCGCGGTTCGAATGGCTCGATGGTGTCATTGTCAAGGCACTGCAGCAGGGACAGTGGCTGGTCCTTGATAATGCCAACATGTGCAACGCCTCCGTCCTCGACAGGCTCAACTCACTGCTGGAACCTAATGGTTTTCTCAGCATCAATGAACATTGTGAGCCTGGCGGTGAGCCCCGCGTGGTCAAGCCGCATCCTGATTTCAGGATCTTCCTGACTGTGGATCCTCGATACGGCGAGCTTTCAAGAGCGATGAGGAATCGTGCCGTTGAGATCTATATCCATACCCCACCGCCAGCCGTGGACTCATGCTTTGACAGGGTGGCGCAAGTCGAGGGTGGATTGCACAGACTACACCAAGTGGAGAAGACAACGGCAGTGATTAAACCAGTGGCCAGGGATCTCTTGTCGATTGGCGATCTGGCTATGCTCCAGAGGTTCGCCGACGACCAGAACGCTGAAAAGAACGGTATCGACCATCCCGAGAAAGACGCGCGCGGGAGTGGGACATCGACCCAGGAGAACGTCGCCGAGATCCTGGAGTATTTGGCTACCGAGACTGGCAACCATGACCTTCAGGCAGTCTCTCGGCTGTACGAGGGTCTGTCCCCAGAGACAGTGTCTGTGCTCCGGTTCCACCAACCGATTCATCCACAGTTGAACATGCCTGTCACTCAACGCGTGCCTGACGTACAGGTGGCAGCTTGGTTAGGTGTGCGCTACGAGTTCAACCAGTGGGTGCACCGCATGTTCAAGGCCCTAGACAATTACAAGCGGTCAGTGCAAGGCGCTAAAGTGGCTTCCTTAAACCGCCTCGAAAGGTCTCTTCTCAAGGACCGGGTAGCCATTGTTTCCAAGGACTCGACTGCCAATCTTGCCGAGTTTCTGCGCTCTCTTCTCAGCGTTCTCGTTACACACCTTGGTAAAGCCACTACTGTCAGCTCATGGAAGGAAGTTGCCGCACTACTGCACCTCTTTGAGCGCTATATCCATCGCACGATGGCCTTGGCGACTGCTACCTTCTTTGACGAAGCGAAATTCCAGGCACACTTGGCGCATGGTGCCGATTTGTTTCAGAGCAGACTCAATCAAGATCGAGATGGTGTCGTCTTAGCGTCCTCGGAGGATATCCAACGGAGGCTCCTGGAGGATGTCTCGGAGAAGCTGAACCGTGCATTCACCACTGGTTTCAAGCTGTCAACTGGACTAAGTATGGAAGTTCTGTGGCAGTGGCTCCGTCCCACGCCGTTTAGAAATGACGACTCGTTGCGCAATGCGGTCGAGCTCTTCAAGCTGGCTGCGAGATTCGACGATATCCGATGGAAGACGAGTGCTTCGGTCGCTGACCTTGCCAACGCCTCGGCCGATCTTGCCAGAGCCTATACCGTCGTGAAGAACTCTGGGGCATCTACCGACGAGCTCGTCAAAGCCCTCACTGACGTCGTCGAGAAGGAGGAAACCCGTATTGGTGTTGATGCGCTTGAGCTCCAGCCTTACTTCATGAACGAATTCGAGGCCATCCGACAAATTCTTCTCCTTGAGACTATCAAAGAGAATCGTCCGGGAGCGACACAGGACCGCGAGCTGTTGATCCTCTCCAATGCTTCTTCGCAGTCAAGCATGGCGTTGGCTGATGCTGGTCCTACAAGCTCCCTGTTGCAGACACTTGACTCCTTGGCTACCCAGCAGAAGCATGTCTGGGATGGCAAGTTCACCACTTCGCTCTGGGCGCGCCTCAAGGACCTTGACAATGTTAATCTCCGCTCTTTGGCGATGCTTGAGGTGGAGATGCCGGTTCTCGGACACCATCTGACAACTGCTGACATTGTATCCGACCCCGTCGCCACCCTGAACGATACCCTTGTAGGGCTTTTGCTCCAAGTTTTTGAGGCCCACGCATCAAACCTCAAAGTTGCTACCCAACAGATCCATGATCATCTTACGACGGCACTTGCACCAGGAAGGGCATCGCCATCTGAGTTACTTTCAGACCCTGTCTTGGGCGAATTCCTTGGTTCTGTGGAGCCGCCGCACCTGAGAACTATCTCAGCAACATACCTTGTACCTGCTATGGTAGCGACTGTCGTAAGCAACGAATCAGAAACTCGCCGGGCGTACTTCTCAGCCTTGGCTTGGGTATACTTCAGTGTGGGACTGATTAGCCTCTACGTACCTGATCGTGCCTTTGATCCTCAAATTCGCCCGCAAATGGAGAGAGAGTTCTATGAGGATATGCAGGAAAGCTTGCAACTGAACATCGAAATGCTGAGGTCCTTCGAACTGGAATTCACAGGCCAAGACAGCAGTGTGCGCATTGAGAGACTGCACGAGGAGCTTGAGCAGATGGGTCCCCTTCCGCCCGCCGTGCAACCTGTCTACAGACCGGCCAATCCATCCGAGCTCAGCAGAATGCATGCGGAGTTCTCCAACATTCTGAAGGCTGCCACCAGCCTCGACCTTCCGACTGGCACAGACTCACTGTCTCTGCCTGAGGACTACTCGCTTGCCCCTGATCGTTTGCACCTTGTTCGGGAGAATGTGCAACGGCTTGTTAGTCGTTTGGACAGCCGATATGAAGCTTACCAAGACATGACGGTGCCGACAATTAGCTTGTTGAGAAGTCTTTTAGTAGGACTATCACTGTGCGAAGCTACCTTGGCACAGGCTGCGACCGACGCCACATCCGAATTGCTCCGTGCTTCTCCCTTTTTTGGCAGCGTCGGGCAGCCAGGTACCAAGAGGCTTGACTTAGTCCGTGGGTTTGACTTGCTACACTACATGGGTCTTGTTGTATCCACACAGGGCATCGACAGTCTTGAGTCTGACCAGCGCCAAACAATTTTCGAATGCTTCCATTCGTTCTACGACGAATGGAGCACGAAGCTGGAAGCCGACAAGAAAGCCGAGGCCGCCAACACCAGTCTGTATCGCTTCCAGGGTGGTCTCGAGGATGAGGAAGAAGTCAACGAGGCTGAATTCCACGACCTTTTCCCTGGATATGAGGAGGAAGGCGCTCAAGCCACCATCACCAAGAACAGCGACCAGGTGCGTGATACCTCGATCAAGGTGGCCAAAGCCCACAGCAAGATCTTTACTGCACCAGCTCAGCCGCAGGAAGCAATGTCAACTTTGACGGAGTCTGTGGCGCAACGCGTATCGGACGAGATGACAGAACATGCCTACGTTGATCGCACCATTAACAGTAAGATGCTTGCCGCCAATCTATTGCTGCTCGACGAGAAGAAGACCAGGGTTGCTGCTCCTCACGCCGACTCATCCTACAATTTCTACACGAGCGAGAACTTGGGCGAGGCGCGACGTTTGGTATCTCTCGCGCACAAGATCAAGGCGCGCTTCCGCGATTTGCAGTTTGTCGATGAGATTGGACACATGCAGCCGCTGGCCGATGTCACCATGGCCTGTGACAAGTTGTTAGATGTCACACACACAGAGGCTCTCGCCGCCATCTTGCCAAAGGTTGAGTACCTCCACGCGTTTGTGTACGAGTGGCAATTTGGTGGCTGGGCCAGCAGAACGCACGCCGTCCCTGAGCTACATGACGCGCTGACAAAGGTCATCATCGACTGGCGCAAGCTCGAATTGTCGACCTGGGCCAAGTTGTTTGACACGGAACAGCAGAAATGCCAAGATGATGCATACGCCTGGTGGTTCGTTGCCTACCAGGTGGTCATCGCTGTGCCTTTGTCGCTCGTCGAATCCCCAACTGAGCTCCGCGAGTATGCCATGGAATTGGTCAAGAATCTTGAGCTGTACTTCTCGACTTCTATCGTCGGCCAATTTGGCGCTCGTCTTGCCTTGTTGCGTCAGTTGTGCAGCCATCTCTGCCAGTTGGTCAAGGACTACCCGTCCTTGGACGTTATTCACACCTCTGTGACTAACTTCATCGACTTCTTTGCTCGCTACGAGACCACTGCTATCGAGGCCATCAAGCAAGGTCGGGCCCCTATTGAGAAGAAGATGAAGGATGTCGTACTGCTGGCGAGTTGGAAAGACACCAATATCAACGCACTTCGGGAGAGTGCTCGCAAGTCTCACCAGAAGCTTTTCCGCCTGGTCAGAAAATTCCGCGGTGTTCTTGGCCAGGAGATGCGCGCCATCACCACACGAGGTTTGCCTGAGCAAGACGTGTCAAATGCTCAAGTCCCGACGCCTACGCCAAGTGCTGGACTGCCTCATGACTCCGTTACTGCGCAACTATCCAAGATCTGCGCGGACTGGATGAGCCAGAACAGACGCGTAGCAAATGCAGCAAAGACAGTATCCATCATGTCGCGGCTGACTTCCATGGCTGAGATGAGCACAAGCATGCCGTCAATTTTGGACAGCTTCGTGTCCAGCTTGAACGACTCCATGGCGGAACTTCGCAAGGAAACGCCCCAGAACCTGAACGATGAGAACAAGAACCAGGTCAAGTACCTCAAGACCCGCAAGAGGAAGCTGTTTGCAGACACTCTAAAGGAGCTGAGGCAGATGGGCATCCGACACAATCTGCCCCAAGATCGCCTCGCAGAACAAGACTCCCTCGCCGTGGCCCTCGCCGGCACCGCACCAATCTCACAACACCACGCGGGTGTCGCGGATGCCGCGCAATACTACTTCCACAAAGTGCTCGACCAGGCGCCAACGGTGCGAAGTATGCTCCAGACGCATTCCGAGGAACTAACGCCTGCCGAGATCGCCAGGGGCGTTGGTTTTGTTGAAGGCTTCATTCATTTGCTCCTCAACCAACGTCGCAACCTGACCAATTCGGTGGCTGCATTGTGCGAACTTCAGGCTGCATCAAGACAGCTCAAGGCTCTGGGCGACGTCAAGGCCCACCAAAGCTTGAACCGTGTCGGAGCCGGCAGTAACTGGGTTCAGCTGCTATCATGGCTGGTTCAGATCATTGACTTTGCCGCGCGCTTGATTCAGACGCACGCGAAGCTAAGCGAGACTGAATACGCGGACATTATCGCCCAGTTCCAGCTGTGGTCGAACAAGTTCGGCGAGCGGCTGCGAACGTACGAATCACTGGGCCCGCTTCCCAAGCTCGTCACTTCCACTGCGTTAGCTGATCTCGAGACGGGCGTCGAGGCTGACTTGCAGCTGCTGGGCGATTTCCTCAAGCAGGTCACCGACAAACATCCAAGGCTAAGCTCAATTGTAGACCAGGTTCGACAGTGGGCTCAACTCGAGACATCGCCGTCCACCTCATCTGGTGCATCGCTTCGCTATGTCGACTTTGCTAATGGTGCTTCACAATTATGCGACAAGGTACTCGTGGCCGTGGAGGCTGGTGTCAAGGCTAGTAAGGATACTGTTCAGGAGGAAGACAGTGCTGGCTGGCTGGTCAACCACGACAAGGCATTCGCCCTCATGATCAAGCAGCTGCGCATGAAGCAGGTCACAACCAACATCCTCGAATGCGTCCGCTCCGTACAAGACGTGGATCTCGAAGCGCCCGAAGCCAGCACGGTGGTCATGGGCGTGGCGAGTCTCGCCGCACCGATTGTTGATCAATTCACTCTTGCGTGCGAACAGTCCGTGGGCAGGCTTCTCGATATTCACCGAGCCACAGCCCACATGGCCTACAATCTGACCAAGACATTCTCGCAGATTGCGGCCCAGGGCTTCTGCACACCCCGAGAAAAGTCGGAAGAGACGTCTGAACAAAGCGGCAAGCTCGAGTCGGGCACTGGTCTTGGAGAAGGCCAGGGCGCGGAAGATATCAGCAAGGACATTCAAGACGATGAAGACCTCACTGAGCTCGCGCAAGAGCCAAACAAGGAAGACAACGGAGATATCGAGGACGAGAAGGATGCTGTTGACATGGCTGATGAAGAATTGGAGGGCCAAATGAATGATGCCGAGACGAAAGATGACGAGGAAGGTTCCAACAAGGGCGATGAAGAAGAGGAGGAGAATGACATGGATGAGGAGGCTGGCGAGGTGGACGACCTTGATCAGAATGCAGTGGACGAGAAGACTTGGGACGGTGATGATGAGGACAAGGCCGACAAGGACCAGCAGGGCGAGAAGGCCAAGGGGCAAAAGCAGCAGGATGACCAGCAATTGGCGAACGAGGACCAAGCGAAGAAAAAGGAGGAAGACCAACAGGAAGCAGAGCAAGACGAGCCTGCAGATGAGCCAAATGCCGAGGATGCAGAGGCCGAGCAGGAAGATGTCAAGGCGCAGGACGATCTCAATAAGCAGGATCAGACTGCAGAAGATGCGGATGCACTCAACATGCCGGACGACATGGATCTCGACTTTGACGACAAGGAGGAGCTCTCATCCGACAGCGATGATCTGGATAACCTGCCTGATGCTGAGGAGGAGGTAGATAAACCTGAGGAAGAGGGGAAAATGGAGGAGGACGAGGGCGAGGAGGTCGGCGACAACACTGCGGCGCCACAAGATGCAGCCGAAGACCAGGATGGGGCGGAGAATGAAGAACCGGAAGAGGAAGAAGAAGCGCCTATGGGTGAGGATGAGGTTGATGAAGACATGAAGCCAGAAGAGCAAGAGAACGAACCAGAGGAGGCTTCCAAAGACGACGCCCCTCCACCTCAAGACACAGCCATGGCTGACAAGGACAACGTCGCACCCAGCGAAGTCAAGAGTTCCGGACAAGACCAGTCTGGCGACGCGATGGACATGGACGATGAGTTCCAAGACAATGCGGCCAAGCAGGACGATGGCGAGCTTGGACAAGGCGCCGCGGATCAGGAGGCTACAGCTGGCGAAAAGGGCGAGATGTCACGCGCGAACGATCCCAAAGAGAACGAGCGACAGGATCAGAAGGACTCGGACAAGGACGACGCCGCGCCTAGCAATCCGTTCAAGAAGATGGGCGACGATCTCGAGGAGTTCCACCGCCAGCAGGACGACATCAAAGCCGCCAAGAGCGAGGAGGAGGCCGAGGCGAAGCAGCAGCCCGATGCCGATCAGAGCCGCCGCGAGTTCCAGCACCTCCAGCATGACGACGCAGGTGCCGATGCGCAAGCCATGGGCGCAGCCAACGAGGACGAGGTGCAGCCCATTGATGAGTCTATGGCCATTGACGAGGAAAAGCGAGACCCCGAGAGCCGGGTGATGGAAGAAGACAAGGACGAGGCTGCCCCCGAGGTGGCCGATGAACCTCAGCAGCAGGAGTCTATGCAAGCCCAGGACAAGGAGAAGGACGTCAAGGACCAGGACGATGGTCGCTCCGGCGTCAAGACACACCAGGGCAATTACGACCGGGAGCATACCCCCGACTCGGACGACGAGGAAGACGTGCGCATGGGCGAGGGCGCCAAGGACGAGGAGGTGGAGGAAACGTCGACGCAGCTGTCGGCGACGCACATTAGCAGCGACCGAGAGCTGCGCGACTTTGGCGAGTGCATGCAGCAGTGGGTCGAGTTCCAGTCGAGGACGCACGCCATGTCACTGTCCCTGACGTCGCAGCTGCGGCTGATCCTGACGCCGTCGCAGTCGACCAAGCTGTCGGGCTCGTTCCGCACGGGCAAGCGGCTCAACATCAAGCGCATCATCCCGTACATTGCCTCGAGCTACAAGCGCGACAAGATTTGGATGCGACGCAGCGTGCCGACGAAGCGCACGTACCAGATCATGCTCTGCGTCGACGACAGCAAGAGCATGGGCGAGGCCGGGTCGGGCACGCTGGCGATGGAGTCTCTCGTCATGGTGTCGCGGTCGCTGACGATGCTCGAGGTCGGGCAGGTGGGCGTCATGGGCTTTGGCGCCGACGTCTTCACGGCGCACGAGCTGACGGAACCGTTCGCGGCGGACGCCGGGGCCCGTGTCCTCCAGAACTTTAGCTTTTCGCAGAACAGGACCGACATTGTGCTGCTGATCCGCCAGACGATTGACAAGTTCCGCATCGCGCGGCAACAGCAGTCCAACGGCGACTTGTGGCAGCTGGCCCTCATCATCTCGGACGGCCTGGTCGAGTCGTCGACGCACGACGTAATCCGTCGTCTGCTCCGCGAGGCCATGGAGGAGCGCATCATGATGGTGTTTATTGTCATGGATGACCAGGTGCAAAAGGGGTCGAGCGTACTGGATCTCGGGTCGGCCAAGTTCAAGGATGGCGAGGTGGTGGTGACCAAGTACCTCGACACGTTCCCGTTCCCGTACTTTTTGATTGTGCACAACCTGGAGGAGCTGCCGAGTGCTCTGGCGGGTCTCTTGAGGATGTGGTTTGCCGAGGTGGCTTCGTGATTTTGAATTTGGTCAGCATGTAGAGGCGTTGGTCGATTCTTGAATTTCAACATGCAACTTACTGCACGGCGTTTGGAGGGTATAAAAGTTTAAGTTAGATATATGATAGCTAGCACTCGCTTCACATTGTACATGAAGTCGTTCAATAGATTGACAGATTTTGAAGCCTTGGTACACCCTTGGGCATGCAGGTTCAGGGGTAAATCTTGTGTTGTCTGCGAGGGACGGACCCCCTATTCGCCTAAGCAGGATATGCACGTACCCAACGTCCGAAAACTGTCCCCTCATCAGTCATTAGTCATCACGAACACTCGGTACAAGCTGGTTCACATTCATGTGTGTCTCATTCAAACGTCTCACTTCATCTCACATTGTCTTATTTACTCGTCCCTTTTTATAAGAGGGAGAGACAAAATAAGAGATCTCCTTTTTACGGAGTATACTCGTGCTGTTCCTGGCATGTTGCCCAGTACATATAGAACCCTCCTCCTCCCACGAGTCCGACCAACTCATCTTGCACCATCCTCGACGTCACTCACAAAGCGCCTTGAGCAGCGTCCCTCTAGATCACACAGAAACATGGCGACCAACTCTGGCAACGCGCATCAGTTGCGTCTCAGTATGTGCTCTTCGTTTTGCTATACCTACGATGAACAAGACGACTGACCAGAATGCATAGAAAACCCGACCATCTTGTCAGTACAAGTGAACGTCGTAGATACATGGACTGGTCCACTGTGACTTACACGACGTGCAGCATCTGCGACATGCAAGAAAAGTTCCAGGCCGCCATTCACGAATTTGACAAGATGTACGTGCAGCCACACCGAGCAGCTCCTCAGCGACTGACAATCCCCGTGACAGCGTCCTCACCACACAGAAACTCCTCGCCTTCTCCAAGGCCTTCTCCGTCCCCGTCACAACGACCACCCAGACGGCGGCCAAGCTCGGTCCCACCATCTCTGCCCTGGCCGAGCAGCTCCCGAGCGCGCCGCACGACAAGACAAAGTTCTCCATGGCCATACCCAGCGTGCTCGACTCCTTGCCCGCCGAGTCGAGCATCGCCCTCGTCGGCATCGAGAGTCACATCTGCATCACGCAGACGGCCCTGGATCTGCGCGACCTGGGTCACAGAGTCTATGTCATTGCCGACGCCGTGAGCAGCTGCAACAAGGGCGAGGTCGTCGTTGCGCTCGACAGGCTGCGGGCGGAGAGGGGCGTTACCGTCACGACCAGCGAGAGCTGGATGTACGAGTGTGTGGGCGATGCGTCCCACGCTGGCTTCAAGGGGCTCATTGGCGTCGTCAAGGGGGCGGCTGCTGATACGCGCACTGCTCTTGGGGCGCTGCCCCCCAAGATCTAGTTGATAAACTAGGCTAGCCTTCACCTGGTTCACTTGGGTCTGATCATCAGCATACACAAAAATAATATCATCAGTAGTTTTGACTGAAGTTTCTTCATTGGCGGCGTTCCCGAGCTGCATCTTGTACCGCGATTAATTGGTGCCACCAGGTGCTTCACATCCAGATCTTGGTTCGCCCTCCTCTAACGTCTAATTTGATGTCTACCATCTACAGTTACGTACCAAAACGTTTCGCAGTCAGGTCCTTCAAGCTCTCACCGCTCACCGCTACGGAGCTGTGGTTGGGGTCTTTGGTTTACCCGGAGGTGCCATCCATGAGAACGCCGAGGCGCCGCCGACGGGGTTGGCAGAGCGAGGCAGCGCTGGGCCGTTCTTCTCAGCACGCTCGTCGCGCGAGCTTGCAGGCTGCGAGGCCTGGCTGAGGTCCTGGTTAGCAGGCTTGCTGTCGGATCCGTGGCTCGTAGTACGCTTCGCGTTCCAGCGAGTGTTGCTGTGAGTCCCCGGATCGGCTCCCGTCCCAGCCTGGCCCTTTGCTCGCCCTTCGCCAGCCTTGCCTGAGCTGGAAGTCGGCTCGTGAGAAGCACCCGTGCGCGCAGAAGAGGACGGTCTGGGCGGCTTGAGGATTTTCATAGGACGCCCGCTTCGAGCCGCCGGCAGGTACCCGCTGAGAGGCCCGCTGTCACGAGCCGATTCAGAGCCGCCGTTCGCCCCGTGTCGCCACGAGCCCCAGATCCCAGTCCCCGACTCCCTCCTGCTAGCCTCCGAGGTCACCGAGCTGTCTCGTTTGGAAGGCCTCTCGCGGCTGTCCCAGAACTTGGCGGACTTGTCGCTACTCCCTCCATTCTCCGATCCGCTTGCCCGGCCTGTCACATTCTGTCCTTCGCGATACTTCTGCTCAGTGGGCGAGACAGGATCTTTCTCCCTGTCGTCAACGCGGGCGCCCTGCTCACGAGGACCATGTGCATTTCCTTGCGTTGGCTCTGCAAAGACAAAGGGCGTCGCGTTCGCGTTCAGCTTTGGTTTCCCGGGCACTACACTAGATGTCGTAATGTGCTTGAAGACAGTGTCATTTTCCGGGCGGACAAAGGGGACTCTGATACGCGAGCGGTCGTCACCGTACAGGACCATGGTATTCTTTGAGAACAAGATATCGGCTGAATGGGCCCTCAAGGCATCGCTGCCCACGAAGATTCGCATCATCTGTGTATCAGTGGAGCTCGACCCGTCGACGCCTACCACCTCGAATGAGACCGTCATCGAAGGGACGGAGCGTTCTGGGCTGGTGGAGCGGCTGCTGTGTTGGATCACCACCGCCTCTGCAAAGTACACGTGGAGGCGGATGCGGTAGGCGCCATCTGAGTCGCGTTGCATCTCATCCTCGATGTCGAGCTCCCGGATCAGCGAGTACTCCACCGTCGACTTCTGTGCTCCCGTGCAGATATCGGCATACAGCAGCGTGGCATGCGCGTAGTTGGTTGTGAGCCAGCATCGCACAATGGATGGGACGGTCCCCAGCACGAAAAAGGACGCTGGCGGCCCCGGAATGTCGACAGAAGAGTCATCGTCCTCAACGCCGGCAAAAGTGGTGTCGAGTCCTACGCTGCTCGCGCGCCCTGATGCGACCGAGTGGTGTGAGTGGACGGAATGGCCAGCAGAACTATGGCGGCCATCCGACTTGTGCGAAAGAGTTCGCTCCATCATCAACCCACTGCTAGGTCGCGTAGGGCCAAAGTCGCCCGAGTGGCGACTGTGATGGCCGCCCCAGCTCGAGCCATGCAGTGCACTCTCGTCGAAACGGACACTGTTCGCTCTCGAAGCAGCGCCCCGTCGCGTTGGCTCCTCCTCCGCAGGACCTAAGTGCAAGGAACCCAGGAGTTGGTCACCGGAATCGTCCAGGTCATCAAAGACTTCGCTCTGCGCGACAGGTCCTACTGCATGTCAGAGCTGGATCAGAGGGGTCGACACAGAATTTGGAAATTGCACACCATGTTGGGGAGTGCCGCTCAGGACACCGGGGAACGGCGAGTTCCACACAGATTTGAGTGCTGCGTCGTCGGCCTGGCGCTTCTCCAGTCGTGAGAGACGTTCGGCGTGATTGCTCTGGGCATACTGGACCTGTTTCAATTCCATCTGCAGAGTGTACAAATCGTCTGGCGAAATCCCGAAACGCGGATCCATGCCCACTGACTTCTCTCAGACCCGCGCCTCCAGTGCGGCCTGCATTCGTTCGCGCCTGGTAGTGATGGGCCGGTAGAGCTGGGCAACCAGTCTTCTGAGGACCACCAGCCCAAGTTCACAAGGTCTGCCTGCCCCCACGGCGCCACCTTGTCAGGAACACGGCGCTCCTTGGCATTAAAGGTTGGTGAAGTCGGTGCGAGGAGACAGCGTGAAGGGGCACGTCAACTTGTTCTGTGCTGGAATGACAGGCGTCGTTGATGATATTTGCAGCTTGGGTGATAGAAACGTATGGTAATCGGCGCCGGGAGTTTCGTGTTGTTGTCTGTGCGTGGATCACAGGAATGTATCGGGACTCTGGCTACGCGATGGGTCGAACTGTTCGAAGGTGAGGCGGTAGGAATCACAGGTTGCGTAAACCTGTTTTGCGCAGGGATGCCGGTCTGGTCGAGTTGAGTCAAGCGTTTGGGTGACTCTTTTCTTTCTTCAATATTCAAGGTTGGTCGGTCGAGCGTGGATGATGCGTATGATCGTCGAGGTCAACGTGCGTGTACGTTGGTTGCGTTAAGCGTGCGTGGGGTCAGGTCGGCGTGAGGATGTACAGGTTGAGCGACAAGGCCGATTGACAGTGCGTGAAATGGATTGCAGCGCTGAGGTAGCGAATTGAGCAATCAGCAAGAGGTGTTCAGATGGGGATTGAGATCTCGACGGACAGCCGGGCCAGAAGTCTCGCAAAGAGCTGTAGCAGGACGGTTGTTGGTGGATGACCCGTTGAAACGAGGAGTTGGAGGTCGAGGGCGACTGGAGTCTCAGATCACCGCGACAAGGATGCTGGATTAGGCTGGCACTTGCTGGACTAACATCCATTATAGGCACCCAGCGCGAGTGTTTGTTAGTGTACATGTAGCGCCCGCCTCATCAAACGTAACAACAGCCATGCTCGTCACTGACTTGTCATTGCTTATTGTCTGATTTCAGATAATAAGTCAGTGATTCTGGATGAATGTCTCTGAATTCGGCAAGGAAGCGCATGGATGGAGAAGTTCAACTCCATTATAATATGCTTTTTGTCATGGTCTTACCATACGTCTTTGCCTGTTCTACCGAACCTGCCAGAGAGCCCGACCACTCAGAAACGAAACCTTCGACTAGCAGTCAAGGAAGCGACAATCTCATTTAGCAATTTATTATAACAGATTGTATTTCGCAACGAGGGTCAATGTCTAAGCAGTGGTGCTGACGCCATTCATTTCCTCCCATGTCGGGTAGACAAAACCGGCATTGTCCGGCTGGCCCTCCCAGACCCTCTCAACGTGAGGCCGCAAGGTCTCGTAGAAAATCTGATACGCCTTTCCGCCGAGATGGAGGCCGTCCGGGAGGAGCTCGTCTAGGCCTCCCGCTTTCCCGTTCTCAGGAGTGCCGAGCCATGGGCCGCCAGATTGGTAATCGCCTGGCGTGAGCGCAATGGCGGCATGCATAATGGTCTGCCACAAGTCGATCAACACGGTCCCCTCGTTTTCGCGAGCGACCTCGCGAGCCTTCTCAGAGTACGATGCGCTGATGGCAGAGGTACGGATACCCGAGGACAGGCCCCTTGCTAGGTCAAGCCTTGTGAGCTTGAGCTCATCCACCGGCGGGGGTGTGATGATGAAGATCTTTGGCTTGTGCTGCTTGACACGAGGGTGGTTGACGATCTTGTTCAGGTTGGATTTGTATTCGTCCAGGTCGACGTGCTGCCTAGTATGAGCCCCATCAATGACGGCATCGTTGGCTCCGATCAAGATGGCCTAAAGGTGCCGGAGTCATTAGCCAGGGTTCTCAGTGACAATACCTCGGCCACGGCGCTCTCACAAGATACTCAATCGCGGGTGTGTCGGCGCCCCTCTCGGGAAAGACCGCCTCCAACACGCTCAGCAAGTTCCTGGTGTTGTATCCCGAGAAACCCCTGTTGATCACGTCAAACCTCCGACAGCACACTGGGCACAAGTCAACAGCTGTCGCTTTTTCTCTCGGCAGGGCAGGGGGCCGCACGGGTCTGAAGAGCAGCTTGGAACGAGAACCCCTCTTGTAACTGCATAGATTGCTGGAACAGAGAGTCTCCCAAGAGAACGAACTGAGGATAGGTGGACTGCCGATCCGAGTTAGTATTGTCCCAAGGCGCTTCCTTGGTACACGAGGCGTCCTACCGCCATGGCTGAGTGAGAGCAGATGATGCCTGTGGTAGACTGACGTGGTGTATCTTCTATTGTCTTGATAGTGAGCGGATCTCACAAGGGCGCTAGGCTTGATCAGGGACGAGGACAAGAGGTGGTCTACGCACGTGACAGAGGCTGGAGACAGGGTGGGCACAGCGCATTCATAAACCATATGTCACCGATCTATTTTGAAGGGCAAGTGAGAAATGTTTACATGATTGACACACGCGACCTAGTAACGACGTGAATACATGCTAAAAATGTGGGGGGAGCTGTTCAACAGACTAAGAAACGTGTGCGCAAGCCCCCAAGGACCCTGAGCAGGGGATGGCATTTCCTTTGATCTGTATAGTCAATCATCATGGCCCCCGGTAGGTCTTAGTGTGCTTGATTATTTATAGAGACGCGCTTTACTAATTCTTTTCACAGCTGCTTCATCACAGTCCACCAGCGCTAAGACGCTAAAGACAACGCATGCTGCCACCCCTAGCGGAGACAGTCACGAGCAGGGCGGCGATAACTTAGTTACTCGCAAGGAGAAAGTTGTGAGTTTTACAGTTTTAAATAAACCGTCCTATGCTTATAAGGCAGCGTCATGGATATGGCGGCACATCGAGAAATTCCCCGTGCCTACATTGTGTGCGCTCCTGGGTCTCTGGCAAGACTCGAGAAATGGGCTGTTTCGAGCCTATAAAGGGGGTCGCGCCCAGCGCTGCCAACGGCACTCCCATGGGCACCTGTGTTCTCCTCTGTAAGTGCCGCCATGCTCTCATTTTCCGCGCTTTGCTCATGTATTCACAGCCCTGCCGTCCTCGTACCTTGGGTGCGATACATGGAGTCAAACGACTCAGCATCTGTGAGTCTGGCTGCTTGCACCTGCGTAGCAGCGCGAGTGCCCAGTAGCTAATTCGAGCTCAGCACAAGCGCACCTGTCGCGTGGCAATGCGCCAAGTTTTAGCGATGATAAATGCCCGCCCTCCTATCCTATCCGCCGCTGAGCTCGCCCCTTATAACAAGAGTACTCGCCGACCCCTCGTGCCCACGTCGCGCGCTGAGACGCATGATATGATCGCTACACTCCACCAGTGGTTGGCTGCGCAATGCGAGTGAACTATACGTAAGTAGCCTGTCTTCGGTGAGGACGAGTGGCTGGCCCAGTACCCATATGAAAAGACGACGATAGATCGCTCCAAGACCTATCACTACCATTTCAGAGGCGACACAATCATTCTACCACTTACTGAACAATACCAACAAGCAAGATAGCCTTGAGGCCAGGTATGTGAGGTACCTTATGCAGACACTGTGAGGGATCATCAGCAGCAATGTGGGGTCTCGGCAGCACTACCGTAGCCACTTATCGATAAGCTTTGACTTGGCAAAAAATTTCCCACTCCAGCGAGTCCAGTCGCTCCTTCTCGTCAAGTAGACGGACGGACAGGCAACATTCAGGCACTCTGGATGGCTCTCATCGACAAACAGACAGAGTGACAGCTGAAACTCGCGAAAACCCCTTCACCAAACCATTGACCGACGTCAAGGCCGACTCAGCGCGGCCCCGTAAGCGCCAGTCATGGCTTCCTCGCTCGCCGCGCAGTTGGCGCAGGTCGCCGCCAATTCAAAGTCGTCCCTCAACGTCAAGGCTCAGAAGGCTGCCCATTCCAAGTCGCTGATCTGGGAGCCTCGTGTCGCTGCCTCGCAGAGCTACCAGACGCTCTACACGACCTGCCATCAGGGATTTGAGGAGTTGTGCCAGCTCGACAGCCGATTTGCCCACTTCCAGGCCACCATCTTTGGCGAAGACAGCCAGACGCAGGACCGGAACCAGTTGTCACCGGCGGAGAACAAAGAATTGGACAAGCAGATTGACGCATTCTTGCGGCTGGCCGGCTCTCGACTGCGTCTGATGCCTGCGATCAAGGCCATCGAATGGTTGATCAGAAGATTCCGGTTAGGCTGCCCGCACACCTTGTTCATTTGAGGCATCCACGACTGACAGAAGCCCAGTATCCACGAAGAAAACACAAGCGCACTGATCAAGACCTTCTTGCCGTTCCACTCGATACCTGCCTTCGCCACGCTGCTCTCTATCCTCCCTGCAAAGATACCCGCCGAGTTCCGCTTTCTCGATCCATACGTTCGATCCCAAACCTCACCTCCTCGGTCCGTGCTTGTGCACCAAGCCGTGCACCACCCAGAACTTGTCACGCTGTACTCCGAGTACACTCTCGAATCATGTCGCATGCAATTCCAGCACCCCGCGCTCATCTCCTTCTGGGCAGGTCTTTTAACCGAAGCAGTCAGTGGCATTCTCGACCGGTCGCGATCCGGCCGCGTGGCGGTGCAGAAGGACAATGATCAGGCTCTCCTCCATCGCCTCGGACCCATCTTCGCCGAAGCCCTGGTCATGAAGAAGGTTCCGGCCCTGCAGATTGCTTCGTACATGGCTCTTGCCGTGTTCGTCGCCAAGGGCAACCTCGAAGATGTCGCTGTGACAGCATTCATGGAGCAGACCGTGCTTGGATGGACGAATGCGACTGTCCGACCTGCCTTGGTGAGCTTGGTCATCATGGCGCAGCATCGATCGGCCAAGCAGATGAGCAGCAAGGTCACAAAGGCATTGCTCAAGATCTCGGATATTGGGCCTTTGCTGGTAGAGATTGGCCAGGAGAGGCGCGTCGACAAGCTGGCCAACGGACTCTGCCTGGCACTGGTCGAGCGCTTCACCAGAAAGGGCGACTCGCGTGGCCTGCCCACCATCATGGCCATTCTCGGTAGCCGGATCCTCAAGGACAAGCAGATTGCGGTGATCTTCAAGTCGCTGCTGCTCACGGCACTCAAGCTCGACGACGGCAACGACAAGGATGGAGCTTTGCGAAGAGAGCTCGGATCGGCGCTGATCGCTCTTTCGCAGACCACGGGAGAGTCTGGCGAGGTCATACAGTCGGTCATCAGAGACGTGGACTTTGATATTGAGGAGCTCGAGATGAAGCTCGACCTGTCTTTCCGATCCCGACACATCCCAGAAGTCGCCGATGCTGAGGCCACCAAGGAGGAAGCCCCACAAGAGACAGTGCACGAGAGGATTGATAGGTCCTTCAAGGAAATCGAGTCCAGCAAGAGCGCCCTGTCGCCGTGTCTGCTGCCACAGAAGAAGGAGATCTTCGAAGAGTTCAGCCATCTGTTCTTTACCATCGTTGCTGAGCAGGCCAAGCATCCTTCGTGGCTTGAGAAGATGGACGAGCAGGCCAAGTTACGTCGTAGGACCGCTCTCAGCGACTGCACATATTGCAGCTTCTTCACCCGCATCTGGTGCGGACCATACCCAGCCATGGCTCGCGCGGCCGCATTGGACATGGTGAAATCCCGACTACAAAATGACACCGAGACCAAGCCAGATATGCAGGCCCTCATCCCTTACTGCGTGACCGCGCTCGGCGACCCCTCGAAACGCGTTCGCCAAGCTGCGGCAGGGCTGATGACCGCACTGGCACACACATACTCGTCCCTGAGCTCGGGCTCGTCGATATGGGGCGATGGCGAGTTGTACGGAATGGGATCAAAGTTTGTGGCCCTGAGCTCTGAGATGGCGGCCAAGATGCTCCATCTCCAGATCCTGCCGTCGCTCGAGGAATGTGTACTGGACCCTGGGCACATCTTTGCCATCATCTCCTCGTCCATGGAGACGGGCAAATATCACAAGCGACCAGACCCCGCGATTGAGAAGAAGGATCACATGTCGCAGGCCATGCGGCTGGCGTTGATGGGATTTTTTGCCGTGCATGCTGTCTCGACGCCCATCTTGTTGGTTAAGGATAGACTGCTGCGAGCACTGAACGAGACTCGCGGCGTCTCTAGCACCAGCCGGACCAAGGTCCTACTGCCTGCCCTGCAATGGTGGGCAGAGCTGGGTCAGGAGGAGGCGCAGACGCTTTGCGCCAAGGAGCAGCTGGACCAGGCTACCATTGACGCGCGTTTTGTTGACATTCTTGTGCCCAACGAGGTGGATGGCCTCGAGTTTGTCTTCAACTTTCTCAAAAACCCCGACAACAGAGAAAGAGACGGGCTCGTGCAGGCTCTGCTCGCGCGCATCAGGAAGATCTGGCCCGCCCTCAAGGATGATGTCAAGTTCATGGTTGCCGAGCAGCTCCTCGAGATTTCCCAGGAGAACACCGATGAGAACGCTGACAACTTCGTGCCCGGCGAGGCGGCCGACTTGCTGCGCAGTGTGCCCTTAACCACCGACATTCTTTCGTCCTTCCTTGACTCCATCAAGACCGGCACCAAGATGATCACCGAACCACCACCCAACAAGCGACGCCGCAGGAGCTCTGCTGAGAGCAACCGCAGTCTCTCCACGCGGGCAAGCTCCGAGATCAGCCTTGCCCTGAGGCGCGTCACCTTTGTCCTGCAGCTCGTGGAGAACTCGGACCCCGTCAACCACCCTGAGCTCCTCGACGGGCTATTCACAGCCCTGTCGGAGCTGCAGCACTTCAGGACCGTCGTCGGCTCGGAGCTAGGATACCTGCAGAACCTCATCCTCCGCAGCCTGCTTGCCATGATGCCCACTTACAAGGCTGACAAGAACCTCAAGATCAGCACCTCTGGCGGTTACGGCGACCTCCTCGTCAACTGCATCCAGAAGTCGTCGAGCCCCGTCGTCCAGAATGCGGCGCTGCTCCTCATCGCCAGCTTCGCCACCACGGCACCGAATTTGGTCCTGCATAGTGTCATGCCCATTTTCACGTTCATGGGGACGTCAGTGCTTCGCCAGAGTGACGACTACTCGGCCCACGTCGTCGCCCAGACAATCAAAGAGGTTGTGCCGCCCCTCATCGACTCGCTCCGCCATGGGAAAAAGAGCCCCGTCGCCGGCGCCGCTGAGATCCTCGTCAGCTTCACTACGGCCTACGAGCACATCCCCTCTCACAGGAGGGAGGATCTCTTCTACGCTCTGGTCGAGACGCTAGGCGCGTCCGAGTTCCTGTACGCTCTGGTCAGCATGCTCGTCGACCGCTACGGCCCCAGCGACGCATTGCTGCAGTTCATCACTAGCCTCCTGAACCGCTTCCCAATCGAGGTGCAGATGGAGACGCTCGTGAAGCACTGGGATCTCATAGCAGACCTCTTCCGGCCTAAGCCCGACATCTCTTTTGCTCTCCTGGGCGTCAGCGAGGACGGCGAGAAGGACGTCGAGCAGATCGCTCTGCGTCAACTATCCGCCTTCCCCACGTTCCTATCCAGCAAGAAGTTGAGATCGGAGATCTCCAAGCTGGTAGACCATGACGACATGGAGGCGTCTGAGGTACGCACCTTGTACTCTGCGCTGCTTGAGAATGTCCTGCTCCTGGCCGACCAGGTCAAGGGCAACAAGGCACTGCACCCTCGCTGTGGCGCCACGCTTGCCAACCTGCTCAACTTGCTGTCCATTGGCGAGTTCATCAAGTCGGTTGAGAACCTGCTCGACCGCCCCAACATGGGTCTGCGTCAAAAGGTCTTGCGCGCACTCGAGGTCCGCGTCGACAAGGAGAGCAATACGGACGCGTCCTCGCGTACCGTCCTGCTGGCCTTCCTCCCACAGCTCACCGCCGCGATCCGCGAGTCCACCGACATACGCTACAAGCACACTGCCGTCACCTGCGTCGACAAGATTGCCGAGAAGTACGGCAAGAAGGATATTGAGGCTGTCGTTGCCGCGGCATCCACTATCGCCGGCGAGCATTGCCTCGGGCAGAACGACAAGCGCCTGCGTGTCATGGCTCTGCTGTGCCTCACATCGCTGGTCGACGTGCTACAGGACGCGATTGTGCCTGTGCTTCCCGTCGCCGTGCCCCAGGCCGTGCAGTACATGAGCGACAGCCTGCAAGGCGACGAGCCTGACGAGGATCTGCACTCTGCCTGCTACGGCTTCATCAGCTCCCTGGCGGAGCACCTCCCATACATGCTCTCGAACCACATCGGGCGCATACTCGAGATCTCAAATGCCTCGGCTGAGGCAGGTCTGAGCGACGAGGCGAACGCAAGCCGCGTCAGCTGCCTCGAGTTCCTGGCCAAGCGCCTCGAGGCGAAGGAGGTCTTTACCGGCTTCGACAAGAACTGGGACAGCGCCGTGTCGGCCGGCTTCAAAGTAAGTGGTGTCATGGTTTCACTGCCCCTTGCAAGCAAAACTAACTCTTCTCCTTTCTTGCAGGCCATGACCGAGTACCTCAACATCCTGGGTAAAGCCCTCGACAAGCACTCCAAGGCCAACATTGCCAAGAGCGCCACAACACTCACGAGCATCATCACCAAGGGTCTCGACCTCCGCCGCCAGAAGCAGGCCCAGACACAGGTGCAGGACGGCAAGTCCACCGAGGAGGAGGAGCCCTCCATCACCGCCGTGGAAGCCAACCTCAACGAAAAGGCCCTCAAGATGATCTACAAGCTCAACGACGCCTCTTTCCGCCCCATCTTCATCCAGATTGTCGAGTGGACGACCTCCGGTCTGCCCAAGTCGGACAAGACAGGCCGCGTCCTGCGCCAGTACAGCGTCTACGGCTTCCTGCACACCTTCTTCTCGAACCTCAAGTCCATCGTGACCAATTACTCGACGTACATTGTTGATGACGCGGTGAAGACCCTCCAGACCAGCGCGCCCGGCGGCAAGTACCCGGAGCAGCGGCGGCTCTGGGCCCGCGTCCTCGCCACGCTCAAGCAGAGCTTCGAGCACGATCAGGATGACTTCTGGCAGGCGCCGTCGCACTTTGGCGCCGTGGCCCCTGTGCTCATGGAGCAGTTCCTTCACGCGCCCAGCACTGACGTGGAGGCCGACCTGATCCCGGCCGTCGTCGAGCTCGCCGAGAGGGTGGCTTCGCCCGCGGCCCAGAAGGAGCTGAACACGGCGCTGCTGCAGCACCTCAAGTCGGAGCAGCGCGCTGTGCGACTGGCGGCCGTCAAGTGCGAGCAGCAGCTCATGGACAGACTGGGCGAGGAGTGGCTGACCATGCTGACGGAGATGTTGCCGCGCATCAGCGAGCTGCAGGAAGATGATGACGAGGAGGTCGAGAGGGAGACGCACAAGTGGATTGTCAAGATTGAGGCTGTGTTGGGTGAGCCGTTGGATGCCATGTTGCAGTAGTAGAAGATGTGTTGCGATGGCCGGCGTAGCGAGGCCCACGCTTGCTGTTGTTTGGTATAAGATGTGGACATTTGTCTAGACATACAAATTCAAGTGTAAGCTATGAATCACTTTGTTCATGTGGAATGAGACTGGGGACAGAAAGCAACACTGGTTGTGTCACGAATAGCCAGTGAATAACAATAGCCGTGGATGGCATAAACCGCATAGCAGGGCAACGAGTTGCGCGATAACATCAATACAGATTACATGATATGTACAATGAGACCTTGTCTGTGTCGTGCATCGCCTGGACGTCAACGGCCTTTTGCTCCTGGATCGTCACATCATGATAGGCCACGACGACGTAGGAGCCGAACGTGCGCGTGGGCACGCGATCACCAAACATGATATTGCGTTCCTCAAACGTGCGACCCTTGGTCTCCGCGAGGCGAAAGAAAGCCCAGAGGAGGGTCAGAAACGCGACGCCCATCCAGAAAAAGCCTTGGTTATTTGCTAGCGAATGCTCTGCGACCGCAGACGCGTCGATGACACCTCGGCAGGGATTGTCCAGCCCACAGGACCGACGGTCAGGGAGAAGCTCAACAGCCAGCAGATGCAGAGCGCCGACTGTACCCAGCGCAAGCTGAGTATTTTTTCGTGGCTGGCCACTCGGAGGACGCCAATGACGCAGAGCGCAGTGATCATAGCCAACATGCCGGCAATGTACAGCTTGCGAAGGCCAAACTGGTTCATCAGAAACCAAGAGAGGACGGTTCCGCAGAACGCGATGCCTGTACCAACCAGGCCGAGGTTGTAAGCCATCTCGAAGGTGATGCCAACCTGCTCGAAGAAGTAGATGGCGCTGTGGGCAAACCAGGAGCCGGAGAGAACTTGACCGGCAAAGACTGTACAGGCGATCTCCGTACGGCTGGCATTGGGGCCACGGGAAGCAGTCCAGATAGGAGCTGCCTTCCGCCATATCCTGCTCAACCTGATTGGTGGGGACCATCATGGCAACCTTATTCTTGGCCTGTTCCTGGGAGACGTTGGAGATGCGCAGAACTGTTCTCGCAGCCTCGTCATACTTGGCGTTGCGGGTGAGCCACCAAGAGGATCCAGGCATGGACCATGCTGCCAGCATGAGTGGGCTATCACGATAGTGCCTGTCTGTACCAATCCTGCAAACTCCTCGCAGAAGCGCCGACCGCCGACTCGGCCCCGCCGATCCACGTCTCCTGTGCGTCGTCCGGCTGAACGATGAATTTTTCGGGCATCTGGCTGCCATGCTCGAGGATGAAGCGCAGCATCCACCGGTCCATGTTGAATGAATGCTCAATGGAGAAGAGACACGCATTGTGAAAGACCTTGAGACGTGATAAGCACGCATCCAAACTGACCCAGTGCAGCTGCAGCTCTGTCAAAATCTCGAAATTGTGCGCGAGCCGTTTGCGTATCTCAGGGGCTTGTTCCTCGGCAAGCCCACTTTCGCTGCTGCTGCAAAGAAGACGGTGCATGTAGACGGTCGACGTGACGACCAGCATGTGGCCAACCATGGCGTACGAGCAGCGGTTGTCCTTGTCTTCGCAGAGATAGAGCAGATCGCAAAATGCCTCGGCGTGTTGGGCACATTTTTCCGCGTACGCCATCGTCTGTGGCGTGGGATGGCGAAAACTCTCTGCCATGAAGCGGTAGCACAACACCTCGTAGTAGTAGTGGAACCCCAGATGCAATGCGGCGAATGAGTTGCCCACATTGATGCCCATGGCGTTGGCGCGCTCCAAGTTCTGCTCCGATTCTTGGATGTAGAATGGTAGCTGATGTTGCCATGCGTCGAGACGCGCAGCTATTGCGTCAATCTCGGCAGCCAGTGCCATGGGCTCGAGACCGCACTCTACTGCCATGTTGTTGAGGTCCTGGACATCAGACCATATCCGGGCGAGCTTGGCCATCTCTCCCCATATACTCCGCGTTCGCTCTCCGCTGGCTGTACGCACAGGTTCCGTTGGAGAGAGGCCGAGGAAAACAGATTCCTCCGAAGGCAGCTCGACGTCGTCTCGAAACAGAATTTGTCTCGATAGTTTGAGGCCGGCAGAGACCCACAAATCAGTCATGTAGAGTGTCCAGTAGACGCGCAAATTTATCTGACGTTCCAGCTCTGTCTGACACTTTCGTTGTGGAAGGTCCAAAATGAGGCCAAGACGGATGGCTGTGGCAACGTACAAGGTTTCGGTCGCAGCTTTGTTGTCGACGAAGCACATGGTACCCAGTAATAGGCAGCCTTGGATGGTAACAATGGACAGATCTCGCATGTCGAGGGCTCGGTAGGCTAGCTCGGCAAAGTGATGGTCGCGCCTTTGAGGCGAGGATGCGAATCTTGGCGATAGAAGTCAGAACCAGGTGTCGTTTTGCAGGTGGCGGACAAACCTGATGCCCAACGAGAGGACCGAATACAAGATCACATCGGGTATCTGATTATTCCGCAAGTCTCGCTCGAATGTTGGACGGTGGAAAAGGCTATGGTGTGTATCGTGAACCACATCAAAGTAGTGAGATACCATCTCCTGCTTCCAAACAGGGTCCAATTCCAGCATGGCGGCGGCCCGGTTGGGCTGGTTCGGAGAGCAGTAGGAGGCATTGCTGCTCATGTCTTCAGGTCCTGAAATGAACCCATCGCTGAGCGGGCGGGCCGCAGATGAGACATGTGAGACGTGATGATGTGGCACGTCTGGTGACTTGACCGGTAGCCGCGCTTGAAGCTGCGTTTGGCTTTGGCTCTGGGTGTGAGAGTCCGGTGCCGCGCTAGGCTTCGGCTTCCCCAGGCTGCACGATATTTTCATCCTCTCGCAGCGGAGGCATGACGAATTGGGGTCGGTCTTGGACGGACGACATCGTCGCTTCCCTAACCTGAGGCGGGAGGCAAGAGGGTGAGCGTCAGTCCATGCGGCAGGAGTGACAGAGCTGGAGCCACGATGGTCGTCGGCCTGGAAGGTACTCACCGGCATGTGTAACAAGCAGTTGCGGGTCTCATCGTCCAAGGATCCGTCCAGTGGGCTGCCAGTGCGAGCGCGCGATAGTCTATCGATGGTCAGTGTGATTGATGGGAGACACTGAGCGAGCGGATTTGAGAGGAGCAAAGCCGCACATGGCAGTCTGATGAATGTGATGGCATCCCGCGGCGTTACCTCCGCTGCCATGGATGGCTAAATGCAGACTGGCTGGGCCCTGGGCTGCTGGATGCCCGGATATTTACTCCGTAGAGCCAGAATTGGTGGTGCCACGACTGGCGAACAGGGGCATCACCCACTGTCGCAAGCTGCATGAGGGGAAATGATTTGGGGGGGGGCAGCAACTACGGATGCATATGCCTGGTAAATACCCACAAGTTCGAAGATATAGACACTATCACAAGGTATTATGTTTATCCCCGTCTGCTGCCCTGCGCTTGACCTATCGCTCATTCAAACTGTGCGACACTAGGTAGTCGACATACAAATCCTTAACTTCAGAGGAGTACTACGTGCGCCCATATTCTAGTCAACTTGGCGAAGACTCACGTGTGGGTCCTTCAATAGAAGCACAAGGTATCCCCACACTCGAGTCCTCCTCCCCCTTCCCGACGTTGACTTCCCCAACCCACTTCACGCCACAGACAGACACGTCCACGAGGCCGTTGGACATGGGCGCATGGCACGCCGACTGGCTCTCGCTCGGTCTGGACTCTGGACGCTGGGCCAGGCAAGGGCACGCACTACCTGTCCGTGTGGCGGGAGCTGCCGAATACAGTGCACGCACGGCTGATCAAGTTGACGGTCTGATATACATGATTTGGATGAACATGTATAGCTGAACATTAGGTCTTTGCACGAGGCCCTCAGAACCGCGAAATGTCCCGGCCAAAGACCCATGTGACGAACCAGTAGACGGGAATGAGCAGCTTGTTCCGGACGCTCATGCTCTTGGTCAGGTACGCCGTCCTCCACAAGATCCACGCGGCCCTTCCCTTGAGCTCATCGCCCGAGCTCTGGTGGATGGCTCGCCTGCTGCCCAGATACGCCATGGCCCCGAGATTGCGGAATTTGAAGGGCTTGGCCTCGAGATCGCCCTTGTTCAGGCGACGACCGAGATGAACGGCCTGCTGGGAGGCGACCTGCGCGGTGGCCGGGTAGCTGGTGCCCTCGACGACGGCGCAGTCACCCATGGCGAAGACGCCAGGGATCGTGGTCCTCTTTTGATCGGGGCCCTCCACCTGCACCCGCAGCCGGTCGTCGGTGAGGAACCCGCCCGTCTTGGGGTCCTTGACGATCCTGCCGAGGCCAGCGACGTCCTGCTTGTCCACAATCTGGCGCACGAGCGGGTTCTGCGTGAGGCCCGTGCTCCAGACGACGATGCCAGCGCCGACCTCGTCCTTCTCCTCCTTGATGCGGATGAGCAGATGGTCGCCGACGCGGCGGATCCTCTCCAGGTGGTGCTCCGTCTTGACCTGGATGCCCTGGCGCTTGAACATGTCTGTCGCGTAGTTGGCGAGGTTCTGGTCGAACATGGGGAGCACCTTGGGGGCAATGTCGTAGATGGTCACGGCGACGTGCTGCATGAGGCCCGGATACATCTTGCGCAGATCCTCGTGGACGAGGTCGTGCAGCTCGGCGGCGAACTCGATGCCGGTGGGCCCGCCGCCGACGACGGCAAAGTGCAGCAGCTTCCGCCTCTCGTCGTCCGTTGTCGTCGGCAGCGCAGCCTTTTCAAACGCCTGCAGGATCCGGAGCCGGATGACACGCGCGTCGCCGACGTCGCGGAGGAAGCAGGCGTGCTCCCAGACGCCCTCGATGCCAAACGTCTGGCTGGCGCACCCCACGGCGAGGACGAGCTTGTCGTAGGCGACCTCGAACTCCGTCCCGGGGTCCGCGACGGCGTTGGGGTCCGAGCGTGTGGTGGCGTCGTCCTTGGTGTTGGCCTGAACACTGACGACTTTTCTGTCAAAGTCTACGTCGCGTACCTGGCCTTGGTGGAACTCGGCCAGGTTCAGCCGTCGCACGGGCTCGATGGCGGCGCGAAACTCGAGGGTGCCGACGGACGTCGAGGCCAGGAGGGGTGTGAAGACAAAGTGGGAGCGAGGCGAGATGAGGACCTGGGAGTAGGAGGAGGGTGAGAGGGTCCTCGCGAGCGCGTAGCCAGCCCATCCGGAGCCGAGAATGACGATGCGTTCCTTTTGGTTTGTGGGAGTCGAGGTGCTGGCGTAGTATCTGCGCGGCAGCAGGGCGTTGTGGCGTTGCAATGCCCTTTGGAGGATTTGACTCGCGATCCGCGCGGGCGTGCGAGTTTCCATCGTGATGACGGGGAGAGAAACGGTGTAAGGAGAATTCAGGGCGAAAACGAGTCGCGATTGCTAACTTGATATCGTCAAGTGCTTACGAGCCACTGATGTCACGGTCACGACTTCCCGACGATGTCACTCACCCCTGTTTCAGACCAAGGACCTCTCGTGCTGGGGGAAAAAAAAAAGAGATCAAAACGAAGCCTGACGAGCAATTATGTGCTATTTTCAACAGCTTGATCCCTACGAGAATAGATCGGAATGACGTTACTGCCTGTCGGTCGCAGGTCCGTGTCCTTGGATCCGATCTGTCCGGACGGCCGTATCCACTTTTACCGGAGGCTGAAGAGTCCGGGAGTCCGGGGCTGCAGTTGGTGTCCGTGTGGCGTTCTACATGTAGGTAGTTGGGATCCGTAGTGGCTCGAGAATGACCTTTTAGGGATGTCCTACTGCTATCTCTGCCAGTAGAAGCGGGAAGGCTGCACTTGCCAGGAGTTGGGATTACCACTGGCGCTGGTCTTGAAATGAGTCTGCCTCGAGGGTTCGAGGCGCTCATCACATTCACCGACGGTAGCAAGGGCTCAGGTATATATAGACCAAACTCAAGTGATGTAGCATCAGCTTGTGGCATACAACAAGGACAGGTGGCCGAGTGGTTAAGGCGCTACACTCAAGATGATATCATCTTAAGTCATGCAATGGCTTTGTAGTATCGAAAGATGCATCGGTTCGAGTCCGGTCCTGTTCAGTAACTTTTTTCCTTTTTGCCACATGGTCTTTTATCCAGCCGCGATCTCTTTTGAACACATGCCTAGAAGACTGATGATTCAGTGAAGTCCTTGTATCGAAATCTTGACATCATCAAGAGGTGTCGCCCGATCGCGGAGTGTTTCGCTGTATAGATACAGACAATGAAAAACGTGCGCCAACGGCAGCAAACAGACTTGCGCAATGCAATAATAGACTGACGTTGAGGTCTCTGCCAATTCTATAGTAATCAGATGTCACTTTGCAAATTCAGGTGAAGCTCAAAGGCGGCGGGCGAGATCTAACGGTAGCCAGCCATCAACAACTGACGCCCGCCCACGCCCGTCTCTCACAACGAGTGAAATTCAACGCACCTCCATCCACCAGGGCACCCACCACTCTCCCCTTTCCAACCCCTGAGCGCGAAATCAAAACAGCAAAATGGCCACTCCAAAGGTAGACTACAGCGTCTACCTCGTCACGGACTCCACGCCCGCCATTCTTGGCGATGCTGACCTCGCCTCCGTCGTCGAGCAGTCCCTCCAGGGCGGCGTCACCATCGTCCAGTACAGGGACAAGCACTCACCACGCGACCACGTTGTCGCGACCGCGCGCAAGCTGCACCAGATGACACAAAAGTACAATGTGCCCTTTCTCATCAACGACTACGTCGATGTGGCGGCCGAGATTGGCTGCGAGGGCGTGCACATTGGCCAGGACGACATGGGTAATCAATCACTCGCATATTCTCAACTCACTAGCGATACGTGACTAACACGGCACGCATAGCATTTGAGGAAGCAAAGAGGCTGCTAGGCGAGGGCAAGATCATCGGCGTCACAGCATCCTCCAAGGGAGAGGCCCTCAAGGCTGCCTCCCAGGGCGCGACGTACCTGGGCATCGGCACCGTCTACGCCACCAGCACAAAGAAGGACACAAAGTCCATCATCGGCCCCGTGGGCGTGTCCTCCATCCTCGCCGCCCTCGAGGCCGAGGGTCACGGCGCCCTGCCCACCGTCTGCATCGGCGGCGTCAACGCCAGCAACGCCCGGGACGTCATGCGCCAGAGCGTCTCCCCCCGCAAGACCCTCGACGGCGTCGCCGTCGTCAGCGCCATTGTCGCCGCCCGAGACCCTGCCGCCGCCGCGCGCGAGATCCAGGGCGCTGTCGTTGGCGCCAAGATCCCCGAGGCCATCCTGTCCATTGCCCGCCAGGGCCCTCTGTCGCACAACATGACCAACCTCGTCGTCCAGAACTTTGCCGCCAACGTCGCCCTCGCCATTGGCGCCTCGCCCATCATGGCCAACTACGCCGAGGAGGCGGCCGACCTGGCCAAGCTGGGCGGTGCGCTCGTCATCAACATGGGCACGGTGACCCCCGACGGGCTGAAGAACTATGTGCAGGCGCTGCAGGCGTACAACGCCGCCAAGCGACCTGTCGTCTTTGACCCAGTGGGGTGAGTACTTGTAACTACAAGGAGCCAGCCGGACAGATGCTAATCAACAACAGTGCCGGCGCAACCGCCGTCCGCCGCTCGGCCGTCAAGACCCTCCTCGCAAGCGGCCAATTCGCCCTCATCAAGGGCAACGAGGGCGAGCTGCAGACCCTGCACGGCGTCTCCGTCACGCAGCACGGCGTGGACTCTACCTCCACCCTGAGCCTGGCCCAAAAAGCCCGTCTCGCGCGGGACCTCGCACGCACCCACGCCGCCGTGGTCCTCCTCACGGGCAAGACCGACATTGTCAGCGACGGCACCCGGACGATCCGCGTCGACAATGGACACGAGCTCCTGGGCATGATCACCGGTACAGGTTGCACACTCGGCACCGCCGTGTCGGCCGCGCTGGCAGCATACGGCCATGTTGACCCCCTGGTGGCTGCTGTGGCCGGCACAGCCGTATTTGGCGTCGCGGCAGAGATGGCCGCGGCGAGGAGCGAGGTCCGTGGGCCCGGCACGTTTGTTCCTGCGTTCCTGGACGAGCTGTACCTGATCCGCAAGGCGTCTGCGGACGGGGACATGCGGTGGCTGACCATGGTCAAGGTACAGGCTGTCGAGGTGCCAGAAGAGTAGGGGGGGTCGTTGCTCTACAGCTCGTACAAGGAAAAGAAAAAAAGGGGAGTAATATTGACCTTGTACATAGACAATCCCAACCTAGAAACCCATCTGCAGACCGTCGAAATTCTCCATGTGAGGCATGGCATCCCCCCAAACCGCCCCCGACTGCCCCATCATGGCCCTCCAGAACCCATCGCCCAGTCCGCCCGCCGTCAGCCCGCCGTCGTCCACAGCGGCGCTGCCCATCCTGTAGTCCTCGGCCGCGCGCCTCATCTCCTCACGCACGTGAACGCTCATCCTCTGACAGAGCCGCAGCAGGCCCGTGAACGGATCGGCGCGCCCATCGCTGCGCGCCGCCACGCTGAACACGCCCGTCCGCCGCCTCTCCACCACCAGGGAGAGGTGCTCGATCGCGGCGTCCATAATGGCCCCGAACCGCAGCTCCTGCTCAATCTGCTCCAGGTTCCAGCCCGGCAGGCGCAGCGTGCTGAGCCGGATCCCGACGATGAGTGCGTACGACACGTCCGAGCCCGAGAGGCAGAGGAACTGCGGGTTGTCGAGGTCGGTCCACTCCTGGACGCGGCCGTCGAACAACTTGCGCAGCGCGCGCAGGCAGGTCCACAGGAGGTTGAGACGGTCCGTCATGGGCGTGGCCAGGTGCAGGTCGGAAATGGCCCATTCGGTGAGGAGGATCTGGGCGATGCAGATGTGGGCTTCCAGCATGGCTGTTCACGTATCAGGCACCACTCAAAACCTGGGGAGAGTCAGGGATACCTACGGAATGTCTCGAGGTCGGAGCCAAAGGACTGTCGAAGGCTGTTGATCTGGTCCTGGAACGACCGCACGACCATGGTCATGGGCAGCTGCATCGGTTGCTGGCCCGGCTCCACAAACACCGTCAGCGAGATGGACTGCGCAAGCTGCTGGATGCGCACGAGCTTGACGAGCAGCGCGTCCGACTCGAATTGCTGGGCCTCCTCGAGGATCGTGCAGCACTGGTCCAGCTGGCTCGTATTCATCAGCACCTCGGTCCTCTTGTTGGTCGTAAAGACCCTTTCGTCCAGTCGTCAGCAGGGGAGTCGTCACGAGAGTGGAAGACACTTACAGCGTGTTGAGATAGTAGACGCCAGCATAAGCCCGGAGGGCATCGAGGTCCCTCTCCCCATCCGCGCCCACCGCCTTGCCGCTCAGCTCCAGCCCAAGCGCCACACTCCTCAGTAGGAACAGCAGGTTGGTCAGCCTCGAGCTGCCGAGCGCGTGGTGGAACCAGGCCACGAGCAGCTGCATGCCCCTGAGCAGATCCAGGCTCCTCTCGCCCTCAACCATGGTCCTCCGCCCAATCTCCGCCAGCAGCTCCTCGCCCACGCGCCCGTGCCGGACGCCGTCCATGAACGTGCCGACCATCATAATCGCCTTCCACAGAAAGTGATGCTTCGTCTTGAGCTCCGCCGCGCGCAGGTTGCTCGGGACCTTGACAAAGGGGAAGAGTGGCTCCGCGGATCTTCGATACTTGGCCAGCAGACACTCGGCCTCGGGCTCGGGCGGCCATAGTGAGATCCAGGGCTGGTTCGGACACGGATTGTTGCACAGCGTGTCGTTGGAGGGCCACGGTGTCGTCGACGTGAAGGGCGGGAAGATGTGACTGATGAATCCTGCGTCCAGACAGTGTGGAGGCTCCTTTTTCGGTTGGACGTCTGTAGACATAGTTGGGTCCGGCGTCGCATGATGAGACTGAGAGTCGCTGGCACCGTTGATGCTGAGTATGGGCGTGCTCTTGTCTACCTTGGTGACTTTGGAGGTTTCCAGCTCCTCGAGACGCCGTTGTAAATCTTGTATCTGAGACCGCTTGGCAACTTTCTTAGGGCGAGGCGGTGCCGGCGTCCTGGATATGCACGTCTTTCGAAGCCTGTCACATCTGCAAGGGTGTAAGTTGGTAGGAGTCTACGTGTGTCTGATGCCTTGAGAGCATGGCATACCTCTCGCATTTCTCACAGTTCTCTTTGACTATGCATCTTGCCTTAGCCTTTGCACACACGGTACAAGCCAAGGGGCGTCGCTCTCCTGGCTTTAACATGGCGCACGGAGAAGGTGGTAGAGATATGTAGGGTAGGCCAAGAAGCGAGAGTCGTCAGTAACGTCCCGACTGTACTTGGGAAACCAGCCACGTTCCCAGCTGCACGTGAAAGCCTCAAAAAATAAAATAAGATCAAAACGTACTTCAAATGCAAAGTGACAGGTTCACGATAAACTGGCCCATTATGACGGACGACCGCCGCGGGCATCAGTCCCATGATTCGGTGTCCGCGGACCCGGACGGGCAACGCCCGCAGTCATGCCGATCCCGTCGGCATCCCGGAAAATCTGTCCTGGCGGACCGACGTGGCCAGGGTTCATGTCAGACAGGCACTAGGCCACTAGCAAACTTGATTCAGCAAGGATAATCCGGAAGCCGATCCTCTCGCCCTACAGAGTACCCTCTCGAATTTCAGTCACCAGACAATAGGCAACCAATAGGTGTTCAAAGGCCGCCATTGCGCCAATCAATAGTGTAAATTGGGCCCAAGAAAACAAAAAAAGGCACAAGCTATCATACGAGGGCTAGAACCAGCCCTAGATCGAATGGAACGGTGGCTCGCTACAACAGAAAACCAATGCCAGATGCCAGAGGCATAGTGAGCGAGCAACATAGTCTTAGGCTTAGGCTTAGGCTGCGGCTGCGGCTGCGACCGAGCGACCAGCACCCGCCTCGCGCTCCAGCAGGGTCTCGGTCAGGGACGCCTTGCTGGATTGTCCTACCGTAGCCAAAATCTCCTTAGCCGCCTGCTCAATGCCCAGCTGCTTGTTCGTCCAGAGCGGCTGGACCTCCGCATTATCCTGCTCACCAACACCGATGAAGCCGCCCTCAGCCGCCCAGTCAGACGTGCGCTTGATGCCGAGGCGTGTCCAGATCTCGTCGACAGCCTGGACCAGCTCCTCGCGGAGCTCCTTGCCGTGGCCCGGGGTGGGCGTGATGCGCAGGCGCTCCTGGCCGACGGGGACGGTCGGGTAGTTGATGGACTGGACATAGATCTGGTAGTCGTTGAGGAGCATGTCGGAGGCCGCCTTAGCCAGCTCGGCGTTGCCGACCAGCAGGGGCACAATGTGCGAAGGGTTGGGGATGACGGGGATGTCGCGGGCGTTCATCTCCTCCTTGACCGCACGCGTATGCAGCTGCTGCAGCCTCCGGTCACCGTCGTGCTCCATCTGGTACTCAATCGACGCCCTGGCGCCCGCCATGGTCGCCGGGGGAAGCGAGGTCGTGAAGATGAACCCAGGAGCCAGCGAGCGGATCATGTCGACCAGCTTGGCGCTGCCCGCAATGTAGCCGCCCACACAGCCATATGCCTTGCCCAGCGTGCCCGTGATGATGTCGATGCGATCCATGATGGTGCCCCGGGGCATGCCCTCCTTGTGCGCCTCCCAGTCCAGGTGCTCAGCCACGCCAGCACCGCTCGGCCCGTACATGCCCACGGCATGCACTTCATCGAGAAAGGTGATGGCGCCGTACTTGTCCGCCAGGTCGCAAATCTCCTCAATCGGTCCAATGGAACCACACATGCTGTAGACAGATTCAAAGGCAATGATCTTGGGCACGTGCAGCGGCAGCGCAGCCAGCTTGGCCTCCAGATCCGCCACGTCATTGTGCTTGAAGACGACCTTCTTGGTGCCAGAGTGCCGGATGCCCTGGATCATGGAGGCGTGGTTCAGGCTATCCGACAAAATGACGCAGTCGGGCATCTTGCTGCCCAGGGTGGCCAACGTCGCGTCGTTGGCCACGTAGCACGAGCTGAACACTAGCGCCGCATCTTTGGCGTGGAGCTGGGCCAGTGTGCCCTCCAACTCCACCGCATGCCTGTTGTGTCCGGAAATGTTCCTCGTCCCGCCCGCACCCGCGCCGTACTCCTCGAGCGTCTCGTGCATCTTATTGAGCACGCGGCTGTTGCGACCCATGCCGAGGTAGTCATTGGCGCACCAGACGGTGACGCGATCCTCCTTGTTGGACATGTGGGCGCGAGGAAAGTCCTTGGCCAGGCGGTTGATGTTGTTGAAGTAGCGGTACGACTTGTCCTTGTGCTTCTTGTCGAGTTCGGCGGTGTAAAAGGACTCGTAGTTGAACTTGGCGGCCGCACGTGCGTCGGCGAGCGGCGAGTTCGTCTTGCTGGGCGGGTACATGCCAGAGACGGGGCCCTCGACGGCGCGGGCCTTCTGGCCACGGCTGGTGTGCATCTTGGCCTTGCCGTGGGCGCTGGCCGAAGACGACTTGGCCTGGTTGGAGAACGCACGGAGGCTGGCGGCGGCGCCATACTTGGACGACTGCACAGCCATGGCCTTCCCCATGACCGGGCAGCGACCGGCGAGGAGCGTCAGCTTGGACATGGTGCCGCCACAGGGCGACGCCTTGGGGCTGGGACTCGGGGGCGCGGTCGGGCGAGCAGATGTCGAGAGGGCTCGCAGGGTTGCGGGGGAGGCCGTCTTGAGGAACGGGCACATGGCCTTGCTCTGGCGGAGGACGCTATCCATGGCCAGGATAAATGATCGCAGTCGTTGAGGGTGTCTATTCGAGTCGTCGCGGTGGGTGTGTTTCTGAGATGTCTTGTGGAGGAGGGGAAAAGGGAAAAATGGAAGGAAAGACGGAGGAGGCTAGTGGATGAGGGTGGTCGGTGGCCAGGAAGGAGAATCCCGAGCAAGTTCCAATTTTCTAGCCGATTTGGGATTGTGGAATTCGAGATACCGCCTTTCCGCTTCTCGACAATGACCACTAATTAGGGGCAAGTCCGTATCATGTCCGGCTGGCAAAATTGATCAATTGATCATTGATTGATTGATTGATTGATTGATGGAATTCCCCCCTTCGCTCCACCCACCGCCGAGGTCGTCGACGCCTTCAATTCTTCTTACCTTTGGCCAGCCTGTGATTGGACGCTGACTACGCGGCGACTCCGCATTCTTCCATCCCTCGTGCTCGATGATCAATCAATCAGCACATCATGACTTTCCCACACTGTAGCGACACACACAATTAGGACATACAATGGTCATGTCATGCATGTACTCAACACTTCGAGGTAACTTGGTTGTATTGCGAACGATTCTAGTAGAAACTGATTCTCCTGCGCAAATCATCCCACGATGCTCGTTGCCTGTTTACGACGTACTATATTTGCTCTTGAAAAGGCTGACAACTGAAACCCCAATGCAACATGCACTGAACCATCCTTGGTTAGCCCCATCCATGGTCGTCCGAGTCAATGCACATGGAAGACTCCGTAAAAATGACCACGCCAGCAAATAGGGTATCTCGAATCCTCACGCCCAACGCCGAAATCGCAATGACATTGTCATCCCCTCTTCTTACTTTATTCCATCGTCTTGATGCTCATCACTCGTCATCTGCCCTGACCGGTCCTGTCGCTGTGCCCGCTTGCTGGACTGGCCCTTGAGTCAACCGACCGCTGTCGTGATGTATGCCGTTCCTGTTCTCTTAGTGATGCATGCGCCCAAGCAGGCAGTCGTGTATAGCCATCGCCCCGCGTTTGACGACTCTTCGACATCTCTGCGAGAACTGCGGAATCCTCTTTTCTAGTCCTCGACGAGTCCCCGGATGTTGAATGGCGTTGTAGTTCCTGTAGAACGGGTTAGTCGTTGCCACTCCGACAATGTCCTGGCAGGGCATTCATACTGCTGGATCCTTGTTCTTTGTCTTCAGATTGCACTGAGTCATAAAGCTCTGGTGACTCAGTCGCTCCAGCGAGTCGACACGACTTTGCAACACTTTGCGCCCCGCGCTAGCCACATATTTGGGTGTTAAGAGCCCGTATGCCATTGCGGTTGTGAAGCGTTCGTTATCCAGCAACTCCGTCAACAACTTCCACTGCACTTTGTCCGGCAAGAACCCAGCCCCTCTAGCTTCCAGCACTTGCTGGATCGACCTTGCGAGGGACCTTGCGCGATGCTGTATGCCGCCATGGGCAAGTCCAGGTATGCCGGGGATAGCCTCAAGGCGTTCTGTTAGTTTCTGTTGGAATATGGCGTCGAGTGGCTGTGATTGACTGCTGCCCAAAGTGAACGCTGGCGCTGGTACGCTCGCCGGGCTGGCGGGAGGAGCTTGAGCTGGGGCTGCTGATGCGCTTGTGGCTGGCCCAGGCGAGTGCGTGCTGCTCATGACCTCCGACTGTCGACCAAAATAGGTGTTTGCCCCAACCATGGGCATGGGCGGAGGTGGGACGTTGGCAACCGCAACCACAGGGGAAGCATCGTCTGTGCCCGAGGACTGGCATTCGCATTAGAATAATCCTGTAGCAGGGGGTGGACATGGTGGTCTGTAGTATAGAAAAGCCAGGAAGGGCAATGTAGAGGTTAACAAAGGGGAGATGGTGGCTCTATACCTTACCGGGCACGCCAGAGTTGGACTCTCGAGGTGCCGGTCCAGACTCAGCTGCTGCTGGCGCGTGTTCACGGCGCGGGCCGTCTGCTGAAGCAACACCAACACCGAAGTTGTGTGCCATTGTCGTCGGGCCGTTCAGGCCAGGTATATGATGCGGCGGTCTCGTAGTGCTATATGGCTGAGTCGGCGGTGGAATTGGTGTCATCTTTCCACCATTCTGAGTTGGGTGCTGACATTGTTGCGCCAGGTGGGCTTGCTGCTCTGCCATCAATTTTGCATGCTCAGGCGGGTCAGTGCGTCGAAGGTGATCGAGCCGGACAGCCTCTTCCGCTTCCTTTCGCTCTTCTAAAGTCAAGGTAGCGTCAATGTCTTCCTCTTCAAATGTATCAGTCGACACTAGTTTGCTGATTTGAAGCTGCTGAGGCTCCGGCCTAGTGGTCCTAGGGGGTTCTCGGATTAGAATGTCGAGGATCTGGTCCTTGCCTATAAAGGCTTCTAGATTTGGGGCCCGTGTCTCGTTATTTGGGTGCTGAATATGCATCAGGTATTTGCCATGCCTTTGGCCCCAGGATATAGGATTCTTCTGGTCGACAACGCGGGTGGCCAATTGACCTTTGAAGACGGCCTGGTTGTGGAGCTCTTGTTCAATCGTACCGGCGACCATGAGATAGTACACAAACACATGCTTCCGCTGGCCAAGACGATATGCTCGTCCAACTGCTTGCTGGTCATCGGCCGGATTCCACTGTGAGTCGAATATAACCACGCGATTGGCTCCTTGTATGTTAAGGCCAACACCGCCTGCCTTGGTCGAGATGAGATATACGTCCTGCTGACCTTCGTTGAACGCTCTTGTTTGGTGTTGGCGTTCGTTGATCTTGCTGCCGCCGTCTAGCCGACAGAAGCGACGATCTTGCGTCTCCATAATCTTCTGCAGATAGTCCAGAGTAGGAAGGCTTTGGCTGAAAACCAAGACCTTGTCGCCGATGGCCCGGGAAACATCCAGAATTCGACAGAGGTATAACACCTTGGCCGAATATGAAGGGTCCTGGATCGTTGAGTTGGTATGTGGGTTTGTCAGGCGATTTGCTTCGTCGATGATTCCTGTAGGGAACGTTGAGGCCTTGTTTGCAGTACCTGTAGCGATTTCTTGCATCACCTGTCTGACTTTGGACCCGAAACAGACCGGGTGATTGCACAGAAGCACCAGATCTTTGGCCGCCGTCAAGGCCGCGCCTGATCTACCCGCACCACCGTCGTGCATGGCGTTGATATACAGCGTGTATAGGTCGCACTGTAGCTTAGTGGGGGGCACCGATATAACGAACTCTGACTTTGGAGGTAGGTCATGAGAGAGCACTTTGATAGTGGCTCGATGCACTTTAGGCGCTACTGTTGTCTTCAAAGCGTGTAACTTTCGAAGCGCCAGCCTCTTGTCGCTAGCAACACTGTCGCGCGCTAGCCCATTCTCGATCTCGCGGACGTAGATCTCCTTGAACTCCTCCAAGGGACCCAGGAAATTTGGTGCAACCCAATGGATCATCGAGTAGTACTCTATCGTGTTGTTGCTCAGCGGCGAGCCAGTCAAGGCGATGCGACCAGAAGTGTGGAATTGAGAACAAAGGCTGTTCAACACTCCGTTCTGTGCCTTGAGCTTGTGTGCCTCGTCAGCCACAACGATCTTTGGCGTTTCCAGCAGTAGCGCGGCAAGCTCTTCGTACTGTAGCCTGCCCTCATCGTCGGTTTTATCCTTGCGGAAAAAGGCTTTGAACATGTCATACCCAAGAACCAGCACTCCACCGTCTGCTGCCCACTCTCGGAGGATGTCTTCACGCATAAAAGGCGTAGCCGCTGAGTCCAGTGACACCAGCGGGCCCAAAGAGTCTTCCGGAGCCCATTTACATAACTCATCCATCCAATTGTTGACAAGTCCTGCGGGACATAGGATCAACGTTTGGGAGTTGCGCAAATCCTCTGGTATCTGCGTCGCAGTCTTGGCATCGCGAGAAGCTTGAGCAAGGGCTACAAGGAATGTGATCACCTGCATTGTCTTGCCCAAGCCCATCGTGTGCGCTAGTAGGCAGCCTTGGCGAAGTGTTGGGGGCAGCACGATCTGGTTCCATAAGAAACGGACACCATCAATTTGATGCTCCTTGATCGAATGCGCAATGTCTTCGTTAACATACACCAGCTCTTGCTCGTCATCTTTGCTTTCGTTTATGATGATACGAGTATCTCCATGAATTGACGAGCCCAGGCCTTCAAGCTGAGACCTGAGCCTTTGGCGACGAGCCTCTTGCTCTTTGATCCTCTCTTTCGCAAGCTGGCGCAGCGTGAGGGCGTCTCTGTTCTGCACGACTTCCTTTGTCTGCTTCTTCCGCTTCTGAGGCGAGCCGTATTCCTCAAGTTCCTTGTCAGCCGGAATCTCCTCGTCGCTATCGGGGATATTATCATGGCCTCGATAGATTTGGTCGGCCGTGGGGAATATGGACTCTTTGTTCCTCAGCCACTGACAGAAGAGTGAGAACCCTTCCTTATTGGAGCGTATCTTATGCATCGTGTTATTTGTCGGCGGCATCAAGCGTTTCTCGGCCTGTACCCTGCACCGAAGGTGCGTAAGAAACAATCGTGCAATGTCAAAACATAGCAGCTCTTTTTCGGTCCAAGTGCCCACCGTTCCATAGTCTTGTGGTGGTTCGTTCAGAAAACCTGTGACGTACGTCTTCCACACCTTCAAAGGCGAACAAGTCTGCACGGCGACAAAGACGGCTTTGCGCCGGTTGAAAGTCATTTTAGCCAAAACCCATAAGACAAGTCTCCAGCGGTCATTCTGATTCGACCAGAACTTGGCATCATGCGCGGTGATTAGGCTGAGGCTGCTGAGACTTTTGAGCGATGGCCCGTTGACTGCATCCGTCGTGGAGGCCTCTGTAGGTTGCGAGTCCGGCTCTAACGTCAAATCTATGACCGGGACGGAGTGCTGGGACGGAGGCGCCGTGGGAGACGGAGGGTGTCGAGTTCTGACAGGCGTTGTTGAATCCGCTCTCAACCTCTGAGAATCATCGTCGCTGCTCTGTGTGGCACCGCCATCTCCATTAGTAGCTTCTGGGGCGTGAGGCGTTTGTCCGCTGGCGGCGTCGCTAGAGGGGTCAGCGGCTGCATCGGAGATATCCATGGGAGCAGGGTCCTCGTCATGAACGATGAAATCAGTGTCATCTTCTTCGTCGCTGCTGGTCAGGACTTCCTCCATCGCCGCAGGCCGCTTCTTTGGAGTTAGCGATGGGCGCGCAGGCGCTAGAGGCCTCTCCCTCTCGGGCTCTACCCTGCATTCGATAACATTCAGCTTCCAAGCCTGGTAGAGTCTGTCCTCTACACTCGCCTCCAGAATTAGGGCTTGTGCACGCACTTCGCTTTCGACTTGCCACCCCTCGCGAAGAATGCGCGACGTGTACGCTGCGATACGTTCGTCGAGAGCGCGGATCTCTGAGCGAGATTGCTCGGACATGATATTGCGCTTCCCCTTGCGTGCTTGATTCCAAAGACTCCATGCCTCCCGCTTGAGTTTTGTGGCCTTGCGTGTTTCCCAAAGTCGTGTGAATGCTTCGATCTCTTGGTCGAGGATTTCCTGGACCTTGTGCTGTGGTATTCCGTCGGCCTGCAGCCTGAGCTCTTCAGCCTCGAGCCGTTCATCCTCAATCTCTCGCCTCGTATCATCGTCTAGTTCAGACGGGAGATCGGAAAGAGCCAGAATCATGTCTTTCTCGTCGACGCCGAAGTCTGAGACGACTTCTTCGCCTTCATCGATCCGAACCAAATTTCGAGCATTCTTGATCAGAAGACGTCGCATCACCATTGCAACTGCTATTCGCCGGCCGGGGGGTAACCTTTTCGGTTTCACTGTAAACTCTTCTTCGCTCGACACCTGATCGACGTAGTCCAGTACCAAGCTTGTGACGGGTTCCGAATCTGACGTGAGCATCTCCTGGGTCAAGGCCCCGTCACCGATATACGCCCAAGCGGGGGCACGCTCCCACGGAAGGGCAACAAATTGCTCCGTCACCGTTTGTACGCTGATGTTGGTCGGCTGAACACGGCTTTTCTTGGGCGGTGGTTCGGCAGCATCGGTGACGATATCGTTGTCGTGTGTGGCTGGGCGTTTCAGCTCAAAGGGCGTTGGTAGTAGGCGACGTCCAATGGCAGATGACTGCGAGCCGCCTGAGATGGCCATTTGCCCAATTGCCGGTGTCGCCGAACTCGACACTGTGCCAGGGGTTCGGGCATCTTGACTAATGGGTGACGGTGCTTCCTCAGGCACGTATGGCAATCGATCCTCTTCGATATTTCCATCTTCCTGGTTTGCAATGATCCCAGACACTCGCTCTTGCTTCCGGTCCAGCGAAAATCTCCAGGCCGCAAAAGAAGGACTCTGCAGTCTCAGCTCGTTCACCTTCTCGTTGAAACGCGACTCATCTCGCAGGGTCTTGAAGTCTAGTCGGTTTAGAAGCCTGTCTAGGGAGGTCGTCGATTGAAAAGTCAACAACGTCCTGCCATCCAGTTCTTCTGCCCGAAGCCTGTCTGCAAAGGCGGCCGGATCCTTCGCCCATGGGCAGTTGGCACCGCATAATTCGGCGACGACTTGTTCGACATCCCAAAGGAACGGGTCGTTATCTTCGACTTGTCGCGGTCCAAGCCTCGGCGCCATGATTATTCATCATCCCAGGGACTTGTTCTTTTGGGGCTGAGGTATGTGTCAGCAGTTGCATCGCGCGTCGGTGGGCTGAAGCAGCAGACGTGCCTCATAGCGAAACCAGAAGAACTCACGCCCAGGCGATGTTGGTTGATCGCAGCACAAGCAGGCGCAAGAGCAGGAGTGGTTGTGAAAGGGTCGCGAATTGGTCGTAGAACGAACTTCCCGAGATTGGCAGGTAAGAAGCTCAAGTCGCCCGGAAATATAAGTACATTGGGAGTGAGGTGAAGCGTGGCGGAGTGAGTTGCAGAAAAGCCTGAGCTAAAGTTAGTGGGGCAGAATTTAGAAAGCTAACCTCCCTAATGAAGTATGTGAGGTGAGAGCCTTGTGAGCGCGGATGCGTCATAACACGGCCCGATTTCTTACCAACACTGTCCAAATGAGAACAATGTCAGCGCATGACACTTTATGCCATAGTTCGGAATAGGAAGGTAAGTGCTAGGGTACTCTGTCACCCAGCGAATGCGCAGCACCACAGTGACTGGAAGCAGTGACCCCTCGCCTCCAGCGAGTCCAGTCCAGTCCAGTCTGCCTCAGTCGTACCTCAGGTACCTGCCGACATGGACTCTCGATCCTCGGGCTGGCGCGGCCGGTTGGTCCTTCAGGAAGACACGCCAAGATGACATGGATCTCCAGAGTCCAGGCAGCCTGGCAATTGACATGGAGGCGTGGGATCGAGCACAAGGGCCAGCCGACTTCATCACCTCGCGCATGCCTGAAGAAACACCCTACAATTCACTTGTCCCGACACCACACCTAAGAAGAACTGCACAATTCGCCACCACACTTCAAGACTGTATCACATTAATATCATCCAATGCCTCAAACGTTAGACCTGTCCTCGCGCCTCCTATCCATACAGATCAACAGTGGCCAAAACCCCTTCTCGCCCGGCGACACCATCGCCGGAAATGTAGTCCGCACCAACCCAATCTTGACAATACAGTCCACCGTCAAGATCACCATCCACGGCCGCGCGAAGTCTCACGTGGTCGTTCATCGAGCCAACAGCAGTAGCACCTACCGGGGGCGCTTCCGACTCATCGACCACGTTCGTCGCGCGCAGACGCTCCATAACGGACCGGTGCACATCCCGCCAAGAGGTGGTCCCGAAGAGTGGCCGTTCCTAATCCGCCTCCCAACGCACGTTGACGACGACGTCGCATTCCAACATCAGGACACATTCATTCCACAAAGCAACTCGGAAAGACGCACGCACGCCCTCCCACCGACCTACCACGCCACTACTCCTGATGGCAAGGACAGCTTTGTCGAGTACTACCTCAAGGCGACTTTCAGTGGCTTCGCGCAGGGTCAGTGGCAACATAACGAAGCTATCCTTCCCATCAGGTTGTGTGCGCGGAGCGAGGGACCCCCTCCTGCCGACTGGGGCACCACGCGATACACCACCCGGCGGTCTGTAACAACCCAGAAACTGATACCTGGCATGGAGGACACGCTGCTCTCGACATCGCAGAGGCTGCGAAAGTTTCTTCACACATCCTCTGTACCCGAGCTTTGTTTCCGCGCAGAGATCGACGCACCGGCAAGAGTACAGCTGGAGAACTTTGCCACGATACCGTTGCAGATACGGGTCGTGCCCGAATGGGACCAAACAAGCCAGATCTTGCGAAATGTGCCGCAAAGCATCATGCTCCTTAGAGCAACGCTGAAAATCAAGCAATTCTGCGAAGTCAAGTGCGAGGGCACGCGCAAGACGTACGAGGATGTTTTCTTTGACAAGATCCCCATGCTCCTGAACAGCAGCACCCGGTCAGCAAAACCAATAGAGGTTCCGTTTGGTGAGGACCAATCCAGCCTGGATCTAGGCCAGCTTGCCAATCTTCGCATTGGTTTCAATGGCCTCATGGCACGCCCCATGGCCAACATCAGCATCAGTCCCAGCTTTGTGACATACAACCTCAAGGTAAGACATACGTTAGGTTGGGCTATTGCACTTAGCGTTGGCGGCGAAGAGTGTGTGATTCGAAATAGCAGAGACTTTCCTCTCGTAGTTCTACCACCAAGCGCAAACCCGTGCGATACCAGTGAAGAACCAGGTGGGTCTCCGCCGAGTAGCGACTCGTGGATTCAGCCCCCGAACGAAGAGGCGCCACCACCCTCGTTCGACGAGGTAGTCGAGCAAGACCAGAAGGAGGTGGGGGAAATCCTAACGGCGCTTGAGAATACACGGTGAGGCGTCTGGAACTGGATCGTCTGCACGTTGGGTATGGCGGTTCTGACCGCATTATGGCCCCCAACTCCCCATGATCTCGAGATACCATTGTGTTTTTGAAGCGGAGCGCACCTCATAGAATACCTACATCACACTCTTACAATTCACCTCGAACGAAATAATAGCGTGTCTTCTCGACATGGTATGACCAGATTTAACCAATCGCCTTTGTATAACCAGCTACCGATATAATCACTTACCCGTGTTGTGAGTCTGCGGCACATGATGGCGGCTTACACCATCGCGGCATTATTAAGCGAAGGTGGACTTGCCTCCTCCACCTGCTTGCACGGCGGGCTACCAACAACTCCGCCAGCCTGGAAACATTTCTCAATTCTCATCATCGCGGCACTCCGCGCTGTCTCTTCGTCCTTTGTTATCCTACGCCCCTGCAAATTACCCCGACAAGGCGAGCCTCGCCAGCCGCAGGCATCAACAAATGTCTTCCCTCACCAGCGGGGTGTACCCCCCACCTCTCTCCCAGCCAGAGCAAGCCCACCTCATCACAACAATCAAAGACTGGACCATTGCGAATGGACTGACCATTCGCCCGCCACCAAGCCCCGAAGCAGACCCAAATGCTGTCACCGCCGTCAGCGCGCCGGTCACACTGTTCCCTAGCCCTTTTCCTCGGGTATGCTTTGAGCAGGGCCGGGTCGTGCAGCAAAGCTACAACGAGCTGTACGCCGCTGTGAGCCGCGATGAGAAGTTCATTGAGGACATGGTGAATGAGTGAGTCGTCTGCCTGATGCCAGATACCCCATATACTGAGCAAGCCCCAGAGTGAAGGACGGAGATGACTTCATTGGCCAGCTGTGGAACATCCACCTCAAGGTGAGGGAGGAGGGCTACACGCAGCCACTGTCGCTAGGTCTCTTCAGGTCCGACTACATGGTCCACCAAGATTCCACGTCAGACCCCCCGACACTGCAAGCAAAGCAAGTCGAGTTCAACACCATAGCCTCCTCCTTTGGAGGTCTGTCGCAGCAGACATCGGGGTTGCACAAATTTCTGGCCAGCACAGAGTACCCCCTCCTCGAGAAGAACATCTCCAGCATCCTGCTAGACCTCCCCGAGAACAAGACAACACAAGGGCTCACAGCAGGAATCCAAGCCGCGTACACCGCGTACGGCGACTCGGATCTAGGCCACCCTCGATGCGTTGTCTTCCTGACCCAGGATGGCGAGCGCAACGTGTTTGACCAACGACACTTGGAGTACCAGATCCTCCAGGCGAAGCCCGCCATCCCCGTCTTCAGGCTGCCCTTTTCGGAAGTTCTCCAGCACACCAGCATAGCCGACACACCGAAGCGTCAGCTCCTCTACAAGCTCCCTCGGAACCCAGACAGGGTCTACGAGGTAGCAGTCATCTACCTCCGTGCCGGCTACGGCCCCGGTGACTACCCCGACTCCAAGGGTTGGGAAGCAAGGCTGCACCTCGAGCGGTCCCATGCGATCCGATGCCCGACAGTGTTGACGCAGCTGGCTGGCACAAAGAAGGTGCAGCAGGTCCTGGCAACGCCCGACTTGTCCGTTCTCGCAAAATACATCAACAACAAGACGCCCGCTGCGCAGGAACTATGGAAGACGTTCACCAACATCTACCCCATGGACAACTCGCCCTCGGGCCTCCAAGCTAGGAAGAAGGCCTTGGACCCCAAGGAAGCGGAGAAGTATGTCCTCAAGCCTCAGCGTGAAGGCGGCGGCAACAACATCTACCGTACGTCTATACCGTCCTTCCTCAAGACAGTGCCTGAGGAACACTGGGGGTCCTACATACTCATGGAGCTCATCACGCCTCCGCCCGTCACGAACACCATACTCCGCAATGGGGCGCTCGAAGCAGGCGGTGTGATCTGCGAGCTGGGCGTCTATGGCACATGTCTCTGGGACCAGAACAGCGGCGAGGTGAAGCACAATAAGCAGGCAGGATACCTGCTCAGGACAAAGGGCGACAAGAGCGAGGAGGGAGGTGTCGCAGCTGGCTACGGTTGCATGGATAGCGTATCACTTGTCTAGAGATGAAGTATAAAGGAACGAAGTAAAACTCATGCTCAGAAAAGAAGAGGACTGCGATAGCACATGAAGATGATGCCTTTTGGCGCTGTGGGCTTGTACAAACAGCCTGACTCACAACATGAGGGCACAGCAGACCAACTCCAATAGTCGAACTTGTAGTCCTTCCTGGTTTAGGCGAGGGTGTGCTGGCAAGCTGACGGAATGCTGTGTAAAGTCTCAATTATGGTATCAATGCCCCGCTTCCTCCACGCAGTAATAGTACAGACATCCTATCAACAAGGGAAAACCCGTCTTCCAGAGATAGCGGAGATGTGGTCATGACAAATGTCTTATTGTTGTATGTATTCCCATTACTGAGACTCCTCAGGGAGCTGGTGAGGGCGCTTGAGCACATCAATAGAGCCTATTCATCTGCGTTAGTCTACTAGCCAACCCGGAGCCGACGTCGTCGTCACGCTCCCCACGGCATCGGACCACACTTACGTTGCAAAATGTTCAGGCTGCTCCTTGTCTTGCCGCTCTCGGCATCCTCGTAGGTGCTCATGCTCGCGTCACCCTCGACAAAGACCATGCAACCCTTGGGGAGCGCAAGGAGGTAGTCCCGCGAGGGACCCTCGGCAAAGCTCGCCACACGGAACCACGACGTCTGACGGTTGTTCTTGGAGCCCGAGTTGGAGGCGACGGCGTAGCGGATGATCTCACGACCGGAGGAAGTCTCCTGTAGCTCGGGGGTGTCGGCCAGGTTGCCAATGATGGAGATCTTGGCGACGGGGCGAGGGGCGGTGGTGCTGAAGGCACGGCGGGCGCCGAGGGCGGCGTTGCGACGGAAGAGAGAGGCAGACATCTCGAATGTGTTGATGGTCTATTGAAAGCCGAAAGTCGAAAGTCGAAATTGGTGGCGTGTGGTGTCTATTGAAGCTGGTGGTGATGGAGAGGAGGGATGTTTGCCTGGCGCGTTTGCGACGCGGTATCCCGCTAAAGTGATACGAGCTGGGGGTCGTGAAAGCAAGGGGTATAATTGGATCATGAGAGAGACTTGATTGGTCTAGGAGGAGAGAGTGGGGGGATGCTGTCAATGCAAGGACGCTTCAGGTCTGTGCTCTCGGTAGATGCATAGCCGCGTTTGACGCTGCAGGTGCCGGTATAGAATGGTCTATGCGCCTAAGCGATTCCTGGCGTGAGTCCATCGAGGACGACGATGGTCATGGCCATGAACGAGACGTCACCCCAAACTGCGCATCCCAACCTCTTTACAGAAGGCATTACCTGTTAGTACAAGGGCCGAAATGAATCACCACCCGAGCAACAAATGACATTTGGCGCGTGATGCCGGCAGATATCCAAGGATGCACCAGCCTGCATCCGCGGGCGTCAACGCGGCTAAGCTCAAGATGTCGTCTCATCGTAGCCTAGAACTGCCCGCATTTTAAACAGGTCAGAAAGCAGCTGCACCGGCCTGCGTCCCATGTTACATGCGGCCCACCTTGGAGAGGCGCCGCTGGGATTCGGGAGTTGAGGCTGATCCACCTGTCCTGGCTCGAAGCGGGTGTGAATACCTCCTCTCAATAAGCGAAACGACCTTCTATAGAGCAAACTATCTCGTCACAATGCTCAATACCCAAATCAGCCATCGCTTTTCATCTATTCTAAGGTGTGCTTTTGTAGGACGTTCAATCAAATCTTTCTTTGCGAGAAGCCCGAATTCCACTCTGTTGGTTTCAGGGAGTGGCCTATTGACTGAACATCTTCAATAAGCTTGTTCACAGCTCACTCAATAAAATGGAACGCTACAGATCTTGGTCAGAGCCTTCTATAAGACCGCATTGACCCTCCTTCTGATGTTCTCTCACCCATGGTTGTCAAAGCTTCCTGCGGTTTGTCTAAATCTTTGACCAGGCATGCAGACATCCACCAATCGACTATCACAACTTGCCTCACTGGCAGACTCACACACACAAACACGTGTGGGTTTCCACGTGTCCAAAGTCCCGGGTATGGACCTTTACGCACGGGACGATGCGTTGGTCATCATACAAGCCGCTTCCTCCCTACCACCCTACACAACTCCATCTCTGACAGCCAATCTTGTCTGTCGTGTCCTTCTCGGTCTGCTGGGCAGTATGGTGGCCCTCGTTCCTCTCCGTCTCCTCTATCGCAACTCTGAGCTAGCCGCTACCATCTTCATCCTCAATGTCATTCTCAAGAACATCGACACCGTTGTTCTGGCGCTCATATGGCGGAACGATGACATGGAGTCCTGGTGGAAGGGCTACGGACTTTGCGATGTCACGCCCTACTTTCACAACTTCAGCATCGCCCTCTACGCAACATGCCTCCTAGCCATCATGCGCAATCTGGCTCACCAGGTTGGACTTTTGACTGCTCATCCTCTGACGGTCAAGGAGAAGAGGAAACGAAACATGATCCAGGCACTCATCATGTTCCCCCTGCCCGTTGTCCAGCTAGCATTGACTTGGCCCCTTACACGCAATCGCTATGCTGTCGGTGCAATTGTCGGGTGCTCGTGGTCTGCGGATCCAAGTTGGCCCTATCTGGTCTTCTTTGTCATCGCGCCGACGATTGTGTCGACAATCACAGTCTTCTATGCCAGTAAGTCTACCGTAGCACATGCATCCAGACAGGGCACACTAACAGATAGTGAACAGTCTTGATCTACTGGCGTTTCCGTCAAGTCAGCACCAGCAACGCATCCATCCTTTCTTCCAACCGGCTGGCCACGCAGCGCGCCAACCGGACCCGTCGCCGTCTCTACCTCATGGTCATCTCCGTCCTCATCCCGGTGTACCCCATGATGCTGCTCATCTTCGTCCTCAACATCCTCGACATGGGCCCGGCCACCGGCTACTCCTACGAGCGCATCCACGCCGGACTGCCCGGTCTGCCCTGGAACAGCATCATGCTCCTCCCGAGCTCCTCACTCAACTTTGCTGTCATGAACGTCAGCTGGCTCACCATAATCTCGTGCGGGCCCATCTTCATGTTCTTTGGCTGCACAAAGGATGCCATCAACGATTACCGCATCGTCCTACTCAAGCTGGGCTTGGGCAAGATCTGGCCAAAGTTGAACCAGGAATACGCCCCTGACAGACCAGCAGGCTGGTCTCAGGGCTCGTGCAGTCAGGGGACGTCGCGCACCGGGTACGTTTGTCATCGACTGCTCCCCCTTCCCCCCAAAACTCCTTGTCCACCGACAACCGACGACCGGGCAGAATGGCTGACATCTACAGATCTACCAATCCCAAGGCCGGGACAAGTGTATCATCTCACCCCTTGAGTACATTCTCCTCCTCTTCAAGGGACACGGAGCAACCACACGCCCAGAGTCTCAACTTCCTCACGTCCACCACTCTTGAGGCAGGCCCCGCCGAGCCCAGCGCTCGTCAGCAGGACGAAGAGCCGACAAGCCGCGAACCTGTGTACGACCACATTCTGCATCGCAATCCCTTCCTGATGCGCACCAACCTCTCCCTACCGCCACTGTCGTTCCTTCAACGCTCCAAGAAGAGGGTGCAGTCGCCACAAGATCCGACGTCATCCAACGGTATCTACACAAGTATATGGTCATCCGATGATGAGTCCCGCGGCCCCGATACAGATGACAACAATGATGGGACCCAGGATACGCGGGGCGTGCAGTCCACGCCATAAACGGACACTGTCCGTGTTAAGACGTCCATCACACGTCACATGCAGCAGCGTTAGGGACAGTCCTAACTCGTGACGAAGGCAGCAGACTAGCCTTCGTCCCAGAACCATTGTTCATCTTTCCTTTTTCTTTTTTTTCTTTTCCTTTTCTTCCTTTTCCTTTGTCCTGCATAGCATAGCACAGCATAACATGTGGCTGGCGTTGCGGCACAAAAACTGGCCGTAGAAACAACACTCACAAGAGCTGGTGGATATTTCTCCTCTATCAACGCGGCGTGCATTTGACATTACAGACTATATAGATGGATTACAGCACATGCCTTAATAACTCCGAGACCTCTTTTCGCCCTCATGATGGCAATACCTTGTCCCTTTTTCCCCCGTATAACAGGCCTGCTCGTCCCTGACCCAATCCCACATGATGGTATCAATAGTTATTACGAAATGAAGAATTTTAGAAAATGTTGTCGTCGGGCTCGTAATGAAACTTTTGCGTGTTCGTGTGCGCGCATGTCTTGTTTTGTCTTTGCGTTTGTTGTTTGTGAATCGGATTCGTCAGGCCACCACCTATTTGGCCCCTGACTGCATTTTTCTCATGGCCTCGCGGTGTGCATCCATTAGCTCCCCGCTTCGCATTGCTTCATCAAATGCCCGGTCACTCCATTCCTTCTTTTGTCGATGCATCTCCTTTCGCTGTGCTTCAGCCTCCTTCTGCCCCAGAAGCAGATTGCGTTGTAGTTGGATGTTGCGCTGCACTTCCGCCTCGCGACCGGACAAGCCCCCGAGAAGATTATTAGTCGATGAGAAAGGAGTCTCGCGACCAGGGTTGTTCAGCATTGACGAGCCGGATCGGAGATCTTGCGCCACCGAGGAGCGGAACTGGGCGAGTTGCGCTTGACGGGCGGCCGGGGTTGGGACAGATGAGTTCCTCTTTGGCTGATGCGAGTCAAAGGAGGCGCTCCCGGTGGAGAGGTCGAATCCCGAGCTTGACCTGTGAGCGGCTTGAGGTGCCATTGATGCCTGCTGCTCTTGATTTTGATGTGTGCCTGACAGAGACATCATGCTGCTGTGACGATGCATCATCTGCTTGCGTTGGCTGAGAGGCATTTCATCCGGATCGGCAGCCAGTACTGCGGAGTACATGGGATAGTTGCTCAATGAGCCGGCGTCACTTGAAGGACGACCTTGAAACTCTGGGGTTTGAGGAAGAAGGTTGCCTTGGGACTTGCTACGCAGGAACATCTCGCGTTGGCCCAGCAGCGTTTGGGGATTCGAGTAGGAGACGACGGCTGGCACGACAGATGCCCTTCGGGACTCGGGACGTGGACTGGCCGCAAGCGAGCGCGTGTCGGCATTTTCGGAGACTGGCGTGGCCGAATAGTCTTGTGCATTGGGGGGCAAGTCATGCTCCTCCGCAATGGGTTCGAAGTTTGTCCATGACTTAGGCAACCCCATTAATGAGGAGGACGGGCGGAGCATGCCGCTTCCTGTGGAATGTTGCGGCGGTGGGCTTAAGGTCTGCTCAGGAGTGCCCACTGGCGCACTCAAGCTGGGTGAAAGGCCTTGTCGCGAATCTCTGGGGTGGAGTCGCGAGTCAGAGCGAACATTCGAAAGGGGTGGGATACCATCTTCCGTGGTTTGCTGTAGTTCCTCCAAATTGACCGGGGCTGGGCGCTCCTTCTTCGATTTGACCTTGGTCGGCTTCACAGCTTCGGTGACCTGTAGCTCATCGGGCTCAGGGGCGTCAGCGTAGCTGAGATGCTTTGCCCACTCATTGGTGCGGTAGGAGAGTGCTACTTTCGACAATGAGCGAGGCAGTCGGTCTTTGGTGAGACTGTGCCGTGAGGACAGGCCAGACGAGACAGACTTTGCTTTGTCTGGTTGGTCGTTCTGCGAGGATTCTGGTTCATCTATGCGGCTGGCAGCGACAGTCGGCGTCTCGCCTCCACCTGGCGCTCTGCTCGAAGCTTCCAATGAAGCCCAACCAGCTTCCGTAGAAACTGGACGCAAGCTCTGCGCCTGTACCTTCTCGTCTTCGGATAAGCTGCTTCGTGCTGCGCGGTCGACCTGAGCTTCTGGCCCGGACAGGCGTGCGGTGACCACGATCTCTGGGCTGGGCTCTGCGTCCACCACCGAGTTTCGATGACTATCGTCAAGACTCTGGTTGTCCAGCGTTGCGGCTATGGAAGAATCGTCGTCGCCTCGGTCGCCATGAGGAATTACCAAATCTTCTGAGCTCTCGCCGTGTTCCGCTGTAGACGTGTCTCTTTTGGGCGCAGAATGAGTCGACAAGTTCCGCAGCAGCTTCGATGATCCCTGAGATAGTCGTTTTGCCAAGTAGGAGTGACGACCATGGGCCTTGACGTCGACATCGTCCTGCTCATCAGCAAAGGTCGCCACGGAAGATCGCTCAGTCGGCGAGTCGCAAGACTTGGATTCGTCGAGGCCTTCAGGTTGCTCAGGAACCGTAAAAGGTAAGGGGACAACTTCAGGCGCCGAGCCAACTGTAATTCGAGACTGCCTTTGGAGGTTGGCTCCGGAAGATGAGACCCCACGGGGGCCCGCGGACGGCGCAATACTGGGCGACCTTGGTCGACACTCTATATCATCATCGGCAGCGACCCGAATAATAACCTTTCCATCGGCGTCTTTCTCTGTGAGGGGTTCTGGTCCGTCTCGGCCACGGTCCAATTCCGGCATGTCCCCCATCTCAATGACTTCCACTTCAGATTGGTGCCCATAGCTGCCTGCCAGCTTCTTCTCGCTGCCCGCATCCCCGGAAATGCGTGATGCCGTAGAGCTCCCGAGTTCGCCGTCCCCATGCGCTCTTTCCCATTCCCTTCGCTCGCGTGCGTTGGCTTCCTCGATCTGCCGCCCAACAACTGCTTCTTCCTGTTCAAGTGTGCGCTGGCCCTCGGCCCTCTCAGCAGCTCTCTTCTGTCTCTTGTCTCGGACGATGCGCCAGAGCTTGATCTGCGAAATGATACCGACGAGGAAAATGATGATGATTGCGGCTGTTTCGACTCGGATACCCTTGGTGACGGGGTATGTATCCGCGCCTAGCGGGAACAAGTTCGTGTTGAGCTGCCAGACATAGGCCCAGAATTCCTTGAGGCCTGCTCTACTAAAACAGTCGATCCCCAGGACCGTCACGGTAGCTCCACCGAAGGAGATCATGGTGATGAGTGCCCAGTCGCGGGTATACCTACTGAAGTAGAAAGCGAAGCCAACGCACGTGAAGGCGGCGATGAAGATAGCCTTGGCTGGTACTGAGCCGAGCAATCCACCTGGGACCAGGCACATGAGCCACATGCTCACACAGAAACCGCCGAGGGCGCAGCCCAGCCCTTCAGTCAACTCTTTGAAGAAGATGGAGGCAACTCCGACAATGCAACCAGGAATGATAACTGCCGCAACGTAACCACCTTGCAGCGCCCGGCTCACGGGAACGTTCATAACGTACACGATGAGCACTGCGATGCCGAGTGCCACGAGGAAGGCCGTGGAGAAGAAAGTATGGATGTATCGATTGCGAATGCCGACCAAGGTGTATATAACACCCGTGATGAGCATGAAAGCACCAGCAACACCCCAACCAGGCGTTATTTTGGGAGTAAGAGGGAGCTCTCCGTCGGGAATATCAACTGCAAACTGTTAGTGACAGTTGTGACTTGGTCATCAATGCCGACATACTGTCGTAAAAGGTCGAGTTGTCGAAGGGCTTATCTGGGCCCACGGTCGCTGTCGGGGTCTCTGAAGCATCTGTCGACGTCGATGTAGCTTCATCCTCGCTTCGCGTAGGCGTTTCCGTGGTTTGGTCGCCGGTGCGAGAGTCTTCCTCGTTCGACCCCGTCACCTCTGTTGTTCGCTGGGGCTCCGAGTCTGTTGCTGTGGTTGAGATCTCGCCACTGTCCTGTCGCGCCGTGATCCGAACATGGCGAGAAGTCGCGAGCTGCACAACTAGAGCAAGAAACAGAAGCGCCCACAAGCGCCCTGGTTTGATGAACATTTTCGTGTGCGTAGGTCTTCCCGGTCAAGCCCTGCCGTATGTATGAATGAATGAATTGGTCAAGCAGTCGAGATAGTGAATGGAACCTGTGCCTGCTTCGCAGATCAAAGCGAGATCGACAGCATGCTATGCAGTCGCCCGGCGACAGCAAGGGAGTCAGTAAATGAGTGGCAGCGTGTAAGATTTCGAGTCGCACACGGCACGACAATGGCACAGGAAAGCCCGACAAGGTGAGTAAGGAGAGAGAGACAGGAGATGCGCTGAGAAGAAAGACGAGGTGGGAAGGTGTGGCCACGGGCTGTCGTGACCAGGTCTTTGAGGTCTTCGAGTACCAAGACATGCGATCAGGTGGTGGGTGGGGAACTGGCTCGGCCTGGCTGCGACTGCGTGCCTTGGACCAGGGATGATCCGGGGCGTGCTATGGGATCAAGCCAAGAGTACCCGTGTGTGTGTAGTATTCGATAGGACGACAGGCAATGCTGGACGCTGACTGCGAGTCGAATGGCGCATGAGCACAGCAGAGCAGAACAACTATGGCGGGTGCTTAGGCTTGCTCATGTTGCCTCAAGCGCCCCCCTACATTGACACTCGCGGCAGTAGAAAAGCAACATCGAAATGTGCATTTACCTTACCTGGAGTTCGACGAATCGCTCGACAGTTTCAGGCTGTGTGTCCTTGCCAGCGGCTGGCTGGCTGGCCGCTGACCCTTGAAACCGGCACCGGCTAGTACGAGACCCATGCGCATGATCTCACTTTTCCCAGACGCGCTCTGCGGCCTGCCTCTTCTTCCCCGGCGGCTGCTTGGCATGTCGAGAATTGCTTAGTGCGTGTGATGCTGAATTTTTTTTTCCTTTCAGGGGTGCGCGTATAGTGCAAGCGCAGCATGGTGAACGATGATCGCGTCCTGAGCTCGCGGTGAAGGATGAAAGCTGATTTGTGAAAAAGGGGCCAGGGTGCGGCCGCGCATTGGTGGGGCACCTAGACGGGAGGCACCTCCCAATAGGGAATTACGCTCTGTCGGGGGGTGGGAAGTAGCCGTGTGGGCTGGACGGGTACCTGCCTCAAGGCTCCAGTCAAGCAAGCAGCGCATATTGGGCCCCGCCACTTACCTTCAGGTGAGGCGCCTACACGTACTCACGACGTATTAGCTGCTTAGCATCGTTGAGGAAGGCACACTCCGTCCAGTCCAGTCTCCAGTCATTGATTGCAGCGACAGATGCCGGATACCCCAGGCATCCAACGCAAGGGGGCGCGGTACATGAGACCTTGGCGCAGATCATGTTCCAGCTCAAAGACCATTTTTCATTCTCACCATCAGCAGCGTAACTGCCAGTCTGCCAGGGATCTCGCCGCGTCTGAAATTCTGAAATGCTGAATGCTATGGCTGGCTCAGCCTCCGAGCGTCGTGAAATTACTACCCCTCCACGATCGAGGCTATCGGGCTTGGCGATGCATGCTCTCCCGGCGCACCCCTGAACCGAGCTTTCCCCCCCTGTACGGATGTTCGTGGGTGTTATTAGGATCTCCGAAGCAGTCGTCTGCAGTCGTCGTCAACGGTCAAAGTGGTCGGCGTTGCTTGACCTGTTCCAGCAATCGTTTCATGCATAGGTATGTTCAGGCCGAGCGCGCACGACCAAGTGCGAGCAAAGAATACATGCCGAATGACGCTGTGCCACGCCGGCCAGTGCTGCATTCAAGTTCTCACGAGCCCTGTTCTCACGAGCCCTGCAAAGTCTGAAAAGACCTTGCCATAAGCCAATCGCACGTCGAAGCAGATCTGCATGGGCCGAGACTTGCAGCATGTTTATGTATCCGTACTTGTGCACAGATACGCCGCTACGCTACGAGCACGTAGTAAAACATGAAAATGGCCCAGTCGTTAGACCGAGGCCTCTCTCATATCCATTCTGACACCATGCTAGTAATTAGCCCCAGCGGTTCCCAAAGTGAGCTTTCTACTTGTGCCAGGAGCCCAGGGGCTCGTGAGAGCAGGTTCGATCTCGACAACAACGTGGCTGCACCAAACTCGGCGCCTAGTGTCCAAAGAGTAGAGACTAGAAGTACATGGGTAAGTGCAATTAAACTATGATCGCATCGGTCCCACACCCACGCGTTCACTCCGACTCCGGCTTCCGCGATCTACCAAGCAGACTCCGCATCAGCCGGCCTCAAGAGTGCGGCGCAAAAGTCACGCGTTCGGGATGCTGGGTTTCACCGCGAAGAACACATGCGAGGCATCAGTGTCTAATCAGCCTCAGGATTGGTACACTAGGGCCTAGGTAGTGCTACAGGATCGTAGTGGGCTGGCTGGGCTCAGAATCGAAGCCCGCTAGGCGTCATGCATCACACGAGTCGCCTTGAACGAGCCAAGATCGCCGCTCTTCACCACGGCGTCGCGAAATGCCGTGCTTGCTGCATCCATCGGTACTCCTCCCGGCGTGCGTCTGTCGTGCTCCCCGGGCCCCAAAGCGCTGTTGAACCATCTGTGCGTTGACTTGACTCGCTCAAGTAACATCTGTCGTAGCTTCAGTTCCGAAGCATGGTCGGTCTGTTGTTTCTGAAATCATAAGCACAGCCATTGTGGTGTAACAGAAGTGATAATCACGGGTGTTGATATACTTGGGAACCGTTTTCTTATGAGAAAAAAAAGAAAAATCAATTGGCCATCATCGCTTCGCTGCCACCCGTGTTGGCACACGGTCGCCATTATACCTGGTCGGCCCAACGGCTTTCCCACTTCGTCCTTGACGTCCGTATCTCCCTTGCGATGTCTGCTCTCTGTCCCTCTTCCTCCCATTGACCAACAATAGCACAGCCTTGAGCGGTAGGAGAAGGACAGTAAGACAAAGATTCAGAGGAAACAGTGTCAGACCAACGATGGTGTCCATTGTGCGTCGCACCAGGCTTCTGTGCGAGGTCGCACTATTCTTCGCCGCTGCGGCCGCCAGTGCAATGGCATTCTCCAACCTGCCGTCCATGGCCGTGAAACGCGACTCGGTCTGCATTTGCAGCAACGTAGCCTTCTTCTCATACCGTCGCACCGCACGATTGAGCGCATCGAGTTCGGGCTGGATACCGTTGCGCACTTGACGAACCATGGCCGCCTCCTGCTTCCAAGTGTCTGCCGTCTTCGTTGCATTTTCCTTTTCGGGTTCTTGGAGAGACGAGCTCTGTGTCTCCAACCGTTCGAGACGCGTCATCAGCTCCGATATGCGGGTGCTTGTTGCTGAGGGTTGCGAGGCCTTTTGGACCACGCGTTGCAGGTGCAATGTCCGGGACTGTACCAGCTTGAACATATGTGAGAAGGCGCGTACTTCGGACACCATGCAGAAGATGGTCAGATTGTAGTTAGACACGAGGCCCTCGGAAGGCCGACTGAGGTGGGTGCGAAGAGCGTGGAGGAGATAGGCAGCCAGAAGAGGCATGGCGAAACACGAGAGCAACGCCGATGTCTCGTAGACGTATAGCTCGCGCAAAGCAGACTTTTGCTCCGTGGTCAAGCCTACCGGTTGCGGCAATTTGTTTTTGCTCGACTGGGACCCCTTCTCATCGCCCTCTTCGGGCACATTCTCGAGAGGCGCCTCACCCCCTGGGCTGGCGTCCAGCTCGGCATCGCTGTCTTCTGTGGCGGCCTCGGCGCCCTGTTCATGCTCCACACGGACCTCTTGAGCAGTGTGGTACCATTTCCACGGCTGCGTGACCGACCAGTGCAGGAAGACGCCGGACAGCGCCAGCAGCATCAGATCTGTCATGAAAGCACTTCCATCCTTGAAGAGGGCACCTGCTATCGCCGGCAGAAGCGCAACGGCGATCGATATGGTTGCCAGTGATGAGCTGTCCGAAGCGGGCATCTCCCCTTCTCTAGCTTGTGGATTCAAAATGTCGCGTGCCTCGCCGAGACTGTAGTCTGTGAAATTGGAGCTCCGACGCCGCAATCTTGTGGCATCATCGGGGGATGCATGGAACGACGGCCGCTTACGAGCCTCGTCGAGGGTGAATGCGCGGCGCAAACCATGTCCAGAGGGGGCGCTGTTGTAGGACGAGCCCGCGGCTTTGGGCCCCACGGGCGCGTCGTCGTCGGCAAGCGTCGCACTGCCCATGGTGCTCCAGTCCTTGTCGAAGGCAGAAGGTTAGAGCTTCATCTCCGAAGAGAGTAGATGAGTATTTTCGAGGAGAACACTGCTTGTCGACTGGAATGCAAGGGCCATGGCGAGGGCGGTGCCCTTGAATGTGAGAGTTGGTGTCGCTGGTGAACGTCACCACTAACAAATGCTCCAGGTGACCAAAGGCTGTACGATGTCCAGTCTCCACTTGTTCCACGTCAGCCACTGGCCACAGGCCACTGCCACTGGAATTGGCAGTTAATTGAAGTTAAGTTTCTGGGGAAGTGGGTGCCCCTGCTTCAATCATGATGCATCACTTATCGTGTTGCGAAAAGTTCCCCTGTGATGTGATCACGAAAACGCTTCGATGTACCTGATGCATTGCAGTATCGGGCAGTGACTGTGTCTTGTACCAATGGGCAGTGGTGTCGTCTCGACAGCACACTTGGTCTTGGGTCACCAGCATCAAAGGTAGAAATTCTTCCAAATGGCACTTGGTTGGGTCTTCTGGCGAGGGATCATGTCAGGAAAAAAACGAGCGCACATCCGGGCTCTGGTCGCGCCATCGTGGGTCTCGAAGAACAAGGGCATTGGACCGCCGCTAGAATGATGATCAGGCCAATTTCCAGAATTCCGGTGAGGATGGACTTGGACGTCATTCAGCGGCGGGCCTCTCACCACTGGGCGCTGCTCTGCGGCCTTCACATACTCCGTGCAACAAACAGCAGGGGCGAGAAGGCTCGCATAGCTGCTCGCATAGATGTGAAAATTGAATGTTCAGGTAATATAGGAGTAATATGGATGTTTCGCGTCAATGCGGTAAAAGCTAGGGCGTCTGTCGGGCTTCAGTAGGCCAGGCAGGCCAGCGCTCGCTCACCTTACACAAGCAGCGCCACAGACTGGAGAGGAGTCGACCCCAGACGCTACGCGGCCATCGCCGGAATTCCTCAATACCTCCTGGCTGGAACTTATCTTCTTCATATACGCCTCGCTGCTCCATATCCTTTGCCAGATCTTCAAGACCTGCCAGACTGACTCGACGCGCTGCGCAAATGCCGGCGCCAGCAGTGATAGACAGTGCCGCTAAGCCCTTCACGGATCACCGCCCCTTGACACCGACACCCTCCGCTGAGACCAATTGCTGGCCAGCCTCAGGGCCAATTTTCGACTCGAGCCAGTCCACTGCCTCGATTTCACCATTGCCACCCTCAATCAACGGCACCGCCGTCGCGACAACAGGCCACCGCTCCAGAGCTCATTCACCTCAAAACAAGGCCATCTACCAATCCCTAGTCCTCAGCGCGGTCGTCCCCTCGACGTCCGTGCCTCACAACCTCTTCCAACGGCTCCCGACGCCCAACAACAGTCAACCCTCACATCTGCAGCCTCCCTAACGAACCACATCACGCACGACATCATCGCTTCCCCACCGAGCGCAGCTCTCGCTGGCCCGCAGCAGACTCCCCCCGAGCAAAGCTATCATCTGCAGCGACCCTTTCGCAGCCTTGCAGCTCGCCGCCGAGATCGTCATCGCCCGGCAGCCGCCTACCTCTGGAACCCAGCCAATTCCACACCTCGAGAACAGCCACGCAAGACACGACCGCGAAGGCCATCCTCGCCGCCGGAGCCATCGGTGCGGATTGACCACCCTGACCTCGACGTTGGCAGCTTAACCGAGTCGCCACAGGGCGACTATCCGCTCTTGTCACTGCCCCAGGTCTTGCATCTACGAAACCCAGGCTCGCAACGAAGTAGCCTGCAGGCGGACCGGAGGACGAGTAAGATCAGTCTCCCCAACTCCGTGCGCGCTTCGTATGACGGCAAGAGATCGAGAGACCCTACGCCTACGATTGCGGAGTTCGACCCGAGTGTGAAGGATAGCGCGCACGTACCGTACACCGAGACGAGGCAGGGAAAGTCCATCATGGCAGCAGACGCTACAGCGCCCGCTCAGTCCTTCTCAGCGGACCTCGAGCGGGGAGCGGATGCGACAGACCACCGCCGATCGACAGCGTCCCTGGATGACGGGATAGGATCCGCCATATCATCGGAGGACTCATCGATCATGGGTGAGGAGTTGGATCCTGATGACGAAGCTTGGGGGCCCCATCACCCCTGCTACCCTCACATCAACCCGCATGTGCCCGTGGACTCGCCGGAGCATGCGTCGACGAGGATCATACGGATCAAGCGGGACTGGATGGTGGCGGGCGACCTGGCACCAACCTTTTCGAACCTGTATCCCGAAATCCTGGATCCCGCTGGTATGTCAGAACCCGAGTTCAGGCGGGTCATTGACAAGCTTAACGGGGAGCTGGTGCCCATTTTCAGGCCCTACTCGATGCGCAATACCCTCGATGGCGTCCTGGGCGCCTTGACCGGCTGGCTATGGGATGATCTAGGCTTCACAGGGGCCAAGTCGAGGCTGAACAAGTTAGAGAAATGGATCGAGGACTGGAACAAGCATGCGAAGCGTACCATGGAACCCCACGGTGCGGCACTGGCTCCCAAGCTCATACCCCTGCGGCAAACGGGGTATATGTCGGTACGTGCACTCTCCAGGCTAGGTCGTCATCGAAGGACTTGACTGACAGACAAAAACGCAGCTCGATATACAAATACCGGATCCGGAAATCGCTGCGGCTCCCAGTACGAGCGGTGCCGGCGACTCGCGCTCCGTCCTTCGCCTTGACTCTGCGCCGACAACGGCCACGCCCGCGTAGCGACGCCTGATCTCTTGATTCTAAGTCTCACTCTGCTCGGATACCCCCCCGCCTTTTCCTTTTAGTTCCTCGTCTTGCACTCTGCACGGACGGCAACGGAGTTGCTATGGCCGCACTATACTGTTTCATTGCACGGCGTTTAGAGTTTCATGGAAAGACGGGATGTGGCCATTGCGTTGTCTTGGTGCCCCAGTCATGGTCTTACGTACATACTTGCTGGATGAGCGCAATCTTTACACCGGTGTTGAATATAAGATGCTACCAGGTTTGAGTCACTACTACTCTCGAGAGTATGAGTACCTTGCACTCGTGAAAGATGTCTGGCTACCGAATGGTTTCTGGCGCTCGAGTCTGCGTTGCGAGATCGGTCCACCGGGCAACGGAGACTGGGATCATGGGATCATGAAATGGCTCGGCGCCTTCGCCGATCCTAAACATTGCAACGTCGACCGATGGCAATCCTTTCCTCACATTCCCACAAATGCATTCCCTCTTCCTCAAACACCGTCGTGATAGGCAACCTCACTGGTGCTCCTCTCAGTCCTCTGCTCACCTTTGGGTTCATGCCCAGAGGCAAGGCGTTTGATGACTGGCGACCAGCCAATCCGGCTACGTTTGGCAGCATGTACTCCAGTGTCGCCATGCAACTGGGTCTCAGTGTCGTGCTGCCCCTGGTCGTTGGGCAGGTTGTGCGTGGGGTCTTGGAGAAGCGGACGGCATGGGTGTTGCAGAAGCTGTACTTCAGCAAAGTTGCCGGGTCCTTCATGCTCTTCATGGTTTGCTAAGGCAAGGGGAGAAATAGGCCCGACCGCCAGTGACTAACCTGACCAACAAGGCTACGTTTTCCAGCGCCTCCAAGACCAGCGCCATCTACGAGATATCCAAGCCGAGCATCATCTTCGATGTCTTTATGAATCTGGCGCTGTACATGGTCTTTACGGCCATATAGCTTCTTCCTCGCTCGTCCTCTAGTCCGCCTGGCTGCCACTGCCAATCCCTATCTCGACGCGCCCCAGCGTTTCCCTGTCGCCGGCGGACTATAGGTCTGTATAGCGATAGTGTTGGTCTGACAATAATTGACCAGGTCCCTCTGCTGGCAACAAGGATGTAGCTGTTGCCACATCAGCTGGATTGCGACCACGGGGGAAGCACATTATCTACCACGATCTGGTTGACATGGGGCGGCCATTCGCTGGCATAGCTCTTCATGTCTTCAAGGTGCTTGACACCATAATTTCTTACACCGATGCGCTTTGCCTTTCCTTCATGTACCAGTTGCTCCAGCGCTTGCGAAACAGCTTCGGCCTGTTATTTCGCAAAGGATGTGTGTATCAGGAAGAGGTCGACATATCCACCAAGCTTGTCAACGCTAGACAGACACGCCTCGTGAGGTGAGAGACTTGGTTGAATCTTTTTTGACTTCGTAGTGGCCACCAACTTTTCGCGCGATACACCAGAAAGCTCTACTCCAACTCACAATTGTGCTTCTAAGCTCTGTCGAGCAAGCAGTGGCGAGCGGAGATGGCTTCAACGACGGCATCTGTGCACTGGGAAGCTGCGATCTTGTATGTTCCAAAGCCGACTACTAGTGATACTTGGCTTCCAGGTGTGTTCTCGGCCTGATGACGGGTGACTGGTCCCATCTTGGGAGATGTTGACGAAAGAGTCATCTAGCTCTAGGGTATGTGAGGTGCTCTTTTCGAGGGTGATCCCTAGGAGCCCGGACCACACTAGCACTTACTTAGGTAGTGCCTACAGTAGTCACATTCAGTTCTTTCGCAACGGACTACGTACATGCAAAATTGCACTCAGCTCATGAGTTGCATTTACACAGTCAACATAATTGATGCCTTCGAATGGTCAGACAGATTATTCGGGGGAAAGTAGGCTTAAAAAAAAAGGCCCCACCCACATGCTCCACATTCTGTGAAGCATGAGCGAGCCGGATGTGTGTCGTCACCCTCGAAAGCTCTTCCCTTTCGTGATGGCTTCCATTGAATTCCAACCTCGTGTGAATTTTCAGTTTTGCATGATTTCACCCACCCATCTCGAACACAATAGTAAACCAGGTGTAGCAGCACAGAATGACGGAACTTCGTCCCCTTCGCGGTGGTTGCCAGTGCGGCCGCAACTGTTACATCATTACTATTCCTCAGGATGGCTTCGACAGGTGCCAGGTCCACTTCAACACCGAACCAGAGCATCGTACGTGTCCTGTTCTCGCCTGTGATTAGAGGTGCTGATCAGCCGCAGAGATACCTCTCGCGACGCCCTTGGCCGCATACATCCGTGTGCCGCTCGAGTGGTACCACTCGACTACAAACTCATTCTTCCCCGATGAAACTCACGCACTTATCCGTCGTGTATATACACACCCGACCCAGAGTCACGCGAAACGCCAATTCTGCGGGTATTGCGGCACGCCTTTAAGCTATTGGTCCGAGAAGCCGTCAACAGAGGCAGACTTTATCAACTTGACCATTGGGAGCTTGCTGAGGGAGGACTTGGGTGACCTGGAGGACATGGGTCTCCTCCCAGGGACACCTGAGGAGACAGAGACCCAAGAGGGCAAGAAGACCGAAGACAAGACCAGCGACGTCGAGCGACTGGACACAAGGAACGTCCTCCGCGAGTCCTATGGCGTGCCGTGGTTTGACAGCCTCGTCGAGGGTACTAGGCTTGGCAACATGCGTACCAACCGAGGGATTGAACGTTCTCACGATGGCCGGGTCAAAATAGAATGGGAAGTTCGCGAATACCACGACGACGGTGACGAGGACACGGACATGTCCAGCACCGGGGCTGTTGCAGGAGGTGTGCCTTCTAAGAGGAAACACTCGGACGCAGGAGCCGCCGGCACGGGGCCAGCGGCGTGAGACTGACTGGCCTGCGATGACGTTTCAGTGTCGGAGGACTGGCCCGGCGGCGTGTGAACGAGGGACATAGGGGAAAAACAGAGTTGTCTCTGCGGAAGCGCGGAGCGGGCGTTTATTATGAGGCGATGCTTAATTAAGAGGTCAGGCAGATTCCGATATGCATACGACGACGGGTTACGATGTAGGGGGACGGCCAGCCATAGAAAGAAAGGATTGGCATGAAACGCATGTAGGACAGGCGTCGGAGAAATTGATGAGTTGAATGCATTTCTTGAGGTAAGGTGACGCCGGGGCGCAGTGATTAGCATATTTTCTTGCGGCTCGGGAAAATGACAATAGCCGTGCCTTTCCCCGTGCGCGCCCTCGCCGGCCAATGTGACCAGAGATGGGTCAGCTATTGGCCAGTTTGCACCATAAACCATGACGACAGGGACATTGGTACCAGGCTATACGTGCGCACGTATGCGTATGCGTAGTTATCGCTCATCGAGTTGCAGCAGGTTGTTCTTCGGGAAGAAACATTGACTCGCATGCATGCTCGATCGGCAGCACGGCTCGATAAAAAGCCGCGCGTGTTATCGTGCTGCGTGATATAGAAATGTCGAGGCGCCAGGACCGGAGAACTGGCAGACATGCACATGCAGATTGGCCCTTGAGGTTTCATTGTTGGACCTTGGCGGCATTGGCAGACGGACGTACGTTGGTTGCGGGTGCTTCAAAATGGGGATGAGAATGGGGGATACCGTCGGGGAAGCTTGCTTCGGAGAGGCGGGCCGACGTCTCGATTCGGTCGACGGAGCCAGCAGGGATCTGGCGAGAGCTCGCGCGAATGACAGTGTCGCAGTTTCGTCAGTAGGTATGGGCGCCCCGCCGTGGAGTCGACGATTTGTTGCTGTTCTGAAACTAAGCAGCTTCAAGATACAGACAGTAGAGTGGTTGCCGTGACTTTGCTGCTGCTGCTGCTGACGGGGGGTGGACGTTGAGAGCACTGGTTTCACTCAGGGTCTCACGTGATCTGGCTACTGGTACGGTGAGGTAGGTGCTGGACGGTGAGGACGCAACATGAAGACTTGCCAGTCTTCGTCAACATCGAACACAGACGACTTCTATGCATGAGCCACCCCAAACGTTCCCACTATCTTGTCGGCCATGTGCCTCACGAGCTACATGTACCTAGCTAGCCCTGTAATCGGGCCAGACCAGCCATTTCAGGCAAGGCACCTTGCGCGGCGCGTCTGCGACTGGACCCTTCCCCTCCCTCCCACGACCCCCCACTCCACCATCCCCAAGTTTACCCAAGTGACCCAACCTCGTACGCAGTCTCCAACAGGCCAAGGCAAGCAAGCGCGCGCTCGAGGAGCAGCTTCAGCCCCATGGCCAACGTGCTCGTACAGACACGCTCGGTTGCTACGGTCCGGCGCAAACCCTGCACAGCACCGCTGTCCTCAACATGACCGGATCAACGGCCTTGACACCTGCCGATCCCTACGTGCCATCATGGTATAAATAAAGTCGAAGCCCTGGGCAAGCCAGGCCGCACCTCCCTGCCTCCCTCCTCCTATCCAGCCTTTTCCCGGTTCTTTGACCGTCACATCCCCTCACCCCTCTCATCCTCACCTTCACGCGACCATGGCTGCTCTTCCCAGTGATTTCGTCTGGGGCTTTGCCACCGCCTCGTAGGTCCAGCGCATCCAACCCCTCTCCGAACACGCTTGCTAATGCAGACGGTAGCTACCAGATCGAGGGCGCCGTGGACAAGGACGGACGTGGCCCCAGCGTCTGGGACACCTTCACCAAGAAGCCTGGCAAGGTCGCCGACGGCTCTTCGGGCGAGACCGCTTGCGACTCGTACAACCGCACCGCCGAGGACATTGCCCTCTTGAAGGACCTCGGATCGCAGGCGTACCGCTTCTCCCTCTCGTGGACGCGCATCATCCCCAAGGGTGGGCGCAACGACCCCATCAACCAGGCTGGCATCGACCACTACTCGAAATTCTGCGACGACCTTATCGCCGCCGGCATCACACCCTTCATCACGCTTTCTCACTGGGACGTCCCCGACGAGCTGGACAAGCGTTACGGCGGTCTGCTGAACCGCGAGGAGTTCCCCCTGGACTTTGAGAACTATGCGCGCGTGTGCTTCAAGAGCTTCCCCCAGTGCAAGAACTGGATCACCTTCAACGAGCCTTGGTGCTCCTCCATCCTCGGCTACAGCGTCGGACAGTTCGCCCCCGGCCGCACATCCAACCGCGACCGCAACCCCGAGGGCGACTCCTCCACCGAGCCCTGGATCGTAGGCCACAACCTGCTCGTTGCCCACGGTCGTGCCGTCAAGGCGTACCGCGACGACTTCAAGGCCACCAACGGCGGCGAGATTGCCATTGTCCTCAACGGCGACGCCACCTACCCCTGGGACCCCACCGACCCCCGCGACGTCGAGGCGGCCGACCGCAAGATCGAGTTTGCTATCTGCTGGTTCGGCGACCCCATCTACCATGGCGACTACCCGGCCTCCATGCGCAAGCAGCTGGGCGACCGCCTCCCCACATTCACCGACGAGGAGCGCGCGCTCGTCCACGGCTCCAACGACTTTTACGGCATGAACCACTACACCGCCGACTACGTCAAGCACAAGGACGGCGAGCCCGCCCCCGAGGACTTTCTCGGCAACCTCGAGACCACCCCCTACAACAAGAACGGCGACGTCATCGGCGTCGAGACCCAGTCGCCCTGGCTCCGCCCCTGCGCCCCGGGCTTCCGCGACCTCCTCGTCTGGCTCAGCAAGCGCTACAACTACCCCAAGATCTACGTCACCGAGTCCGGCACCTCCATCAAGGGCGAGAACAACCTGCCCCTCGAGGAGCTGCTCCAGGACGAGGTCCGCTTCCAGTACTACGACGAGTACGTCAAGGCCATGGCCGTCGCCAGCCAGCTCAACGGCGTCAACGTGCGCGGCTACTTTGCCTGGTCGTTGCTCGACAACTTTGAGTGGGCCGAGGGCTACGAGACGCGCTTCGGCGTGTGCTACGTCGACTACAACAATGGGCAGAAGAGGTACCCCAAGAAGAGCGCCAAGCACCTCAAGCCCCTGTTTGACAGCTTGATCAAGAAGTAGGGAGCGCGCGTAGCATGCTAGGCCGTACATAGCAATCGAGAACGCAATGGCTACAAAGTCGAATGAAAGACGGAACTTTGCAACCCGAAACTCGCTCTGCTCATGACTAGTCACTCTTGCATATTGATGTACTGCCTTTGGCAACCTTCTAGATCCTGGGTATCCAATGCGTGTCTCTCCGTCTATACCAGCTCCCACTTGAGAACATAGCTCCAGGCCATGCCCACCCTCCCCTTCTTCTCAAAGTACTCCTTTGCGCTGACGCCCCTGGCGTCCTTGCCCCCAATCGTCGTCACCTGCGCCACCTGCAGCGTCTGGCCCGGGGCACCGAGGTCTCGCGCCTTGACATCCACCCAATGCCAGTACCCGTCCGTCTGCACGGGCACCATGTCGTCCTTCCGGCCATCCACGCCATGGATGCTCAGCAGCCACAGCGGCGGCTTGCCCTTGCCGTGCGTTTCGGACCGCCAGTGGCGGCAGAGCTTGCTCCACTTGAAGCGGATGACCGCGTCACTCTGGACGGGGATCTGTCGACAGCGCGGCTGTATGCTGGACTCGAGGATGCCCTCGTCGTGGCCGGTCGTATACAGCACAGGTGGTTCGCCGTCGGCAGACCGACCGATGTAGTACTCTTCCCACGACTGCACTCTTCCATCATCGCGAAACTGGTAGCGCGAGTCCCGCGGGAAATGTGATTCGCTAAAGACATCATTTCTTGCGATAAAGTGCTTCGGCGAAAAGACCTGCTTGTACTCGTTTGTTGACCCATCGAGGTGGCCGGCACCCCAGCATGCATCGATCAGTTTCCACCGGCCGCCGTCGATACGCACGGCGTTCCAAGCGTGTCCGTCTGGTTTCGCTGGTGGAGGTCGCTCGCCGGGTTTCAGGGCGGAGTGGCCGTAGCCTTTGCCGTGACCACCTACGACGATGCATTCCAGCCCGGCCCGGTTGGCAATGGCCTTGTACGTTTCGGCGTACCCGGCACAAACGGCCTTGCCCGTGAGTATGGTGCTGTCTGCCGTCTGCTCCTTGACGCACTTGTTGAAGAAGGCGTACGTGTCATAGTAGATGTTGTAGTGGAACCAAGTAAATATCGCGCGAGCCTTGTCAGTGTATGACGGAAAGGGGTCGCACAGATTGCGAGCAAGATAGCCAACGAGGTCTTGTCGCGGGAGCGACTCTCGAGGAAACTTGGAAGCAAGGTTGTCTGGCCCACTCCAATCTCGACAGACCCAGCAGTCTTCGTCCACGTTGCCACCCAACAACATTCTCTCATTCGCGGCGTCGATTTGAGATGCTGTCGGCCTGGAAGCTGTTGGGATCGGAGGCGGCTCGTCGTTTGCAGTTTCTGGCGCAGGGGGCGGCTCATCCGTCTTCTGATGCTGAGCCGGCGCTCGCGAAGACTTGCCACTGCCGAACCCCATGACGATGTTTTTCCTAGGGGGAGGCGCAGGCTGGGCTGGTTCTGCAGGCGCATGGTTTTCTTTTCCATTCATCAATGATGCCTCTGTAGCGGAACGAGACGGGAGTCTAGGTGGAAGGCCAGGCTTCGGCCCTGGTTGCGCAGCGTCCGGTGTCTTCAATGACGAGGCTGACTTCTTCCCCGTAAGACCTGTACGTGCCATAGCTGCGCTCAGCGATGATGATGATGATTTCCTTGGCGCAAGGCCTGGCCTGACAGGCTGGGGGGCAAGCTCGGATTCTCTCCTAGAAGGGGGAAGAGGGGGCAGGCTCGCCTGGTCATAGATAGGTGCCATGCGTCGGCCATCTGAGCCACGACTGGCGACAGAGATGGCGGACCGTTGTGACGCCTCAGAAGAGCTCGATCCCCGCCTCCCAGGCAGGAGGCCAGCTTGATTCTGAGGGGCTGTCCGCGTGGGGAGGGTAGGAGGTGGTGTTTGGTTCGAGTTACCTCTACTGGGCAGTGGCGGCGGAGCAAGCTTGGGCTCACTGATGGGTGATGCGCCCTGTGACGTCTGCGTATCGCGTCTTGGTAGGGGTGGCGGTGCAGGTCTGGGGGTGGGGGGCTTGCTAGGTCTGTTTGGTATGGCTGGTGATGCTCTGTGCTCCTGGACGCCATTCGTTGTGGGTGAATCACGAGGCGGTTGGTCTCTCGCTGGGCGAGGGACAGGAGGTGGCGCTGGTTTGCGCGTGCCATCTGCGTCATTAAAGTTCTTTTGCTTGTTCAACGCGGCGATTCGTTCCTTGAGCGTGTTGAACTGTGGCTCTTCCGTGTCCGCCATGATGGACTTGAGTGTGAGAGAGCGTGATGGCGATGAGTAACACCCAAGGCCAAGTAGGTCGTCGTGGCCTCCGTTTGACAGATGTCCTTCCCAACAATGAAGGCGAGACTGCTGTCCAGGCGGAACTAACAATCAGACAAGCTAGTGAATGAATGAGTGCAAATAAGGCTATTAATTTCACGGGGCAGGCCTCATGAAGGAAGATGGAGAGTGGCTGACTGGGTGTGGTCGTTTCGTACCTGTGGAGGGCACAGTGTGAAAATAAGTGTGCACAGTGTCAGGCTGACGTACGTGGGCTTGGGTGGGCAAAGCAGGGCCGTAGATAGACACGCATATCATTGAGATTGCCACTCATCCTCCCCTGACACCATGATGCGCAGTGAGTGAGCTTGGTCGACGGCGTCTGGTTTAGGGCCTTCTTTGTCGACACGTCAGGTTCACATGCGGTCAGAATCACGAGCATTGCCTATTCAGTGGCGACCCGGTTGTTGCATGACTGTACTACACAAATATGACTTCGAGGCGATGCTTGGCAGTGTGAAGTCATCAGCGCAAGGACATCAAGCATGAGGTTCGTCAAAGAAAGTAAGCCCTTAGGCCATGTCATATGGTGTAGTGGAACATTCATGCCTCAAGACAGGATTATTATATAAGTCTATAATTTCATCCAAGATCTATCCTGAGCCTAGCAATCCATACGGAACCAAAGTCAGACCTTACCGGCATGCTAACGATGTACAGCAATCCAAGGAAAAACAGGCATTGCTAATGCAACCTAGAAGAGGGCGAGAGCGCCGAGAGCGGCAAGAACACCGGCAGCGCTGATCTTGAGGAGCCCAACGCCGCTGTCAGCACCGGGAGTGGCCACAGCGTCCGGACTGTCCGAAGCGTTGGTGGTCTCAGCATCGCTGCTGTCATCCGAGCCAGAGCCGTTGCCAGAGCCGTTGTCAGAGTCGTTGCCAGAGCCGTTGTCAGAGTCGTTGCCAGAGCCGTTATCAGTGTCGTTGTCAGAGTCGTTGCCAGAGTCGTTGCCAGAGTCGTTGCCAGAGCCGTTGCCAGAGCCGTTGTCAGAGCTCTCCTCGGAGTCGTTGTCCGAGCCACCGTTGGTGGCAGTGGCCGGGCTGCTGGTCGCCACGCTGGTCACCATGCTAGTGTGGTCCGCAGAAGTGTGGGTCTTGGTGGCCTCGGAGGAGGTGCTGGTCTTGCTCTCCTTGTCCTCATCGTCAGAGACCTTGGGGCAGCTCAGGTCGAAGCGGGGCTCGGTAGACAGCTTGTCGGTGATGCCAAACTTCATCGAGTTGTCGGGGTTGGAGTCACGGAGGGTGTACCAAAAAGTGGGGGTCTTGTTGAACAGCTTCTTGCAGCCGACTTCCTTCCAGTACTTCTCGGCATTCTCGACGCTAGCCACGGCCTCGTCCCAGGTCTCGCCAACATAAGGCCAGCCGGTCTCAGTGACCCAGACGGGCTTGTCGCCGGCAGCGTCAAGAGTGGCCTGGTAAGCGCTGTCAAAGAGCTTGCCGGCGTTCTCGATGCTGTTACCCTTGTCGTTCTCGTAGTAGGGGTACTCGTGGACGGAGATGAAGTCGACGGCGTCGATGACGGCCTTGTTGGTGGAGTTGTTCCAGACGTCCCAGGTGTCGGCGTGTCCGACAGGCACGTCGGCAATAGGACCCGACTTGAAGGCCTTCCTCCAGTCGTCGATGAAGCTGACAATGGTCTTGGGCGAGGCGCCTACACCATCGGGGTCGTTCTTGAGACCGGTCACCGAGGTGCGGTAGAGATCCTCGGAGCCAATGTTGACGCCGATGATGAGGTCGGTGAGCTCGGAGCCATACTTCTCAATGGCCTTGTTCAAGGCGTTGATCTCCTTGTCGATGTTGTCAGTGCCTGAGGCCCAGACGCCAAGGAGGAGGTGAGTCTTGGTCTCGACAGCGGCATCAAAAGCCTCAATGGGATCCTCCTGAGAGTAGGCCTGGATGTTGGTGTAGAGGCGAGCCGAGTTGAACTTGCCGGGGGCACCGTTGAGCTTCGCAGCAGTCTTGAATTCGGCAGCAAAGTCGGCCTTGAACTTGGCAGAGCGGTCGGCGAGAGTGGCACCGCTGTTGAAGCCAAGGTAATTGCTTCCATCGGCAGCAGCAGCCCCAACGGCGGCAATGCCAGCAGCAATGGTGGAAGTGAAACGCATGATGGATTAATGCTCGAGTATCGCGAGTCGAGTCGTCGGATTGTGGTAGGGAGTGAATGTGTAAAGAAGTACAGGTTTTCAGTCAAAGATAAAAAAGAATGTCGGAATGCAAAAGAGTGCAGCAATCCGTTGGAATGTGGTTTGAGGGAAACGACAAGTGACACAAGAAGCAGGAAAACAAAGACGTCTTATGATGGCGTTGGGTTGAGGAAAAATGAAGGACTGGAGTCGGTGGAATGAGCGCTGGCTCAGGGGCCCGGCGCCAGCTGCTTAGCGCATCGTGGCTTAGTGGACCTGTGTCAGGCACCAGAGCGCGTTGGAGTCACGTGTAATCCACATAGTCGTTCCAGAACTGGGAAACTGTGGGCACAGCAATCCAACCGGCACACCCGGCTCCAGATCCTCCAGTCGCTTTCTGGTCGCGTTCCCTGCTAAAGCAAGGGGTTCTGATATGGTGATCTTTAATTATTAATTGTTCCCTTGTTTCGAGACGGGAGCAAAATGATCGTGGCTCACACTTTGTGTTTCTCGCCTACCTAAGCGAACGCCGTCATAAATAACATGACATTAGCTTTCCGCTCCGATCAAGCCACGAAAAGCTGAAATTGCGCAGGAAGGAGTCCAGTCTGCAGCCACTTCGATGTTCGCCAGAATACGAGCATTGATGTGCTGGGGCACGCACGGACGCGTAGACCGGTGGTCCTGCAGTGGGGAAATACGACATTGTTATTGCCCGAAATACGGACAATCTTCCTTGACGTCCTGCAAAAGCCGTAATTGTGCTTTTATTTATAGCCATCCGAGATCAATGATATCATCCGCTGATTACTACGCCCGAAGGCTGAGACAGATTCGATTCTCGGCTCTTTTTTTTGGCGCAAGGACGACGTTGGTAAGACCAACCAACGGTGCACATGTTAATCACGTGGAATTGAGCTCGATCCTGTCATCATCACTGCCAACCATTCCTAAAGTGAAACCATGAATGCTTTGCACAAGTAATTTCTCCACAGATCCCTGCCCTCAACGGACGTCCAAGGGAACCTACATATACTAGATCAAGGACAGATGCCAATCATGTCATTGAGATTGTGCATATTTATCATTCATAAGCATGCTGCAAAGCGTACAACGACTCTTTGTCCACATGTACAACTGACAAAGCCCGTTTTCTGGTGCTCCCGGACCATTGCACACTCAATGACCAACAGCCTCGAAGATTCGAACCTGCCAACGCACACTGATATATATGTAGTTAACGCATGGAGCTCTCAATCAAGTGAGCTATTCTTGACGTTGCTTAACAGCTCTCATTTCCTCTGCCAGCTTTCACCTCCATTGGCTGAATCGTGAAAAGAAGCCACCAGGTCTGGGGTAGCCTGACGGGTGCCGGCATATGGCCCCACCTATTGGCGCTAGCACAGCTTAGCAACCATTCACAGGCTCACAGCTAATCCAGGGTGGCATCTGCGACCGTTAGCCGCCAACCATCGTCCAACTTCAATCCGCCTTGCATTTACGCCTCCAAGCTGCCAAACCTTGTTCATCACTTCATATCAGTTCCAAACATCAAACGTTCCTATTCTTTCATAGATGGCACAGCTCACTTCCTGCTGCCTGACTCTTCTTTTTGGTCGCGCCGCGAGCTTGATCACGGCCCGCCGCATCGCATAAGCTCTACCAGACCCCCGCCTGTACACACGCCATCATCCACTACGGGCCTATACGGCTCCATCGTCCATTGGGGACGCCAAGGAAGCGCATCGCGAACACGCACTGCCGACAGTCGATACTTGGTCGCTCGCTCGTCTTCCGTGCCACGGTGCCACGGCGACAAGTGTCGTCGAATATCAGAAGGCCATGGAGCCTACAGAACGATCAAGCATAACGTTTCTGGATCTTCCATTGGAAATACAAAAGGAGATTCTCTTCCAGGTATGAAGAACCCCTGCTCCGGCATCGCTCGCGCCAGTAGCTAAGCAGAGCTCCAGTGCGCGCAATCCGACCTCATCTGCGTCGCTCTAGCTTCAAGACATTTTCGCGATCTCGCCGCTTCGATTCTCTACCGCGAATTCAACATTATATTTCCCGACGATGAAGAGGTCCTGCTGGATAAGCCCATCGACGGGCTCGCCGGTGGCCTCGATACGTTGACAACGAGCGATTACAACTACGCACAGCACCTCAGAGAGATCTCAATGGATACTCTGAGTCTTGGGATGAAGGGGGAAATGTCGTACCAGCCATATCTATACAGAGCAAGCTGCGGAAAGTTCTTCAACACGCTGCTCTATCTGACTTTGAAAAAGGCCAAAAAGTTAGAAACATTCAAATGGAATATCCGGGTCGAGCTGACCCGACAAGTGTACCGGGAGTTGCATCGCATGGGCAGCCTGAAAAACCTCCACCTCCGTATGCAAGCTGGCGAGTCGTACTACATGCCCCCTCCTCCTCTGCCGGCTGCTCCTATACCAACCGCCGCCGAGGTATGGACGCCCGATCACTGGTCCGGCCCGCCGCCCGCGATGCCATCCACGGTGTCGTTGCCCCTGACAGTGAACCTTCCGCCACTGCCCGGGCCGCCTCCTGCTCTGGTACCGCCATCCAAGAAGCTACCGAAAAGTCGGGCTGCTCGAAAGGACAGCTTTTTCAAAGAACCACCGACCGTGTCTGGCTTCGCCAAGTTACAGTCGCTTGCAGTCCTGGACATTGATGACCTTGATATATCTACAGAGCTCGCTGCCTGTGTCAAGAATTCGTCAAGGACGCTGAAGAGGCTCTCGCTGTCCTTCTCGTCCAGTCTCGCGACGGAGGCTCGCAGGCCACCACACGACTCTGACCCTGATGACTCAGATATCGATGAGGAGTTCACCGTCAACGGTCATGGGCATCATCACCACCACCACAACCACGAGTCGACCAGTGCCGCCAAGGTTTTCCGCGCCCAAGAGGAGCGCAAAGTGCAGGAATCGTTCCTGGCACGCATTTTCGAGGTCGAGGCTTCCCCATCAGTAGCCAATCTTGCAACAGCCGCGTCGGATGACAAAGGGTCTCCAAGTGGTACTGCCGATGGACCATCGAAAAGCCAAGAGACGCCGGCAACAGACACCAACTCCCTGGAACTGGTCCGACAGTTTCTCCACGCCGTTTCAAGCAATTTTACGACACTTTCAAGCGGAACGCAAGAACGCGCGTCCGCGCACCGAACACTTCTGAACGTGCTTGAAAAAGCTGCACTCGAATACATGGGAGCTACAGGGCTTGAATCGCTTGGTATCACATCGGAAAATGTGAGTCAAGCCCTGGCTGTGGAAAACGAGGCAATCGGCAATGGGCCAGGGGGAGTCGGGGACGATGTCGACTTGGAGCAGAGCGACGCGGCCAAGGATCTCACCGGCATTTCAAACTGTGCGGAACCTCTGGAGCTACAAAGTCCGAAACGAGATGATCCTTTTGCTCATGGATCGTCATCGCTACCAAAATCAGGAAACAGCGAGGAGAGATTGCGGTCGAAGCACGTGTTCTATGTGCGCCAGATGGAGACACTAAGCAACCGGTTGAGTGAGCTACGGATAGAAGGCAATGACCAGGATGCCAGTGAGATCGACAGTCTCGTGGGACAGCTTGCGCAGGCTGAACACGACACGCGGCAGATTGAGCACCAGCTGCAGAGCAAAGTCCCCGATGGTCAACAGGAACCATTGGACGCCGGTCATGATGTGCGCGACTATTTGAAACAAACAAGGGGTCACTCCCTTGAGTCTCTGAGTATCTACCTCATCCCCATTAAAGCATCCGTTCTGTCGCGTGCTGTTGACCTGCGGTGTCTCAAGCAGCTCACCCTGCTCAACGTTGGGAATCAAGCAGCCATTTGGGCTGCGCTCACAAAGGAGAACCAGCATTCACCGTTACCCCTCAGAAGTGTCTTCACAGACCATGTGAGCGAAGCACTCCTGACATGCCTCTCGCAATTGCCAGCGCTACACGACTTGTTTATGGTCGAACAGAGCACCAAGAACAAACCGGAAAGCCTGGCGCCGCGCACAACCGTGACCATTGAGCAGATCAAGAAAATGGTTCTGCAGAAGCACATGCGCACGCTTCGGCGCCTGATGATCAAAGATGACAGCCACGGATCCAGGAAATGGGATATTACCGACAAATTAATGAAGCTCATTTGCTTTGGGGGAGAGCGGCTGGAGGAGCTGGCGATTTGCCTCAACATATCTGCGGTGGTGAGTGATGATGGCAAGATCTCGCGACAGGACCGACTGACACATTTTCATAGCATACGATGATCCAGAACATCAGCCAACTCAAGCAGCTACGCGCTTTCCACATACTGCGATTCAAGAACAACGACACCTGCGTATGGGTGATGCGGGAGATTGTCAAATTCGTGATTGACAGCTTGGCGCATGTTCCGGAATCGAAGCTCGAGTACGTTGGCATGGAGGATGATCGTGTCGACCGCATTCTGCGGTTCTCGCAGACAGACATGAATCTTTTCAGAGAGGAGAGAAGGAGGGCAAGAAACAAGAAGGGCAAGGCAAGGGCGCCCATTGCGTTCGTGCCCAGTCCACCATACAATGCGGGCTATTCTTCCACGAATTCGGTGCTGTTGTCTTCAACGAGCGACACGGAGAGTGGCAGCGACGAGGATTTTGACTGCGATCCCAAGTTCAAAGCAGTAGGGCCGCTACGTTTCAGCGACGTCTGGGGCGTCAAGATCTTTGAGAAGGAAATACTGGAAGCCCGACTTTAGGGATAATTTGGAGTCCAAGTATTTGCATAGAAAGCGTTGCATTTATTGGCAGAAGTGTAGGTCTAGGTCTAGCTGATACTTTGGGCTGACTGGAGCGGTCAGCACGTAGTAATGTCGAACAAGGACGGTAAAGGCATGGAAATGCTGCCAGCGCATGGGGATCAGGTTCCGCGCAATTTAAGTTAATCTTGCAGCTGCATGACGCGCGATGAAGCAGTACACCGGCGTAGTGATTGCGAAGCTGACGATGAAACCTATTAATGGACTCTTCTCCTCCACCGCGGCCTATTGTCCCGCTGCCAACGCATGAGTTGGTGGCTGCGTAGTCCCTGACAGGAGATCCGCACGGGAAGGATGCGGGAAGGAATGTACGTGTAGTGTGCAGAGAGCGCCACTGAAGGCTGGCGATAGAGTCGGATAGATTCTTCTTTCTGAAGTACCTTGTGGCTAGTGAGGCCCTAGTGAAGCCTACTGAACATGTTGCTGTCCGCACCGACTTTTGGAACATGATGTCTTGCCTGCGTATGGCTGCGTCGCTAGTCTTATGGATCGACAATCCCACTTCATCAAGGCCAACTACAGTAAGAGTCAACCCGTGGATCCCCGATCGAAGGCTGATATGACAACAGCAGCAACATATCCCACGCATACATCTTGCAAAGGCAAATCGATGATCGTCGCCTGCTCGAGCTGCCCCGATGTTAGGCCAATGACGGCCGCCAGGTCTCCTTGATAGCACTAGCCAAACTTGGCGCATCGCATTAATGACTCTAGTCGTTGGGCGAAATCGCCTTGGTGACGCCTCACCCTAGTTACAGAGCATCAAGGCTGCCCACAATGGTATAGTTTTGACGCGTACTTATCAGCACCGCCAAACCATATAGAGAGGTAGTAACCTTGCCCTCGATCCGATAAGAAGAGGAGATAGGAAAGCAATGGCGCATGTGTGACGGCCATGGGAGCTGTGAGGTAGCGTGGAGTCTGGATTGGCTGGGACCCCGCCCCCGCACCCTGGTCCGGTCCAGTCCTCCTGGACCCTGAATCTTGGCCCTTGGCTTGGCCCTTTGCCCTTGGGAAGTTGGGCCTGCTTCTGAATACTGGCGGCACAATCGGCCTTTTCGGAGGCACTAATGACAGCACACAGCTTGCGGATACAGTCATGCGAGTCACCTTGACGATGGCTAGTGATCATCTACCATTCGCGCTGTTGAGGGGGTCCTCCCACCCAGAGGCTTGGCTGCGATGTGGCCTAGACGTATTTGGGGCTGGTCCCAGCAAGATCCTGACTTTTGTTCTTGTGATCTCGCCTCATCATTTCTGATATACATTATTCTCAGCTCAGGCTTGCGACAATATTGGACCTCAGTCTCCGCAACGGGGTATTGTTCTTGTGTCGTTGGCGCAACCCAAAAGATCGACGCTACCTTTGCACGCTTGAGCTGCTCTCCGTGGTTTCTGGCAAGACGCAATCCGAAGAAGCATTCCTCAACTGAACCCCTGATCTAGATCAGCCTTGACTGAGAAGCTCAGCCCAAACAGCAGCTTTTCCTTCTCATCAAATCGAAGGATGCTCATCAGGTTCGCACGATAGCTAGCTGCTATCCTTAGGCGCCTTGGCTTACACGCATCCAGGCTACTTGACAGTCCACGCCACTGGCAACATATCCATATCGAACATTTGCCATCATCGAGCCAGAACGATTGAGGATTCACGAACATGAGACATCTTTTTGGTGTTTTCAGCGCCACTTTTGGGTGCCAGTATGAGGATGCTGCGCGATTCCAGTTGCAGCCGGATGAATCCTTCCTAGGCGCGCAGCGGCTGCAGCAACCTCCACAAGGCCCAACACAGGATCTCACCAAAGTCTTTTATGCAAAGCACAAACCGTCACCGACACCGTCGAAAAGCCCGGATATTCTACATCTCCCTGCGGACTTCTTCTTCCTTCTGTCCGACCATCTCGACACACCATCGGCACACGCACTCTCCCTGACATGCCGCGCTTTCTACAACCTCGGCCTTCCCAAGACGCGACAGAAACTCGGGGACCAAGACAAGCGAGCGCTTCTCACCTTGCTGGAGAGGGACAGCATCGGCGATGACTACTACTACTGTCAAAGATGCAACAAGCTGCACACCTACCGCGACACATATGGCCCTCAATCAATCGAGGAACGCATTGACAAGTCGCAAGCCTTCATCTGTGGCATGCGCGATCGCTTCACGCCCATGGGGAATGCATACGACCTCGGCTATCATCACGTACGACTCGTCATGAACCGGCACTTTCACGGCCACGGCGGCATTCCCATCCAGGCCATCTGTCTCCAGCACGAGGCGCGACGCGAGACCGTCAGCATTCGCTGCTCAACAGCCGCCAACATCATCGACGACGAGCTGTATCTGCGACGCTCCTATGATTTCGTCCTCAGCAACGCGGACGTCCCCTCGTTCCGTCGATGCACCGGGCACCGTGATTTTCGCCTGTGCGAGCACACGCCCTTCTTTCGCAACTCGTCCGTCTACCACCAGGCTCTGCCCGAGCTGCAGAGAAGGCCGCGCGCGCCGACGAACAAGGACGAGTTTGTGCCGTGCACCAGCTCCCCGGGGTCTTGTGGGCTCTGCCTCCTCGACTACGACGTCTCCATTGTGCGCATCGACAACGGCGCGGCCTGGAAGGTCATGATCGAGGCGTACCACTTGCTGGGCGCCTGTCGGTCCCCCGATGACTGGAAGTGGGCGCGCTTCACGGAGAAGACGCGCCCGCACCTGTTCCTGCCCAATCGACCGAACCGACGGGGCAGCGGCTACGGTCCGGGCGTGGTCAAGAAGGCTTGGTTGCAGGCGGGTGTGGCGGGCGTCGTGGACGGCACAGATGTGCATCTCAAGCGCCAATCCATTTGAGAATTGCAAGGACCAGCGCAAATATCTTTTCTCTCGTACATATTGACGACGCATGTCCCATTTTCCCACTCTTCTGTATTACCAGGCAGGGGGCCAGCACTCAGGGGATCAGCATATTGGTGTAGGCGTAGTGCCGTCGGGGAACAAGTGTTTTCAAACATGTACGATATAATATCCGGCTGCTTTTCGGAGCACATCAAATTGTTGGATGATTTGAGACATTGAATTCATCTACCGTGTTCCTCCTCCTCTCTCCATCTCATGTCAACTTCATAGCGCCGTTACAGCTGGTACACTTTTCCAACACGCGGAAAGACTGCAGGTCCATCAATACGGCCGCGTCTTCCACTCTCGCCATGAACTGAAACTATGCACATGGGGACCGCCAAGAAGCTAATAGTCAAAAAGATATGCTATGGTGCGCGAGCGCGCGTCGCACTTTGTAGGTTGGCGGGCCGCGGAGCCAGGTATAGGTGGTGATGTCGTGGAATTGGGTTTGTTGTGTGGTTTATCGGGGGTTGGTTGGTTGGTTGGTTGGTTGGTTGTTTGGTCGTGAGGCGTTGTGTGCCTATTTACAGCCTGGAGATGATGGCGTTGGCGTACTCGTGGGTCTTGGCCTTGCCGCCGAGGTCGCCGGTGAGAGCCTTGCCCTCGGCGAGGGTGTCGAAGATGGCCTTCTCGATGCGGTTGGCGTGCTCGTTCAGGGACATGTGACGCAGCATCATGATGGAGGACAGGAGGAGGGCGGTGGGGTTGGCCAGGGCCTTGCCCTCAATGTCGGGGGCGGAGCCGTGGACAGCCTCGAAGATGGAGCACTCGTCACCAATGTTGCCCGAGGGGGTGAGGCCCAGGCCGCCGATCAAACCGGCGCACATGTCGGACAGAATGTCACCGTACAGGTTGGGCATGACCAGGACCTTGTCGTTGTAGGGGTTGGGGTCGGTGACCATCTTGAGGCAGGTGTTGTCGAGGAGCTCGGCGTCGAACTCGATGGAGGGGAAGTCCTTGGCGACGCGCTCGGCGGTCTTGAGGAAGAGACCGTCGGACATCTTCATGATGGTGGCCTTGTGGACGACGCGGACCTTCTTGCGGCCAATGGCCTCGGCGTGCTGGAAGGCGAAACGGAGGACGCGCTCGGACGCCTCGGCGGTGATGAGCTTAATCGACTGGACGACGCCATCGACGACAACGTGCTCGATGCCCGAGTACTCGCCCTCGGTGTTCTCACGGATGAGGACAGTGTCGACGCCGTCGTAGGGGGTCTTGTAGCCGGCAACCGAGCGGCAGGGGCGCAGGTTGGCGAAGAGGTTGAATGTGCGACGGAGGGTGAGGTTGAGAGAGACGTGGCCCTTGCCGACGGGGGTCTGTCATGGCGTTAGTTGGTCACGACGCGGCGCGGTAGCCTCGCTAAGCCATGGATGGACGTACAGCCAAAGGTCCCTTGAGGGCGACCTTGTTCCTCTTGATGCTCTCAATGGCAGCATCGGGAATGGCCGTCTTGCCATCCTTCAGGATAGGGGTGACATCGATGGGCTCCCATGAAACGGGGGCCTAGGAACGCTGTGTTAGCTGGCACGCGACCTGGTGCGTTTTGGATGGGCTCGACGAACCTTGGCGGCAGCGAAGATGTCCTTGACGGAGACGGCGATCTCGGGACCAATGCCGTCACCCTCGATCAAGCTGACGAGGTAGTTGCCCTATAGCGACACAATGTCAATCTCTTGTTCCATCTTGTACGATCCGGTTGCCCGTCCACGACCCAGAGGCTGTCTGAGTGATTTTCCCCAGACAGGCAAGCCAGCCTCGCGAGTGACGACACAACGATTGACCTCGGGAAAGATGCACGTACGTTCGAGTCCTTATTGCCATTGTACTTGGCGACCTTTTCGTTGGCAGAAGAGTACGAGCGCTGGACCTGCATGCGAGGTTAGCGACGGTAGCTCGTCGGAGACGCACATGTGCATCACGTACTGAGAGAGACCAGGTGGCGGCAGCGCGAGGCGCCGTGCGCAGGCATTGCCTGGGCAGAGGGCTGGCAAAGGCTCGTAGGCTCAACATCTTGACAGCTCAGGTCGGTCGATGGCGAGTACGTGTGGGAAAGGGGGAGGGAGGAAGGGGACTTGGAGAGAAAAAAAAAAGCAACCAAAGTGGAAAGCGAAGATGGCGCGCGGAGAAAAAGTGAGGTCTCGGTCGGCTGGGAGCGGGCGACAAGGACTGGAGCCGGCGATGGGATGCGTGTTTGGTCTGCCCGACACGGATTTGGAGCCTGTTGGAGCAGCAGCTGTGGCACCGGCTTTCACCTCGCTCGGAGCCGTCGTATTCCGCTCTAATGGCCGAGCGCCAAGGCTGTGGCTGGTATGTGGCTGGTGCAGTCAGTTTTGGCCACAAGATTCGGGGGCTGAACCTCTTGAAGTGGCTGAGCTCAAGGGTAGCTCCCAACGACTGGAGATATACAGTCGCGACAGCTCGAAGCAGCGCATCGCTGCGACGAATGACCAGTACTTGCAACGAGGGAAGCCTTTTTTCCAAGACTCAGATGTCTTAGATCTTAGCTACCTCACCTCCCATCGTCCGACGACTTCCACCTACTCGACCAGCCGAGAGCATGACATCGACGTAATCAAGCGACCGCGCCATGGCCGAACAAGAGCGAACAGTTCTGGAATTCTACCAGCTCCCCACAGCCTTTCCCTCAGAATGGCCCGCCGAAAAGGACGCCGAGGACTCGTCTGGCGATGAGGATACACAAGACCCCAGACTCCAACATCGCAAGTCCCGCTACCAAGCGCTGGAACGGGCCGCCAGCAACCGCAGGAGCAGCTATTTGCCAGGCTCAGAGGGCGGCAACGGTGGCGTTAGCAACCTCGTACAGAAGGACGAGCCAGATCCGCTTGGCTCCGCAAGCAGCGTGGTGCAGACGTTGAAGGCCATGGGCCATCGCCAGGTGCAGGACGACGCGCGCTACCGTAACCGATTCCTCCTGTCATCGACGAGCTTCTCGCCGGCTCTCTTTCTCTCTCACGTGCACGCCAATGCGGACACGCGGAAATTACTGCAAGGCCTAGACTTCCTCTCCCAGTCGATCGATCAAAAGTCCGCATCCCTCAAAGTACTGGTTGAGTCCAACTTTGAGCGCTTCGTCAAGGCCAAGGCCACCATCGACAATGTCTACAAGGAGATGAAGTACCGGGGCGCTGAATCCCAGCACCTGAACGCTCGACCGCACTCAAGACACGCAAGTCGTAGCAGCTGGCGGCAGAGCATGAATGGGCTGAACAACCCCTTGGCGGCACCCATGAGCGACCGCCGGCAGAAGAACGCCCTCACCAAAGAGAGTGAGTATGGTGTCAGAGGTATCAAGGCTCCATTGCTCGACGTGTCGGCCAAGGCTGAGGACGTTTGGGGTCCTGCGCTGGGTGGTCGTGAGAAGGAAGAAAACCTAAAGACCGTTTCGGCCCAGCTCGACCGCTATAAAGAGTACATTGAGCTCAGCCCTGCGATTGCAGACAGCATCAAGAGGAAGGACTACGAGACATTGGTAGAGGAATACAACAGAGCGCGGAAATTTGCCGATTCGGCACGCAGGTTAGCGGAAAGTCTCCACGGAGACGCCCCAAAGGACGCGCACCTGTACCAGATCCTGCTGGCGGGACGAATGTGGCACGATGTGAACTCTCAGATTCATACATTTAAGAGGGATGTGTGGAAGCGGCTGACTTCACTCCATACACTGTCGAAAGCGGAGGCCGCGCCTGGGCGGGGCCAGGACCATCATCTGGAATTGATCGGCTTGCTGTTGGAGCTGGGCGTAAGCGACAACCCTGTCTGGGTGTGGCTGTTGAGCCGCTACGACTATCTCAAGGGCAGGATCCAGACAACGGTAGAGAGATCGACAGTCGAGATTGAGGTACTGCGACGAAGGCTGGCGAGCGCAGACAAACCAACGCCTCACGCGATTGCTGCGCACCTGCGATCGCTGGGCCGGCAAGCTACTGAAGAGAAGCCCGCGTCCAGCGACTCGGCAGACGTGATTGAGTTGTGGGATAAAATGCTGGGATTCTTGTCGAGCCTATTGTCCACATCCGGCATCATCGCCGAGGTGGTCGAGTTCTGGAACACTGTCCAGGGGTTCATTGACGGCAAGGCCCAGAGGAACCTGCCAGCAGGCTATAATGGTGAGTCGCGAATACATCATCAGTTGTCGGACAAGGTCATCGAGGACCTGAAAAAGGGCGTCGTTGAGCTCGTGGAGACGATTCGCGATCATACCTATGAGTTCTTCACCGGACCCCCGCCCGAGGATATCTCGCTGCTCTACTCGCCGCTGCCCCCGACGACGCCTGCTTCGCCTTCGCCTACCACGCCTGGCGCGAGCGCACTCACTCCAACTGGGTTGAGGGACCCTCGCTTCAACTTTGACGCCAGCAATCCGCCTCCGCCGTCGCCAAAAAGAGGCGAGAGCTGGGAAAAGCTGGCCTTCTGGCCACCATGGTCCAATTCGTTGAGCGGCGTCTACTATCTTTCCAAAGCACTGGCCCTGGTCGGGTCAGGGGCCTCGGACCTTGCAGGACTCCAGCCGGTGGCTGTGGGCGATAGTCAAATCGTGGAACGGCTCAAGTCGCTCGTCGCAGCATCCCGCGAACGGTGTGTAACCGCGCTGTGCGCGGCGTGGAATCGCGATGCCGAGAACATCAAGTATGTCGAAGATTGGCAGCGCTCGACCGAATTAGGCGACGTGACACGCATGCCCTCGAGCTTCTCCGCGTTCGAAGGGACGCTCCTCTTGGGCATGCAAAAGATCCTGTACATTTCCGAGGCCATGTCCAAATCAGGAGCCATGGACATTGTGCCTCCACCTCCCACCAAGTTGCTGCAAATGGTGCGCAGCCAGTACGTGTCGACCCTGTACAAGGCGCTGAGCGGTATGGTTGAGAACGCGGAGCGGTCCGTCAAGAAAGCGGATGATGTGTGGGCGGCAGAGAGCGAGTGGTCGACGGCCTCGCCCATTGCTGAAACGCTCCTTAGCAGGAGCACGCTCGACGCTGGAGATCGCGTAAGTCGAATCGTTCATTGTAGTTGATAGTGCATGACCGAGGCTAACTTTGCACAGAATATTCGCATGCTCTTGACCCTGAGCAACTTACAAGCTCTCCGGTCCCAAGTCGTGCCTAGCCTCAACTCACAATTCGAAAATGCTTTTTCTGTCAAACTGACAGACGAGTCCAAGACCATTCGCGACGTCCTCGGCCAGATTGACGCCCGTCTCTTCCAATCCTACACGAAAAAATCCATCGAACAGCTGCGTGCCATCATCTCAGCCGGTCTCAGCCGGGACGACTGGGTGCCTGCGGCAGGGACACGGCCGACGGCAGCGAAGCCATACGTCTACGAGACCCTCTTGACGCTGGTGCTCGTTCACTCCCAGGTCTCCACGACAGCTTCCTCCCTCACCCCGCAAGTCTTGTCCTTCCTTCTCGAGCAGACATCGTCCCAGCTACTGGAAGCGTTCCGCCGCCGACCGAAATACCCCCTCGAGGCTCTCATGCAAGCCACCCTCGACGTGGAGTTTGTCGCCCAGACACTGAGTCACTACACGACGGATCGCGCGTCGGAGCTGCAGGGTCAGATCTATCAGGAGCTTGACAGTCGCACGGACAATGACGCCCGGGCGCGACTGCAGAGTGAACTCCCGGAAATGAGGAGTGTCTTGAAGAAGTTGAGGGAGGCGAGCAAAAGTGAGTTTGCGTGCTTCAAGAAGCCGAAACGGCCGGGCCAGAATCCAAGCCGCACGGATAGTGGCTTGAGCGGGACGTCAATGTAGAAGTATGTGAGTTTGGCTTAGGCAGCGAGCGGCTGGACGATTGATAGGGTCCTCACGATAGAAAGCATGATGAGATATGAGCAGGAGGAGCTCGCAATTGCCCGTGCGGCCCCAATGTAGCGAGTCAATTATTGTGCTGTGTACCAGTAGTTCCTCTAGTCTATTTTGCACTAAGGTCCAGGCGCGATGCCTCTCTCAGGGTCATGCACCATATATCTGTAGATTTATTGGTGGCGGTGGTGACATCCTGATGTGTCTATTGCCAGAAAACGCCACAAACCCAGTTTCTTGCGTACATCGTCAATAGCGTCGTGTGCCCATTTAATCGTTTAAAAATGTCTCTTCTGGTGCTGGTGTTCAATTAATGTTGGGTAGAAGGAGATGAGAGCAGAAGGTCAACTCCAAGGACCGTGAGTCAAGGGCTGAAAATTGGCTGTCGGTTTGACGAGATGCAACCGTATCATCTGGGCAAAGGTTAGCAGAAAGAAAGGAACAATTTGAAAGGTGCGCTTACGATCGAGATCGAGGGTCTCAAAATAGCGAGCGATCTGAGGCTCCTCACTCGTGGTGACGAGCTTGCCGTCGCTGCTACGGGCCGTTGGAGGCAGCGCTTTGCGGATGCCCAGCAGCATCCTCAGGAGACCAGCAAGAATGCTTCCTTGTTGCGTGAATGCGCTAGGATCCCGCTCCAGGGGCCACCCAGGTCTCAGATGAGCCTGTTCCCAAGCTTTGAACGCCCAGGTTGACTTCTCGACGCAGTTGAGGAAGATCAGTGCGGTGAGAAACATCTTAAAGCCGACACGGTTCTTGCTGTCCTGCAGTAGGCGATCCATAAAGCTCAGCAGACCCTTGGAAGTGTTGTTAGCCTTGCGCTCAGCCGCTGCATTGAGCTGCATGCAGATCATCGTGTACGTGTCTGCGTCGTTGTCACTCTGAATCTCCTTGATGTACCGCGGCTCTTCGCCCTCGGCGCCCGGCTTCTCCAGAAAGATCCAATGTCGTTCTCGGTCGATGATCTCGACAAGACCCCATAGCTCTATGGCCTTGCGCAACAGCTCGTCTTCCTCCATGTCCAGGACCCCTTGCGCTGTCTGCAGAGTAATGCGCATGAAGCGGGACGACTCGTGCTCGATGAAGAGAGGCAGGGCGATACGCATGTACTTCTCAATATGATCCGGGAGATCCTCCATCTCTTGGTCAATCATGATGACCTGGTGATGCGGTTCCCCATTTTCCCGATTAGCCTCCTGACCATCGGAGGACTGCAGCGCAGCGACCAAAGTTGGCACGGTGATGCCGATCCCAGTCTCGGGAGAGAAGTGGGACACCTGGATAGTTGTGCCGTTGTTGATAGGTTGGAGCTGATCCTTCAAGAGGTTGATACGATTCTGCGACAATACCACCTGGACGCCGGCAGAGTACAAGTCCAACTGTTCCTGCAAGCGAGTCCGGACGCACCCAGTGCGCCATACGCGTGGCGAAAGAACCTTGCGACATGTATCGCACGGGTCGCCTTTCCCACAGTTTTTGCGCAGAATGCGGCAGCGAATGCATGCCCCAATCTTCCGAATCTGCTGGACTTCCTTGCGTCGAGCTGGGGTGAACCGAGCTCTGGAGTTTTTCGGTCGCCCATTGACGAGAGCATCACTGGTATCCATCCTCGTGCCACCTCTGTGCATCGGCATTGGCGCGATGGATATCTCATTGAGCATCGATGCAGTTGGCGGTGTCGTCAGATAGGTCATCTCGCCCCACGGCTGGTCCAGGCTCTCACTCAAGCTTGTGGGAGGCAATGGTAGGTTTTCGGGGGCAGAGGTCGTGGAGATGAGCGTCGAGGGCGATGTCGGGGTAGTAGTCGGAGCAGAGGTAGCAGCGCTAGCCGCAGCGGCCGCCGTCGCGGCGGCCGTTGAGTCTGGTTCTTGTTCTTGGAGTTGCGGGTCCAGGAATGGAGGATTGAGGCGAGCCGTGGCCGCAGCGGCCACTGAGAGATTGGATGCTTCAGGAGACGATGCCCCCACGGGGAGTAGTGTTTGCAGCCGCTCTTCCGGAGTCATCTCAGTGGACTGCGCGGCGTCTGGAAGCGCAAAGGTCGGTGAGCTTTCGAACAAGTGACTGAAGCCGTGGTCCGTCGAGCCCTTCTTGGCACGAGCGTCGTAGGCCGTCGGGGGATTGTCCAAAGTGAACTGTTCCTCGAGTTCAAAGCGACCAGCCGCAAACTCGGCGCTGTGAGAAGGGTCCAGGTTGTGGTTGGGCTGTGATTCCCCGACTGGGTTCTCTTTAGGCACGCGGTTGTTCTCGTTAAGATCGACTTGTCGCGATGCCTCTGCGAGGGTCTCGAGAGCACTCCAGCCTTGCGGTAAATCCTTCTGCCCTTGCTGGCCAAGCTGCGCATTCCCGTGCCCATTGACGCTGTTTGATCCAGGGCGATTTGCCATGGCTCGAGCGTTGGAGATGCCATGGAGCTCGAGGCAGGCTCGCATGCGGTCTGAGTCGGATATCGCGGGGCATCGTTTCGTGATGTGGGCCGTCAGATTATCGATCCTGCCCTTGGGGAAGTACTCGCCGCATTGTTTACACGTGTGCGGATACCGGTTGCTATTGTCGTTGAGCTTCGCTCCACGCTCGAAGTATAGGGAGATGAGAGGGTTCGGCTTCCGACCCATTGCGCCTGATGGAGCGATGGGCGCGAGGCGCCAGAGCTGGACGCCTCGAGCGGGAAGCGCTCGGTGATCTTGCGACGTGCAGAGACACGGGACGGGAGACGGCTGCGACTGGTCGTAGGACGGGATTCGATCAACAATTGATGTAGATTCTGGAGATTCTGCCGAGAATTCTCACACCGCCTGCAGCTAGAAGTCGGGAGGATGGTCGCGGACCAGGGTGTGGGAGGGAAGATCAGGGCTCGGATTATAGTTTGACCGAAACGCATATGGCTCTGAATCGCTGCGGTGCAGGGTAGTCAAGAGGGCGCTGCTATTAACTTAATGGCTGTCGACAAATTATTAAGGCAGGGGCAGCTTGGGGCGTTCACGCGCAACTGATATCCAACCTCACGCACCAGGAGGAGTCCAGGACACACTTGAGCGCATGCTCTGTGCCAGATGTAACCTCAATCGCACATCCGAAGTACATCACGGCTATTGCAACACAAGGAATATTTGTGCCGAGAAGGCCGGCAGCACCCAGTCGTCGAATCTGAACTGGAAGGTGCGCGCGCAAACCATGATGACCACAGCACGCTCCGATTCTTGGGCCAGCGTGTCCTCAGATACATGAAGTCACTGTCACGACGAGGAGACCATAAGGTCTTCAGGAATAGTGTCGTATCTCCCGCGTGATTGCGGCGGCCGACGTACGAGCTATGTCGCACTTTGGTGGGAGACAGTCGACATACGTAGTCCGCAAAGCTCACATCGACCACCACCTGGTAATCCCACTGCCGGCTTCAACGTCATATAGAAATCTATACATCCCCGAGGCTCGTTGTGTGATTTGTTACAGCCCCTCTACCTGGTCTAGCAGTGCAGTATTCCCCTCTCAACTCTTCTTGGCAGTCCTCTTCTTGGCAGTTTCACGGTGCGCACGCATCGCCATCCATGCTACAATATTGATGACCAGTCAACACTAGCCCGATTGGCACGTTCTCCTTCGAGCCGAAGTTCACTTGGAAGTTCAGAAGAGTTACATTGAGTCCGGATGCAGCCTGTGGGTTGCGGATTTCGACAGTGCTGTCCATCTGCTTGGTTGCTGAGACTGTCGCGTTGATCTGCGCCGGACGACGTGCGCATCCGTTAAGTACCATATATAAGCATGGCCACTGCTTGTGGTCATCCATTCAATACATTTTTATCCATGAGGTTGTCCTTACATTTGAGAAGATATGTGGACTCGGAAGATTTCGCTCCCGTTGGCCATCTACGCTGCAACGATTGTTGTTAGATAGGAGGACCGTGCTCAATACGTGTTGACAGATGTAAGATGCACATCTTTTATAATTAATCAGAGATGAAAGACGGCTCAGACCGGTTCGATAAATGGAGGCAACACTTTCCCCGGCGTCGCCCGACCCCTGGGATTGTCATGCTGGGCCCTGATCTGTACACCGGCAGAGACTCATACTCTGGTTATCGACCCCCCGGTAACTTCACAGGTTTCACCGTGCTTCTTGAAAGTGGAATAGATGGAGCTCCCAAGTACGGTTTAGTCTCCCAGATACCTGTTGTGGGGGACATTGGCAGCCCCCTGAGTGACGCAATGAACAACACTAGAGCGTCTGACATATCTGAGCTTGAATACTACGAGATTTCCTTGGGCTCAGGTACAGTCTCAAAATGAGCGCCGGAAACAAAGCCGGAATGTACAAGTACACATTCCCGCAGTCGACCCCAACCAAGAACGTCCGCGTGGACGTCTCGCATGTACTGGCGTCCTACCGCGGACAAGGGCTCGAGCAGCACTTTCTGGGTGGTAATATCACTGTTAAGCGCGACCAAGACTGGAAAGATTCTTCTATACCGACTTTGGCACGTATGATCATGTGAATGCACCACTCAGATGTTATACTACCGGAAACACTAACACACCCAGGGCTGGAACAGGGCCGGGCCATGGACGGTTTACTTTTGCGGACGATTCGACCAACCATCTACAAGGTGTTCCTCGGCGCCGACTTTGTAACTGATGATCTTGTTGAGTTTGGCGAGGGACCCAGCTATGAGTCCGAGACAGCCAGAGTTGGGACGGTGTTTTCTTTCACAGAATCCTCTCTCGTCTTGAGAAGGCGTCTCATTCATCTCGACTGAACAAGCCTGTTCCAACATCGAGCACGAAATTACAGAAGAGATGACCCTTGAAGACGTGAGAGACGCTACCCGTGCTTGCGTGGAGCATGGAGGTCTTCAGCAAAGTCATCACAAGCGAGACCAATGTCACCAAACTCAAGCAACTGTACCCGGGAATGTACTTTATGCATCTTCTGCCTACCAACAAGACAGGAGAGAGCCCTCTCTGGGAATCAGACGAGCCTTCATATGATGACATCTTCACCTTTCGGGACATTGTGAGCATCAAAGAAGCTTCACTTTTAGTGTGCCAAGACTAGCGCGCAGTACTGATGCCTGAAACTCCCCTGCTTCACATTCTTCAGCCGGAATATGATGAAGAGTTCATCCGCTCCATGATCGATGTCTGGGGCCATGGCGGCTGGGTCTCTGACGCCAGGTCTTCCTTGTACAACGGGCAGTCCAGGGAGGCACGAGTGGCGACATTGTGTTTGCTGACGCCTAGGTGAAAGGAGTCCGGGCAAGTTGGACTGGAAGATGCATTCTCAGCCATGGTCAAGAACGCCGAGGTTTTTACCGGGAACAAAAACAACCCGCGTGATCCCACTGGCTCGACAAAAGAGGGGAGGAGTGCGTTGCCAGACTGGCTAGTCCTGGGCTTCATCACCCGACGGTTCGGTGGATCCGTCAGCAGAGCGGTCGAGTGGTAGGTTGTTCTCTGTTGGGGCCTAGGGGCCTTTCTTATTAAGTTATGCATCTAGCTCGGTCAACGACTTCTCCCTCGCAACAGTTGCTCTCGGCCTCGGTCGACCAAGCCGGTTTGAAACTTACTACAAGCGCTCGCGTAACTGGCGCAACCTTTAGAACGAGGACATGACCGCCCTGAACCTCACTAGATTTCTCGGTCCGTGTGGTGATGGAGATAGCTTCATCGCCCAAGAAGCTCTTTCTTGCGGCGACTGCTATTGGCGGGACTTCTATTACCAGGCCCTTTCCTGGGAACACTCATTCAATGCCCACCACGATATCGAGGCCACGGTAGAGTTGATGGGCGGCGCGGAGAAATTTGTAGAGCGCTTGGAGATGACCTTTACGCCCGGCGTCTCAAGCGGCAATGCGCAGTTTGGCCACACCTTGTTTATCCCCGGCAATCACCCCAGCTTTCAGACACCATCTATACAGCTACGTCAACCGCCAAGATCTTACCGTGCCGCGTAGCCGATCCGTGGCCAAGTCGTACCTCCATCCGACGCCCGATGGTCTTCCTGGCAACGGCGACGCAGGCGCCATGGAGTCATGGCTGCTGTGGAATATGATCGGTCTGTATCCCATGACCGGCCAACCAATCTTCTTCATCGGATAGCCGTGGTTCTCTGACCTGACTACTGACCTTGGTGCTGGCAAGAAGCTCGAGATCACTGCAGAGGGCGCTGGTGAGACGACGTCTTATGTCCAGACTCAAGGTCAATGGCGAGCAGTTGGACAAGACCTGGGTGAGCTGGGACGACATATTTGCCCAGGGCGGAAAGCTGGGATATTCGTCCTGGGCAAGGAGCCGACACTATGAACAACGGGCGAACGACCGCCCAGCCTAGGTAGTCACTCAGTTGGCGAGGCCAAGAAACTGATCAGGGTATCTGCCTGAAGAGTAAGATATTCGACAGATAGCTGTCGCTGCGACTGTGAAACATTGATGAGCGACCAAACTTTGCAAAGCAGTCAGTAAAAGGTTATATTTTAGACGCATTGTGTCAAAGTGTCTGATCATAATTCGTGCCATTGAAACTCCACGCTATGCTTTAACCAATTTGTGCATGAAAAGCCTCAGAAAGCCAATGGGTATCATTACATCTACATCTCAGCAAGCCCCCTCACTTGGATGTCTCTTCGGTAGCCCAGTGATTTTGGAATTCCTCTGTATCCGGAGCTTGGCATCCTGATAGATAGTCGTGTCGGCTGCCGGCTTCGTGGTTGCGATCGCGTGGCTCGTCGGACCAGGGACTTTCAATCCCTGGACTCTGATCATGGCCCGGACTGGACGAGTTCTCCAAAGTTTCCGCTACTTGGTGCTTGGGGGGAGAAGCTTCTATGATAGTTGTCTGCAACGCAGGCGCCTGGCTAGGCGGAGGGCCCGCCTCCAGATCAAGCTTCGAAACATTGGGTGCCGGATGGTGATGGACGGCCTTTTTCCCCTTCCTCTTCTTCTTGACTGGAACGACCTCTTCGGGACCTGAAGGTCGGTGAGTGCTTTGCGACGTTGTTGAACGGCTTGCTGCCGAGGGTCTAGTAGGCCGTGGCTGAGGCGACGGGTATTTGGGTGCCCGCACACCAAAGTTTCCCGCTGAGGAGAGGTATCGCTCTCTCAAAGGCTCATTCGCCGTGATGACAGGGTACTATCCAGGTTAGTTGCATTTCAATCTTACCCATTCGTGATGCTTACATTCCAATCGCCGTACTCCAGATCTCTCGCTGCTTCGAAGAGCCCGTCATCCTCGGCGTCCAATTCGGGCTCGTCGAAACCAGCGTGTGAATTCTCATTAATCTGGTCGGGTCGATCTCGGCTGGAGCCCGCAGCCGCGCTGTTGGTCCCCGATCCGAGCAGTGGAGTTGTCGAATTCACCTCGCCGGGCTTGGGAATCCAGTATTTCCCTTTGCCACCCCTCTCATAGCGCATGCCCTCGCGCAGTCGCGCAAGACGGGATTTCGAGTCCTCATGGGCCATAACCTTGTCACCCGAATCGAACACTCTGTAGCCATAGTTGTCGCCCCTGAAGGTCTCTTTCGAGTCCTCGACAAGGTCACGAACCCCAAACGCATCGCGGAAGGCGTAATTGATTGGCATCCGTGCGGACGAGATATTGTTATCGGCAAAGTCATGCCAGGAAAATGCGTACCAATGCGCAGCAGCAAATATGGGCATCTCAATGCAAATGAGCGCATCTTGTATGGCGGCAGCTAAATTGTCAGGCGTGTACTCGGGTACATCGTCTGGGATGGCGCCGAGGAAGACCAAGATGGAGAGCAGAAACCCTTGCCAGTAGGAGGCAAAGATGATGAGCTTGATGCACAAAAACTTTGGCACAGGGCGGAACGGCTGGAGATCCTGATGCATGCACACCCAGAACAACCCCAAGCCGTACAAGCTAAGAGTGACGCTGATGTTGTATATAATCCCACTCCAGAGATAGCCAGAATCGATACCAATGTAGCCCTCCTTGTAGGTGCCTGTCGCTTTCATGATTATGGCTGAGAATGCCAGGATTGGTTTCAACCAAGCGTACTGCAAAATGGCTCGCTTGATGGACAGGAAAGTGTGTGGATCGGAGATATCGACCTTGGGCAACGCGTGATTGAGGGGCCAGAGGTGTTGTACTGGGGCGCGCCCGTGGGTCATGATGATTAGAGATCGTTCGCCGCCCAGGTAGTTGATAAGGAGCTGGAAGAAGGTATAGATCGTGAAAGCTTCATAAATGTCGCGGACCGGGTCGAGGAAGGAGGCAGCGTTCAGGGAGACCATGCTCGTCCAGGATGCAATGGAGTAGATGGGTACCATGAGGAGGATTCGGACGACATATCGCTGCAGCAGAGGCTTTCGATAGTTCTTTGCCTGGAAAATGATCGACCTGCTCTAGTCAGTCCATCATCTACAAGAGCCTACCAGGCAAGAACTTACACGACCGAAGTCAATGTAGCAGCCAGAGAAGCGACGCCTGCGACGACAGTGATCACATTGGCAAACTTGTTGCCCGTGCCCCCAGCCATGATGATGGCGTCAAATGGCAGCGAGACGAGGTGGTTGTGCTAAATTAGAATGTATGTCATGGCGTGGCATCCAGGCTGCGAACCGGCACGCGACAAAGTGTCGCAGGATTCGCGCAGAGTTCGGGGTCACGTTCAAGCCTGAGAATTGGGGTCGGAAATCAGGTTCGGGAATGGCCTTATCACGATGACCACCGACCGACTGGCGTGGCGGAGGGAGCAGTAGCTAGCAGCAAGGAAGGAGCTACCGCCACGCGCTAACAAGCGAGGTACACGTAGGTGCCTAGCTTAGGCAACTGCGCCACCTGATCGAACTTGGTGTGGCTTGACAGCCGACGACATCGCGCTTCCAAGGACTGGACGCGGCTTCCTCAAGTCGATGCGCCAGCGACGTTTACATGCATCCAAGCACGGTTCGCTCGGTAACAATAGCTGTCACCATTGCACTGGATCCGTAATGAGGACGAATCATCTGCCTGAGAGTCCGCCGAGCCGGTGAGCAGCTGCTGTGCATCTCATGGACACGTCCACGAGCTTGGGGAATGATGACCAGCTCTTCCCCCCAGCAGCTTTACGCAGTCTGCCAAATGCCACAGTCGACCTCGCAGGTCGAAACCACGATGACCCCCATTTCAACTAGTAAGCCTGCGGGAACCGGCTCATTCATTGCAGGCGTGCTGACAACATCTGTAGCAGGTTTCTGATCTTCCTCGTCCTGACCTTTGTGCTATTCACCTTCTTCGTCCTCTACTTCAATCGGCTCTTCGCCTCGATCGTATCCTACGGCATCCGGACATGGACCTGGCACAAACACCGAGTCTACCTCGACATTAGCGCTCTGCAGATATCTTTGCTGGGCGGACGCATATTTTTCACAGGCTTGCGCTACCATGGTTCGAACGAGACGTTCCTGATACAGCATGGCTATATCACCTGGCGATATTGGCTACGTAGGGTTCGCGAAGTCGACATTGTCGCTGATAATCCAGCCGAAGGAGCCGCGCCGGGGAAGGAGAAGAATGCAAAGCTTCCATGCCGCGTGACGGTCAATTTGATTGGTGTCGAGTGGTTCGTCTACAATCGTAGCCCGCAATATGACTCCATCCTAGCCGGCCTGACTCGGAATCATCCTCAGAGCGCTAATTCCACAGCCACCGCGGACACCGACGAGAAAGAGAGCCTACGAGAACGCAGGACTGGCCATTCCGCAGCTGGTGGTGAAGAGGGAAACAGGCGCTTCGACCCAGCTAGAGCGCCCGAGGCCGAGAAAAGGGCGCCATCCGACTCATCTTCACCAGCGGATGGAAGAACGAGTATCGAGTCTGATAGTCACACCGGGGACGGTGATCGTGTCCAAAAACGATCGGACCTGCCGTTCTTGGTACAATTCTTCCCGATTCACGTTGAGTGCGATAGAGCTGCGGCCGTCATTGGCAACGAGAATACCAAGGGCATTCTTACAGCCAAAGCCAAGACTATCTCTGCAGTTGTGGACGCGTCCCATGCCGACACTGTAGACCCCTATCAGCAGGTTTTCAAAATCGACTTTCAGCATCCGGTTGTACAGATCAAAGAGAATGAGGATTACAAGAGCGATCAGCCTGCGCGAGCAACTGGAAATACAGGAGTAACAAAAGTAGCCACAAAGGCCAACAGATTTCGTCGTTGGTGGCGAAAGACTCTGGCGCCTCTCCGCCGAATGGTTCCTCGTTGGGCAAGACCATCCCGGCCTAATCCCTTGGAAGCAGATGCTGCATTAGGAGTCGACCCCAGGATACCTGGGTCTGACCAGTGGCAGGGACTAGCACGCTATCTCAACGACCAAGATCAAGACGACAAAGAAAGGTGGTCCTCGGTTGAGTATGCCGCCGAATCCACAGTCCTTGACAGCCCAGCTGCAACACTTGTCGTCTACTGGGATGTTGTGAGCAAAGTGACTACGCATGCCCGACAACGCCGTAGCACGGACATCCATATCGACGTCAACGGAACCACTGCACCCGCGTGGGGCATGGACTTCGCCATCAAGGGTGGTCAAGTTAGCTATGGTCCGTGGACAGATCGTCGGCGCGCTGATTTGCAGAGGGTTTTCTTTCCAACCCTGTGCAAAGATGCGATACCGGTGGAACCACTCGCTGTCGGAGCGTGGCGGGTGCCGACCAAGTTCAATTTGCGCATTGAACTGGAAGACACTGTCTCCGTCAGAGTGCCGTTCCGTGAACAATCGAAGAATTGGCGTTGGCGTGGGAAAGAGACCCAGCTCAAGCTCCAGAGTGTGCATACAGGGAAGAAGCGAGGCAGTCGTGCAAAGAAAGAGGCGAAAGGCGAAGCTTCACAGCAGCGCCCAGCCGCCTGGCTCGAATTCAAAGTATCGGCAGATTCCTCTGTGGCATATCACATGGATATGCTGGCATCTGCGTCTGGATATCAAAGCGGCCTCACTGTAGACCTGACCGGTTCAGAGCTTCGCAGTGCGGTGAATCAGAATATCCTGTGGCGCGGCGGATCCCATCGTATCGAATGCGATCTCTCAACTCCGCTATCATGGAATTCTCTGCGGCTCTGGAGCTTCAAGGTAGAACTTGATGACCTCGAGCTCTTCCTACTCAGAGACCACATCTTCTTGTTGATCGATCTTGTCGACGACTGGTCGACCGGGCCACCGCCCGACTACCTCGTGTTTACACCGTTCCAATACTGCCTTGACCTGAGGCTTCAGCGGCTTAAGTTGTACCTCAATGTTAATGAAGGAAACATTATCGACAAACCGACCTCTCTGGATGACAACGCATATCTGATCCTGTCAGCGCCCCTTTTGGCTGCCAAAACCAGCATTCCATTGGACAAGTATCGCCCCCAACAGAACGCGATACCTTTCGATGTACGCAGTGACACTCTAGATCTGCTGTTCCACTCTCCTCAGTGGACCACCCAAGCAGCTTTCACCAAGTCCGGTGAAATCGGACGAGTGCGTGGGTTGACTGCGAACGGTACATATCACTATAATGCCACGACATCACCCGCAAACACTGACACTTTGGTCTTGAATATTCATGGGAATTCTCCGTATGCATATCTCCATGGCTTTGTCATTCGGTATTTCCTATTGCTGAAGGATAATTATTTTGGAGAACATAATCATTTCCGCACACTCGACGAGTATCAAGCACAATTGCAATCGACAGAGAAGGCCCTTGGTTTCCAGACACCTTCTGGTCCTCCTAACAAAAAGACCAACGATCTGGATGTCATCCTGAGCATCAAGACAGATGACCCAAGGATTATGCTGCCGACGAACCTCTATTCGTCGTCTCAATACATTCAAGCCGAGCTGTCGACTTTGTCCGTTGATCTTCGATTCACAAACTACTACATGGACATGGAACTTGACATCAGTCCTCTAAACCTTTCATTAACTGGCCTGTCGACCGATCCCGAGTCACCAGAAATGGAATCATCGAACACACAGCTGTTCCTTGACGGCATTCGAGTATTTGGCCATCGACTCTTTGGCCTCCCACCCACGGAACCTACGTACCTCTGCAATTGGGATGTGTCCGCAGGAACGGTATCGGGCGAGTGCACAGCCGAGTTTCTGGCAGCTTTGGCACGTGGCGGTACCGCATTTGCCTTCACGTTCGATGATGTGGAAAATGCTCTGGTTCCCTACTCGTCTCTAGTGTTCGACGATGTGACGTTTGCTAGGGTCGATGTGGAATCAGTGCACCTGTGGCTACATGTGGACGAGGCGGCCATGCTTCTATCGACAGATAGGATCACTGTCAACTCCAACGACTGGGCGAATTCTCATTACTCTAAGCGAGCTGACATTGACATCCCCAACATACAAGTGTCTTGTGTCGACTCTGAGTCTGCAGCGCGGCATAAATCAAGGCCGGATCATCCGGTAGACACCATTGCCTATCTGCAAACGAATGTACGCATGGCCTCCATCGGGAGGAAACTGCACTTTTCTGAAAAGCTCAGCCTGCAACAAGAGCTTGTGCGGCGCGAGGACCAAAGGACTACCCGCACGCCGTTTCTCCTGAAACCTGATTGCTTGGATGAGTTCTTGCCTGACCCCTTGGAACCTCCCGCACAATGCGCCCCAGCTCCACCTCATCCTCTTCATGAGGCCGGAGGTGACGGCCTTTCATTTCACAGCAGCTCATCGTCGTCGGGAAATTCGCAACGCTTGAGTCGTAAAAGCTCTTTTCTATCCCCGTCCGGTTCTACTGCTAGCAGCTTACGCCGCTCGCATGAACATCGCGGACGGGATGCCAGGGCCAAAGCCGGACATGGAGCTTTCCACCGTCCGTCCGCTCACATAGATCACGCCCTATCTGGAGCCGCCGATGACAATCCTAGCCACAGCAACTTTCATCAACACTCCTCCGTGGCCTTTACGAGCCAGTACTATACCCCATACTTCACCTTGGCCGGCGTTCAGCCGGATGCTTCTGAAGTACCGCTGCCAGCCCAGCACAACGAGCCGCCGGCATACGCCAACGACTTCCTTTCCGGTCGTGGCCAAGACCTGAACGACATTGACGCGAGCCAATTTGATGAGGAGCATGCATACTCAAGTCTTATGGTTGAATTCACGACGGCAGTGATTGCCTTCATCAGCCCAGCTGCGATCAAGCATGGCCTGTCGCTTGTCAGCGCACTGCAGCCCACTGAGCCTGATGATATTTTAGATACCTTGCAGACAAGCTCTTTAGGCAAGATTTTCGACGGCAAGAAAGAGAAGGAAGCCCACGGCTCAGTCAAAGATCTCCTTGTAAAGCTGCCACGAGCAAGCGTTCGCATTCTGAACTCCTCGACTTTTGGGCTCTCGCAGGATGTAGAGTCAGAGGAGCGCGACCAGTATGACGTAACAATCACTGAACTCGGGCTGGTCACTCGCACAACCTCCTACCGGGGGGACGCGGTCGACTCGCTGCAGATGGGCTCCAAAACTTCCCTCCATCTTCGGCTAGGATCTATTGAGTTGTCAGCTTCCGAGAGATCATCAACACTGGAGGAACCCCAAGCAGCTGTAATGGTTCAAATAGACCAGGTTGTGATCTCTGTGGGAGCACGCGAGATTACATACTTTGATGCTGATGTGGGCTCAATTGTAGGCAGCACTGCATCGGGGGAAGTGGAATACCTCGCATCTTTGCTACATAGGACTGGGAGCCTCGCAAACGAGCTTGAGGCAATAGTGAAGGCAACTACTCGACATCACAATGACCGGCTGCAATACTTAACGTACCGACTGCTGGAAGAGGGACACTCGACATCCGATCCTTCTTTTCTGATACGGCCTTCGGCGGTTTTGCGATCCGCAGAGAGTCATTTGCGCACACTCGATTCGTGGAAATTGGTCATGAGACTTCGACAGATCTGGACCGTAATGACACCTCAAAGCCAGCATCAGTTCCTCCAGGACAATGCAGCACCGACTTGGACGGTGCCCCCCGATGCTGCAGAGCTAGTCATAGCTGCGTTTCAGCGCTGGCGGAGTTGGGATCTTGATAATATCAGCAACGCCGTTGTTCTGCGCAAGATCTTTCCAACCCTCAACGAGACTCAGGCGATCGGAGGGGATGGGCTGCCCGTTCTCGGCGCCTGTCGACTTGGCGACATGCACTTTGTGCTCGACCCAGGGCCCAAAGAGAACAAAGTGGGCATTGTCGATGTTTCGGTCAGAGTTGAGAAGATGATGAAGAGTGACGCAGCAATGCTCCCCGAAACCAACACGCAGAACGCTCTCCTTACAACGATCAGCGTCTGCTGCAACGAAGGTGCAATTCACGTTAACTGGGAGGTCTGCGAGCTTATTGAGGACGTGCTCCGACTTTATAACCAAAGCCAAGAGCGCGGCAAGGCCGTCGCAAAGACAGCTCAAAAGCGCCACCGACCCGATCAGTCAGCAGCCAGAACGCCGGCCTTTCATGTGGTTGCAGAAGTCATACAAGGCTCAATTGAAGTAGAGACGGTCAACCTACGGTCAACAACTGTTACCGAGTCCTTCAAAGTTTCAGGCTTGATGTATGGGGGTGACAATGTAGCACAGTCCCTCAACGTTATCACACATTGCACCTCAGTCACATCGAGCTTGGAAAGTCACGCGCTGTTGCTCAGCGTCTTTCAATTGCGCGATCCCAGCATCTTCGCTTCGCTGGAGCACGAAAAATCTGACGAAGCCTCTACGCAGATCGTCAAGTCTACTGTCAGCAGTAGTAGTCTGAAGTACGTTGTGAAGCAGGACCCCACGACACTTCTCGAGATTCTCGATCATCTACTCAAAGATGAGGCTACGCAAATCAACCAGCTTCTAAGACACGTAGCTGAGCATCGACAGCCACAGCCTAAGCATAAAGAAGACTCGAATGTGAGACAGCGCCTTTCTACCTTCAGGTTCAATGTTGCTTTGTTTTTGGAGCGGTACATCATCAGCGTGCCTCTGTTACAGACTCTGACGTACAAAATCACCGGCAATGTTGCCAGAGCTTCGTGTGCAGCCAATTTCGGAAAAGAGATCATCTTCGACTTTGACGTTAAGGAAAACTCGCATGAGATGCATATTGACGTGCGCGACGAGCCTCGTCGCATATCTCTGATGCAGATCCCTCCAACAAATGGACGCATCAGAAGTCAAACTGGTCAATCCGAGCATGTGCTTACTGTATTGTCTTCAGTCGAGCTCATGCAACTGGATGCGTCGGCAGTCTATAGCCTGCTGGGTGCACTCAATCGGCCACAAATATCCAGCACTATTGAGGAGATACAGGAGCAGGTCAAGGTCGTGCAAAGACATTTTGGGGACGTCTTTCGACCTGATACCGAACCACATCCCGACCCGACAAACAACAAGCCAGACGGCGGTGACAGTGGGAAGCGAACGTTGATATACGATGTGCATCTGACATTCGCTGGATTGCAGGTGTCGGCCATAACGCCATTAGGCTCGTATCCTAAACCCGTGTCTCAAGTTTTGTTCTCTCTGGACAAGTTGCAATTGCAAGCAGCTAACCGCCTCGACCCCCAAGCTCCTATCATGAAGTACCCCGAGGTTCATTTCAATTTGAAGCAAATCGGATTCGACATACGCAGGGGCCAGCGGGATGCTATGAAGTCTTGTGGTCGGATAGGGGCTGGTGTCACCATGTCTGCCGGCGCCAAGGAAGGAAGCGACGGCAAGGAAGACTGGGCATTTGACTTCCGAAGCCCTGATCTTGATGTCAATCTCTCCCCCGAAATGGTATCGACAAGTCTGGCCGTCCTCGCGTACCTCCGTGACAAGATCAAGGATCTGGATACTTCACGAGAACTGGACTATTTACGGAAGCTGCGAGAGTCGAAGCCGAGGATTACAATCAATGACAGCTCCCTTGAAGTCGAAGACGAAGACATCATTGACTCGGTCTTGTCGAGATTGGTCTATCAATTTGAGTTGCAGAATATCAGAGCCTCGTGGAACGTGGAAACGGACAGCGATCCCCGCTCAGTCAACAAAGAGGACCTAGTGCTGTCCATCAAACTCATCCAATTCGGTACGAGGACCAAACGATCTGCTCGTCTCACCATAGACAGCCTGCAGCTGCAGACAGTGCCCCAAGGCCAAGACAAAACTCTGCGGTCCCTTCACTCGGCATTACTACCAGAAGTGATCTTTAATGTAGCATACATTTCTACCCCCAATGCCCGGCGAATGGCCTTCCAAGCAGTTGGCCAGTCACTGGATCTCCGGTTGACATCAGCTTTCATCGTGCCAGCGGCCAACCTGATGGGCTCGATCTCCAAATCAATCAACCATGTGCAGGAGGCGTCTGCCGGTTGGGGCTCGTCGTTCGGTCCGGAAAAGATGCCCAAGGAAGATGACCACAATGCGCTGAGTCAGACTCCTGCCAACGGTCCTAATGCCTCTGATCGGCCTTGGAATCTATTTGGCAAGAAGCGACTGGAGAGCATGCTCATCGATGCTGATTTTGCCGGCGCTGTGGTGCACGTGTCAAGCAAACGCAACTTCAGCAATGCCGCCAGAATTTCCAAACTCAACCGCCCATCGCTCGCAGGCAAGTATGGTCAGTTCAACGCCGATGACTCGGGCAGTGGCGCCGTCTTACGCAGTCCTGGTCTGGCCTGGAAGCTTGAATTTTCTGACAATGGCCATGATGACCCAACGGTTTCCGGAGAAATCAAGATTGATGCATCAAGCAACATTTTGTATCCTTCTGTGGTACCTCTCGTGTTGGACATTGTATCAAGCGTACAAGAAGTGGTCGGGAGGGAGAAGACCACTGCGAAGAAGCCGAACCCGTCGCCGCCATTCCTACAGCCGCAGCAGTCGGGCGCCGAAGACACTATCCTCACGGCGGATCCAAGCGCTGTTCTTGGACGCACGAAGCTAAACCTGGGTCTTCGTATTTGCAGGCAAGAGTTTTCACTGAGTTGCCAGCCCATTGCCCGCGTAGCGGCGACGACTAGCTTCGAAAGCATCTACTTTACAGCGAACACTGTCACGTCGACTGATCACGGCAACTTCTTCGCCATATCAGGCACATTTGACAGACTGAAGGCCTCAGTACAACATGTCTATTCCCGAGAGTCGACAGGCAGCGTTGAGATCCAAAGGACTACACTGTCTCTCATGAACAGCAAACACGTCAGTGGTACGAGTGGTGTATCCGCCATTCTTAATGTCAGTCCGATGAAGGTGACGATCAACGCCAAGCAAGTGCAAGACTTCTTGCTGTTCCGCGAAATCTGGTACCCGGCCGAGCTCCGCGACAGGAACACTGCCCCGGTGGCGAAGCTGACGACGGAGAATTCGCAAGGCCATCTCATGCAGCGCTACCAGCAAGTCGCCGCGACTGCTGCCTTTCCCTGGACGGCGACAATCTCCATTGCTGCGCTGGACGTGGCTGTCGACTTGGGGCAGGCCATTGGGAAATCCGTGTTTCGCATTGCCGAGTTTTGGATATCGTCGAAAAAGACATCAGATTGGGAACAGAACCTCTGCCTCGGCTTTCAACGGATCAGTATTGATTGCTCGGGGCGCCTCAGCGGCTTCATTGCGCTGCAAGACTTCAAGCTGCGCACGTCTATACAATGGCCTAAGCGAGAGCAGGCGCTCAACGAGACGCCATTGGTCCAAGCATCCATTGGCTTTAACGCTCTGCGCATCAAGGCCGCCTTTGACTACCAAGCCTTCCTCGTTGCGGACATAACAAGGCTGGAGCTTCTCATGTACAATGTCCGTGAGGATACGGCTGGACGTGGTGATCGTCTTGTGGCCATTTTCGACGGCGAGGCGGTGCAGATTTTTGGGACGACCACGTCCACTGCCCAAGCAGTCGCGCTCTATCAAGCTATCAAGAGGCTCACTCAAGAAAGACAGGAGAACTTTCAATCCTCTCTTAGGGAGATTGAGAAATTCATGAAGCGCAAGTCAAGTACTACCGTTCGCTACAGCTCGCAACCCTCGGATTGTCTAAAATTACCGGGGGAGGAGCGGCTAGCCAAGGCCCCCATCTCTCTCGATACGGATGTGGTGGTCACTCTGAAGGCGCTGAACCTCGGCGTGTTTCCGAGCACATTCTCAGACCATCAGGTTTTCAAAATCGAGGCGCTGAATGCTTATGCGCGGTTTGCTGCTAGCTTGGAGGCCGGAAGAGTGCACAGCATTTTGAAACTGACTCTAGGCCAGCTTCGCATAGGGCTGGCTGGAGTCAGGAACGGTGAGGCGCCCAGAGCGCTCAGCGAGATCTCTGTAAACGACGTGGTGCAGCGTGCCACTGGGTCACGAGGCGGCACCATATTGAAGGTTCCGCAGGTATCAGCCGTCATGGAGACATGGCAAACCCCTGAAAGTAACCTGATCGACTACATCTTCAAGAGTGCCTTCGAGGGCAAGGTGGAAGTGGGTTGGAACTACTCGCGCATCAGCTTCATACGGGGCATGTGGGCAAATCATTCCAGGTCCGTTGAAGCGACATGGGGTAAGGAGCTGTTGCCTATGGCGACCGTCAAAATTACTGGAGTGCCGGAGGGTGAAGGCGAGCGCAAGGAGGGAGAGCAACAGAAGATTACGGCCGAGGTCAACGTGCCTCAATCCAAGTATACTTACGTTGCCCTCGAGCCGCCTGTCATTGAAACGCCGCAGCTTCGAGACATGGGAGAGGCCACGCCACCGCTGGAGTGGATTGGATTGCATCGAGAGAGGCTGCCCAATTTGACGCATCAGATTGTAATAGTTTCCCTGCTGGAACTGGCTGGCGAGGTGGATGATGCCTACTCACGCATTCTGGGAGCATCTTGAGCTTTGGAGGCGTCTGACGGAAGGAATGATTTTTGGCGTTTAAATTGAATCTATCTAATCGACTATCTCTATTTACTTTGCTCTCAGGAGCCCTCGAGCTCAGGCGTCCGGGTTTGGGTTCCTTGTTTCGAATGCGTTTCTTGTGCGGGCTACTTTGTACTTGCAGTGCAATCATCGCCCGGGCCATTCCTGGCAAATCCCGATAGTCAACGTTGTCCGGTGATCGTGAACGAGGTGCAGGAATGGGACGGTGTGCAACAGGCGTCGTGGCAGGCTATCGTTCATGGGCCACAAGCCTTTGGTTGCCATGCTTGAGCGTCAACGGCACATGGGACGGATCATGACTACGTGCGGGGTTACTGCAAAGGAGGAGGACAAACTAAAGAGAGTTGAGCCCTACAGAGCAACCGCCAGACCACCACACGCGTCACAAAGAGATTGCACGTCCCATCGACAGGTGATTGTGAGATGGAGGGAGGTCTCGATTGCCCGGTACAGGGTAAGGACATGGATCTGACTTGAGGTCTGGCGCGTGGATGACATAGTACGTATGTATCCGTACCTCGAGGCCATTTTGACATGTGATTGTGGCAGGTCCCCTGTATATGCATAATTGTGTCATGTGCGCTAACCAGGTTGCGTTCCAGGCGCGTGAGCACGACCCGATAGTGAGCAACACCCCGCTTTAGGCAAGGTCCACGCAGGTTGACTTGACAATTTACCCCAGGAAGGAGTGGACAATACAGTAGCTTCAGCGGTACCCGTCTTCGCCCAGGTCGTAGGCAATTGGTCCCAGCTGGCAGCCACCATGGACACACACAGATGGTGGAATTCTGCAAGAGCAACTTCGTCCTCCAGCCAAGCCAGAACCCGACCGACCGACCAAACGAGCCTCGACTATCCGTGTTCGCAGTATCCGCATACTCACTAGTTCATAAATCCAGGCGCAGACACGCGCGTAGATTGCCAACACCGCGCGTAACTAGCCTAAGCGCAACCTTGATCGAACCCATAGCCTTGCGTCCCGCACGCGACAAGCAGTACCCTGCCCTTGAACAAACTGACCCGTATCCCCGACGAACCCGCGCCTTACTAGCTAGCTGGACATTTGCGTCTGTGCGCAGACAACAGCGCAGCGGAAGGTTGACAGTTCGTGGCCAAGTGGTTTGCTGCTACGCTGACCCGCACCCACCTCGGCCTATTCAGTTGTCGATCGTCAGGTACCCGGCGCATGAACCTTCGATCAATACTCCCGAGGTGAGCAGCATCTCCCTCCTAGAATGAAGTCCAGCAAACAGCATTGGCCAAGAAAACCCTGTGCTAACACTGTTAGTGTTAAGAGGCAAGGCACACGGCGACTCCAGCGGTACTACTACGACCATCCGAGCGCACCACTGTCATCCCCACAACGTCGAACCTCGTCACAACCCGGCCAGCAGCTACCGTACTGTTGACAGTACTGCGTCGGCTTGGGCGTCGCAAGGGCTGCGCGGTCGCCGAGACATACTTTATTGGCGACCCTCATTATTATACCCGTTGGATCCTGGGACCCTCAACTTCGAATTCGCACGAGCCGCCCGGAGAGTCAACGGTCTATCGAACAAGACCCGAGCTCGAAGTTCCTGATAGGCCAAGTTCGACGGAACGGCTGGGCAACGCAAAGACATCTTCTGTTAGTTTTGAGACGAACGAACCGGATCCATGCTTGCTGTACAGCGTGCTCCGAAAATGGCTTTCAATAAATCGCCAACGGACTCGGATCCGTTTTTACCTTTTGGGTGTAAGTGGACTGGACTGTCAGCCGTTACACCGACGGAGAACTTTGAAGGCTGACACTGCCCGGCAGATGCGATAGGCGAAGATTCTCAGCCGCCCTCGGATCCTCCACCCGAACCACCCAGCGGCATGCCCTTGTTGACAGAAGATGATTCCAACCTGCTCAACTCTTTCTTTAGCGCTATGACGAGTGAGCAGTATGGGCTACCATCTTTTGGGGAAGGACTGCAAGGACTCCAGTATGGTAGTGGGTGGATGGATGAGCTTCCACCGACCTTTGTGGGCACCACCACGTCGTTCCAAGGACAACACAACCCTCAATCCGGTGAGCCTTCTTCACTCGGCTTTGAGGGATCGAATACGGCTGGAGCGCAAATGCCACCACCGCCGCCGCCGCCTCATTCTAATCCGTATGGACAGCACATGCATATGAATCAGCAACAAGAACACCAGTATCAGCTTCAACAACAGCAGCCGCAGTTTCAACGCACACAAGTTTCACAACAGTTTCAGCAACATCCGGAAGCGAACGATCACCAGCAACACCCGAACCAATCATACCACCACTCGCAAGATGTGTTGAGTGCCGCAGCGACTCTGATATCCAACAATGCTGGTAAGCCGCCTGCTCGATTCATGAATGGCTCTGCGCACGGCGCAGGCACACGACAACACGTCCCTCCCTTGGGCCAAATTCGGCATCAGCAGCTGGAGGACTTTAAGGAACAAGGGAGGAGAGACTACGCACAAGAGCAGATGCCAAGAGGGTTTGCAGACTGGATGAGCCCACATCAGAATCGCCAGGGCTCAAGGAGCGCGGTACCGACGGAAATGCGATGGGGCTCAGATACCAATTTCGGTGGCTCACAAGGCTACACCACCGGCGACCAGAAGGAGATGGAGTCTATGGAAAGGCAGCAGCAGAAGCTGTTGAGCTCCCTGGAGGTTAGCAAAAGTGCTGCCAGCACACGTCCCAGCAGTCCCTCGCACGCCCAGACGCAGAGCGACCCGCAGCGGAAGCAAGCGGCTGGTGCAAGTCATCCGTCAACATCAGCAGTAGATGCCCAGGCACCACCAAGAAAGAGACGCAAGAGCAGGGTCACACCCAGTGGGAAGAGTCCCGCGGAAGACGGTGTTCCAGGAGGCACTAGCTCAAAGTCGAAAAAGAGGATCGGGGACGAACAGAAGGCAGCATGCGCCTCAACCTCTACCAGCAAGGCTACACCGGGAGGTCGCAAACGAAAAGGCGCGCCGGGGGCTGATGCAAAGCCCAGTCGGGAGACCCTGACCGAAGCGGAGAAGAAAGAGAATCACATCAAGAGCGAGCAAAGGCGGCGAGGTCAGATTAAGGAAGGCTTCGAAGATCTGAACAAGCTGGTGCCGGGGCTCCATGGCGGTGGCTTCAGCAAGAGCATCCAGCTTTCACATGCTGCAGAGTGGTTGCTCACAATCAGGCAAGAGAATGAGGCGCTGGTCAGGCACTTGGCGTCGCTCGGCAAGTAGCGCACCGTGTGGGTGTTATTGAGATTGCTGACCAAGGAGGTCGGCTGTGGGAAGGATCATGAGGCCTGCGAAGGATGAGAATGCTAGCCGCGTAGGCAGGCAGGCGTCTTGGGAGTCGGGTGTCGATTTTATATATACCCCTGTTGCGACTGCATCATGCAGCGATCGGATGGGCTGGGCGGATGGGGATCGGGTCTGGCGAAACAAATATTCAACAGCATCACCGTAATTAGGTATTTGATGGATGTACATTTCAACCAAGCTTGGTCAGTGGCGGTCCTGGTAGCGAGCGAGTCGCGCGCCATTCTGTGTCAAAGTGCGGCAACTTTATGTGTTCTTACCCCTGTTGCAGATTTCTAAACAGACCGTGGGGAGTGAGTGATCAGTCAGTTTTTCATGTGGTAGATGACCATGTCGGGCTTAAAAGTGAATCGTCAATCTGCGCGCGTTTGAGCGCGTTACAACGCATATGCTAGACCTGTCGCATTCCTACGAATCAGTAAGCATCGACCATGGACTCGTCAACTATGCCCTGCCTGTGCTTACAATCCATGGCCAAAGGGGGTGATGCGGGCGTCGAGTCTCCGTGAACTATCCTGGCTTCCTGCGCTGAAACTGACGTGCCCACTCTTCCAAGAAACATGGGGAGCTGCGCGCTCATCACTGTAGAATTGTACGTGATGGGCATTGCAGAAACGTCTGATGATCATTATTTATGTTGGGACTGACCCCGTCTGACAGCCTGTATGTTTTCCTCTGTGAACTCCCACTTTCAAGTCCGCCTGACAGGTCTCTTTGCCCTGTTTCCTGCCTCGTGCCTCCTCCCGCCTTCGTGGAACAACAGGCCTAAATAAACGCAGAAAGGCTGAGGTAAAGATCAACATGAAGTTCTCTGCCTCAGTGCTGGGCGCTGTCGTTGCGTCCCTCGTCGCAGACGGTGCCTCTGCGACTCGCTTGCACGCCGACCGTACGGAGTCTGACTGCGCGGCCCCCGATGCCATTCCTGACTTCACCGGTGCGGACTTTCGCAACGTCGGCGTGGTCATGTTCAACGGCATCGACATGGTCGACGTCTATGGCACGCTCGACCCCTTCTACATGCTCGCCCTCATCGAGCAGCAACTAAAGCTGTACCTCATCGCCGAGACCCTCGACAACGTCACGCCGCGCGGCAGCATGAACCCGTACAACTCGAGCTTCTACCCCGAGTTCGTCGTCACCAACACGTTCGATGACGACCTCGACATTGACCTGCTCATCGTGCCCGGGGGCAGCGGCGTGCGCGCCCCGGACACCAGCGCCGCAGAAGCCTACCTCCAGAAGATGTTCCCCAAGGTCAAGGCCTTTATGACCATCTGCACCGGCAGCGGGCTCGCCGCCAAGTCGGGCGTGCTCGACGGCCACATGGCGACCACCAACAAGAAGGCCTGGGCGCAAATGACAGGATGGGGCCCGGACGTGCGGTGGGTTTCGCCCGCTCGCTACGTTGTCGACGGCAAGGTCTGGACTTCGTCTGGTGTGAGTTGCCCCGTAGGCCTTCCATTGGCGTCCGTGCGAAAGCTGATGTTCTTTCCCTGCAGGTTACCTCGGGCATGGACCTTAGTTTTGCCTTTATCGAGGCATACTTTGGCCGGGAGAGGGCGGAGTACATCTGGTCCATGCAGGAACATGAGCCACGCGAGTGGGACGATGACCCCTTCCACACGTACTTTGGTCTCGAGAATACGGAGACCCAGCCTTGCCCGTGGAGGTGAAAATATCCGATCAGGCGTGTCCAATGGTCTGGTAGCAGTCAGCCTGTAACTACTTAGTCAGTCGTTGCCCAAATAGTTACAGGATACGTCCTCGAGCCAGATAACGCTCAATGCGCATCCTTTTGTCCATTGAGCGGCCGAGTTTGGCCCTGGTACTTGCCAGCGTGGTCTCGTATCATCAAGAGTGCACTTGATTCGTGGTGGCGTCGCAGTCCGCTGGGGTATTAATGTAATTCCTACTGAACACCGAGGCTACCTAGGTGTACCAATCATAGAGTAGTCTCCTTCTATTGCAACGCAAAACAATACAACACATGGTACAACATGAAATCCAAGGCCGGTGCTTTTCTTCCGTTATCTTTAGGTCATGACCGTGTCCATATTCGCGCCTGAACCGGCAGCCGCTCCGTTGTTGCCTAGTAGGTGCTGCTCAAACGAAGCAACAAACTTGGCACTCCGCGCGGGATCGTAGAACAGGGCGAAACTCCGTTGCACGTCCTCGACGCTGACCTGCTTGGCTCTGCGCTTCGTTGCAATCAATTGCGACGTTGTGATCAGGTTGGCAGCGTAGCGGAGACCCGTCTCCGAACCGACCTTGGTTAACAAGGCTAGTGCGTCCGGCGACAGGTCAACCTCCTCTTCTTGCGCGCGGACACTCAAGATTTTCTGGAGGTCCTCCGGGCTGTAGGGGTGGGTCTTGATGATGACCACACGGTCGAGGAAGTCGAATGGCAGGCCGTGCGGGCTGCGGTAGTCGGTGCCGCGGACCTTGGCGTTTGCGCGGTTGCTCGCCATGATCACAATGGGCGCTAGCTCATCCTCGAGAGCGCTGTTGAGGAAGGCGAAGGATTCAATGTCCAGCATGTGGACTTCGTCAATGAACAGGACGCCGGGAACAATCTCAGCCTTGCCCTCCTCCTTCCACTCTCCGACCTTGATGTTGATCTGGTCGCGGATCTCGCTGCGGATCTCGCCCGTGTCACCCGAGAACAATGCCAGGAAACCCTGTGTCCGCGAGTTGATCACGTCAATCTCGTGGAGTGTGACGGTGTGTACTGTCTCCTTGCGCTTCTGCAGCTCGCCATCGGGGCACTGGAGGAACTTGGTGTCGACACCCATGGCGTCGTAGTCGCGCGAGCGTGCGTAAGATCGGCCGAGCTTGGTGATCTTGCCAGACGACTTGTCGATGGAGATGATATCACCCGCCATGATGCGCTCCTTGGTCATTGCATCAATCATCTTGTTGCCCATGTCGTACACCGCCTCCATATCCGTAGTCTTGATCGTGAGTTTGCCCTGCTTCGCGCTCCCCGTTACACTACGATCAATCTGAATCTCGACGACCTCGCCCTCCATGATTTCGCTTTCTTCCTTGATCCGGACACCGATGGATTTGCGAAAGGCTTGCTTGAGCGCCTCGGTCTTTGACATTTCGAGAGAGTAGATTTCAGAGGCGGCGAGGGATGTGAAAGGTACGTCTGGGCCGAGCGATTGCGCCATTCCCATGGCGAGGGCTGTCTTTCCCGTGCTGTCGCAATGTCAGAATTTGGTCTCGGTTCGGGTGCGCAGAGTAATTCTTCTTGCCTTGGGGGTCCGGCAATGAGCACCGCGCGACCGGCCACATTGCCTTCCTTGATCATCTGCAGCATGACAGCGGCGGACTTGCGCGCCTTTTCCTGTCCGACCAGGCCTTGCGACGCAGCTTTCGGCTCCAACGTCATCGCGTCGACGCCCAATCCTCGGATGTGCGAGTGCGCCGCAATCATGTTGAGACCGCGAAGGTCCTTGGACTCGGAGGTGGTGATCACAGGCTGTATATCCATTAGTTTCTCCCTTGTGAACAGCGTCATATTTGGAGTCCACTCACGGCAGCCATCTTGGATCAAGGAATCGTCAATATGTGATGTGTGGTCTGTCTCTTGCGCAGCAAGCAGGCGCGTTGCTGAAAGCCGTCTTCGGTGAGAGAATCTGCTTAGTCAAGACCGAGTTAGTAATCACGACGGGCAGTGACGCATGTGGGTCCAGAGAAAAAAGGTACTAAACGCGGTCCAGTCGCGTGAGGAAAATGAACCAGCCTCACAGTTGGCGATGTTTGAGAATTTAGTGGCTCCTAACAGTCGCTTCTCTGCTCTGGGACCATGCTTTTCAAATGATGCAACGCAGAACAACACTTGTGATTTAAATCCATCAACTGCAGCAAACCTGAATGCGTAGCTAATCTAGGCCCTGCCTAGCATGCCCAACTGTCAACCCCAAGTTTCGTCTGGAAACTGCAATCAAGCACGCACGTGACGGGCGGCGACATGTGAAGCAGACCCCCTGAAGCCAAAAGAACGGACAACCAAAGCAAACAAACATTTTCACAAACACGCTCACAGACGAGAGACTGAACACACAGCGCGAACCCCTAAAAGCTGCTTCCAACGTCGCGTTCGGTTCGCTGAGACAGGCACACTCCAATCGACTCATCTGCCTCGCACTAAACGGGAAAGCCCTCCTTCACTTCAAGTGAGTATTGTTACCTGACCTAATACCAGTTTTCAGCCATACGCCAAGCCGACTGACGCGATGCAGCTATATGAATATTTCTCGCTAGTCAGCAGGGGATAATGAGCAGCTATAGTCGAAAAGACTTCCCGTACCGCGACAGGCGCGTACACGAAGATCGTGATTCTAGCAGGTCTCGGCGGCGCGATTACGACAGCTATCACCCCTTAGATCATCGACGTGAACGCAGTCGGGAACGACAGAGGCCTCCACTTGGAAGGCGGACATCCTCGTCATATTCCCCGAATGCACGAAGTCCAGCCTTTGCCGCCACAAACGTAGCAAGTCCTGCACCTATATCTAATACATCAGGATCAGATACGGGCAATAACAAGGCTTCTGAATCGTCGGACTTGGCAAGCAGAATCGTGCGCGCCCTGCGTTCTGCGGAAATCGACAGGGCACAGCAGCGCCTTAACAAATGCAAAATACAGCATAGCCGTGCTACTGCAGAGCAATACCCTGATCATCCGTCTATCGTAAAACAGGCCAAGTTAGCTTACGAGGATGCTAAAGAGCACCTTAAAAAGACACAGGATGATACTAAAGACCTTGAGGCTTGCTTCGCGGAGATTTTGAAAGCCACAGGTGTTAGGGCTACAGATACCATAGAGCAGCAGCCGACACCCACGACAGATGCCGTCGAAAGTTCCAAGCTCGACGAGCGGCTTGGCGCCATCGCCCGCGAACAGGAGGCGAGGATCAAGAAACTAGAGAGTGACCTCCAAACGAGATTCAACCAGTCTATCACAGACTCGGCGAAACGTATTCAAGAGGACTTCGACAAATCACTCAAGGCCAGGACAGAAGAGATCAAAGGTCAGTATACAGCGATGCTCGAGGAGCGCGATAAGCGAACACGCGAGCACTACGACAGATCCCTTGAGTCAAGGACAGAAGAGATACAAAGTCAGTGCACAGCAAAGATCGAGGAGAACGACAAAAGAATACGCGAGCACTACGACGAAACGCTCAAGACGTATATGTCCAATATGGCTGCTCTGCGGGAGCAAGTCAACAAGTGGCAAGAGATAGACCTCGACAACACAAAAAAGCAAGCATCAATTATGAAATTGCATGAAGCGCTCGCGGCGAAAGTACAAGGCGCTGCCAACGAGCTCAAGCGACTTTCCGATCACGTTCGCAAGCTAGACGAGCGACTCAGTCTCCCTCCCAAACCAGACACGACTGACCGCGCAATTTCAGAGCTTAAAACCAAGCTCCAAAATCTAGAAGACAAGCTCAGCGCGTCGGCCCAAACTGGCGAGACAGAAAAGGAGATTGGCAGTCTGAAGAACAGAATCGACGTCTTGGAACAATCCTCGGCTCCGCAGAGAACGGCACTCACCCTCGCATCTCGACCCAACAGCCCAGGTCTAGACCCTGATCTAGACAAGATACAATACGCAGTTGATCAGATCAAGATGGATCTACACACCCTAAAGAAAAATGTGGTGGAGATATTCCAGTCCCAGAGCCTTATACCGGCCCACCTCAAGGACTGGGCAAGGATGGCGACTCCAACAAGGCAACATACCCCGTTGCCCCAGGTGCAAGCTGCCTCGGATGGAGCATTAGCCACCGCAGCGCACGTGGAGACAACTCGTAGGCATCTTGAGGAGCTTTACAAGGACAAGGAGTCCTTTGTCGACTCTGTCGTGGCATGTATTGGGCCTCGCGTCGGGGCTGAAATAGCTGAGATTCAACGAGAGTTAATCAGCAAAGGTGACTCAATCACTTCTTGCCAAGGCGACATCAACGCCTGTAAGGAACGAATAGCCAATGTCGCCAACGACCTCAACATACACCGCTCGCTGCACGGTACATTCTTTAAGTACTGCAAGGACGTGCACGAGGATCTCGACATGCGATGCCGCAATCTCGATCATTGGCAGCAGAACTTCGAGACGACGGACCTAGTCAAACAGATGACCGAATATATCAAAGCCCTTATGCCGGGCGAGATGAACCAGATGCGCCACAAGGTCGCGGCGATCGAAACGGAGCTTCGTCGAATACAGGATCACGCGTCCAAGAAACGCAAGGTCGCGCTCCCCAACGGCGGAACACAGGCTGTTCCAATGGCGCCTGTCCATCCTTCCTAGGGGAGGGGTCGCTGATGCATCCATTGCCAGAACAGCCAGACATGCGAGCGAGACGCCTCTCATGGTCCGGCCAGGCAGATGGGAGTGGCAGTGACTGTGTAAGTTATATGGCGGCGCTCATACGTTGCCGCGGTGTTCTGGGTGTGGTAGGAAGGGCATGTCTTGTTGATGACTTTCCTTGTGGAAAGTTGGGTCGACGACGGGAAGGGATCCCATTGTACTCATATCATTCATAATTAATCCATCAACATACCATGCCTTCATGTGCGAAGGGATACGGATACTATGCGGACTGCGGTTATGTTTCGGTTCGAACACGTAATCAGAATGCAGCTCTGGTCTGAGATCCCACACATATGGAGCAACAAAAGTCAGTCCATTGCCATGAACTCCCATGCCGAAGATGTCTGGGTGCCGGGCAGAGCCGTGGAAAGCCGCCACGATAATAAGCCCTGAACTGCGCAGGACATTGAGGCACTCCCATGTGAGCTGGTTGGAGCCGTTCACGAGGACACGACGATGCCTCTGAATAAGCCTATATGCTCGTAGTATAATTAACCCTCTCATTAGTAAGATGAGTTTCGTTCCCCGGATGTGAAGCCTGTCCCCGGCAGTTGTGCGTGTTCCGAGACCATCGGGGCGTTGCGGAGGACTGGGGTCACGCTTAGGCGAAAACAGGCCCGGTCGAAGCCGTGAAGCCTCGACATCTGCACGACGGACAGGCATGGACGACGTAGCCGGGCGATTACCGTGCCTGCGTGGGGAAAACTACCCGATCTGGAATATACCGGGAGTTGTCTAAGTCAGTGAGAGTGAAGCCATCACCAACTGTCAACATGGCATTCACAAGATGGTTGATGTTTGGCCACGATGAGGGATTTTGGCTCTGAAGAGCTGCGAGGCCGTACATGGAGTGCTTTGCTCTCTGCCTGGCTTGCCTTGCCACATTGGGACAGTCCGACTGGCGACCTTTCTCTGAGTAATAGAGATTGGGAATCAATGACTGATAGCGAGCAGCGCTTACGGCGATTGAGCTCCTTCTCCTGCTCGCAAAGGGGCCAGGGCGTACCATCCAGCCTCGTGGCATGGGCCTTGCAGTAAAATCCCGCGCGGGCCGATATAGGAAAGCTTTTTCTCCTGTAATCTCATCAAATGACAAAAACCAATGTCTTGTCGCCCGTAGCGCAGTGAGGGGCAGATCAAGAGAAATCAGAGGTAGAGAATGCATTTTGATTCCTCATTGAACTGACCTGGTGACAGAGGGCAGTATTGTCAATGAAGTGAGCGTCTTGTCCTCGACCATCAAGCAGCTACGTTAATTACAATTCCATTGCTTGTTGGTACCTTAATTAGCACAGAGCATCCGTGAGGCTTGGACTAGAGCTTGTTGAGCGCTGCGGTGCCACCGTATGAGGGGCGGGGATCAGGGACGGTGGGCTGGACCCCACCCGCGATGCAGCCTGGCAGAGCGCAGGACTTGTTGGTGCGTCCCGTCGATGAAGGCGGCGGAACTAAATAGATGTGAGTGATAACCGCCGTAGGGGCCCGGCTGCTTCTGCGGATGGTTGTTGGATGGGCGGATGGAAAGAGTTGGGGGTACGGAGTGCGGTCCGTCATTGTCGCCTGCTGGCGGGATGTGCTCTTTGGGAGCTCCGTCTGCCATTCGTCATAGCAATGCCATAAGAAGGCACCCGACCCTTCCAGCACTTATTACTTTCCTCTCCCTCCCTCCTCTCCTCTCCTTCCTTTTCCCTTTTCCTCCTCTTCATCCTCCATCTTCGATAAACTCCCATCCTCCCCAACAGCAATCTACATCACTCAGTAAGTCATTCAGCCTTCTTCCCTCCCGACTTGCGGTTGCCTCGAAGCATCAGCTGCTGCTGCTGCTGCTGCCGCTGCGTTGCTGTCAGGCAGCTCCAGCGAGCTGGGAGAGCTGCCCCTCCCCCTCATCGCGAGCGGCTCAAGCGCGCATCACGACTGTTCTCGAGCGAGGCTGTCCACGTCTTGGCTCTTCGAGACGAGAAAAGCAGACCATCAAGGCAGAGGGCTTCTTACTGAGCTTCCTCTGCGCTGATCACGCCAGTTCAGCTCCTGTTCTCGCTCTGGGGAGGCCTGGTTGCTGCGGCTGCTGGACAGCTAGCTCCCTCAACGCGCCAATCCCCCCTCCCCCCCACCATGCAGAAAAAAAAACACAGATAGCTGACCAGAGACCCTGCAGATCATAATGGCTCCCGTCAAGGTTGGCATCAACGGTTTCGGCCGCATCGGTCGCATCGTCTTCCGCAACGCCGTTGAGCACCAGGACATCGAGGTCGTCGCTGTCAACGACCCCTTCATTGAGACTCACTACGCTGTAAGTCGATCGGTCCGACTGTGCTGGGCGGCAGCACTAACACCAAGTCGCCCCCCTGCCCCTCCATGAGTTCTTGGGTTGCCCCTCCATGATATCATGCAACAACCCGCCGACACCGGGCCAGGCCGCTGATCAATTGGCATTACGACACACACCAAGATGGCAATCACGTCAACCGCTTCTCATGCCGCATGTTGCATCTGAGTTAAAAGCTGACACTCCTTTTTACAGGCGTACATGCTCAAGTATGACTCGTCTCACGGCGTCTTCAAGGGCGACATCGCCCAGGATGGCAACGACCTGAGCGTCAACGGCAAGAAGGTCAAGTTCTACACCGAGCGTGACCCTGCTGCCATCCCCTGGAAGGACACTGGCGCCGAGTACATCATTGAGTCCACCGGTGTCTTCACCACCACCGACAAGGCTGCTGCTCACTTGAAGGGCGGTGCCAAGAAGGTCATCATCTCCGCCCCTTCGGCTGATGCTCCCATGTACGTGATGGGTGTCAACGAGAAGACCTACGACGGCAAGGCCGATGTCATCTCCAACGCCTCTTGCACCACCAACTGCTTGGCCCCTCTCGCCAAGGTCATCCACGACAAGTTTGGCATCGTCGAGGGTCTCATGACCACCGTCCACTCCTATACCGCCACTCAGAAGACCGTCGACGGTCCCTCCTCCAAGGACTGGCGTGGTGGCCGTGGTGCTGCTCAGAACATCATCCCCAGCAGCACTGGTGCCGCCAAGGCTGTCGGCAAGGTCATCCCCGACCTCAACGGCAAGCTCACCGGCATGTCTATGCGTGTGCCCACCGCCAACGTCTCCGTTGTCGACTTGACTGTCCGCCTCGAGAAGGGCGCCAGCTACGACCAGATCAAGGCCGCTCTCAAGGAGGCTTCCGAGGGCCACCTCAAGGGTAAGCGACAGCTCTCTGCCATCAAAACCCTTTGACCACATGACTAATCCATCTCACAGGCATCCTCGCCTACACCGAGGACGATGTTGTCTCCAGCGACATGAACGGCAACACTGCCTCCTCCATCGTCGACGCCAAGGCCGGTATCTCCCTTAACGACAACTTCGTCAAGCTCGTCTCCTGGTACGACAACGAGTGGGGCTACTCCCGCCGTGTCCTCGACCTTGTCTCCCACGTTGCCAAGGTCGACGCTGGCAAATAAATGCTGGCCTACTCCCTTACCTCTACGCAAGACTATGAACGGCATGACGATGACTGTCGTTTCTAATGACCTACCAAATTAGTAAAATTGATACTGGGAAAATCGATGCGACATCTGTAGCCAAACTTTGGGTGGACAGATGGGACTCCTATGAACATGCATATTTCCTCCAGATAAAAAAAATTCCCATCGATCGTGCACGAGTCAAAGCGAGCCAGGAGCCATCATGTCATTGATTGCGTTTCATTCATGCCAGAGTTTCATTGACGAGGGGGTGCCACAAGAAGGTATTTCCTACCTACTGATAAGAGCGAGTCCACGCTCGTCAACCTCCGTAAACTACTAAAACTCCGGTGCCAATGCCAAGTCGGTGATCGTCCTTTTCCCGAACGAGCCACCACCTCCAGAGCCGCCGATCAAGCCAAAGAAACGCAAAACACAACGCCGTGTGATATCCCCTCCCTGGGAAATACGAACAAAAAGATGGGGTATATTGCGAACAAGACGATCGCTAACAAGTCTGAGAAAAGAAAAGCATGGTACACACCAAGCAAGCAAACGATCCATCCGCCGCAAAATGACCATGCGTGCCCCGCTCTTTGGTGATTCAGCCTAGCCTGCTTTGAGGCGTCGTCAAGTGGTGGTCGACTTGGCCGTCGTGGAGCCTGTCAAGCTGAGCTCCGCCGTCCAGTCCACGTTCTCTTCGGCGCACCACGCACGCAGGACTTGGAGCGTCGCCTCCACGGCATCGTCCACCTGCGGCCACATGTGCGACTCGCGGAGGCGGAGCAGAGGGTTCTTGATCGACGAGACGACATCGCGGTAGTTGGCGCGGATCTTGAACTGGCTTCGCGTGTGCTGGAAGAGCCTGGCCATGTCGACGCTCTTCTCGTCGCGCGTGGTGTAGGACTCGGTCAGTTTTTCCGTAGCCACGGCTTGCAAGAGCAGAGAAATTGCGTAGACCGGCCCTAGTGAGCGTCTCGAACTGCCGCGGCGGATGTGGTGCTGGATCACCTCGATGAGCGGCAGGCAGGATTGCCACCCTGTCCCGTCGCACGGCTTGTGGTTCAACGCCGCCAGCTGATCCTGCACCTGAAAGCTCAGCATGAAGGCGCATATGCTCTCGAGCATGAGGGCAAACGCGCGCTTGTGCATGCGCTCCTGCTTCGAAACGCTGCCATTGACGGTGCTGGAATCGTTGCCCGGACGGAGCATTGGGTCGGCCTTGTGCTTGATGGTCCTCCCGATTTTCTGATATTCAACTTCCTTGGCTTTCAAGGCCTGTGTTTTTGACTTGTTCACGTCGGAGGAGCGCTCCGCGCTGTCCGGCAACGATGGAGTCGCAACAAAGTCGGCCGGTGTAGGGGCTAGCGAATTGCTGGAGCTCACCCGAGACATTGTTGTGGATTTCTTAGAAGGCGTCGAGGGCTCGGGGGGCTTGAAAACCATGTCCGAAGTCCGAGGTCGTTTCGCTGCTGGACTTGGTGGCTCAGGGTTCAGGTTGCTGGCCGGGTACTTCTCAGACGTTCGCACGGGCTTCGCAACACCTTTCCGCGCGACACTGCTCTGCATAACCTTGGCAAATCGGTCCCTCAGTTTCGATGGTACCTTCAAGCGCACTACCAGACTCCTTCGGGTGCGTCCGCTCTTGTCTGTACAAGTCTCGGCCGGCGCCTTCGACTGACTCGCGCCGTCTCTATCCTTCGCCTTCGTTTCAGTCGATATCACGTCCGCTTTGGATTTGGAGCCCTGCTGCCTGCGCTCTAATGCCTCCTCGACCACCGCCGGAAGTGTTGGCGATAGCAGTGATGGGATGCGAGGAGGGGATTTGAGTCGCTTAGTTGCGGGTCGCGGCTCCGGCTTTGGAGGTAGCTCTGTTCTAGGGTCGGGACCATCATCGCGGCGTCGCTTCTCAGGCTTGCTCTGCTCCTGCTCCATGCCCACTCGCAGGGGTGATAGGAGAGGTGGCACAACCTTAGGTTTCGTTTCTCCCCTGCTCGACAAAGTCCCTGCGCCGTGATGTCCCTTTTCTGCAGAGGGGTTCTTGACACCATTGATGGAGGCAGTTCGGGGCCGGCCCGCAGGCGATGCTGGTCGATTCGTGCCTGGTAACGCATTGCCTGTGGAGCTGCGCCCGTTACCCAACAATGACGAGCTCCTCTCTCTTTGGGCTTGATCGCGGGACGGTGCCGACTCGACTGGCTTCCGCCGCATTGGCTCTTCGCGCGACGCTGGCGGCCTTGAGTCGGTAGGCTGTCTGATATCTTCGCGGCTAGTCTCGTTGGTGGTCGGTTTGGGTCGCTTGGGCGGGCGCGCCTCATCTAGATCTGCAGGTCTTTTTCTATCGTGTAGTATACTATTGGGATGTAATGGCGGGGGCGGTTTAGGCGGCAGACTACAGTAAGGTTCTGATTAGCATTGCGACAGGGAATGCCACTTGCCAACTTACCTCATGTCTACCTCGATCTTCTCTGGCAGACCCTTGGGCTTAACCTTGCCCAGGCCCTCCACCGAGGAAACAGGCGGGATTGGCTTCATAGTCTCTGGTCTCCGGACGCTGTCCGACGGCTTAACGTCCATACGCGGCCCGGGAAGCCGATCTGCTTTTGGGGTTGAATGCGGCGATGAATTGGCGCTCGCCTTCTTGTTCTGGTAGTCACTCAAAGACAGCGTCTTCTTGGGGCCCCCGGGGCGCGCCAATGTGCTGATTTCTTTGACCACGGGCTTTGGTGGTTCTTCCCTGAACTCGTGGTAACTGCGCGGCATGAGGATGCCTCGATCACCATGGCTGACCAAGGTCATGTACTGACAGTGCCGTATCCGTTGTTCTTCGAAACCATGCGCTCTGCTGTCTTCAGGGAAGTAGGGTGCCCTGTAATCGAGGGATGTTGTCAACTGATGAGGTCTGTCTGGTAAGGTCTGGCGGGAGAGCTGCCTAATTGTCGCGGCCGCGGCCTCCATGCTGGTGTCTGATGGTGGGCATGCCGCAAGAAGACAGGCAGTGCTAATTACTGGAGGATAGTCGGGTTTTCCGTTGGGCGCAAGGTCGCGATCTTGGAGGGCTTATTTTTCGCGTCTGGTGTCGAGGTCGAGGTGCTTGTCTTGGTGCGAGCGCGACGGTTGGTACAAGGTCTGCTTGGGTAAGCCCTGTTCGATACACTTCGTTTGGGGTGAGTGCTGACTGAGAGACCGTGTCGAATGGCAGAAGTGAAGACGAGAATGGGCGCGTGCGAAACGATCGGGTGGTGCTTGGCGGATGATGCGACAATGGAAGAGACAATGAAGCGGCGCGACGAATATAGACAAGACCCAGTCAGCCGGATCCAGACTGCGATTGCAACAAAACCGCGACTGGGGCGAAATGAATGTCGGAACTGCTGATGCTTCGGTCCGCCGCAGTCGGGAAGGGAATAGTCAAGTCGGATAGGTATTCGTGATCCGTGGTTGAGCGAACAGTGGAGATGATATGATGGTGGAGTTGACTGGAGGTGATCAGGATGACTGGTTACCTAACTTGCCTTACCGTCAGGTGCGGGCATCGCCGGGCGCTGTTACTGGTAAGGCAAGGCAAAGCTGTGGCTGATGAGAATCGACAGTCTGGAGGTCTAGTCTAGGAAAGGTAATTTGTGGATCTACGGACACACACTGCGCCTGCGCAAACGCTGTGGGATCGCCGGTTTGCAATACCCTGTACTCTTCTCGAAGACCGTGCGTCTCTGAGATATGTCGGTGACAAGAAAGCTCATGACAGTTCTTGGAGTGACAATGTAAGAATTAATTGGTTTACTTTGGTGTCGAGCTCTGATGGCTACACCGTGAAGAGATGTCGTTTTTGCAAATGACAGTCCGTGAACATAACCACGGTAGACCAAGGTTAACTTTGGTACACGCACATTGAGCTTCAAAACACCACGCGCCACAGGTTGTAGTAGCCATAGGGCAACACAGCGTGAGGCTTATGCTTATTCTTGCTCAACAAGACAATTGAGTTTGAACAGCGACACATTTTATGCCGTGAGTGCACTATATCTGTAGGTTAGGTGATATTGTTCCCTGCACGTGATCGTTCTGCGATTGAAACATTAGAACCAGACCAGACCTTGGGCTCATCTCCAAGTCTTGCTATGACAGCGTCAGATGGTGCAGGTGAGTGAGTCACTGCGCGAGGCTCTGCCCAATCGACAACACCGACGCCGCTCTGTTCCCCCATGGACTATAATTCCACGACACGTCAATGAGCTCTCACGTAGCTCCATTCTTGCTCGCCGCGTCTTCTTCTTCTTCTGCCCCTGTTGCAGCCTCTTTCCGCTACCCGTTTATCACCCTCGGCCCACTCTTTCTGCGCACCGCGTCGCGTCTGGCGCTGGTCCGGAACTGGCAATTGCATCCCTGCAAAAAATCCGCCATCCAGGGTCTCCGTCACTTTGGCTCTACCAATTCTGCCCCTCCAAATTCATCGGCTGCCCCTCCGTTCATCAACAACGTCAAAGTCAGAGTCACAAACCGCATTCTCAAAGCACCAACCTCTCGACTGATTCATACCACCCCGGACGCCTTCGCCATGGCTGAGACTGGGGCCATCGACACGCTGGCGAGCCAGGTCGGCAGCATTTCTCTGTCAGACGCTGCTGTCACCTACCCCAAGGCGCATCCTCACACCAACCCTCTCGATCTCTGGAGAATCCACATTGCCGACACTCTTTCCAAGATCTCGGGAGTCGAAAAGTCCATCATCTTCCCGGTGATTGCGTGGACCCAGTCGCTGGACAAGGGCGACTTCATCATTGCTGTGCCTGCTCTGCGCATCAAGGGAGCAAAGCCAGATGCCCTGGCAGCCGAGTGGGCTGACAAGGTCCGTTGAAGTATTGCTTCTCGAGTACGCAAGAGAGAAAGCTGACAGAATGAATCCCAGTGGCCTGAGGATGATCCTCTCGTCAAGAAGCCCGAGCCTAGCAAGAGCTTCCTCTCTTTCTACATCAAGGGCACCCCGGCGACGCAAGCTGTTTTGAAAGTGATTCGCGAACAGGGAGCTGACTACGGTACGGAGCTCTCCGCACGCAATTCAGAGTCCGGGGCTAATAAGTTGCGTAGGCAAGGCTGCTTTTGATGGCCTGCGAGATCCCCAAGATCCTTCCAAGGGTCGCAAGAAGATAGTATGTGCATTGATCCAGTAGTGCACAGAATACCATGCTGACACCACACCAGATTGTCGAGTTCTCTTCTCCCAACGTGGCGAAGCCGTTCCACGCTGGGCACCTGCGTTCCACCATCATCGGTGGCTTCCTGAGCAACCTATATGAGGCAGCCGGGTGGGATGTGAAGCGAATTAACTGTGAGGTCCCGGCCAGGGTGTCGACGATTTTCAAGCTAACGGAAAATAGATCTCGGTGATTGGGGTAAACAGTACGGACTTCTCGCTTTGGCGTACGAGAAATACGGAGATGATGCAGAGTTAAAGCGCGATCCTATCGATCATCTGTTCAAGCTATACGTCCGCATCAACGCCGAAATGTCAGCGGAGAAGGAGAATATTGAAGCAGAGAAAAAGGAGGGCAAGGATGTCGCCGAACTCGAGGCCACAAGTCTCGATGAGCAGGCACGTAGATATTTCAAGATGATGGTAAGAACTTGCAATGTCATTCCGAGAAAGGTACTGATTCCTCAAGGTGGACGGCGACGAAGCCGCCCTCTCCCAATGGAGGCACTTTCGCGATCTGTCTATCGACAAGTACAAACGTCAGCACAGTCTTCATTCCTTTGACGGCATCCGCTGACTTTGCGTAGAAACGTATGCTCGCCTCAACATTCGATTTGATGAGTACAGTGGTAAGTGTCGAGTATGCAGTGACGCGACGCTGTAGTTGACATTCTCAGGCGAAAGTCAGGTCACAGAAGAGGCCATGGCCAAGACTGGCGGTGAGATGACGGAACGTGGCATTAGTGAGAACGACAACGGCTCGGTCCTCGTTGACTTCACAAAGCACGTCAACGGCAAAGAGGGTAAGCAGCTCGGCAAGGCTGTCCTTCGGTAAGCTTCTCATGATACGCCCCGAGCCCACGGGCGCACTGACATTCGTCTAGGAAGAGGGACGGCACCGCTTTGTACCTGACCCGTGATGTCAGTGAGCTGAAGGGCCGCGTAAGTCCATTCTGTGCGCGGTTCGAACGAGCGCCCTGTTAATGTCTCTTGCAGCATGAAAAATACAGCTTTGACAGGATGTTGTACGTTGTCGCGTCTCAGCAAGAGCTCCACCTCAAGCAACTGTTCAAGATCACGGAGCTCCTCGGATACGAAGATATTAGGAAAAAATGCCAGCACATCTCCTTCGGCATGGTTCTCGGCATGAGCACACGAAAGGGAACTGTCAAATTGTGAGTACACGGCACTTTGTGTCGTCACCGGGCGCGACTGACTTTTTCTAGCTTGAACGATATTCTCCGTGATGTTGGCGATCATATGCACGAAGTCATGAAGCGCAACGAGGATAAGTACGCGCAAGTGGAAGAGCCAGAGAAGGTTGCCGATATCCTTGGTATTAGCAGTGTGATGGTGCAAGATATGACTGGAAAGAGGCAAGTTCTATGCATTCGCCCTCATGCAGCCACACTAATGCCATGTTCCAGGATCAATAACTACAACTTCAACATGGAAGCGATGACCTCCTTTGAAGGTGACACCGGCCCTTACCTGCAGTACGCCCACGCTCGCCTGTGCTCGATCCGCCGCAGGGCGGATCTTACTGATGCCGAGATTGCGTCGGCCGATCTCAGCCTCCTCACCGAGGAGCATGCAATCAACGTCGTTCGCTATCTGTCCCAGTGGCCCGATGTCTTCCAGAACACACTGAAGACCCTCGAGCCCACTACTGTCCTCACGTACCTGTTCCGCATGACACACGTCATCAGCAGCAGTTACGACCATCTTCAGGTTGTTGGCAGTGAGCCCGAGCTGAAGAAGGCCCGCATGGCTCTCTACGACGCGGCTAGGATCGTCTTGCACAATGCCATGTCGCTGCTGGGCCTGTCGCCGGTTGAACGGTAAGTTCTGGAAAGAATTCGCCGACATTCTAGCAGCGCTGACAAACACTCGCAGTATGTAAATATGTCAACACATTATATCGGAAGTAGCATAGAATATCCCAGAGGCTGTGTAACGCAAGATATAATCCCAGCTAGGGCGTCATCTATCTCGACCAAAAAAACAGAACGTCACAAATTGCAGCCTGCTGTTGACAATGAAGTGCCCAAACCCCTTTTTCGATCAAAACTGCGAGAGATGACCAGCTGCAATCTGGCTGTTATCGCTCAAAGATGGAGAACTCCTTTCACATCTGTGAGAACATTCCCTGGTATCGTGGTCTCGTATATCGTGCACATGTCTTCCCGCAAATCCTGTGTCAGTGTGGCTAGAGCCCGTTGAGCTCACGCTGTGCCTGGACGACATTTCCCTCCGTCACAAAATCGAGCTAAATCGGTCAGCTTCATTCGTCTCACACACCACTCTTGAAATATTTACCATGACCACATTTGGGTTCCTGCCATGATCCGCGACGCAACTCTCCGTCTGCTGGCGGATGTTCCCCACAGAGTTGGTATCGGCTGCGTGAAGTGGCGCTGGAACCTTAATGCCCGCAATGTCAATATTCAGATTATGATTCGCGAAAATCATGCGCTCGTCGACGGGTGTGTCGGCACTGGGGCGGTCGACGTCACAGTTGAAAAAGTTGTCTTTGGTCGGGCTGAATGGGGTCTCGACGTAGTGGTTGTATTGGGGAATAATGTACGGCACCTTGGCAAGGTTGGCGTTGTAGTCTTCTCTTGGTCAGCAGAGGCTTCATCAGTCTTCTCAGAGAGAGTGTGAGTTACCCATGAACACAATGAAGCGGTGCCCGGTATCGATCAGCTCCCCCAACGTAGGCCAGTTCCTGGGCCCAAGGTCGCTGCCTGGCTCAAACACCATGTCTCTGGCGCCCGCAGCCTCGAAAGCGGGCTGAAACTCTTCAATTAAGATATTGTCGTCCCCGTTCCCGATCAGCAGCGTCACCACCTCCTGCGGGTGACTGTCCAGCCATTTCTTGATGGACACCACAATCTCCGAGAAGGGCCCAACGTCAAGCAGCGCGCAGTCCGTGTGACATTGCCGGATCTCGCCGTCTTCGATGTGGACCTGCGTCGTGAAGTAGCGAATGCCCATGTCCATGCCTTGCTCGGGGTATTCGAACTGATTGTGCGCGGGAGAAAAGCCCACAAAGGCGGCGTTGTGAGAGGCGGCAAAGGTAATGTCGCTGTACTTGCGGGAGCAGAGCTGGGTGAAGCCATTGCAAGTATCTTGGGCAAAGGTTGAGGCTGCCAAACACAGTAGAAGGGCTGGAAAGATCATGGTAAGCTTGTTCCGAAGACGTTTCTTCTGGCGGCTATGCCACGTTGAGAAAGGAAGGGTGCAGGCTGGGATATATACCCCGGTGGAGGAGCCCGTGCCAATGCGGCGTGTTCGAGTTTTGAGTTACAACTTCATCGGCAGCTGACACTCATGGGCCAGCACCTGGTGTTTGACCTCGTTGGGCACAAGGAACGTGTTGCCACATGGGGAGACTGGTGCCACCACTCGAAAACACCCATGGGGTCGTTGTCGCCGTCGTAGAGGTACGAAATTGTCTGCACTGTCAGCTACCGTACATGTGCGCAAGGAACGTAGAACGTGCATGCACAGGGGATCTGGGGTGAAGCCGTCCTTCGGCACCTGCTCCCCGCCGTCGCACGGTTCCTCCGTTTCAGTTGTCCTCGTCTTGTGCTGCGCTTCGCGCCGCCGTCGCGGTCGCTCCTCTCACGCCCCTCTGCTTCCTTGAGCAGCTGTGCTGCAGGAGTCTGTCGAATGCCTTCCTAGGTCGTCCTCCTGGCCTCTTCTTGGCCTCGTAACTTAGTAATTAATATCTGGCATCTATTCTATGCGATATGGCGTGCGCTAAACGGGGTGACGCTGTGCCCCTTGTCCACTCCACGTCGCACTCCTGGGCTGTCTGGTTGTGCACCAGTTCCATGTATGACCGAAGCATACGTGTAGGGCTACCGCTTGTTGTGACTTTGGCGGCAGAAGCATCCCAGAAAAATAATTCGAGACTGCACAAGAATTCCCATTCCAGTACTAGGATTCTGATTCTTCCGTGAGCAATCTGCCCCTTACCTTCCTCTTTGTCGTCACAAAGAGTCAGCCGGACTACCAAGTCGTCCCAAAGAGGGCCTGAGCCCATGGTATCACGCCTATATTAGCTGCTCAGCGGTCAAATTTTCTCGCAAGGACAATGAATGTAGAAAAGCATGCGAGCTCCTTTCTCGGCAGCACTCATAGTGTATTGGCGGTCTACGTTGATATATCAGACACCTCGAGTTGCGCTGCATGCATATCCGTGTATTGGTGTGTAATCTGTGATTCTGAAATTTCTGCACAATGACTGACGTTGGAAATTTCTGCAGTTCCCAAATTTCGAATGATGCGGCTGACTGATTTCCGCACAGCTACAGGTGCCTCCTTGACTTCTATCGGATACACGAGGTACCTTACTATTCTGCCACCAGCTGGTGAATGAGTGGCTGGACTATTTTGTCATCTCAGGCTCCTTTATTAGGGGGTGAGTGTGCCGAAAGCAACCATACCATGTAGCGGTGATTTCCGAAAGTGCAACTCTGCGACACGGATTCTGACGCGTCAGCGGCATCATTTTACCAACTCATTCTGTGATGTTCCATACTTGTTGGGCTGGTGAAACGTTTTCTGAGTATCCGGATGGCCTCAGTTGCCTGTCGTCCAGTTCGCCCACAAGAGATAGAAGACCATTAAGTGTCGAGACTCGCAGCTACTAAATAGAAATTGCTATGATACAAGGCCAGCGCCGCAGACACAATGAGTCGGAGGAGCGAGGTTAGGATCTTGTGATGTGCTGGTTGTGCTGGTTGTGCTGTCGCTGCCGTTATGCAGTCGGGGAGCTACTGGAGCTGGACTAGACTGATCTCTGAGGGGCTCCAAGGACCGTAGGGCCTCGTTTCCGGTTGAAAAACCGTGCAATACGGTTCTCTGACCTTCGTGAGCAGTCTCGAAGCTATCTGCTCTCGACTGAGGAATGCTTTGAAATGTCTGTTTTTCGTCCTCGTTGCACGTTCACCAACGTGTCAAGGGCCTATACTGAGGATTCCAGCTCCGAAACTATGGGCTGAGGATGGCTGGCGGCATCTCTCCCCGACCCCTGCTGCCCCGCTGATCCAGCCGTCCGCCTGATGAAAACCTTGCTGCGACGCACCACTGACAAGCAGCGATTCAACGTCACTCGTAAATTTGCATGGATATGATTCGATGTGCAGGGCGCTTGTTGAATTCCATGTAGATCGTTTACCTATTTGCCTTGGGCGCGCATGGTTCAGTCTGCAGCTCTTAGATGGGATCAACATGGGACCAAGATGGGATCGCGATACAGCCCACGCATGTACTTGGTGAACCTGTTCGGTTTCACTCTACCCAGTGCATCCATGCCGGGGGATGAGGTACAGAGATAGCCGTGAGAATGTGCCTGACCCTTTTTGACCGCCACACAGACGCACCTCCGAGCCAGGCGGGCCGTGGCCGTCGCTCAGATTGTTGGTTGACTTTGTCTTTTTGGGCCGTTCGCGCTCCCATGCCCGCCCACTCGTAAGGCATTTTGTTCGCCTGCGCCTCACAGCCCCTTTCTGCTACATAAATGGTCTGAAAATAGTTTTCTGCTCACTTCAGTCCGAATCTTCAGCCACTTCAACCCTCGAGCAACCTTTGCTGCCCTCATATTTAGGCCTTACTGGCCCCATGTCTTGATCTTTGGCCCACGACCTCCAAAGCCGATACTCTTGCATAATGTCGAACGAAAACCTTCTAGGCTCTTTAGCACAGCCAGAATTCCGCGTGGCGCCCATGGAACAATCCATACAGTCCATGTTAAGCAGGAATCCAGAGTGGCAGCGTCTCATTGGCCAAGAATCACACTTGAAAGACCGGGAAAGAATGCTCGAGGAACAGATCGTCAGACAACTGAAACCGTCAAACAGGCAGGGAAGAAGCTGCAATTCGGTCGTCACTCGAACCGAAGAACTCTGGGACATCGACGCTCAGCTATCAGAGAACACAGAGAGAAAACAGGCCTTCTTTAAGCGGCTGATGAATAACTTTATCTCTTATTCAGAGCATACCATCTCCGCCATCAATGAACTACAATCGGCCGTTCGTTCCACCAGGGAGCAGAGCGCCACCCCGCACTCTTCCGCTGAGCGAGACGCAGATGATGCCCGTTCTCAGGATGGTACACATGCTGCACAGAACGTTTCCCCCCCAATTCCACTAGCTGCTGAAGAATTCGACGATAGGATCTATGAGGTGCCCGACGATGACAACGGCCCACAAGGTCCCACAACAGCTCAAAACACGGTGCAGCGCCGAGACGCAGAGCGAACCGGATCCGCGGACGGCGGCGCCAACAACGTGACAAGAGACCTGCCACGCACGACGCCGCGAGAAATTCCATTTCAGGAAATCTTCTCCAACGGTGTAGCACAGCATGGAATTGTCATACGAAGAGACGATCCGGGGAATTTTTATATCTTCTCGTGTCATCAAACTTGCAAGCCCAAGTGCATTGAGAAACAAACCTTTCTTCACAGAACCGGCAAAAACCTTTCCTCTGCCGTGCAATACCACGCCAAATCATCACCCCACGGAATTGCGGAGGGAGACTGGCCAGCAATTATCAGAGACTTTGGCCAAAGAGTCACCAACTGCACACTACAGGACGTCCGTGCCAACAACAAAGCCTTTGACCGCGCTTTGCTGTCTTGGCCTATTCGAAAAAACCGCGCAGCATCTCGAAAACGCCAGAAAGTGGCCAGCAGGAGGCGAGGAGCGCGAGCGCGGTCGATATGCCGAAGCCATTCGGAATCTACCATTAGGTCCAATCGTCAGCACAGCCTCCCGGCAGGACGATTTAACCGCGTTAGTAAGCGGAGACGAGCCATGCGCCAGATCATCGAAACCCCGAACCGCCATTGGGATCACGAGCCCCAGGTCAACATCTCTACGCCTCCACTGGCCAGTACCCCTTCCAGGTAAGCGTCTCGCTTCCCACGCCTAGTAATCCTTGCTGAGAGTAGCTTCCAGCTTGCATCAAGCTGCTGCAGACTAGATTTGTCTAAAAGAACATGTCAATTACCCGCTGGTTTGCTGGGGTGAATATTTGACTCATATGATGTATGCACTTCGGAGAGTAGTATGGTGGATGGATCTGCTGCAGGCGGGTGGGCTGTTGAATGCGATATTTCTTTGCTCCATTGAACCCCGAAGTGTCGACCTGATGGAGCCCAAGGCCTTGATTTCAAGTTTGCGATGCGAAAAGCCCCCAATCCAAGGTGTTCTCTCGTGTTATCGTGAGGAATGCATCAGGTGCAAAGTTGGTTGCCATGGTGTCCAATGTTCGCAAGTCTCAGTGCTGACTGCTCCGTGTCGGAAAAGGGGCCAAGTACCGTGGCAATGAAGTAAACATGGCCGGCAAACCGCCACACCACCAGCTTGCCAGCGTTAAGCTGCCGTCGGAAATCGTACAAAGCTCGCTACGGAATTGATTTATCCCTACACATATTCGTGCACGATGTTTCAACTAAGGAGCATTGAAACCATGGTAGTCAGGCGTAGGCCGTTCGTGTTCAAAGGCTCTTCTTGGGGAATATAGCGATAGCCAAAAGTGACGGGATTCAATTCCGGTGACGCGTCTTTCTGAATCTGCTGTAATTTTTCCAACCAAATTTTGGCAAGAATCATCGTACAAAAGTCCCAAATCACATGAAACAATGCACCAGAGCCAACATTCGACCGGCGGTCGGTATGCTTTTCACCCGAATGCCACCTCGACACGTCCACCCGGCTTCCACCCAACCCCTCCGGGAACGATTGCCGCCCCTGCCCCTCGTTCATTATTGATCCATGCCCACAGATGTATATTTATACCTATGCATTCCGGCGTGATCTGTCTATCAGCGATCTCCTCATATCCTCCTGCGCGGTTGGCTTTGATCATAGGAATGGAGCCCGTCCATATTGAACGTGGTAGACACATTGCGCGGCAAGACGAGCTTCGTTACAGCCGTGCTGATATACTTAAATCTTTTTGTGAGTCTAGAATCGAACACAGGCTACTACTTCTGTTTTCTAAGAACATACCGGCTATTGTATCTATATAACCTGGCGGAAACCTATCGCCCGGATCCCAGCACCTTGGTATTCGGAATAGACCTCTCTCGTCCTTATTTATCACTAGCTTAAGGGCAACAGAATATATTATGCTCACAGCCGGCGTGCAGTCACTCTCTGCTCATTAGCCGTCATTCACCATCCGCCATGCTTAGACGGTAACCGGCATTGTCGTCCGTGTCGGCCCTAATAAAGCCAGCACATCCGCGGTAGAGCTTTGTGAATACTATGATTCATATACTTCAGACAAAACGAGAAATTTATAGATCAAACACGGGCTGGAGTCACTACGCATCGAGTCCAGCGCTGAGGACCATTTCCGGAAGAAAAGCCTCAAGGCCATTGTCCAAGTATTAAGATCAGTTGAAAGGAGGACATGAGTATGTAGCAGCGGATTTAGATGCTTCAGGTCGGTCCAGTTCAACATACGCAAATTTGCATGGATGCACGTATCTGTGCAATGATGAACAAGCCCTCGATGATGGTCTCGACAACCTCGTTGGTCAAACAGACGTCACACTAACACCGGCCTTTGGCAATGTAACCCAATCCAGGCGCCCGCTGCCAAGGGATTTCCTGGTTCAGAGTTTGTGAATTGAACCTCCTCGATCGCCTCGTCGAAAGTGTCCAGCTAACTAGAGATAGTCGAGGACTCAAGCCGTCGGTGCACTTGCCAAGGATCTGGTATCCTGACTCAATGTCGGGCACGCCAAGTTACTCCCAGTCAATGTCGATGGCAAACTGGGCTAGTTTGGTCGCGAGACGATGCGCCAAACCTAGGTGGCTGGGTCGATGCTGAGGAAGCCCTGGTGCATATGTGTATGAAACAGACCCTGCCGCCCGACGTATCAACACCATGCTGTATATTTTGCTCACTCCGCCATCATCAGTCTACCTTGCTCGGCACAATGCCTTCCACATCCTCTCAATCCGAAGCTTCCTTCGATCCGATGGAATATTTCGCGGGCATCTCGTACTCCTAGGAGGAGCCCGTTCGTACCTTCCGAGACTAATCACTACACCTTCCTCGCCTAGATATACGTGGACGAGTCATGCATCGCTGAACTACCTCCTGGCGACTGGCCTTCCATCAACAAGGAGACATGGAGATACCGTGGCTTGGGCAAGGCCAATACCGTCGTTGAAATCCTGCGCCAATTACCATATTTCCAAGAATACAGCGGAAACTTCCTCGCAGCCGAGGCCGCGCCCTACATCACGTTTTGGAACTTTAATCTTGGTTGCCGGGGGTCGGAAATCGGAAGATGAAGGAGAGTCAATTAAGACATACCGCGAGGATCCCCAGTTCGAGGACGCTATATCTGCGCAGGTTGTCGGCTTCACCTCCGGAGAGCACGATCTCTTAATATTGCTACCCGACACACAATTAGGCGTTGTGTACTGGACAGATCTGACAAGCTATCGCAAGGAGGAGTGAAAAGCGGCTGTTCGAGTCGTCCTTGCTGCCCGCGAGGAGGGCGAGCATGCAGACGACTGACTAGCAATACTTGCCCTATGATTTTCCTCAAATCGTCGCCTTCTATCGATGCTGAGAAGGGAGTGGTCCTAATTCCTGTCAGCCCAGAGAGACTTGTCGGGAGCTACTTCTTGAGGGCCTGACTTTGGGAAGCCAATGTTGGTGTTTCGAACCCCTTTCCCGCCTCTACAGCACCCCAATTATATGTGAAGCATCGGATGTTTTTTAATTTAGTTCTTGTCGACCTCGGAGCCAAAGAGAAGAAACATATTGGAAATGAGCCTATTGGCACACAGATACTCCGATGCGTGGTCGCAATATGCAGGCTGAATCAGCCTGGAAATCAGCCTGGACACACAGCCTAAGACGCTCGCATTCGAACTTGGAAGCCTGGCCGTAGATGAGGTGTAATGGAGCGACGCATCATCACGTGTCAAGGCCGAGATGAACTTCAACTTGAACCTGCGCCCCTAGCCCATGATCATACTTCATTCACGTCGCCATCGCCACACAATGGAGCCGGTCGGACTCACCGTTGGCATCATTGGTCTTCCAGGCTTGTTCACAGCGTGCCTGGACGCCATTGACAGGGCCAAAGCATATCGAAGCTTTGCGACTGACGCTGACGTTTTGGCTGCTCAGCTCAGCGCCCAGAGATTGCGCCTGGAGCAATGGGGCGAAGATGTTGGGCTTCACGGCAAAAATATTGACACCAAACATCACCCACGTCTTGGCCAGCAGCAAACTAGGGAGAATGTCTCGGAACTCCTTAGATTGCTCAATAACATTGTTGACTCTAACAGTGGCCCGGCCCCGGAACCATTTGGTAGAAGAAGTGCTACGCTGAAGGGCGGCCATATTAGTGAGCGTTGCGCTTCGAAGACGTCAAGGCTGGGCTAGGCTCTGGGAGGCAAAGGGGCGGCAACCGACCAGTGAAAGCTTCTAGGGGACTTGATGTGATGATCAACAAATCAGGAGAGAAGGAAGAAGATAAATTCTCTATCTGAAGAAGATACTGATACTATTAAAAGAGGAAGAACGCGATAGCGTGAAGATGCTGCATTCTGAGGGCAGCTTGTGGGCCGAATGGGCAGCCTGACCAATCAAGGCAGTGACTGGCCCGTCACATAACATAATGTTGCGACTTGCACTGCAGGAGTTCAGTGCTCCAGTGGTGGCGCGGTCGCAACGAATGCCGCTAGCGCCAAGACTCGATGCTCGTGGTCTAGTGACTTCAGTAACGCACTATCTTCCTTACTAGACATCCCCTGCTGCGTGCTAAGCTCTAGCTGGCTTAGACTCAATTAGAAATGTAGCAGACTGGAACCTTCGGGGGGCGCCGACAGCCTAGATTTTGGATCTCCCATGCTTTTCAGGCCTGGAGCCGAGTGCCAAGAGCCCAAGACAAGGGCCAGGCTCATTCTCTCCAGACGCCAACCACCGGGCTGAAAGTAGTCACTCACGCCACTGGTCCTACCGCCCACCATCTCCCCACCATGGCACCATCTGCCTTCGTTCTGAGCTGAAAGTGAATTCTCCACAACGACTATTTACGGTGTGGTCCCGTGGACAACAAAGCAGCACCGTATGTCTCATGAAATATTTATACGCTACGTATCGCCCTACCATGGCGAGGTTATTCCACCAGACCCTTCCCCTCGGTTAACACACGCCTGAACGACTTGGTGACCGAGCCGCCGCGTCGAAGCTTCACCACAATCTCTTTCTCATCAAACTTCGCAACCTAACCGGTTGTGTGAACAGCAGTTGTGTTGCAAGGAGAGACGAGGATGCAAGAAGACAAACACTTTAGGCCGACGCTTCATCTACTTGCCCTGCCAATCATGTCCAACAAGGCTTTTGTCACCCTGCTCCTCGGGCTCACCGCGCTGCCCACCATCCTCGCATGCACGAAGGCCACTGCCGAGGACTACGACACGTATGTGCGCCAGTACCCAGCCGGCCAAGACGGGTCAGTCTATTCGGATGATTCCAGCTATAATGGAGAAGACTCTTATTACGACAGCCCTTCCGACGATATCTCCTACCCCTGGATAGACGAAATAGGCCCGGGAGCCGTCGATGACGTGGCTTTTCGTAGGAAACGCCAGTCTAATAGCTTCTCTTGTAAGTCTTACCCTGCGTATCATCCCCGATCCCCTCTCTTTATTATATATGTGGTTTCTAAGGATATAACGACAGGCTCCTCGAGCGAGGTCTGCCTCTATGCGGACAACTTCCGCGCACTCCTCTGCTACGACCAGGCAAAGTCGACCGTTGAATACGAGACGGGTCTTATGCTGGATCTCGGCTCTGGCGATATTATCACTGCCGACGGTGAGGAGGGCAACCTGTTTGATGGGCCGTGCCCGGGGCCTAACTTTAATGAGGCCGAGACCGGGGATGGCTGCTTCATGGTGAGCGTGTCCTCCGCCTCGGGCTCCGCCTCGGACGACAACGACAGCGAGGACAACAGCGAGGACAACAGCGAGGACAACAGCGAGGACAACAGCACGAATGAAGAGTCGGCGACCGACGAAGACGAGGCCAACGACATCGATAGCAATGGTAATGGAGGCAACGGAGAGAGCGCGGTGGCTGCCATGAGCAGCAGCTTCCATCATATGCTAGCGGTTGTGTTGGCCGCAACTGCCATGGGCATGTGGTAATGCCCTGTTTGGTGTTGGATGAGAAGGAGTTGCTGCGTGACAAGATTCACTGCTACTTGGGAAACGCAAGAGGTTTAGGGAGCGATATCTAGATTCATGGACGTGACGCGAATCGTACAATTGTAGGAGACGGTTGATGGTAATGCTCAAGTGTCCATGTGTAATCGTCGGACACAGAACCAAGAATTGCGATCATGTCTCTCGGGTGGCAAAGCATCGGCGTGGAGTGTGTTCACAACTTCGCGTCAACGCAAAGAGACTGCATGTGGGTTGGTGCGCTCGGACTTAAATGTACCCGAGCCGTTGAATCTGTCCACGTGGATAGAGATGCGCAGAAAGGCCGCGTTTTAAGGTAATTACACCGTATACTAACATAACCCCTTATTTCCAGGAGGCGAGTATCCTTTTTTATGTCAAGCTCCTGCTAGTCTCAAAACGACTATCGCGTCCCCTAACAGATATGTTTTCGCTTCTGCTATTCACGCTATAGCCACGACTTGAACAAGCTCTAGGCTACTGTAGATATCGCCTTCCTCGTTCAACCCATTGTTAACCTATTCTATAATGTGTGGGAGTTTGGGGTGGCCCTGGGAATTTCTTATTTTATTTATTTTTATTTTATTTATTCTTTTTCATGTTTCAGTATGCGCACATGGCTATCAGTCGTTCACAGTCATCGTGTCATAGTTCTTTGTAAGGAGCCTTACGCTCCATTACCTTAGTCAATCAACATTTTCCCTCTTTACTTGAATTCTATCACTTTTATACTTTGACCTACATCCACAACCTAAGCTACAGGCCTGGCGCCCCTGCAGAACCGTCGGATTCGCCACACCCCTCAAATCGATCTCGAGAACGTAGACGCGCTGCGTTGTTGTGTTCGTGATGCCGCGGCGGCAACCTTCGTGATAACCTCCACGCCCGACGATGCGGTTGTCGTTGGCAACCAAGGTTACACAAGGCAGCCACGCCCGTCGGCGTCACCTATCTTCATACCCGGTAGTCAGCCTAGCGGCTCTGATCGGTTCCTGCTGCGTTGTCGTTCCCCCCAACACAATAGTATAACTTCTCTTATTATAATATTCCGAGTCCGTGTTTATCTCGCGCGTGTTATATATAGATATACATCATATATAGTGAGGCACGCAGGGACACTAGTCACGGGCGGAGTATGGAACAGAAAGGACCCATATACTTACATATCCATATTAAGATCTTAGTGGTTTTGATTAAATTATCCTACATGGGGACACTTATCACTCTAAGACATAGTGACCGGACTCGGAGATAAAATAGGAGGAAAGGCGGCCGCGGAGGTCAACAACAGGGGCGCGCGCGACGTGGCTTGCACTACGGTAGACCCTTGGTATTGGAGGCTTGCACTCTAGACTGGAGTCCAGTGCTCCAGGACTGACCGGTGGTGGCGCGGGCGCATCTAATACCGCTAGTGCCAAGACTCGCCGCCGTATGGTCTAGTAACTTCAGCGACACGCTAATTACCACTAGGCGTGCCCTGCTGCCCGCTAGTAGCCTCAGACTCAAATAGCAATGTAGCAGACTGGAACCTTCCGGGGACGCCGATAGCCAAGACATTGGTCATCTTCCATGCTTTTCAGGCCAAAAGCAAGATACCCAGGGCCCAGGCTCATTCTCTGATACACTTTGGAGGTTGTGTGGCCATTCAACCAAGATGCATCTACGCTGTGTGTGGGTGTCACGTGCTGGTCACGTACACGCACAGGTACGATAGCGATAAGATAGCATTAATAACGCCGCAGCCAATCAGGCTGCGCGCACACGATCCGAGGAGCAGCCGCGCCATGCCTATTTAGGCTGGCCGACTGGCTGCCTAAGGACGTTTGAATTGATCATCCTTTTCCACCTGTTTGATCTGCCTTTAGTGCATCATTCTCTCTATTAGTATCTATCTACCTTCGGTCTAAGATAAAAGTAGATTCTCTAGAACGACTAAAAATAATATATTGTGTTGGAGGGAGTAGTAACGCAGCAGGAACGATCAGAGCCGCTAGCCTCTGCCTACCCGATAGGTGGAAGGCTGCTGCCTGCGGCTGCTGCTGCCGCAGGCAGCAACAACACAACAACGCAGAGCATCTACGCTCTAGAGATTGATGGAAGAAGCGAGACTCGTCGGGTCTGCAGGGGCGCCACTGCCCGTAGCTAAGTATTGTGTGCAATGAAAATAATACAGGTAACGTACTCGTAGTTTGAGTAAGGAAAAGCAAGGTTGATTGACTAAGGAGAGGAAGCGTAAGGCTTCTTATAAAGAACTACGGCGCGGTGACTGTGAACGACTGATAGCTATCTGCGCAAACTGAAAAAGCCAAAAATTCCAGGTGCAGCCTCAAACTCCCACATGTTGTTCACAGATAATAAAATCTATTGATGCACTTTGGAGGTTGTCTGGCCATTCAACCGAAATGCATCCGCGCTGTGTGTGGGTGTCACGTGCTGATCACGTAAGCACACAGGTACGATAGCGATAAGATAGCATTGATAACACCACAGCCAATCGGGCTGCGCGCACACGACCCGAGGAGCAGCCGCGCCATGCCTATTTAGGCTGACCGACTGGCTTGACCAAGGACGTTTGAATTGATCATCCCTTTTCCACCTGTTTGATCTGCCCTTAGTGCATCATCTATTAACGAAAATAATATATTTCTTGTGAAATGTTTATATACTATGTTTCGCCTTATTATAGCGAAAATAACCTACTAAATCCCTTCCCCTAGGTTAACACGCGCCTGAAAGACTTGGTAACCACAACTTCAATTATTTACTTTCGCAGCACTTCCTCTAATAATGCCATACCTTGGTCACTGAACTAGCGCGACAAAACGGGAATCATTGAGACAAATCAATGGTCATTTCTCTCCAGTTGTGCTCAAGGAGTTCAAATCCTCAAAACTCACCGGCGTGATATGGCTGCAGGCCAAAGGTTCACTGCAGCGGGCTTGGTCTGGACTCCCGAGTCTTGCGAGCTAATATGGTGCATGACCCTAGACATTCAGCTTGAACAAGGCTGAGGCTGCACCCCCGGTTCAAATATTGTGTGGGGGCCACACCAGAGAGACGATCACCGCTACTTCTTAAGTTCGAGGCAGCAATATTTGATGCTTTTGGCACAACCGTTGGTGGTAGTCGCTCTGACAGGCAGTGACTAACTCGCCCACTTTTGATCCACATTCTCGCAGTGCGAGAACTTGACCCTGATCGATCCCTCGGATATCTTGCTGTGTTTATTGACAATGTCTGGGGCCGAGATTCCCCTTGCCATCACCGGAAGCGCTCTCAGTGGTATCGTTGCCACGTTTCGGCTAGTCCAACTCAGCATCGCCATTTCAGAAGCCCCCGTAGCGGCTCAGACTTTCGTCCGACTTGTTCAGCGTGTTGAGAAAGATTTGGAGCATGCTTTGAGCTGTAGGATCGATTGTGACGCTGTGCTCGACAACTCACCCCCTTCTTACGAAGAGTGGATAGCTGACACCATCAACGACACATTGGCAGCGCTCGATGATGTTGGGAAGATGCTTCTTCGAGAAAGTAAAAAGCATTCAAAGAACACCTCAACTCCTGCAACCTCCAAAGACACGACCCCTCGCCATAGCTACACGGAAGCTTCTTGGGATTCTCTTGGCGAACGATTTATGTTCGTACTGCGAGACCATGAGCAGCTGAAGGACCAGGAAAGAGCTCTGCGCTACTCGCACGCTACTCTTCTCACTGCTATAAGCGGGATGCACACAATGATCTTCCGGGGAAATGAAGCGACATTCGGCCCCGGAAGAATCACGAGAGCCGCCAGCAGACCCAGGTACTCGACGAGCCAGAGGCCTTCAGCCAAGAGCGCGAACTCTCCACACGGCGACGCAGCTCCTCCTTACTCTATCAAAGACCCACTCAGTGTAGGTACTGGGGCAGTTGGAGTTCAAACTGGTAAGTGTTTCCAAAAAGGGCCGGACCACAAACTGATGGTAGGCTGTTGTTAAGCACAAATCAATCTCGCCAGACTCCAGAGCCTACGGCGCAACAAGTCAACAAGATAGAGTTTTGAAGGTTCCTAGTATGGTACAACTGCGCTGGCTTTCAAACCAAGTACGATATTTTGGGCTGCTCAAATATCTGTTTGGACTGTCTGGCTGCTAATGGGGCTGGAAGGCGTGCTGAGCTTCACACACAACAAATCTACACTTCCGCTATCCACCGAAGTCAATGAATACATTCAAGGTGCTCAGCAGGTCCAGCTTGGGTTTCGACACATCATGATCATCAAGACATTGGTTGGGGAAAAATTGCAACCATGAACTAGATAGCGAAGCGCAAGAAATATGAATTTTATTACGAAGAACTAGTAACGATGAACCAATCTAACTGGAAAAAGGACTCCGTTCCAGTGCCCATGTCAGTGTCGAAAATTGACACCCAACGCTTCAGTGATCTTGAACTGAACACCATGTGCTTCGAAGACTTTCAAGCCCATCAGCGCTGGCATCTCAGGTCACACCAGCCCTTCCAGGAAGTTTCGCTATTCCAGGTAGACATCCGTCAGCTGTCTTATCGGCTTATTCCTTTGACCAAGGAATTGGACGCCTGGAAAGACTACCAAGTGTCTGTTCGGATGTGGCGTCGCTGGCGTCCAGACCGGAGACCACTCCTCCGGGATCGTGAACAAGGCCAACCCCAAGCGCGCAGCTTGTATACAGAGATCGTGCAAAACCTTCGCAAAACCTTCCGGCGAAGAAGGGCGAAGGGGAGCCAGGCTCAAGGTCATCTCCTCGACCACGAGGCGAGCTTGTTCTTTGAGTAAGTCTCTGGGCATGTAGGCGCCTGTGATTTGTTTCCATGTCTGGATGAGCTCTTGGCGATCACTTTCGTTACCTGTTTTATAATTCTGTTAGTCTGGTAGACAGGATTTGGAAGTTTCTTGCACAATTACCGATGCTTTGAGACCTCGCCCGTCCGACTTGGGCGGAGCCTGTTCTGAGACTTCGGTAGACGGAAATCAGAGCAGGAGGCAGCAGAGGCGTCAGGGCCTCCGCCCTAGGATCAATTCGATCGAATATGAGCTGAGCGATGAGTGCTCTAATGGCGGAGCATCGTTTGTATGACTTGCGGCTTGACAGACCATCGACCAAGGTGGAGACATGGGGGTTTGATCCAACAAGCGTCTCAATGAGAACTTTGTGTTCGTCTTCGAGGGCATACATAGTATCAAAGAAGTTGTCAACACAGTTCTTTATGCCTGTTTTCAATCTTGCGACTTGTTGTCGGTACTCGTTGTCGTCTCTCCGCTGGGGAAGATCGTCGACCGGGTTGCGTTGGGAGCCGGCGAACCGGTCATTGGAAACTGGGAGCCCGTAACGTGTGCGATCCATGCGTCTGGTCTGTCTGGGAGACTTCAATATATATTGGAGTTTCTGTTTTCCTCCGAAGCGGATATATAGGACGATGGCAACCGTAGCCAGAATGATGCCAGCAACGGCTGCTCCTATCCCAATACCAGCAGCTTCAGCTGAGGAGTACGACCCTGAGCCACTTTTGTCTGAGATTGGAGCCCCCTCACCTCCAGTAGGAGTGGCATTGACAGCAGGCAGCTCAATGGTCTTGGATGGCAGGCCCAGAGTTGAGTCGACCTGCTGTGCTTCCAGGGCTGGGGCTGTGAGGACATCGGATGGGAGGTGGAAAGTCGAACCATCCAAAGCGAGTGTGGTAGCTGTCCTTTTGAATCTCAAATTTGAAACAGTGAGACCAGAAGTGGCTTTTGTTTCTTCGGTCATGATAGGCAACCCTGATCTTCCCTCAGATCAGAGAGAGGCCGTTCGTCGACTGTATCTTGACTACCTGACTTGCATCTACGACACACTGATGGATTATTTCTCGAGTGGTCATTTGAATGGCTCGACTTGGGAGGACGCCACCATCAAGTTTATTTTCAGTACTCCGGCGGACTGGGATCCTATATTCGCGGACGAACTTTCCACGTTGGCAAGGAGAGCAGGTTTTAACAATGGGAGAAACTTCACCGTCGAAGTTAGCATCACGGAGCCACATGCAGTCGCTGCCTTCACCATGGCAAACGAACGCTTCATTAAGGTATGAGAAGTTGAATTGTTTTCTACTTGACCCAGAGATGCTGATGACCAAATTAGGATGGTGAAAGCATACTAGTCGTGGATGCGGGTGGCGGAACGGTGGTAAGATTCGGCCTGATTCATGGCCTCCTGAATCTTAAATCGCTGAGACATCATAGGATCTATGTCTCTTGAAGGTTGTGAATGCCGAGAAGAACAGAGTGAATCTGGGGGAACTTCAACCGACGCGAGGTAAGCGAGCGCCGCTGCTATTCTTTCGCAACCGACATCGAGGAAGGTTGACAGACTACTACCAGGTGACAACTATGGGGCCACCTTCATTGACCGAGCGTTCGAGGATCTTGTCAAGACGCGCTTGTTGGGTCTTGACCACATGTTCATAACTAGCATCAGCGATGTTGCGTGGCTGATGAAGAGTGACCCAGACTACCTGCAAAACAAGCATGAGCTCGGGGCGAACACATATAACAAGAATTCCAAATTCCGGATTGGACTCCCGGAGAGGATACAACGCTTTACAAACGAATCAAGGCTTATAGCTGACGGACAGATGCTTTTCACCTGGTGAGTTGAGCAGGATGCTCGACAGGCACCCTCTTCGTTTTGCACTGCTCTACTAACGGCTTTTCACAAAGGCGAGAACTAGAACAGCTCTTCGATCCGCAGGTGAAAGGTATCCTCAGTCTCTTGGATGAAATGGTTATGAAACACGAGAAAAGAACAGACTCAAAACGCATTGTACGTTGCAGGCCCAGACTATTCCAGTAGAAAAGAAATACTAAATACATCCTAGGATCATGTGGTTCTTTCTGGCGGTCTCGGACGGTCCAAGTACGTCTTCAAACAGCTTGAGGAGTACGTCTCTTCTTCGAGGTCGGCAGCATTGAAGGGGACCAAAGTACACCAGTCCAGCGATCCGCAGCTGTGCGTCTGCTTGGGAATCGTGGAGAGTGCCATGCAAACAATTGAAAACGACACCAACATGTTCCAACGTCGCATCTCGAAGGTCTCTCTCGGTATTTCTTGCCGATCTAGGTATAAATCTATGGTTCTTTTTAGCACCAAAAGGAAGAAACTACAGAAAGAGGCGAGTAAGAACGACCTAGTGACCGAGAAGGACCCAGAGGGTCACCGCTGGATCAGGGGCTACATGGACTGGTTCATCTTGCGGGTAAGACCATTGCACTTCGCTTCTGACCTTCCGGTATTAAAGGGGTCGCTCTGAGTGATTCAGAAACTGACTTTATGCGCAGGGAGATGGGATCCAGGATAACAAAGCTGCCAAGCATCCTTACAGCATTGACTTTGGACCTGACGTATCGACGCTCAACCGGATCGGGAGAGTACTGATAAAGAGCTGTACTTCCGAGCCTATTCCAAGCTTTGATAAAGATGGTGAGTTGGAATACTGTGGCGTCTGAGCATTCGATAACCCCAAAGTAGAACGCGTCCGGAACAACACGGTTCTCACGGTTGACTTGTCACACGCAAGTATTGGGAGCATTGAAGAAAGGAAGCCCAAGGGATTGTTCGGTAAAAATCTTGGTGTCAGAATACGCTTCTACGTCGAGGCACGTATTGGAATGGCAGACGTGTCGTTCAGAGCTCGTAAGTGCCGCACCGAGGTCTTTCGACACACATTGAGTATATCATAACTCGGCTGATCCAAGATCCACATCATAGTTGACTTTTTCACCCAGCACCCTTTGAGCGGGAGCGCCTCAGTTGACTTGCTATATCAGATTCAGCAAGAAAAACTGAACACAGCTTCGGTCAATCGAGAACAGCGCTGACATCGTAGCCACGGCAAGAGACTCCACATGGGGCACGATGGAAGCATGGGACTTTACTCCAGAAATGATACAAAAAAGGGGTCGAACATCATTATTGACTATATTGCTTTATTGTGAAGCGTGAAGAGCGATGCGACCATCGCGTCTATATCTGTCCTCCCTTTGTACTTTCCTATAGAACTGTCGTCAGCCTGGCGGCTCCTTTCAAAGTCCTTGGTATCTTCTGGCCCTAGATCGTTACACTTAACCGGTCGGATCTTCACCGACACTAAAGAGCTCTGATCATTCAAAATGTACATGTACCCTATAATTTATGAGGCGACCGTGAATGTGATGCTTGTCAACCAGCACAGGGCAACCACATTCAGGATTTCAAAGCGTTGAAAAATCAGCAGTTCTACATAGAATTTGGAGCTTGGAAAGCAAGCTACAGTTGCAAAAAATGCTATTGTTACATGTATGTACTTCCAAGAGAGGTAAAATATCTGAATGACTGTTCGCTTCTTTGAATACCGAGAGATTGTAAGAAACTCGTATACTTTTAGGACATATACGACCTCGGGCTTCCTGAAATAGGATCCTGCGCCCGAAATTTCCTCATCAATATGTTTTGTAAGCGGTTTGGGGTTGAGAAACCGTGAACACCAACCCGCCAAGGAAGAGCTGCGCCCCTACGCTGCCTACTAGAAATCCCTATTCCATCGATGAAGTCCTAATACCGACAACTATCTTAAGTAATACAAATAAAGCACGAGCACACATCACTTCAATGAATATGAACGTCATATTCCAACGTTCAACAAGTTCAAGTGCGAGTCCCTCGTAACCGAGGCGAGGCTTCTCCTTCCTGTGGTAAACAAGTGTTCCGACATCTGAGATAAACACATCCCGATGCGGCTGTTACTACACGTCAACCCCAAAGGATTGCAAATTGCTTTTGGCAGCTCTGTTTCCGGACGGTGTGGCCACATGTATGTGCCTTGCTCTTCGTCGGACACGACTTGCTAGGTATCTTTGGAAGGATCAGTGAAACAACTATTCTGAGATGTCGGGATGCTCCCGAAGGACGATGCAGAGTGCCTTATTCTCGTTACGTAAGTGGTCTCGGAAGAGTGTCAACTGTGGAAGTAATTAGTCTATCGCTATCTTGTGATTCACCGAGACGTTGACAACCATAACGGCCGCAGTTGAGAAGTCAAGGGCTGGCTGTCCAATCCCATCCGCTCCTACAATGCACCCATACTAGCGTCAAATGAGGCATCGCGGCTACTGATCTTCGAAAACATGGATAATTTGGACATCTTGGAGGATTTCTGGCCCATGATCGGAAATGGCGCTGTGCTCATCACGAGCAGCAACTAGTTAGCCAAGAATCAGATCTACACTGCCATCCATGGTATTGGTCTTCAGCCGTTGCTGAAAAGGAAAGCTTTCGAGTTTATGAACTCCCTTATTGAGGTGTCTTCTCGGTCCCCGGCGACCGAGGAAGGCCAAGATACCACCGAGGTGGTGACCAACCTCGGATGCGTGCCTCTCCTCCTTACGCAAATGGCCGGTGTTATGTTTCGACTTGGGCTCTCTTACCTTGACTTCTTAATGTTGTGCAATAAAAGCGTGATTCAGTATGTCGTCATGGCGGGCTCCACGGCGTTAATATCTGAGTATATGTTCTCGGCTTTCTATTAGCTGGGATTAGGCGGACTCATGCCTAAGGGCCTCGGCTTGTTGTCGCTTATTTCGATGCTGGATCCCGACTGGATACCGGAAAAGATTCTGATGAGCGCGTGCAATAATGGCACTCCAGGGTAATTTCCCAATGGCCTCGAGCAGGACTTTAAAGCAAGAGCACAGCTTCTTCAGACGTCACTTACTTATAAGCCATAACCCGGACACACGGGATAATGGGCTAAAGGTATTGTCCAGGATGTGGTCCCAGAGAAGATGGACAATGAACGGCTAGATGAGGTGTATGACATGGCAATTCATGCCGTCTCAAACGTCTAGCTTTTCTTAACACTCGAAAATCGCTTTTTCACTAGTCGCTACAAAGATTGTGCCTCGCGGTTCCCCTGCGTTATGCGTCTTAAGAATGCATTTGTCTCGGTGGATCGACTTTAGACAAATAAGCAAAAGGTGTCCAGCGCAACGCTCTTCAATAACGATGGGTGGTAAGACAAAAGTTCCTTGGACGACAAGAAGCAATCTAAAAAGAGGTAGGTACTGGTTTGACAGAGAGTTTCAGGAGGGGTCTACGGAATGGTACGAGCTCGTCGAGCACACCTGCGATGCTCTGCGCGTCAATCCACGCGAGGATGTGGCATACTTGCTGCGTGAGACCCATCATAATCAAGGCACAACAGCCGGCGAAACAAACGACGCGGCTAGGTTTCTGACAATTCGTATATCTGGCTCGAAATGGCGCTCCAGAGACGGCACAGTGGATGGCGAGGCTGTGGTTGATTTCTAGCTGTGCATGGCGTACAACGAAACTGGGGTCGCCCACGCCATGAATCGCGAGTATGAGGTTACTATTGCGCACTTTTTGAAGGCAATTGGATGCTTTCAATCCCTTCCACACTAACAGGACATCATGATTGGCTGGACAGAGTTCAACATCGGACTTATGTACTGGATGCTGGGCCACTACGATGATGCGGGAGCCATTCTGCTTGAGATAATTGACATCTATCAGACGGCGTTCGGGTATGATGATACCAACTCTTTCAAGTCAGTCTCTCGCCTCCCTTTATCCTATGTCCCAGAAATCGTATGTGGAAACTGACAAGGCACCTCACTAGGACCGGCGAAATACTTTATGCGCCGGGACACGTATATGTCAGTAAAGGCGAATTTGAAAAAGGGTTTGACTACCACTCCCGGTGTCTGAAGCAATATCGTGCCATTTTGGGCGATATACATTACAGTATCGGTGATGTTTGTGTTCGGCTGGCAGAGCATAATATCAGATCGAATAGTATCTTAGCAGCTCGGTACGTTATGACACATGGCCACTGTGATAGGAAAAGGGCGAAACAACTGAAAAAAGCCATTAGTACATTTATCAATCAATGATTCAAGGTTTTTAACAATCGGCCTCGGTATCGCCAGGAGTTGGCTCGGGCGAGTTCCCAAGCGGCGCAAGTATCTCCGGGCAGAGGAAAAGCCGCTCCAGGCAGCAGAATTTTAAGAGGCTTATTCGATATGTCGTTCTCTGCTTCCACAAAACAAGCGTGGCATCGATGAGCTGGGAGAGGTAGACTAAGGCAATCTTGTGGTCTCGTGAATTGCTAGCGATCTCATATATGGCCTCCAGATGTGCCAAGGACAGTCTCAGTTAGTTGCTCAATATTTTTCCTACAACCTGAGTTTCCCATCTTTGTGCTTTAGAAAGCAAATATCGTGTATCAAAGACCAGATAAATGAATGAAAGAAACAGCATTCGATCACTCATACCAAACCACGGCCAAGATGTCACCCTTTGCAGCTCTGGCGCGTTCATGCTGAAGACGGCCGAAGTGAATGAAATCAGCGCAAAGATGAACGCCATGAACGTAAGCTTTTCAATTTGTTCTGCCTGAGTGATGCCATTGACTGACTCGGCAATGGCTATGCTGTTTATCAGCACCACAATCTCCTCCCGACACCGCCGGTACAACGCGTCCGCGTACTCGTGCAAGTTCAGATAATCTTGCTCGACGGCTCTACGCACACCTTTCGTCACATCATCATCGACCTTGGGCCATTTGGAAGGGTTTGTATTGCTGATGCACAGCATTGTGGCTTTGATTCGGCTCGTCTGTTGGTGTAGCAACGAGTTGAAGAAGCGCAGGTTGGCGAGGTTGTATGGGTTGGCCGCGCCTTGAGTACGAATGCCCTTCTCGAGCTCATTCTCGGCCAGTCTCAGGAATTGCCGCTCAAAAGAGGCGCCAGGGGATGCGCCACGATCAGAAACGGACGAGCCGTCGAGGGGAAGCTCTGACTCGTGAAAGTTAATGCGCCTCACAAGGTCCATGGGTCGTAAGGGTGGGTGCAATAGCAAGCCAATGTGAACCAAGGATATCTTGATGATAAGAATATTGCAAACTTCAAGCCATTTGGTCGCCGAAAGCTGTCGTGCTCTAGGGCGTGCATGTCTGTGGCAGCCGCGCACGCCTGCAGACTGGACGTCCTGAATTGCCGACTGGATGCGACTGTGTACTTCAGGGGCCCGTAAGCGGTTGTGGGGCCTGGTGCCAATCAATGTCTCAGCGCTTGACGAGGTGGTACAACCCAAACCTGTGCGTAAGGTAGTGAGACACCACATGATCTATTTATCTCAGGTCCATCAGCTACTCTTCACTTTGCACCTTTTGGCTATTGACCGCCTCCCTTCCCTCCGACGCAGGCGTTTGCCTTGGTTTTATCCTAAATTGCTATATAGCCTCCGCTTCTCATCATCTACAGGTCAAACGGCTTCTAACTTTTTCAACCTACACTATAATTGTGTGCAACCCTTTGTCTCTGGTACTTTCGACCATTTCGCCCTCACTCTTAGACAATGGCTCAATCCATCAAGAATGTGATGTTGATGGGTGTAAGTCACCATGCATATCGACGATGATTACCTCACCAATCAGCTCGTCGACGCCTTCACCGGTCAAACGCTTCCCACCAACTGAATACGGAAAAAACACCTGCGCCGCGGCCGGCGAGCTCTGTCCGCTCTATACCGACAAGGCCAAGAGGGCCGCCTACCTCAGGTCTCGGGAGGATAACGGTCTTACCTGGAGGGCGATCCACAAGGGACAGTTCTTCGACTGGAGCCTACAAGAAGGCTAGCTCGATTATGACCTAAAGAAGAGCGTCGTCATCTACGACTCGGGAGTTAAGCCGTGGTCAACCACCAATATCGGGACCGCCGCCTCTGCCATTGTCAAGGTGCTGCAAAAGAGCCTGGACAAGACCAAGAATAGGGCTTAATTTCTAGCGGTATTCATCTTCTCACAGCGACAGGTACTTGCTGCTCTGGAGAAGGCTACCGAGTCCAAGTGGGAGGCCAAGCAGATGACCTCGGCCGAAAGGCTGGAAAAGGCTGCAGACATGGGCGACAAGGATCACTCGGAGGGGCTGAAGCTGTTTTGCCTGATGCTCATGTATGCGTAGAATGCGGACAGAGGGTACAACTTTGAGAAGGATGGATTATTGGACAATCAGCTGCCTAGGTTGCTTGAGGACCATTCCAACGAGGCCATCCAGCGAGTGGTCAAGAAGTGAAGCGACGTGTGGGGTTACGGCTAGAAGATCAGCTTTTTCAAAAGCAGATGCATGCTTATAGCCTCCATTTTGGTACTTCCGTTCCCTATCGCGTGTTCGAAAGTCGAGGCTCGGGGCCTTGTTCCTCCATGTTAGTTGACGCGTGTGTTGGCTGTGCATGCATCAGCCAGGCACCCTAAAACTGATATTCGGTACCACTCAGGTCAGTCTTTGGAGCTAATCTACTTCTCCGAGTACAAAAGTGAGCGAGCTAGTGGCCGCCCTGAAGACCTTTCTTGAGGATCCCCCTCATTATCCTCATTAACCATGCTCGCCACAGATTCGCCGAGACAGGAGCTCCGAGTTGCAAGACTGATTGTCGTTGACTATGACAAGATTCGACAAAGGGACGAGGTCGAATCTGCGAGGTTGTGCACAGTCTGTGTCGAGTGGGGCTGCTTCTACTCGAACCTTTCAAGTAGACCATCACAGCCGTTGCTGGAATCTATGGGTAAGCTTTTCGGTGTTTCAAACTAGTACTTTGCCAAGCCCCTTGCCAAGAAGTTAAAGGATACACGAGAAGACATGGACGTCTTCAATATCTGCGGGTACAAGAACAGCCGTTCGCTCAGAGATAACGGTAACTCGGCTGTCGTAGCTACAAACCCATAGGACTGTACCAAGGAAATGTAAAGGACAAGAAAGATGGATGCGAGGGACTGAGGGCATGTGAGCAGACTTACAGACTTTCAACATTGCTGACTCGTTTTTCAAGGTGCCTACAAACCTCCTTCACGATCCGACTTGCAACGCCCCTATGTTCTAGTCAGAGGGCATAAAGGAACACTGGCCTGTCGTCACCGAATTTATGCATGAATCGCAAATCATTGCTGGAACCATTCTGAGCCTCTTATCTGATTCAATAGGCCCCGCCGATGAGCACAGACTCGAAATACAGCATCGCATCTCCTCTCTATCGACCTCCGCGGTCGTCCTCCAATACTTCCCGCCGCTACACGACCTCCCACCTCCCACCAGCCAGGTTCACTTTACACACACAGACGCCGGCAGTATTTCTGTGCTCTTCGCCTCCAAATGGGGCCTGCAGGCGCACCCTCCAGGACAAGAACCCTGGGAGTACGTCGCGCCAGGACCCCACTGCGCCGTTGTCAACGTCGGCGACTCCTAGCCTTTCTTGTCCCAGTTTCGCCTGCGGTCGTTCTTGCACTGTGTGGTGCCGTGTCACGAGCGCTGGACGTCCGGGCCGCGTTACTCTGTCATTTGTTTCCTGCGACCGAGTAACGATGCTGAATTCGTCGACTCAGAGGGAGCGCACTGGACGGGTCGAGGCTGGCTGAGTCGCAAATTTGGTAACTATAGGCTGACACACGAAGAGCAGGGTTAGACTGCTATAGAAACAGGTGGGAAGGGGTTTCTTCGTCTTTGAAGGACGTGATAGGGCTGGCAGTAGCCTCTTTTTGGGATGAGGATAAAGGGGGGTGCTCTTGTGAAGGTGGTCAAAGGCGCGGGAATAAGACAATTGTTCTATTCCGCATAAGAGGCTGTAACAGAGACAATACCAACGTTATGAATTGGAAGAACCGGTCGCGGCTCAACTTGTCTCCACAGAATTTTTGGTAAAAGGCTAGGACAATTTGTATCCCACTCACATTCCAAAGCAAGGCGTTTCGCGTTGGTGTTACATGTAGGGTAGGCGATGGATAGGGGTTGCGGGACTGCGTAGCCCACGAAGGGCTGAGTCTTTTGCGTTATCTTCATGAGCTACCATTGAAGCCTGCACTGTCACATACGACCACACCTAGCGGAAAGTACGGGATCCCGTCCGCTCTCCCATAGTCAAGCCGCTGAGGGGCTGATTAGTAGTTGGGTCGGTGACGACCAGCGAA